ATTTGACAAGGTAACAGTTTTGATTGCATTGTCGAGCATCGCTGTATGGAGTCGCATAGAAAAAGCGAGTTGGGCAAAAAAATCTTTCCGGCCAGGAGCTGTCTGTGTTGGCCGTATGCCGCCACAGGGTGAGGCGGTTACGGTTAAGTGACAGACGAGAAATGCGGTGTAGCGGGGTTAAACGGCTGATTCGTCTGTGGCCGTGTTTTGTATTCAGGAACGATAACAATGCGCATTTTTTATTCGAGAAATAACCAGACACTGCTGTCATTGCCAATGCATTTGCAATAGAAGTATGCTTTTTCGAGTGACTCTCACGTATTGTAGCAACAATATTCCTACCATTTTTGAAGGCGTTTTAGCGTTTCGTGATCGATTGTCTGGGGTGTTTGAGGGGTGGAAAATACAGCTGCGCACAGACGATGTACAATACTTGTGCCACTCGCCCTGTACTTTTATTAATATCGCGTTTTTCGTCATGAACCGGTTACATACGGATACCATACGAGTAAACAATCTGTGCACGAAACACTGTACGTACAAGAAGTGCTCTGTACCGGTACGGAAACATCAGCTAGTGCATTATTCGCCAGCGGATTGTGACCATTTAAAGAGGTCGTATGTTGTGTTGATGAGAAAGTGCTGATGGTTGCCGCTGGAAAGGTGAACATTCGCCAATGAGTAATTTCGTTTAATGACTGCGCACTCGTCTGCGGCATCATAGTTGGCTGGCCGGCTTTTAAAGCCGTCTGTGTCGCTGTTGCTTCGGCTGGGTCTAGCTTAATAAACATTGCACTGTCTGCTCGTTTTTGCAAAAAAGAAGCTGCATTGCAGCATTGTAAAATTCAGCTGGCTGCGCTTACATTAACATTGGGCGCAGTTATCTGTATAACTCAGCATGCCTTTCGCCGAAATGAAACGCAGCCGCCCGGTACCGTGATTGGTTGGTTAAACTGCATTACTTCCGTGGCTATCGGTGTGTGTACCGGGTATGGAATATCCAGTGTGACTGTGTCTGTGCCAGCGGAGCCTATGTTTTTTCCTATTGATAATAGTTTGATTTAATAACGCATTGGCCTGTAACGAGCTGGCCATAAAAGCCTCTCGTCTGGATCATGGGCGCAAATCGCACGAGTAAAAAGTTGCTTTCCGTGCCGTATGATGTCCTCGAACAGGTAAGTATCCATTCGTGCACTGATAATTCCGCCATATTCATTCGCCATTCGGCGTCTACTCTGTGATTTGATTTCATGATGATGATCCCCCCGGCATGCAGTTAGAGCAGGGCCCGTGTGCTCACAATTGTGCAGTGTTAAATTTGTGGGGTTTATTCGTGCCGGTTGAGAGTGATGTTGTGCGGTTATCCCCCTGATCAACTAGCAGCCGGAAACCGGAAGCAGATGTCGGCACATCCGTGCCGAGACCGCACGGTGTGGTTAATGAGTGGGAAAAACTATACGGGACTCTATTCTTTACTCCATTGTGATACATGAAGATATCGGATGGATGTTTGTTTTTCTGGACTGTCGAAGGAATTAGGCGACGTTTCATGTGGTGGTATGAAGTAGCGATCGAAATGAACCTCTTAATACTGCCGCATTGAACGCCAGCTGATTCGCTTCGTTTCAACGCAACATGTTATCCGCCCGGAATCGCCATATATCCATGTATGTGAGACGCCGGTACACCGCCGCTGGACAACGACCGGGGGTGTTGGGTGATCTAGGTGGCGGCTGCACTGCTCTCTAAGCGCCGGCCACGCTCCAGCGTTTAATTGGAGCAGATGTACTGATGATGCCGTTTTTAGATTTGTCAGTGATGCCCGCGTTCTGATGCGACATGCAGAGCTAATTTTACAACAGCTCCCCTATGTAAACTGTCAGCGGAAGAGGCCGGTAAAGATGGCAGAGAGCGGAGCGGAAAAAACGGTTTGGGCGACGGGGTCAGTGGTTGCGCTGATTGGGAAAAGTGTTTGTCTTTTCGAATGTAAACAGAGAGAATACGCTTATGTGTGTGCTGTCTTGGCTGGTAATCTTCGTGTCTTCCCTTTACACACTTGGTGTCTTATGTTTCAGCGAAAGATGCTGCGTTTCCCAAAGTGTCTACAGATCGCCAGACAGCATACGATGATACCCACCGGAAATCCCTCGAGGGTCCTCAATATGGGCGAAGAAATGCCGGACGAGTCAGAAAGCGGGTGTGGACAGCTGTCTGATGTTTTTGTGAACAGATTATTATGGAAAGTTAATTGATATTAGTCGGGAAATTCGTGTAATCCGGGGTGAAAGCGCCTTAGCTTTTTTACAGATTATTCAGCCGTTTCTACCCAGAGGGCAATCCCCTGGAGGTCCGAATTAACGTGATCTATGGGTAGATAGCGGCATTTATGATCTGACAAGTGGTATTGTTTTTCATTTATCGATGATTTTCATTTTTATGTCCTGCTGCTCATTCATTTGGCCTTCGAGCTGCGTTTACTCACATTGCACAATTATTCCGGTTGCTAATAAATTCATTCGGAAAAGCGGTAAAATGTGTTTTCTCGTTAGATGATTTCTTGTTTGTGAATAAACTAGTAGGGACTTTTAAAGTCTGAAAATTTAGCATAATGCTCAACGTCAAAATTAGTCTTTCTTGGATTTCACAGTCACAGAAGTGTTCGTATGTATGCATCGGAGAGTGCTATCGATGTATGTTAAAATTTGATGCATAGGTGCAATTACAAATTGATTAAAATTTACTGCACGTCAGAAGTTTCCAGTTTTGTGCTAACAATGTTTTTCCTCATTCGGATTTTCTTGTACCTTCTGTGGACGTAAGTATCGCGTTTGATTATCATATTCCTACAGTTTATTTAGTTGTTGACGTTTTTACGCATTTTCGCCCCAGCGCTTTCACCCCGCTGTTGCTCCGGGATCCGTGACCTTACCAATGTCATACGATGGTTTCTGTACAGCTACTGCGTAGTTATGATATGCTTTGTTGTAGTATTTGTGCAGGGTATTTCATTTATCACAGACTGCGAAGGCATGCTTGTTAGAGAATATCAAATATCACCAGTCAATGTGCTAATTAAAAACCGTAAAATTTAATTCTTCTTAAACGTTGCACATTTCCCATTTCATTTCAACTTTGCACATTGTCAGGCCGGTGCTTTTCGCTGTACAGTTCGCATTTCGCTTCGGTTACATTCACATGGACTTGCATGTAAGAGCATCGTTCACATTTGCACAAAACCGTACATATGCAGTCAGCAATTCAAACTGGGAAACGTACCACGAATTTAATTCATAGATTCAGAGCGATCGGATTTGCTACATGCGATTACCGGTTTCAAATAGTTATCGATTACAGGTACTTCCGGTGCCTGCGGTAATGCCATACTTCTGTACGCGGCAATAAATACTTCAATTCCATTCCATGCAAATTGAATTTGTTTATGTAGAACACTTGGCAAGTAGATCACATACATCTTTATTGGTTATTTTCGCTGCAACGCAAGAGAACCAGGAAGAAAAAACAAAAGGATCATGATTGTGCCAGTGAAATAAGTGCACTTGTACTGTGAGCTACAATTGAAATTTCAAGGTAAATTAAGAATGTTAACATCTTGTTGCTCCTGGTACAGTTTTATATGTAGGCAGTATATCTTGTTCAAGAATCGATTCATAATCAGAATTTTAAGAAACGGAAGAACGAAAGTTAAAAAAATTAAAATGCATTAATTGCTGTACTTGTACGCTTTTTTTATCTGTAGACACCACATTTTTTCGGCAATTAACCCCGAAAAAAGCTGCTCTCATGCTGTTTGCAAAAAATATAGAAACGCTAAGCAGGAAAGAAAATGCATTGTTAGTGTTCTTACAAGCCTTATTAAAGCAAAAAGCAACACTGAATAAGCACACAGATCTGGAATCGTCAACACAGTACTTAATCTTAAATTAGAGATCGTATCGTTCGAATAAAATGTGTTTTGCGTGGAAATTTGCGCAATGTGTTATTGCTAATAGGTTGACTAAAAAATTAGCGACCTACAAAGAACTACAGTTAAGTTTGGAATTTATTGTACTGAAGTTAAAACATTAATGTTTATATTTGTTGGCTTTGTCGGAACATGTTGTATTTTCTTTTGTCGGAATCAAGACATTATGACAAAATGACTATATTGTATTACAATTTGTGTTGATAATATGTGCGTATGTTATTGTTGGTATGAATCTTGTGCTCGGCAAAGGCTGTGGTGTAGACAGAGTGCTGCATTGTTTAGCGGCGTACAGTACATATAAATTATAAATAGTATGCAAAATAATTTTCAGCGCAAGTCTTGACCAGTATTTAAAACGACATTCTTAATGTCCTGATTTACCAAATTACCGATGAAAGCCTGGATAAGTTACAAAAGTATCGAGGAAGATAGGTGTGAGTACATTAATCCTAGAGTAGCTTCTCATTCTGGTAAATCGGTGAATCTACGAGTACAGACTGTAGTTCTGATAAATTGTTGTACGCTTAGGACTACTTCTACTTTTGCAACGCCAAGCCAATAAAGTCAATTTCTTGTTTTCTTACAGACATAATATAATTTGCGGTAAACATGAAACAGTTTGTTAACAATCAGCAGTCCGAATTGTAATTCGACCAATTTTTCGTATAAACAGAATGTGTTTTTTGGGACAAAGCAATCCAGAACCAAAAACAGCCACAAGCACAAATACAAAATTGTTATTACGACACGGCATTATAGTGGCTCATACCTTGAAACAAGTACAATTAACGTCCAATGTATTGTGTAGTACTGTACATGCAAAGGTTCAGTAGCTTGGTTGCAGTTTACTATGTAGTACTGGTTTGCGTGCAAAGTTTTGAAATATAATTGTTTTAATTTCAGTTCTTGAATACTTATTTTGGGACCTCGAAAAAGTTAATCGACTGTTTGAAATCGTACACGCTATTGTTCGCACGTTAAGCTTAATGCATTAAAAACTGATGCACATAGCAGATAAAAAAATACTGTAACTGTTATTGGTTGCAACACCAGAGGTGCCGGTTCAATTGGGTTATTTTGACGTAACCATTCAAATGAACATCGGTATACAATTAACTCCACTAAAAGTTTTGCTTTTTTTATAGTTCAGAAGGGAAATGTATATATGACCGACGTGGTTGTCAACGATTTTACATTCTTTCGCTCTTTTCATGGCCGTCTGAACTTTTTCCGCTCGTGTGGCGCTTCGTCGGTTTCTGCTCCGCGAACTACAACAGCAGCTACTACCCCAAAAATGACTTCCCATACAGCGACGGCCATCATCGTGGCGCCCATGATTTGCACCTTATGCGCCGCTTCGCAATGAGGGGCATAATAATAAATCCATGGCACCTAAAGCATAAAATCTCAATTAACAATCAACAAGCACAGTTTTATATGAACACTACGATAATAATATTTTTGTTCACTACAGCAGTTATGGCGTCTATAAATGCCTTTAGTGGTAAGAAACTCCTAAATTTAAAACAGACGAATACTTTTACAATAGTTATAGGCAATGTCGTTTGACCTTTCGCAATTTCTAGGCTTTGCCACAATATGCACATTATACAGGTCATCAACGGCTTGTAATACAGTAGAAATTTTTTACTGAGTCTTGCAGTTAACTGAGTGTAAGTAAAGATTTAGTGTAGTACGAATACGGTTCTTCAGTTACACATAACATAAAATGCATATACGATTAATGAAATACAAATGCTTTTTGTAACAGCGCTCGATCGAAATGGCGCGCTCGTTTAACCAGTAAAACGAATATTCTCTGTAACTATATGTAATAATTATTATGCTCTGCCACTTTTGTGAGCCGTACATAACGACAATAGGTGCTTGTTTGTCAAAAAGTAACGTCAATATTACACTTATAAGGGCATACAAACGGGTATTCGCAGTCAGTATAAAGGAATCCTTCGGGATCCAGAAGCCGCCATCCGACTGCAAGGGCTAACATAACCACAGCCAGCACGGACGCCAGCACATTGAAACCAATCACGACAGCACGCAGTTTTTTTGACATGGTGCAACCATGAACCACGCCAATAATCCCGGTGATGAAAATCCATCCTCCTAGCCAGGCGCCAGGGGCAAATCGTCCTTCGAATAGGCCCCAGGTGTACCAATAATGCAGCATGATATAACCTGCAACGGATGTACCGTAGTAACCCTACCATGTCGGTAGTATACACTATGTAGTGTGCGCTAACCACTAACCAGTAAGCCATAACCATAACGCAACTATACGTTGTCACTTGTCCACAACTACATAATATATCTCAAAGATAATGACTGTTATTTTTGTACATTACCAGAGTACATGATATTATAAGATGCGTTATAATCTGTAATGATGCTTAATTCCGAATACGTACGGCATAAAGAAATTATGTCCCCGAACCGTGCTCTAGGAGTACAGTACAGAGTTCGAAGGGATGTATGAATGGGCATTCCTTCCGCAATGCCCATTAATTGTTTTTGTGCATGCTCATACCATATAATCCTGGATGTCATACTCCCCACCCCAAAATAGGTAAATATTAATTTTACTGTACAAATATATAATAAAGATGGCGAAGCAGGCACTTCTTTAACTTTAAGAAGTCGGAAACATTAAACAACCAAATAATAAATAACATGCTAATAATTTAATTGCAGGTTTCTAAATTTGATCACACTTATTCGTTGCTCTATAAACATCGTTAATTGCTTATAAATCATAACAGGTGCTGAATTAAGTAGTTATGTTTTTGGCTCGAAAAACTTTATTATTTTGCTGTTTTTAAATGGCTGAATGGGTTCTACAAAATGCATCATAAAAAATGATTAACCGGTCTAAAAAGGTAAGCATAACTAGAATGGTCTTCTTGGAAAACCGAAAACATAACTTTCAAATGGAGAAGAAGCATCGTACGTTTTAATCATCAGACGATATTGCAAACGAAAGCCTTTCAAAGGTCATTACAAGATGATTTTTCGACATACAGACACTTTGCCCCATCAATTTAAAAAAACCAAACTATAGCTAGCGTGCACAGAAAATATGCACGCAGTTTTGCTGATCTCGGAATTTTTAATGGTTTTACAGTTTGACAGAAAACATGTTCTTTAAAGTGAGACATTTCTGGGTTTTCAAGATTTCTATAAGTAGTATGCTTAATACGTCGGCAGCATTAAGTACTACCGCCACAAGTATACTGAAGTACTGCGAATTTTTGCTTTAAATTGTTTTATATTATTATGTTTTCACCACTTACATGCCACTTGTAATCCAACTAAACAGAATCCAAAAAACATATTTATCCAACCGATCAACAGCGACTGGAACGACATTTTTGTTGTTTTCAGTAAGATCCGTAAAATACAGCGTATAATGGAAGCTGATGACAGTGACTTAATTCCACTTCCTTATTCCCAGGACCATCTAATAGTAACGTCAGTTTAATCACAATTAACGCCAAAATTAAAAGTTGCTGGCGTAGAATATTCTTTGGTGTTTGTGGAAATGTATGATATGGTATTACGAACCAGCGCCAAAATGGTGAGCCAAAGTTTCAAGCCATATTTACACGGTTACTCTCCATGTGTCATAGTAAGTTACTGATAGAAACTCAAACACTGCAGCTGTTTGAGGTGATAACAGTGTAGTATTAAAGCAAACTTTCCAGAGCTTTATCAGTGTGTTTTCTAAGTTTACCAAGAATTTGACCTATGAAATGGGTGACAAGCTCGCTGATACAGTAAGCATCTACCTATTGGTTCGTAAATGCCGCATTTATTACTTATGGTTACATTTATTTTGTATGCTTTTCAGAACATTTACAAGGCAGTGTTAAATTGCTCACTGCTGTTCCCACTGTGGCGTATCTAATCTAGGCAAGGTATCCGTATTCCGTACTGCAATCGTCTAATCCAGAGCACTGAGTCACTGCGCGAATATTTTCGCTATCACTTCACACTCCGCAAACTTTCGGGCTGCAGTGGCTATGCATTTTTCTAGGAAAGATGTTTCGATACCGTGTGCATCAGTTGTAGAATTAAGTATCAAAAACAGCAAATAACTATAAAACAATCAGCTCTGTTGTTCCCCATTAAATAAGCAGCGTTTTCCATTAAGCAGTAAACAAGACTAAAACACTATCGAGCATATTCAAAACAAACACTCGAAAAATAAAAATTCATAAAGAAATCTCTGACAACACATAGTTTTATAAACGTCTAGATTTAGTATTTGTAGTAAAAGAATTACCATTGTGTGTAAATATTAAATAAGAAAAAGCACTGACATAATCTAACTCGGCATGAAAACTGAGCAACAGAATAGCTGGACTCAAGCACTGCTGTCACTGTTGGACGGTCAGGAACCAAATGGAACTAACAACTACGTCTACATCGGATGTGTGCGTCAATAATACAGTCCACGCAGTCCCCATCACACGTCACGGGGATGAGATCTCATGAACAATGATATCAGATTCACTTGTTATCTCTACGTGGCGGGACTGATGGTGCGCCGGGTGGCAGCAGGGCCGGAGGAACGTTTTGTACTCCGGGCGCGGCGTTGATGGACCCCGGTGGTGTTGTGCTTTTCTGGTTGTAGGTGCTGTTCAGATTCAGATAATCTCGACCCAGAGGGCTATTCTGTAATCATCATGGCGGTTAGTAAGTGCACCCTGCGATAAAAGTAACGACCAGCGACAGATACCAATTGCAGCCAAACACAAAAAAGTCTAACCAATGCGAGGTAACCAGGGATCACTTTGGTAAACGTGATTTATTACAAAATCGTTACAAACTTTAATGTTTATTCCAGATTGTAAAACAGCTATTTCTGACATTCGTTAATCGTTATCCTTTTACCAGTCCAATTTACATTATTTTCAACAATGCGAGAAATTAAAATCCTTACAAATTATCATATGCAACAATTATAGGTGCTCTAAAGATTAAATTTAACGAAATCCCGGGTGAGGACCAATCGATATGCTTATATTTGAAACACTCTATCAAGTTTGCATACCCGGCAGATCTGCCGTTTTTTGAACTTTTTGAGACTTCTTAGTTGTTACCTGCTGTTCAGCTCTTTGTACTGGAATAATTGTATTCTGCACGTAATGCTGAACAGCCATGTAGATAAATTTGTACTGTGACTCTGCTTGTACCATTCCCGAACGGCGCTCGCGAATCATCAGCACAGTGCGATGGATATCGATTTCGCATTCAATGCCTGCAAAGTCAAAAGTTTACGGTCAAAATAACCAAAACCTTTAGTTCCAGCAAATTTTGATGTGCTCCCCACCATTCTTTCGTGCATTTTTAATATGATCAATTAAGATATCCAACACAATGAAGGTTCCTGTACGCCCGATCCCGGCACTAAAACATTTTGGGAAGACGTAACGGCATGAATATAACGTACTTGTACTGCGCAGCCAGTTGACGTAGTAATAACAGGAAGAACCGCTACTACGCACCTGCAATGCACCACCACAGGACCGGCACCAGGAATACTTTCTTGTCTATCATTAACTTTGTGCAAAAAGTTCAACACACATCCTGGGTCGGCTGGGACACCGTGATCGGGCCATGCGTGCAGATGGAATTGTGAGATTATTCGTGCGGGATCTTTCTATAACGATGCAAAACGAGCTAGGCAATTCATTCCAAGGCGTAAGAGTAACACGCTACTGACTCGCTGATTATTCTGGATTTCAAATTCTCTCAGGAAAAAGTCCGCGTATCCCGTCTCGCTTAAACAGCGCACTTTAATTGGACCATACTGCAGATCTTGTCCAAGTTCCGGCCAATATCGCGAACACTTTTGCTGTAAAACAGTCGTCGCCTTCGGAAAATAGTCATTCATTACTTCACATTTTGTCAATATGTATTTTCCACAAAGGTCGTAACGTTGAAGTGGAATTCGAAACTTAAGGGATTTGGCCCGGTACACAGCACCAAATCCGTGTACATCCGTATTTTACATTGAAATTTAAAAACGAACAATTATTTCCACATTTACTAAATTGCAGGAAAAAAACATCATTACGGTAGGTAACTAACGTCTTACGCGGTTTCTTTCGTATTCTTTCGTAGCCATTACAATAACTCGCGAGTTTTCCTGCCAGACCATTCGCCAAAAATCTCCTAAAGTATTTGGCAAACATCCCTGGATGGCAATGTACCGCTTCTGGAATTCGTTACTCTCGTCTGGCTACAGAGGGACGAATAAAACAGATTAAAACACCATAAACCTCCGGAAGCGAGAAGAAGGAGTGCTGGTTGTAGGAGTGAATTACATTACAATATTACATACATAGATGTAGTTGGCATTGATGTAATCGGAACCTGGGGTGGAATCCGTGGAATCACGCAGGATGACGCGTGTGTGATCAACTACAGCGGGCAACGTCAACCGTCAGGTGGCTTAATAAAGAATTTAATCAGTCTTACAAGGCAGGATATTTTTAAATCGATTTTTGACTTTGTTTTCCGGCTTTTGCCCTTCCTTCCTTGGATGGAGGGCGCGCAGATCTTGTTGTTGCAACGACTGCAACCAAAGGTCGATATGTTCCATTGACCGAGTAATATTAGCAGCAACAGTGTAATAATATACTTACCTCGAATTCCTCCCAAAAGCCGGACTTCATCGTCGTATGACTATCTTTCTGTAGCTCTCGCACTCGCACACAAATATCGGTAACCGGGAATTTCGTGGCGTTGTACGGCTATAAAGGCAAATAGTTTAAAATACTCACACTGTCAATGCAAGTTGTATTTCAATCAACTACCTATATTTGCACCAGGAAAGCTAAGAGATTTTAATCTGTCAAAAGTAAAAAATGTTGCGCTAGCAGGGTTTTACTATATTTTCTGAAAGACTCACATGTTTTAAAGATACCACAGTTCCTGTTGTGTCGACCATTAAATTCTTTTTGTAATGCTCGACCAAATCCGTTAAACTGTCGAAACTTTCTCCACTGACAATCTCATACTTGTTATTCTGCAGGAAACATTCGTCAGGCAAATTAAAAACCAAAATGGCCTTCGGACAGAATCAGCTGAATTTTGCATACCACGCTATTGATCATGATATGAGTGACAGGAAGTTTGTCGTCAGTTCGCACTGAGAGCACGTATTGTCCAGGTTTGCTTTGGCTTTCGCGCACCAAGAAGCTTCCGGTCTTACCCTTATCGCGCAACTGAGTTTCTGCTTCCTTTCCACTCAGGTAACCATGAAACCATCTGAGGCAAATGATTATATTTGTATCATCAATCTCTCTTTGGTTAGTTACTTTGAAAATTACCTTTCTGTGGTTGGATCCGGACACATCAACGGAAATTTCAGTTCGATAGAATCACCATTCTTTTCTCGCAGTTGTCCGGGATTCTCCATGTAAAACTGCACCAACTCAGCCAGTGTGGCAAATTTCTCACCACCGAAAAGATCATAATAATCCCCAGTATTCTGAATTTTGATGTGAGTTACTTGATTACCACGTCTGAAACGAAACAAGTCGAATATGTTGAGCCGTACCCATACATTTAATACGAAACACAGCCGGAATCCATAACGTTCTTAATATTCATTAAAATGCCTTCGGCTTCCATAGTCAGATAAATCACTCACCGAACAGATAAGGTGAACTGTCCCGGATTACTCTGACTGGGCCGACCCAAGAAACTGCCATCTGTGCCGCGAACCAACAGCTCGTCTTCGGCATCGCGTCCTGAGAGATTTGGGTGGAACCACCTATTAACAACATCGGCAAAAAGTGCTTAACAAACATCCGGAAACGTAGCACAGGCGATACATGTGGCCGTTCGTCGGCACTTCTTCTGCAAGACAGCGCGTGCTCCGCAACATGCAAATATGAAATATCACCAACAGGGCACACCTTAGGCTTACTTAATAAAAACAATTCGGAATTCATAATAACTTATTCCGATATCTTTGTAGCGGAAGATAAACTTTAGTGACTCCGCTACGTTATTTTCTCAAAAGTGATAAGATACACATTGTAATAACCATTTTCAGCGCAAAAATGATTATCGTTAGTGACTTTTCAAACAAAAATCAGCTGAGTAAAGCAGCCACAAAATGCAAATCAAAATCAACTTCAAATACTGCTATTAGTATCCAGTGTAATAATTAAATGAAAACAGATGGCAGTGCTGTAATCAAAACTCGGAAAACATCACAACACGAACGTCCAGAACGCAATGGGCCCATTCTATTACTGACTTCCCATCAAAGAATTCAAGAAACTGAATACCGAGGACACAAAAAGATTCCAGAATAACAGTAACTGCACAATAATACGGTACTCAGAATTTCCAGAAGTCTGATCTCGTGATTTGTATTTTCAGACACAAAAATGCATATCAAAATCTCAGATCGCAGGGCTAGCCGCTAATGACTACACAATTTTAAGTAGAAATTTTCCACATACTTTCACACTGCAAATCATAAATCAAATCATTTACGCAAATCATTTATGATAAATGCAAACAAAAATTATCAAATGAAACACAGCAACCCAAAAAAATTCAGATCTAACTGTTCTGGTAGCAAAGCGACTTACCTCCTAGCCATCATTAACAACCAGGCGCCAATGTAATCCTTCCTGAAATTTTTATGCAAACAGTCAATTTCAAGAAACAAAAATTCATCAAGTGCTTGGAACGAGAAAATAATATGAGTGATGAGCACCTCAATGATTGCATAACCAGCTGGCTCGGTACGACAACTTTTCCTCCTTTCAGAAGAACATATGCACTAAGCTTTAATCATTACCGACTTACAGTAAAATTACAACTTCAATCGATCAGCCTCAGAGATGCAACACTTGATGAGATTTCTTGGTTTGCTTCAGAGTAAGACAAAACTGTCGCAAAATACAACAGTATCTGAAAAATACTCCAACTGAGCGGATTCAGTGATCCCGTCGATGGTTTGACAATCGAAGTTTTCCACACGAAAAGGTAAAGAAAGTTGTCGTTATTACGTCCACGAATAATCGGCAAACAAACAAAAGCATCAAATTAAAATGATCCTTTTCTACTTTCGCGCAGCGATACAAACAGTCAAACTGCAAACAAACACCATACACTTCAAAAGGCAACAATTTAAAAAAAAGCAGGATGTCACTCATTTCAGCCATTCATCTACGAAAACTAGTGTAGAGTATGTAGACATCGGCCCCCCCACGGCGGTTGAGCTGGCGGATGATAAACTCCGCCTTATCGACGCATTGGCTGACCAATGGCTACGATACAAACATATCGATTTTCGGCTGCTGTCGGCTCCGAGCATCTGACGGTTCGGCCAGCCTGGCAGCATCCACAATCTTTGACCTCAGTCCCTTGATCTCGATTCCCAACGTTCAGACTCCAGAGTCCTTCGACACCAGCGAGATTATAGGTTGCAAACACAAAACAGTACAGCTGCAAATGTCCAAGTGGATAAATGTTTACAGAGCAGCAATGTTAATTTTGAATGTTTTTTTTTAATTTTTTAATGTTACCACTTACCAGTTCACGGTTCTAGGTTTGGGGTTTGAGATTTTATAATTTTCCTGTTAAAGCAGTTGTTTTGCGCTCTCCTACTTGGATATAATTGCTGTTGTATTGTATACGAGGTCTGCATCATTGTGCACATCACACATGTAAGTCCTACCTAGCTAAGTGGCTAGATGCAGTAGTTGCCACTTGCCATCGTATTGGACGTAGAACTTGTTATTAAAAATAAATTTAAGTCGTTCAAAGTTTTTCAGAATTGTCAGCGCTCACAAGTCAGTACGAATACTTACTCTAATATTACTGCTAATATGCCTTCAGTACGATTACGGATTATGGAATGGATGTTTTTGATTTGCGATGAAAATCGACTTCTGGTCCATGTTAGAGTCACAGTAATAGCCATTTTAACTCAAATTTTACAAAGATATTAGTGTTTCAGTACGCAGTCCAGTACGCATAATTTGCCGCACGGTCATGATCCCATGCAACCAACAGATTTATGATTACCATGATTTCTTTAAGGAATTTTCTTATGATAAATCAACCGTAGAATGCCTTGCAGTAATTAAATTTTTAACTGGTACTGAGCTACATATACGTATTTTCATGTGGGACTTAATTGCACTGCTAGTCTGCAACCATGGAATTTACTGTATGTTAACTTGAATAAGGTTTGAGATTGAGTTTCGATGAATTTTTACATTTTGTTTAGCATGCTTTAATTTTGATCGAGCTGACCATGAGTTCACAGACCTAGTAGTCGAGCGCAGTCGCAATGTATTCACACTTTTGGCTGCGATGACGCGATAACTCAACCAGTTTACGATGGTCGTTGTACCTTATGGTTAGAATTTGGAATTAAATCTTTCTGTAGTCTGTGTAGTATATAGCACTTGATAGATATTATCACAGGATTCTATCGGATGATTCAAACCCATTTCCTGTTTGATATTCAGAAGATTTGCCTTGTCTATTGATATTGGCGGCAACCGCAGTAAAAGAGGATTCCGTATGCGCCATAGGCAGTTTATCCCGTTTAGTTTTCTATTTTTTTAATTGTTTTACCGTTGTTGGCTAGCTGACGCCTTCCTTGGATGGGCATCGGCATTGTGGAAGATAGTAGCACAACAACAGAAAACCATTTTTATTTTAACGGAATAAATGAACGGATGTTGCAACCGCTACACTCTACTTATTGTTAGAATGGCTCTAGATTCGGTTTTTCATGATTATTTTATCATAATATTGTGCAGTCAGTACAAAGTTGATCTAGTGTCTTTAAAAGATAGCATCCCATGCGGCAGTGTATTCAGTTTATGTTCATTTAAAAAATCTAATTGGTTGTTTTTTGATAACCGGTTTTACATTACGAGTTGCTGTCGATTTTAGTTTGTGCAAATATTGTAAATTGCGAAACTTGAACAAGTATTACGCTTCACAAGTTGTGATATTTATCTTTGTATTATAAATTTTATAGTTAGATTGCAGTTGCATGTATATGTTCTGAAGTATTAAGCACAGTACCTTACTTTCCGATTGATGTGGTGTTTCATAATAATAATTATCTTATATTTGTTTTTTTATAAGGATAATTTCGTTCGCGAGTTGCATCATGCGTTAGCCATTTTGCTGCTTTTGAATATCGTAAATTCCCAAGCAGTGTCGATGGAAAGCTGTAGTGCCACTGTACGTATTGGTGCTGGGAAAATCTGAAACGGGATAATTAGGTCCAATAAGCACGACGTAATACGATCCGCAAAGCAAAAAGACCGTTTCGTTGTGCTAGTATGGTTATACCTAATTAGCCAAACTTTGCAGACTGCAGGATGTGCGCAACCTTTTCGACGCGGATTTGTAGAGGACGACATCCATAACGATTTTCCCGTCGCACAATCCGTTTGATTAATTGTGCCGGATGTGTCAAGCAGGGTGTCTGGAGCCAAATGTTAACACAATTAACAAGTGTTTATTTAGTCAAAAAGTGGTTTGTTAAACATTTTTTTGATTGATCGGTCATCTGCTGCCTCCACGAGTCCACGTCTTTAATTAAACGAGCAGCTGTTTTTCTTGCGAGTTAGTAACGAAAGAATCGCTTGTTTAGTCGCGATATGCAGAAAAAATATTTCCAATCACTAAAACTTTTCTTTATATTCACTCTGCTTTACGCAGCTCAGGAAAGTACAGATAAGTATTGAAAGTGCTTTCTGTATGTGGGATGCTGAGATAGATCCTTACCCGCATCTCTGAGATACTCCAGCCATATTCCAATAATACTGTCAGTGGTCCAGTTAATTAATGCTTAACGGGGCTTGTTAAAATTTTTATACAGATGATAAGAAAACATTCAAAAACCGCTCAGTTTTTTACAACAAGAGTCAGCTCCATGGCCGTGACGGATAGATGTGCATGTGTTGTTGTTCTAATGAAGTACGAAAGACTGCTAACGTCGACTCCGCTGCGGACCATGTAATTATTGAGTTAAAGAGGCCGCCTAAAGTTTTTAGAAATTACAGGGCTGACAATAAGAACGGTATTGGTTTGTTTGTTCTTGTAAGTCGGAAAGACAGACTACGAGACTGCATGGGCTGGACAATTGATAGCGCGTAACCGGTATCGAGCTTATCTTGTGTTCTACAGGCCGGGGTCTCAGTGAGTTAGTTGTGGGACGGACTAATTCGCCGTTCGTGTAGTTGCATGGTACCAAACGACGTAGCAAGTTGGTAAAGATCACTTCTGGAAATGGTTTTCTTTTACGCTGCTGATTAGCGATTACCATAGCGTGGTACATCGTGCATATCTGATATCGTGAAAAGTGGGGCCTGCAGTTGGCCATCGCTGTTGCACTGTACTCTGTGTACAGAACTACAGATACTTCTGTGTGTGATTCTGTATAGGTTGTATTTTTCATTTCCACTGCACTCTACCTACCATTTGCTAAACTTCTTGGCGGATCCTTCAGAACTTTGATCTAACTATTTCAGCTTTCATAAAATACACGAAATCTATGTTTTAATAAACTTGAGAAATCGGCTTACTGATTAGTATCATACCGATACATGGTTGCCTGCATCTTACGCGCGTATTGTATTTGATTGCCGTATACGTAAGTAAATGTATGTTACCAGTTAGTTGAACTATGGTTAGTTCATCGCGACTGCGCTGCGTCGTTTGATGATATGTTCTCCGGCCAATTTGACATTCAGTTTCATCAATAATGCAGTGTCCGTTTTTGATTTTCTAGGCTAACAGCCGTTACATCAAAGTGGCCATGCAATGCCGACACATCACGCTAGAAGGACTGGTTTGTGGCGTGTTTGATATTGGTAACGTGAATGAGTCTTGTTGCCCGAGGATGCCGCATTCTTATTCATTCGGATTTGGATTGCGACTGACATCTTTCTAGCTCCGATCTGAAACACTTCTCAGTCGTCATTGTTTTGCAAATCTTTGTGGATTACGGTGAATCTGCGAGGAACATTCTTTCTCTCCTGTGGACTATTTTTCTACTTTGTGCCGCTGACGATAGGATGTGTCATTTCCTTCCTGTCAGAAGATGTGCTGAAGGACAAGGATCGAATATAAATGAATAACAACATGGCAGGCAGCTGTCCGTTAAGTCTGCATGAATTTCTTGCCGAGGTTTGTTGATGTCGAAAACTTTTTTTAAGTGGAAGTAGTAAATAAATTTTGTTATACAATTGAAATTTTCTTATTATTGGGGAAAATTATTATTACTGGTGACAAATAAAATACCGTGATTGTGTGTACCTCACTTAAACTTTTTTTGCGATGGTGATGCTGTACTCTGTAGTAATAGTTATACGTGTACGAATTTTTTTTTATCGGATGTGTTTCTTCGAGAAATGAAAACTTCCGCAATGTGGAGTACATTATGAAATGAGTGTTTGCTTGTGCCAGGCGGAACTACAACACTATTACGATGTGTTAGCGAATGATCTGAAGATAGCGAGCATCCATCACCTGAAATATGTTCAAGATGAGGATCTGAATCAGATCGGTATGTCACGGCCCGAGCAACGGCGACTGAAGAAATTCTTCCAAAAGTATTATCCTCAGACATATCTCGGCAAGTTTGTCAAGGTACGTACGCTGATAATGATTTACGGTCAGCCATCAAATGAGCATTTTGATAGTCACAATCACGTTTCATATGAAAGCGTTGAAGAGTGAATTGTAGTCATGTGCTTATTAATGCGCATTACTTTTGTGCCGAAGGGTTTGCCGTATTTACCGGATAGAGTGTTACATTACTATGTAGTTTTCCATGATTTCGAGGAGTATTGAATATTTACTTTTGCCCAGCCAGTATTAACCTTGTACTCTTTAGTAAATCTTGTTCCGATAGATGTCGAATCAGCTGGCAGTCGCTTCTTAAAATATTATCACAGGAATGCTTGCGTCCGACTTGGAGCTGCAGCATGAACATTCTTGTGGTCAATTAAGCAGACTGTGCGAGGCTGTAATTTTCGCGTAGCTGTTGCTTGCGCTTTTTAAGGAAAACAAAATTGTTATTGTGCTTTCCAGTGGCATTTATTTTTAGAGATTGGGAACTAGGAGTTTTTCGTCCCTAACAGTCTTTGTAACGGTGCAGCCAACCCAGCGCGCGTAGAGCTTCTTGTGTTTTCGTAAGCACATTTAACCTTGGTTTTTCCTGGGGCTTCGGGTGATCTGCTTGTGTTACAGCATGTCGTAAATCTTTTACTGTAATGTGGAATCGCAGTAATTACACCTCATTTCACAATTATTCTATACGCACCTAAAAATTATGGCAAAAGGTTTTTTTTCGTTATAATTTTTTTTTATTTCGAAACGCTTGGTACCGTTTTCCAGTTTACTCTTTCAAAGCAGTGCGGTCATTGTTATATGACACGCCGCTTATTTTGTGTTGTATTTTTTTCGCGTTTGCTGTAGAGTGATAACTGATGTTTGAATCGGGTTTGATTGTAATCTTTTGTGTGCCTGGCGGGAAGACGAATAATATACTTGACGTGAGCACTCGATGAAGAATGGTTGACAGAAAAAAAACTGCTTAACACAGCAAATGCGCCGATTGAATGGATAACGTAGACAAATAAGAGGAAATTGGTCCAAATCCGAACCGGCTATGGGATAACCGATCCGGTTCGTTTTTTTTCATTTGATTCATTTGTGAAAAGAATGTGTTAGGTTTGTACAGTGGTACTGAAGAGGCGAAATGGGCAATTGATCAGAAAGTATTTTTTTGCATATGGGTTATTAGAACGGTTATTAGAGTAAATTGTGCAACTCACCAGGGATTGACACAGCGCGTCCATTGATTCGGTGGGAGAGGCAGGCAGCGGAACGGATATTGCATCATGCATGGGAAGACTGTCATCTGGTTCCCATTGCCTGTTGCAGTTTATGATTTTTTTGTCTCCGTGATGTTTTTTTTCGCAAGATTCTTTCCATGCTCCACTAAGCAATGAACATGGAAACAACAACCGCGTGAGTGTATGTGAAATGTCAAGCCAGACCACCACGGTTGCGCCCCGGCGGTGCGCGCTGCTGATTGACGAGCAAGGAGGCGTGCAAATGCATTTTGTACGCCGCTAACGAAACCCTCTATCAATGGGGTCGGGCTGGTCAGATGCGGAAACGGAAAGGAATGTCATTTCGTGTTTTTATGCCGCGAATTATAACTATTTTTATGGGCGCTATTTCAGATTACGGCATATCCAGGTTTTCTTGACACCCCTTGCCATGACGCTTTTTTCTATTTTTAACAAGATGTTTACTCCCTGTGTGCGATGTTTACTATGCCAGTCGAAGCCATTAATAATCTTAGTTGATTATATAACCATAGTCTCATCTTCGCATTGCACTTTGATCAAGCGATCTAATTTGCCAGTAAAAGGCTTGAAGAACATTTGTGTCGAATTAATGAACACACGGGTGGTTAAGAAGTTAACTGTTAAGGTGTTGTTGATTTTTACTTAAATTACAAAAAGCGACAACATTTACTTTTATTAGACAACCCCAGCGAAATTAATTTTTAGCACAAAAACTGAAGCGTGCAACATGGGAATACTGTGATATGGGAGGGAAGTTCAACAGTTTTGTTTTCAAGTATTGCTGTTGTGCGATGCTGAATTATGAATTCTGTAGAGCAACTACATTTGTTAATTCGATGGCAACGATTCGGTGATTTTTGAAAACGTCTTGGCACTTTCAGGTGTATGTGATATATACAAAGAAAATGTTATGGATGTACTGTATAGCATGTGATCTTTAATTCTAAAAATACCGCAGCGGGGGTGGAAAGTGCATATTCTACCGTTTTTCGCGTCATGGCGAGTGGAATCAAATCGCCGCGTGGAATTAAGGTCGAGATGATTGGTTTTATTTATTGAAGAACTTACTACGAAGCAGCCAACAATAAATATCAAGAAAACGCTTCGGAAACATTATTGACCCTAATTCTTTTGTGTTCGTTGAGCGCTCTATGAACTTCTTTTGTCGCAGTAAGAATCGTACATTTTCCATATCTAAATACTGTGCTGTGTGTGCTTCTTCGCGCGTATCATGTATTCATGTATCAATGGTTAAGTACCATCGGGGCATCGAATCGGCCTAAAATACATGATCGTAGTATGCATTTCGGTTTTCGAAATCGAATTTCGGTATTCCATTTCTTGATGTAATAATCGTTGGCTTTTGTAGTGCTGAACGAATTTTCTTTCAACCTGAATGCTCAGAACGATCATCGTGCTGATTTTTTATGTTCTTTATGATTTAATTACCGGGTGCTTCATTCAGCACTTTATTTGACGATTGTTTGAATCCTTAACAAGCAAGTTTTTTAATTAGTGAGCGATAGTTCGTGTTCTACGCGCGGCTAACGGGACTTCTTCTTACGTCTTTTTCTACTAACTTCCTTGGGACAGCAGTCTAGGGCCGACTCTAGGCCCTATGCTATCGAAAAAATATTTAAAATTTTTTGTTTTTAAGTATATTTTGAATAAGATAAAAGTAAAACATACGCGTACGGTATCAGCAGATAAGTCTGTATTAACATTGGTGTCCGCATTGGTACATGTGACTCTGATAACACCGCTGACCTACTCCAGCTAACAAATAAGGAAGGCAGTTAGAGTGTATCTACATTATTTACATAGTACTAGCATCGTAATAAAGTTTTTTGTTTTGTAAACTTTTCCGAAATCGGTCTGTTGCTTTTTAAAAATTGAAATATCGGTAATTTAAAGGTATACAGAGACACAGCATACTTCTGTAAATTTTGTACTGTAGCCACGTAGAATAGAATGATTGTTTACTGTTGGATTTCTCTGGTCACTGAAAAGTTAAAACCTGTTGTAAAATTGCGGGGTTCCTTTAAACTGGGCACAGTTAGAACAACGAATCTAGGCAGGCATATAGTATAATATTTGTCGGTGGCTTATCGATTTCATTGTGGTGTTTATAGATTATTCAAACAAAAACCTCCTCCTCGTCGGCCTCATCGACGTATAATGGGTCATCACGGCGCAATTCTGGTATGGACCAGTGGGAGGGCCTGCCACCCCCACTGCGGCGAGATAGCAGTTACGCGAGTATTCATGTACAACCAGCTGCTCACGTTGCACCCGCCAACAAAACCACGGAGTGTCATGTCATTCGGATGGAGGATATTAGGCTGGGTCAGCTAATCTCTTCCGGCAATACGGCCAAACTTTACCAGGGATTCTGGACCAATAACCAAAACCTTTCTGTATGTATCTGCAATGGTCCACAAACCAATATCAGAAATTATGAACTTGATTAAGAGACAGTGATGCTAAATTTAATAATTCAGTCGGCAGTATACGTTACACACTCTTTAAGAAGATTAATCTTTTCATCATTAATTTTTAAAGGAGTCTGTTTAGTAGCAACTTTTGCAAAAAACCGTTCGAACTGTGCGATCTGTAAAAAACAGTTTAATTAACAAACCGCGCAGCGTGGTGGCGGTATTGGTAGTTCGATCTAAACGGAAATTTGTTTTCTGAAGTGTCACGTATTTTTTCTTGTCGTGCTTGTTAAAATTAGTAATACCTCGTCTGAAACGCCAAACGGAAACTTCTTAAATGCATCCAAGGCAGCGCGTATGGTTTGTGTCCGTCCATTTTGCGGTGTAATCTCCGATTGCATAATTGGTAAATGTTAAAACTTTCTGGTGTCATAATCATGTCCTTCGAGAAATGGCAAAAAGTCATAAAGTATGGTAGTGATATACCTTCGCCGTGCGTTCGCTGCTGGTGCGACAGCTGTAAAGAGGTAGTGGGGCGCGGCGATGGTCATTGTCGGATACATGGCATCTTAACGTGCGTGCTGTGCTGAGTCAAGCGGAACTGGTTTGTTTACCATCATGTACTTTATTGTTGTTTTCTATGTTACAGGTGCCTTGTTGCATCAAGTGTTTAAACAAGGACCGTCTCCGCTGCAGTCCTTCACAGTTCCTCAAAGAGGCGGCCACTCTGTGCGCTCTTGACCATGAGCGTATTGTCAGAGTATACGGAGTTGTGGTGGTTCCCGAAAGTGCCGAGTCGTCATTGTGGCTGGTGAGAACCGTGATTAGTTGGTGATTTGCGGTTTTAGCGAAATCCGTATTAGCGATCGGTATTTTTTTGTCAGTGCGGGGGTTGGCATGTGATTATACCTTCTTTTCGCTGGTTTGTAATTGCATTTTCTGACCATGAAAATCAAAAATATATTTAAATTATTTTTTACGTAACATCATCAGACGAATTATTCAGCCAAAGCAAAGTACTTACAGTATAATTTTCTATAACTAAACTTCCCGTGAGAAAGTGTAACACCATTAGCAAAATAATGAATAGCATTATCAGGACTTGTCCATATCTTCGGTCATTGCATTGTGGTCGTTTCTTCTCTACCGATTTTAATTTATTTTTAATAAACTGTTCATTTGCTTTCTTTCGATTAATATTCAGTTTGGATAGAAATTTCTTTTGAATAACACTTTTTTAACGTCGACTTGTGGCTAGATTTATAAAAATATGCAACTTGATGTTAACTACGCTGGGTGAATTTTATCTTGCTAGACACGAGTATATAATTAATTTTCATATATAGGATTCTTATGATTTCTTCATTTGTTTGAAAGCCGATTTCTTTTCTCCATCGAGCTAAAATAGCTGTGTTGCACAAATTCTTTTTATTAGAACCTATCGTTCGAGGTTATTGCCGAGCTGTGGTCATCAATCAAGGCATTATTATTTTATTGATAGATGACCTGAATAGTATAGAGTTGAACTGTGAATGCTTGCGCACGTTGAGTGTGGATATTCGAAATTTTTTCTGTAATTACAGGCGACAGAGTTGGCCCCAAATCGCTCATTATGGGAATGCCTTAATGAGCCCTTGCTCAAATCCAGTTTATCAGTCATGACACTTTGTGATATTGCACTGCAAATATGTGACGGAATGAAATATTTGGAGACGAAGCGAATAACCCATCGTAACCTCTGTGCACGGTGCGTGTTACCCTGAACTACTCGCGATAGCGTGCGTCGTGCGATAATGATAATGTTTATTTTTGGCTTGTTTTTGTTACAGAAAAGTTCTGGTTTTTGCCAAGATGAAGGTCTGCACCGTGAGATTTGCTGTTGGAATATTTCTGTCGTCATTGTTTTCACAATCCATCTGTTGTTATTGAAGGTGAAAATCAGTGACGCCGGCCTGAACGAAGCCCTTAATTGTCCGGATGGCAGTAAGTCCGACGGCTTGGTCAGAGATTCACGGATCGCTGCGTGGTATGTTTCTCTGGCGTGTTTTCTTGTAATGCTGCAATGCCTTGAAAACTTGTATTACAAAGCAAATTAAAACAGAATTACTGGGTGATTAAATTTATTGCTTTACAGACGCTGAAAAATTTTAATCTAGTAATGAAAAGTGTTGTTTTATAGAATTAGGCCATGACTTTGTTTGAACCACAATCAAACATTTGCACTAATCGGATTGAACTGCACATAATGATAAAACGAATTTAGTAATACAATTTCCATATCAGGTTATTCATTTGTATGCAGGAATGCGCCGGAATGTTTTGAGAACAATCGATTTTCCTCCAGCAGCGACGTGTGGGCCTTTAGCGTGACATTATGGGAAATGTTTTCTATGGGTCAGCAGCCATGGCTGGGCTATTCAAGTCAGCAGGTAGATAATACAGAATTATCATACGGGAGTATGAGATCTGCATGGGCATACTAAGCGCTGTTTTTCTCGTTTAGATCCAGGAAACAATTGGGTCACCGAATTGCCGGCGACTCGAACAGCCTGAATTGTGCCCGAAAGACTACTACCGAACCATGCTGCGCTGCTGGAGTCATGAGGCCAGTGCACGGCCGACTTTTGCCCACTTGATGCAGATCCTCCCCGAGGTATGCGTTATGTTTGGAGTGTGTTTTTGGCTCAAGGAAATGGCCGTGAAATTCTTTAGCTTGATGGGCTATTTGTATTTGCAGTGCAAACCGGAGCAGTTGCAAGCTATCCGCGATAATATGTCCATCGCTCAACACTCCAAGTGCCGTTTGCAGTATACGATTGGCGATGTGATTGTCGTCTTGGATAATAAGTGAGCAGCAACGCGTGTACGGTGTAACTGGCTGTTCTAAGAGTTTGACTCAGCTAATGCTGTATAATTCAGCACTAAAGTGCTGGTATTGACGGATAGGAATGATCTGTGGCGGTCGTTGTTACTTTTGTCTTAACAGACAACTTCTCAGTTACTGTGTGCTGTGTTGGTTGTGCTCACTTGTTTCTTCGGTACTGATTTAGCATTTTTTTAATATGCAGTCCGGATGACGGCGAAGGAATGTGGAAGGGCATCGTTAAAAGTCGAAAACCGGGTTTGTTTGACCCATCGGATACCGTGGCTTACTTGGGGACGGATGCATTACCAGTGGCAGCAGATACGGTTACGAAACGTAAGTTGACTGGCATTTTCACGCGAAGTAAAAACACTACTTGAAAAATAACACTGGAAATTTTACCATTCAGCAAGTTTTTATCAAAGTAATGCGCAGTACTCTACGATGTGAAAATAACACATGATCGGCTCATGTCAGCGCACATAATGATGTTTTGTTTTGGTTGGAAGTGTAATATTTCACGAGTATATATATTGTAATGGTGATGGTTTGGTATTCCGTTAGTTTTACTTTGTGTAACATGCTTCGGAATTACGTGCTGTCTTCGGTTTGTAATAATGGTGACCGTTTTAGCGCGCCATCGGAAGATTCCAAACGGAAAGAATCTGTAAGTACAGAAGTCCCAGTTAGTGAAAGCTTATTCTCAAAAATGATTTCTGTTTTATTTGTTCCACCTTGTGTCGATAGTGGTTGCCCGCAATCCGCTGATATCAATTGTGCTTTTTTTAGTCAATTTTTTTCTTGCATATTGAGCTGCGGTTTTTTTTTGCTAATGCGTTATGAAATGCTTTTCGTCAGGAAAATTCGGAGGGAAATGATAAGCAGGCCACAAGCCGATTTCCGGCACACCGGCCACGTGGGAATGGATGGCGCATATTTCGGCGATGTATCCTTCCTGGGCAATGGGTTTGGTGTGTTACCATCGCTAGCTCGGTCGTGTAAGTGATATGGCTGGCCTGTAAAGTGGAGTCACATAGCTTACACAGTAAGGAAAATATTGACGACTGTAGATGAGCGGGCAGCTGACGATGAGCGGTCAATGGGCGGCTCGAGGGATACCACGCCACTCATCGCATCGCGTCTGTCGCTGACACATACGGCGGGCTCAGAAAGTAGGATGTCAAGTGATTCCTGGCACAATACCAGCTCGGAATCGCCGCGGAGTAGCTCTAGCCATAGTTCTAGCCATGCCAAGGAGAACACTTGTTTTCGGGATCCTTCGCCAGCGGTGTCGACGAGAAAGGAGGGAATTCCGCCACCGTTGACCAACGGTATCTTGAAGAACCACAAACAACAGGGCTATCAAAATGCACAGTTTGAAAAGGATGTCGTGGATGGAATGCCCAAACGCGATAGCGAGAAGCGCTTTGCTATGGCTTTGCGCCCTCAAGATGAAGTTAGTAAAGTTGAAGTTAAGATGAAATTGAAGTTAGTTGCTGTTACCCTACGGCGCCTGTTTTTTTTCAACTGCTAATGGGACAGAAACAGGATAGCTTTCCGTCGTTAAATTGGGTTGATGTTATTGCTGATTTCCTAAAGTTTTATTTTCTTCAGAAATCGTTTGACTTGGATTTCGGACCGTCACTGATGGACGAAGTGTTCCGTATGATCAACACGACGGGGCCGCTGGACTGTGACTCCAATGCGTCCGAAAGAGCGCCTCTGACGAAAGATTCGGATTCCAGCACACCGACGACACCGTCCACTCCTAAGGATTCCATTGCGAGTATAAGTCAGGTGGAACCGCCTGTTAGCTTGCCACCGGTTAAACTAGTGCAACCGGTAGCCAAAGAGCGCCAACACATCTCGCGCTCGGTCGTGACCTCCATTGTGAATACCAGTGCGTCTATGGAAAAACCTGCGATCAAACCGAAACCGTTGGTGATGGCGCGTAAAAAGTTGGACCCGATTTCCATCGTCCAGCATGAACCACCGGGGATCGCGTGTATTAAACCTGTCTCGCCGCGTGAAGAGAAGAGCCTGGAGTCCTTTATTCAAGCATCCAGTGAATTCGCCGCGAAAAGTCTAGAGAATGGGCACGGCCACAAAGTTAACTCGCCCAAGCCGAGCTCTCTGAAGAGCCGTTTCTCCTTTCGCGGATTACGTGGGACTAAAGCCGCGGAACCGCCTAGTGTTTCACTGCCCGTATCGCCCAGGACTTTCATGGATGCGAAGCCGTTAAACCAGGATATGGATAGTCAAGTATCGCCGGAAGGGAAAGAAGCGTACCGGGTGCTGGTTGATCAGGGCCAGATTGAGATCCGGTGTCCTGCACCCACTCCGATGAGTGTATGCGAAGAAGAGGAGGAGAATGAGGACGCTTCCCCATTGAAGTTGCTCAGAAGTGGAATTGGGGTGGTGCCGAAGCTGAGGGGGAACAGGAATGGGTTTAATCGCAGTTTGTCGCATGAAGCTCCTACAATGCCGTCCAGTGATTTGGTTTCCTTGCCGAGAAGTGGTAAGAATACTCACGCTGGTGCATTGATGAGACTTAACTCTGGTAGCAAGAGAAAATTAAAACGCACTGTGAACACAAGCAGAGGCGGAATGAGCGCACGTAGCATCTGTTGTGATAATGACTAATTCTGAGGTGCAACACGCAGCGTTAAATCTTACGTTCTTGGTGCTTATGCCCTTTCAACGAATTTGATAGGTTGCAGTTTTGTATCGTGTTCCCGCTGTTACAAAAACTGTTATTGTGTTTGTACATAAAAGATGTACTGCTAATACTCGTAGCCGTCAAGTGTTAAATCAGTGATGGTACTACTGACTACTACCGATCAGTAAAGGTACTGTAAATGTGATGGAAATTACTGTTCGTGAATGCAAAATGATTTTGATTATTGTGCATTAGGTATTTCGCAATCCTTTCGTCTTCCATCGAAGACCATGCCGCCCCTTCCTCCTCTGCCAACCAGAGCAGAACCGGTTTCGGCCTCTCAAAGCCCAGCCACGGCCCGCCAACTCCTGCCCCCTCCGCCGCCACCCCCTACGCTGCCCGATTGTAGTAAGCGCTCATTAGAACGGCCGCACAATCCGCCTCCCCTTCCGCCGCGGGACCGCTCAAAGCCCATTCTGGGACCGCCCGCTAAGCCGCGTGAACGGATCCACCCGCTGCTCATGCCCGATGCGGAGGACGAATGTCTCGTTAGCCAGTCGGATGGGCTAGGCCAGTCCGCTGAATACGACAGCATCCCCGCTGATCAATCCATTCCGTCTGCTCACAACCATGTGCCTAACTGTAGTGGTCCACTGGAGAATCCGCATTATCAGAATCCGCACAGTCCCGGTCTGCTGCGCGACAAATCACCCACACCGATGAAGATGCTGCCATCGGTGGTCAAGGGTGGATGCAATACCGCCTTTGAGCGGGTCTGTAATGGACACGGTGGCCGGGTTTACGCCAGGGAACAAACCTTCTGATCTACCGTGACTGAACACATGTTAAGCTTCTTTAACTGTTTGTTTCGCGGTGGGGTTTTTGTAATACTACTTGCCTGTGAATAGTTATAAGAAAAAATGCACCTTCGTTTTATTTTGAGTACGTGTTTGATTTTAGTTGTATCTATTTCTACATTTTGCTTTGTCCGATGTATCTCGGTAATTTAGGGAACTGTCCCGGTTGTCATGTTCCGAATGTGTATGCTGTGCGGTACACCTATAGGTAAAGATTGACCTTACCCTTTTCGATCGCTGATGTACTAATGCAACGAATCTCCGTTTTTCTGCACATTTTATTTGTCCAATGTTTGATTTTTGCTCTTAATTGCGCTCGCAATAAATATCGCCGTAAATTTGGTTGCTTAAAAAACTTGCTTTGCTTCGTGATTTGGCTTTACCCTCGTCTAAACGTATTGATTGCAGCTATACTGGGATCCGATTGATTGCAACTAAACTATTGCAACTGGTTCAGAATATTAGTTAACTTTTATTAATCACAGCTCGCAAAATGTCGGAATAGCCAGTTTCATGTATCTGCAGCATGGGAGAACAAAACAGCCATGTACATGATACTAAACTGATCGCCGGGATCGTTTGCTGGGAGAAGAAGAATGCACAAAAACAATCTTAACTGCACATAAAATCAAACTGAATGCAGTAATTAACACTGTACATACAGATTAGCCGTTATCTGCCGGACGCAACACCAATAAACCATTCTGTAAAACACGTATAATAATAATCTGGCCGATAATCTTCGAAACACAGATAATACTGTTGGAAAAGCTATTTGCACATCTGCCCTGTCCCCAATCCGCGAGAAATGCCATCAGCAACCCATCCAGAAACATAGGAAATAATCCAGCAAGCACATGCTGGAGATCAAAACGGGCAAATGCGTCAACGGGAGAAGCCAGCAACGAATGCGATTATGTAAGAGGCCCAACTGCAAAGGCTGATTGCCTTGGCTTAGGGCTGCACAATGGGAATAATATACACTCCCAACAGGAAGCACATCATAAGGATACGACTTCCTTCGTGCTAACGCGTAACGTGCACACACGCACACAGTGCCGTTGCCCCGGGACGAGTGTGTCTTTTCAATTCGGTCCATGTTCAATCATTTCGGCGCGTCTATTTCCAGAGGAGCGAGTGATCACTTGGCCGTGGCAATTGTGCACAGCGTTGTTGTCGCAAATTTTCTTAACCTGAATCCATCGTTTTCTCAGCATAATACACGGTGTCGGTTTCACGATCACAGCACAGCAGCAGTAGTGCGCCGAATAGGAAGACCACCGCGCCCCATCCCATCCCAAACGCCCATCCGAACTATAAAACAGATACCGTACAGGCACGCAGTTCATGTCGTATTTACAAAGAATCTCACAAACGATATCGCCAGAGTAAACAAGAAGGAAAATACAAAATATTATTACTGCTATTTACCTCAAACGTTCTTCGTCCCCATAGGCGGAATTCTAAGGCAAATTTCACTACAATAAAATCCATAATTTTAGTCATATACAGAAGTATGGAACTTATGTATAAGCACCTTATGTGTGACAGTGTGAGTATATAGATATCACTCCTGTTACCTGTATGCAGCCAAATACGGTAACCGGAAACTTACCCGCAAATAAAACCAATCCCGCTACGCAGCATATCACTGCAACAAAAAAATGCATAGGTGTTAAAAAGGGCAGTTAACAGGCTATATATACGATACATGTAAATTATATAATTGCACCCATAACATTTACAATTAATAGAACCCAAATACACTATACCACTGCAGGTACTTCTGATATTATCGGTGAACAACTATCAATCACCAGTTAAAAATCACCAGTTAAATTAAAAATCACCAGTTAAATTAACTTTATCAATCACCAGTTAAAAATTCCACTATCTCTCTGGAAGAAAATTTCAAAACAAAAATAATTCAAACCCTTTTTCAAATTTTTTTCGAATAATAAGCTACTGGGTCAGCATTCATCTACACTGCATATACAGTGCTGGGAAGAGTGACAGTAACGTTGATGACATTAGACAAACGTAGGTATTTTCGAATGTCACGCTATCCCACTTGGTAATTGATACTGCCTAATTTTGAAAGTTCAAAGAACCCTTGTGAAAACATTGCAAAGGGAGCAGGTTTACACACAAAAATAATTGGACTGGCGGAAATTCACTTCGCAAAGAGCGCTATCGAAGTTTTGCAAACGTTTGCCGAAAAGGTTTTGTTCTTTCAACATGGCGTTACAAACTACCACAGTCGTTAAACTCAGTGATTTTCACCAGTCGGCTTCGATCACATATTTAATATTCTATAATGTACAATAATTATGAAGACAATTTAAATAAAACAATGCCACGGAGAAAAAATTTTCAGAATACACATATACTCAAATTTTTCTATGCACTTGTTATGTCCTCGGCACAAACGTCTTCGGGTGGTTAATCTTCGACGCAAAGAATCCAAAAAATCTTGCAAACTGTGTTAAATAGGTATCACGACTATCTATATAATTATAATGTGATGATTAAGTAAAGAGTATAGTAATATTGTGTCCTCAATCTGTATCAAATTTCTCCAAATCACTCGCTGCCACCCACACCCTTCAATACAGTACAGCAGCCTATCTAAACACTTACGCGCAAAGAAAAAGCAAATTTTAGCCGATCGATACAGGGTTATTTTTCGGCCAATCTTTTTGGTGCAGAGTGCCACCGCAAGCAGGAATGTGGCTACAAAATCCCAGACTATTGTAATCGCGCATAATATTCCGGTAGCCAGCATGTAATCTACAAATAATCAGCACAAGTAAATTTTACTGAAGTCGAGCAGCATTCCATCCGCCAAACAAACCATATCGAATGCCGAAATCGGCTTTTTTCCAATGCTATAGCATACGGCATTCATATGGATTATTCGCATTGAAAATAAATGACATTAATACCGGGCTGAAACAGTACGAATAAAATTCGGAACAAAACGCCGATTCACATTGGCATTGAATAATTTAATTTTAAATTTTTAGTTCTAATAATTTTATTTAATTTCGTAAGTCTTTCATACCTCGGTTGGGCGAAGTGTAACAGCCAATGGTTTCCGGTATTCCAGGCGGAAGTGGACTTTCGTATTTCTCCTGTACACAGTAATACCACAGTCCCTGATGAAATCCCTCGGAATCCAGCCAGGTGCTGGCCGCCACACAAATAATCATCAGCACCAACACTGACAGTCCACAGATGAATGCCACCACCTTGGGGAAACAACAAAAAGCTCGTCGTGTCACGATCAGCGCCATCTTACTGACAGTTCTGCTTGTTAACAAATATCATCAGGAAAAATGCAACTGTTCTGCTCAGTAGTTGGCTTTCAGCGCTATACAATTTTCCAAACCGTTCAAGTGCACACTTATAAACGCGGTCTGTGTAAGAATGATAAAATACTTATTTGCACTATATGCGATTGTACTTTCTCTCCCACTACGTTAGCTTATCAACTCAAATCCAAAATCATTCGATTGTTGGTATTTGTTGCTAGCAGAATCTTCGGCTGTCGCATCCCTGGTTGGAAGTTCAATGAAGACGGCTATCGTATTGTACCATCGGTACAAGATGTACGCGTATTTCATAGCGCTTTACCAACACAGCACACGTGAGTCATGTACGGTTTAATACTCTATGTATGTCCACTGGCGCAGGAAATGCAGAGATGCATTTCTCCCCGATCCAGACGAAGCGCACCATCCGGATCGTGACATTCATGAACAAAATCGTATAAAAATTAAATTTCTAGTCTATTTCGGTCTTTCTATAGATATAACTATCTAAAAATAAACACGATGTATTTGTTAATCCAGTATCAATACAACTATCAAGTACCGTATCCAGAATGTGAAAGTGTTTTAAATCTGCCGGCAAATCGGAAAGAGCAGAAGTGGGCCAGAATAATAATTATTATGTAATGGTCACCCCCGTCACCGATAAATTCCTTTAACGACAAATAAATAAAGATCTGACCTTGTAATCAATTTCAAAATAATTTGTATATGAGGTACAGTACGTGCAATGAATGGGCACATGGTCAAGATCTCCCATGCCAGCTGTCAACTCACAATGTAAGTACAATATATTACATGTATAACAAATAATTTTTATCTGTTAAAAAGATTATAATTAAGCTTTGCTTCATTAAACAGGTACAATCTCACGCAGCTTTCTTTAGAGAAATTCTATCGCACTATAGTTCTAAATAGGTGAAACTGAGTATTTAATAATATACTATACTGTAGTAGCAGAAAATTATGCATACGTGACTATCTGTAATGCGCGAAAGCGGCAGAATATGATAGTTATTTATTTATATCAATCATAATATTACGTTATACTCGTACTATCGTACATACGTAGCGCACTGAGATGGTGACATGATCAGCGGCGTGCATTGTCGAAATGGATAAACGTTGTTACATTAGCGGCATTTCGCACACGGTTTGACTAGGTATAAATTCTTATCCTTAAAATTATCCGGAAACCGGTATCTGGAAACTGGTGCAGGGGTCATAATTAGCATGCAGAGGCACTAGCATCAAGATATAGGGTCGGACGAAGAGAAACAGTGTGAAGCTGTGTCTGACACGATGGGAATAAAGTAAAGTAGGTAACACAACATCCTGCATTCACACAACATCCCGTATTTTACAGGAGCAATAGTTCCCGGACTTTTGCTGAACAGTTATTAAACTGCGATTAAACAAACTTGAGGCTCTAAACCATTTTCCAAGAGATGTTGCAAAGCCTAACTGAACAATATTTTCAAACGAGAGCCTGGACTCAAGGGTATCGTCAGGATGTATCGTCCAAAGTTTGACCGGATGATCGATTTCCTAATTCTTAACAGCATCATTATTGTGTCCATCCGAGAGCATTCAAACACCACTGCTTCCCGTCGAGCAGCCAGATGACACGCCGGGAAAATTATTGACCATTCACCAGTGCGCACACTTTTACCGCACTCCCTTCTTTCTGTGCGGCGTCCAAAATTAAAATGGACTTTAGTCACTTAGCTCTCGTCTAAAGCACTCGAAGAGCTCAATTTATTTTCCATTTGTAAAATTTGTTGCATATGTTAATTCCAATGTTCACGTCTGTGCAATACGCGATATAAGCGCATATTTATCGGTACTCTATACGGTGAATTCTTTGCACTTACCCATAAAATCTTTTTTGAACTAGTACACGGTAATAATATTATTGTAATATTTGTAGTTTTTTTAGAGAAGAAAAATTAAAAAACCGTTTGTTTTGTATTTCTTCTTCCACACAGGATATTAATAGTAATGCCACAGTTACTGTTCGGAAGATCTTCGATCCATTCCTCTGGCGAAATTTCAGAAAAAGTTTCAGATGACACTCGTAATTAATTTGCAAAACCAGAAGACCAGAACGAGATCAACATGAACGGAACCCTACGTCGCTGGCATCAAAGACCGTCGACCGACGTCTGCTTGCGAATGAAACACAATACAGCGTATTTGTGACCGATCGTCACGTTAGAAATCGGGAATGACGGGAGCACGTGCATGCCAATCGGTGATGATCAGTCCTCATTTCACGCTGAATACGATGCGCGATGGAGCAAACGGGACCGCGACTGACCACTAAATGCCGCACTGCCATACGCGAATCGATGCCGACAATGCGGTTGGATCGAACATCAGTGTGCTGCGCCGACCACTTACGGCCATAATCACATCTCCCTCGCAAACTGAGCATGACCGGAAATGGGGTCATTTTTCTCAGCTGCAGGCGATCAGACCCAGGTCACTTCCACAATATTCCCCGATAGTTTACGCTGTGGCTGCAGAATAATGGATTACTATTGCGAATGTTGCTGAAGACCACAGGCCCACTGCCGGAACACGTAAACCAAACTCTTAATCAACTGCATATGTGCATGCTCGCTAACAATGGCTGGCACTGAGCGGTACCATGGTCAGCATGCACTGCAACGTACCAGTATCTACTATCTGCCTAAAGCAAAATCTACGATCCCTTTTGGAAAATTACAACATGCAAAAATCAAGCAGTAAAATCATTAAACTAATTCATTGAAATCATTAATTTTAAAGCGATCGACCACAAGATATACTGCACATGACTAACACTTAACAGATCACCAGTAGTTCTCTATTTGCACAAATCTAGAAGCGTATTTTGTACAAAAAAAGAGCCCCCGTTACTATACCAAATCAAACCTAAATTTACTTTTCCAGTAAATTTTACCACATGGATTTTGTCCATATAGTATAAAAAAGTAGCCAGCCCGCTGACTCCGAATGCAAACAAATTAATGTAACTAGCAGGACGCCGAGATGTTGTATTAAAATTTAACACTACATATTAAAAGTCGTCGCATTGAAATTTTACTGTGTTCCAATCCCATTGTTACCTTTGTGGGCGTAATATCATATCAATATTCAGAAATTTATGAAGCGCATTTAATTAACTACGGAGGGTATGCAGCTGCACACTGCTTGTTCATGTGCGGCAAATTTTTAGTCAGCAAAAAAATGCATACGTGCCGCGCGGTTTACCTTTAGTGGTCGGATGACCACAACCTCCCGGGTTTCCTCTTGAGACGATGAGATGGTAGTTGTAGAGGTTGACATTTCCGCTATCAGGTCACGTAACACGATTTTGACGGAGGCGTACAGTTTACGGAATTGGTGAGCAAGGTGGTCCTATAAATTGATCAACGCAATTACATGCAAGAAGAATAAGTACTGTAAACGAAAAGTTATGATTATGTAAACGGGGTCAAAATATCAGTTAATACAGAACGATTGCTTTAAATAGTAAAAATTAGCAATAATCTTTTTCTCGAAATTTTAACAGAGACTTTAAAAATCGTTGTGCAGATACGAGTGTACAGCTGTCGTCCTTCATAAGCTGCACATAATAGCTTAAAGTAACTATGTTTATATTTTTTATTGTATCATTCGTATATAAACTTTGTTCTGAAGCAGAATACCGGTAGCTACAAAATCAACCTGTTTCAGGGGCTACCAAACATTTTGCCTTAAAAACTAAACCGCAATGTGGTTTTTCTGCTTTCGACACTGCAGTCCTAAATTCAGGCAAATCAAAATTTCGAAAATTGCTCGCTTACAGCTACATTTACCGTAGCACTTGTCTTTAATTGTAAGATATGTGTGTAAATCAATATGTATGTGAATTATTTTACAGGCCCGCGGAATCGCTATGGTCTGTGGATAACTAATTATATAAATTTATCGTAATTAGCGATACACGGAGAACAAATCGTGGAACCTTAATACCAAATTTTCCGTTACATTAATTTGCCCAATTATGGAAGCATCCATTCGAGCTATTTTCATATTACACACTACTCGTTATATAATTAGTGATATGCAGTTTAAAAGACGAATACTCTGCAGATTACCATACATTATATATGTTAGTCAAATATGGTACTTACCATTTTAAATTTTATTAAATTGCTACTATCCAACAAACCAGATAAACACGTGTTGCGGCAAAAAAAAAGGAAAAAATGGCAACTTAACTGAATTATTCGCACATGGCACGCAATCAATCTACTCTAGAGTGCATTCAAGTATTTTATCACGTGGTAGATAACACCACTCATTTAGAACGCACCAGACCACACCATACACCAGGTTGTTTGTATACTTGTTGGAAATTTCTATTATTCAAAAACAGTCAACTCGTATGGTAACTTACCACAAACCTCGCTCGAGAAAGGCTGCAAAATTATTACATCAAACTCTCCTCGTAAGTCGTAACCTTCCTCTTCGAGATCTTCTTGGCTTCCAAAAAATTGCAATATCTCAACAACGGCATTTTCTGCCTGTAGAGTTTTGCGAACAGTAGTCGAGATACAGACTAGTGCATAAACGGAGATTTTGTATGCTTTGAAAGGTATATTAGTACTCCAGTATTAAACTACTGTACCGGCACATTCACAAACAGTTTTCGGGACTTCTATGAATAACCGTGACCGATGCTGTTATACAAATTAAGATCCAAGATAAAAAAGCAGAATACAACTATACGGTTGTTCGGGTCTTCGGAAACGGTGAAATTATGGCAGATCACTTACCACGCAAATCTTCAACAAATGCAGCAAGAAAGGGTACAAAATATACGATTACGGATTACGGACGATGATTTATGATCGAGGTTGGACTCTCCATGTTCCCATACAGTGCACGTGTCCAGTTTCTGCCAACGGTATCGACAGCAGCGTTCATACCAAGGGTTTTATTTCTAATCAGGAATATATTTTTACAACAAGAAAGTCATGCTGTCGGACTGACAGCAGCTGCAAATGTGCAATGTTTTGGACTCACAAAGTCAGCGTGACAAGGGAATTTTTAGTTAGTCCTTTCGGCAAACGGCCGGCCGCAGCGTGAGTGGGCACCAGCAGCGGCGGCCTACGTCTGGGTCACTGATCGACTTTTCGACAAAGATGCGATTCCGAAAATAAACGTTGACGTTATACTTGGTTAGCTATGCGCATAAATTACTAACAACTGCTTGTAACCGCATCACGCTGCCAACCATTTGCTTGATAAATGTCACAGCTTGAAAATACACGGTATTCATTTAAGCAGTTCGTTACACAGAGGCTGATAATTATTTATAAGTACTGCTGCAGCTGGGTGTTAAGTTACAAATTATTGTCAAGCTGATCCATCTATTACGATTCACGTACCGCACGTATGCCAGCGGAGACGATCAAAACGAAAATTGTTCTTACTTAAACAATCAAAACTAAAACACATCTTTTTGTACAATTTTCCGTCCCTGATCGCTACAGGGAGTCTACGGTAAATGTTCGTGCAGATTGAAAATCTCTTTGCAAAACTTTACTTCTCTGGGTAAAGGTCATAAACAATTAACTTTCAAGCCGAACTGGAGATTGGTCTAGCAGCGGAACGCGTTCATGATTTGCGCTAATATTGTCGGCTCAGCTATAATTTTCTGTGTACTTATTTAATTTACTATACATGTATCACTTTGTTAGCTACGCACAGGACCTTAGTACTTTGCCACACATTTTACAACATTTTTTCTCAACAATACATGTACTCATTGTCAGTACTGTATGTGAACGTCAGGGTGCTACACTGCAATAAAGTCTGTAATGAATCAGTTCGAGGATTTTCTACCAATTAAATGGGACGTTCTACATGCTAAAAACAAAACTTTTATAAAAATTTTAGATATTCCCAACATCAGCTAACAAAATTGTCATTGAATAGGTGAAATACTGCATAATTAGCATGACAGGGATTGACTGTTATTCTATTTATAACTGGGAGTCTGGCATCAATACAAACATAATATTACTAAATACAGTATTTACTATTTAGTAATATGATGATACAAATTAACCTTCAGTACGAGTACTTAAGTATATTCGCTCGAAGACCTCCCGCGCGCGGTAGTATGCGTGTCCACTTTCCATTCCAGTATTCTCGTTTTTTTGCGTTGACTATAACGTGCCGCAATCGGCTTGAAAGACTGGACGATGCTAACTTTAAGCGTAAGGTTCGGGAAGTCCTTCATGCCGATTCAATGCGCCGGGCCAACCGGCTAATGGTTCGAGGTTGTAAAGGATTAGCGAGCATTTTATCGCTTAATTCGGATGCTGGTCCATACGCAAGTAAAGCAACCTTATCCGGCTGCAGCTGGATTTTTATCAGAACGAAATCCGTGGGTTTTGCGTGCACCTATACAGTTTGCATGGACATTCGGTTATCAAATTTTTTAGAGCAAAGTTTTTTTTCAAAACTCTCAAATTTTTTAGAGCAAAGTGATTAATATCAACATTCTTTCGTGTAATCAAAAGTTTAACGGCTTCCAAAGCCGAGTTTAGCTAGCTTTGTGCTTTTCATGACCTCCGCGGTTTGCGCAACGCATCTCGCACCAAAGCCGAAACTGCTGCAGCTGATGGGCACGGCACCGTACCCGTACCGCATCTGCCGAGACCGTACATGGTGATGCATGGCTGCACAGGCGCACTAACTCCCAAGCCATGTCCATCTTTCGTACAATCTATAGAAGTATCGCTGTAATGAAATAGTTGACCTTTCGCCGTTTTTAGCACAGGTCGCACGCTTCAGAACAAGCATTACCTATGTAGCTAGATGCTGCAAAAACTCACTTCTCAGCTGCCTAGACTACCATTTTCACAGTTGTCTACTAGTAGTCGGTGGTTGGAAAGTGCAACAGAAGATAATAAATACAACGGTTTTTATGTCCGAACATGCGTACCAGCAATACTTTGACCTTCCGAATTCAGTAACTGCCAGATCCGGCGTCTGTGGCACTGAAGGAAGGACTGGCTGAACTACAGCGCAAAGCACTGCGAGCCATGACTGGATACAAAGGCCCATTCAGGCGACCTTGTACCAGGAACTGGGAATCATTCCCATCCTCCAACGATGGAAGCAGAGCGAAGCGGTGTGGCTTTTCAAGATCTGGAACAAAAACAAGTTTCCTGTGCCAGATTTCCTGTGCCAGATTATCTGTACCGAGTCCCGACTCGTGAATTTCCGGGATATTAGACAACACTACAACCTGTGGATTGGTAGCCGTGTGGATACAAAAGCGAAGGAGAAGATCGGGGAGTCCACTTTCGCTGTACGGCTGAAGCAACTGCTTGAACACGTGCAGACAGTTAATGCGGAAATTTTGAACTCGGAACTGTTGGGTTTTTTAAGTGTGCTTTAAAGGTGTTGGACTACGAAGTGCGGTCGGATAGCTAGCTTGTTTTAATCTTTTTCTTGTTTCTCTTTATATCTGTTTTCGACCAGACAGAGCAATGTCATTTTAACACCTCTAATGTCATTGCCAGCGTCCCATGCACGGGTTGTCTGCTCCAGGAAGATAATAATTAAATAATAATCGCACCAGCCGCGCTCAGTTGAAGCCGGCCGCGCTCAGTTGAAGCGCGAAAATTCCGAAAAGATCGTTGAGTGTCCCTGCGCATGCATCTATTGTAAATGTTCAACGGCACGGCACTGAACATCTCTGCATTAATTTTTTGAATCCACTCAAAAACGTTCTTTAACCGCATAGCAAGCGTGCTTTATCCGAGTTTCTGTTTCCTCTGGCCTGGATTCGTTTCGGCTTCCGGAGATTGTTTGCAGCGCGAAGCGCGAGGTGCTGCAATAAGTCTTCGTCAAGAGCATAAAATTTATCTGACGCCACGAAGAGCGTACGTCACGCTTTTCTCATTCCACAACCCAATACCATTTCCCAGTGGTATTGGCGCTCGCGCTCGTGCAATAATGTGGTTCGCAACCACCGCTAGTACTGTGATCATAGGTCCTTGAAGTCGATTATTTCAATGATTCAATGATTCTGTTACGACCGTGGTGTTGACAAGTGGACGGTGGCTATCGTGACTTTGATTAATTGTCTATGTGCATGGTTTGCATCCTCGTTAGTACGAGTATTATTATGACCATATCTGTGTAAGATATTTATGTTGAGACATATCATATCATATCTGTGCTGAGACATTTATGTCTTTATCGTATTGCTCCTTATCTGTGTAAGATCGGTGACTGATGGTCAAGCGGGGATAATGAGGAGGCAGGATGAACGTGGCCTGCAGATGTAGTTAATGTGAAATGTAGTGATGGGATTGGTGCGTGTGTTTTATAGCTTTGTGGCTGTATGCGAATATGAGCGTGTTATGCGAGTATGCATATTGATGTGAGATATAAGTTGATGCAACTGTGAGGAGACGGCACAGTTGTCGGGAGTGCAGCTGTCATGGTGGAAATAAAAGTAACTGTTAATCTTTTTCCCTTAGTGTACGTTACGGTGGTAAACGTAGTACATTAAGGGTTTTATCAATTCAATGATTCAATCAGTTACGACGGAGGTTTGTACGTTGCATGGTTGTAGATCTTGTATAATGAGACGGCTTCCGATTGTTCCCAACGGTCAAATGGCGGCAGGATGCGCAATTGCTGATACAGCTCGGGGTTACCCACTCCCTGTAATTAGTAATGGCCTGCAGCGCTTTCCGTTGGGCTCTGGTCAGCTTGTCGCGCAGAGTCGAAGATCCTGGTGACCACATATCCGACCCGTAGTCGAAATGTGGTTGCACGCAGGCGTGATAAAGACTCCTACGCTGTGACATGTCCAGGTCTTCCTTCGCTGCCTTTGTCATTGCGACGCCGTATTAAATTCACTTTCCGCAGTGCATAGTCAAAATGTTCGTCCCACCTTAGCTGCTACATACATCGACAGCACCGCTGTTCCAACCAGATTCGCCGCGGAATGTGTCCAAAACGCATGCTTGGCTGACTCTTTTCGAAGCATAAACTGCACGTAACTTCGTCCCGGCCACATTTTGAAGAGTTCAGTTTTCCAACAAGGAACGTTAACGCCCGTGTTTCATGAGCGCTTTCCTGGACCGGACACGACCGGAAAACATGACAAAAGTGTTTTTGGTACAGTCTAGATCTGTTACAACTGTTATTTGTAGGATAAAACTTTTACGTCTCTACTCTCTTAACAAGCATCTAACAGTTAATGGGCAGCGAAATTTAAGTAATATGTTTAAAAACTGTAAGATCATTAACGAAGCTTACGGATTCCCATTTCTCCGGTCCGTTCCATCCACGATGCATGCACGTCCATTCTCCATTGGCAGTGAAAAGGTCTCTTCTCACGATCAATATAATTATTAGTTCTTACAAATAGTACTTACAAATAGATTCATTCCGCTTCCGGACTCGTGTCGCTGCTGCTTCCCAATCACGCGGCCGTGGACGCCACTAACGCAAAGGAATTGTGGAAAGTAAAAAGTGGTCAGGCAGAACTCCCGGAATCCATCTACTTGAAGTCGCAGCGCGCATGGGATGTACCGCTCTGCAACATGTCGCTGTCGACACTGCTGGAACTCTTCCGGGACGATGAAATCAACCGAGCCCGCCTCCTTGCCCAGTCGAAACCGGAAGCAGGTATCTGGCTAAATGCTTTGCCGTCGGCGCACATCGGAAATCTCTTAGATGACGACACCCTCAAGATATCGGCCGGACTCAGGCTGGGCGTAGTCATATGTGAAGCACACGCATGTGCCAAATGCCGCAAGCCTGTAGATGTATACGGCCACCATGGACTGTCATGCTCGTTTTCGGCCGGGAGACATGCACGGCACGGTGCTTTGAACAGCATTGTGTGCCGATCATTGGTTTCGGCGGGCATTCCAGCAAAACTAGAACCTCGTGGCACATCCCATACGTCCGTCGCCCAGACGGATGCACGACCTTTGCCTGGAAACGTGGTATGTGTCTGGCATGGGATGTCACCTGCGTCGACACTGTCGCCTCGTCCCATATCAAGTCCACTTCCTCAGCTGCCGGATCCGCCGCGGCCCAAGCCGAACAAGAAAGCCAGACTCTATGCGTACCTTGGTAGATACATTTTTAGCACTAGCCTTTGAAACCTTCGGGCCCTGGGAAAATCGGCATCTGCTTTAATAAAGGAAATCGGCAAGCGGCTACAGCAACACCGGGGAACCTCGCTCACACGAATTTCATCGTCGAATATGCAGCGTCGATCCGAAATACAGTACAACGAGGCAACGCGGCTGCCGTGCTGGGGACGATGGAAGGAGATAAATTAAAAGAAATTTTGTTATTGTAATTCTCTATTTGTTGCCAATTCATGTATTCTAACTGGCTTGTGCTAATAAAAATATAATAGTACTCAATATATTAGTACTGATAGTACTTACTACTGTACTCGTATTAATAGATCCAATACCGTGCTATACCTGCACTTCGTGCCAAGCGGCTCAACAACAGCGACACAAGATCGAGTCGAGTATGACGGCGAGTCGAGTTTTGCTGACTTGCGGACTAAAATGAATGGGAAAGAGCATAAAGGCAAGCAACAAGTTTTTATTCGAGAAAGAAAATTATTCTATACTTAACATCGGAGTGAGACATCGCTTATTTTTTATCCCAAAAGTGAGATCTTGTCAGTTGTACGCGTTTGCCAGAACTATATTTATTCTGACACATTTGTTTTCTCTTAATCGCAGCTGTTAGTCAGCGCTTGAGCAATTTGGCATTACTTCCATTCTTGACTCCATGAACAACATTTTCCTTTTTGTTACTGTATAATCCTGTAACAGTGTACTGGTGTTAGTTGGGGACGATGTGAGAAGGAGGGAACTGGAACATCCCCAATGCGAGCCTGACCGTGGGGATTATGTTCGTACGCAGGGGGATTTCAGTAAGCGAATGATCGTTTCAGAAATGATGAACATACAGTCGTATTTCCAAAACATTTCTACACCTGCTGTACGGAGATTGCGGCCTTTGGGATGGAAGCAGGGTGACGAAGAAGATAAATGGGCCGAAAAAGCGATCGAATCGCTGGTAAAGAAGCTCAAGAAACGGCGAGGAGCAATCGAGGATCTCGAAAAGGCACTCACTCATCCAGATGAGCCGTCGAATTGTGTGACAATCCCTCGCAGTCTTGACGGTCGCCTGCAGGTCTCCCACAGGAAAGGACTACCTCATGTACGTTCGTATCTATATTATCATTACACACATTGCCATAATACCATTATATTCGCTGAGTGCGCAGGACAGTGTAATGTATTGTATTAATCAATTAATGCAAAATATCGTTGTTCCAGGTTATCTACTGTCGTGTGTGGCGATGGCCTGATTTACAGAATCATCATGAATTAAAGCCCAAGAATTGTTGCAACTACCCGTACGATGCGAAATCGAGCAGAGATGTCTGTATCAATCCCTACCACTACGACCGAGTGGAAACTCCTGGTAAGAGGAAAATCAGAAGTGATTCATATTTGCCTTGTAGTTTTGTTTTAATGATAGATGAGACTGCGTTGTTATTTGGATTTGGGGTTGTATTTTTGCTTTTCAGTTGGCTTTCAGCGGATTTTTAAGAATAAAATTCTGATTATTTTAAAAATTATGCATCTGACATAATTATGAGTCGGGATTAGTTTAATCCCGGATTAACGAATTTCAGCTTCCAGGTTAGGTTTTTTAATAGACTTGAAACGGTTGTGAGGTTGAGGGGCAGTAATATGGCAGATTTGTAACACTTATAATCTTATTGACCACTGCTACGCATCACGGAATTATTAAGTGCTGGTATCATTCTGTAGTTGTTTTCCACAGCTTTCCGGGTGGTAATCAGATGGAATGCTTGCTAGCATGACCAATTTGCGTTATATTAAGTCATGCGAGAGATTCTTCAGCTGAAAGCTCTTACAGCTGAGATTGGCAGAATCCGGGTCAGATGGCTTATTATTTTTAAAAAATGCCGCACGATGACAATTCAGTGTATGCTGAAGCATGGCAAAGTTTAGATGCTGGCTCGCGGATATCGCTGGTACCGAAATCGCTTTGATATTTGTTTTGTGAGGTCGGTCAGAAATAAGCAACGCTACGATGTGGTATGTGAAAAAGCCTACAGAAGAGAAATATTGCATGAAGAGGAATTAGATAAACAAGTTAGCGGCAGATTAGATATCCTTAACTGCATTGTTGGAGCGGTGATTCATCGTTAATTCACGACCGCACCTTTCATTATCCTTTTGTAAGTTTGCTTTGACGAAATTGTTTTCGAATATTCATGCGGTATATTTATCTGAAGAGGCACACGTGATTTGAATAATAGAAACAAGCCGAAAAGGGGAGATTCGTGTTATCAGGCTTTACTTTACAGTTCAAGTCCCCATTTATATGGAGGGCTAACAAGTTGACTAGGTTGATGCCAACAATTATATCTATATTCTAGTAATTATATACTTGCTTATTTTTTTATTATTTTGTATACTTATTATTATTTTTATGAGTACCTAAGTACTTTTGGATATGAATATGTAAATAAGAGTATTAAGTATCCGCCTGACAAGTTGAAGTTTCTAAATTGAAATCATGAAATAAAGTAAAGCATTGCATATGGGGATGCTACTGAAGTTTCTAAATTGAAATCATGAAATAAAGTAAAGCATTGCATATGGGGATGCTACTAAAGTGGATAAGTTTCATGTGTAGAAAACTATTATCAGGATGGTTCATACATCAAGTATTTGTACCGTGTGAAATTAATAATATTGTACTATATTTACGTAGATGGTACGATGCTGTTCTGGTATTGCGATTGAGTTTGACATAGAGTTTAATATTGTAGAACTGTAATTTTTGTAATTATCACTGCAGTTCTTCCTCCTGTACTCGTTCCACGGCAGAATGAATACAGTCCCCAGCATACCATGCTGCCATTTCACCAAATGGATGAAGCCGCAATGCCGCTCAATTACAGTTACGACCAGAGTCCCAGCCCGTCCAATCACTCTATAATTAGCAGCCATTCGATGCCGGGTTCCATGTCCCCTTCGCCGAGTTCGTCTGTCGGCGCAGCTGGTCCGAGCAGCCCTTATAATGCATGTGGTGAGCGAGGAGTTTATGTGTGTAGTGTGTACCATATATTTACGGCTTCTCGTAATCATTTGTGACACCCCGAGTTGATCCTTCGATAAACAAAATATGGCTCATCCTGCCAACATCATATACTTCTATGCGTATTGTTGACAATTTTTCAACCTATGCCTAACATTGTTTACTCGTATAGATTCTCCGCCTCCTCCGTACAGTCCCGTAGTACAACAGCAGAATGTGCACCCACATCAGCTGCAGGGTATCGAGGACGTTGAAATGGTGGCAGAATTGTCTCACCAACAGCGCCACATACTAGCTGCTAACGAAAAAGGTGAGTAATTTCTTTGTTTAAGTGATATCCCGTCTTTTGGGCACCGTGATCGCCTTAAGAGTTGAAACCATTTGAAACACGCAGCCAAACAAAGTTCATATCGCATTGGTTCCGTTCATATCGCATTGTTAATTTATGTTGTTTTAGGAGAACATCCCGTCATGGTCGAATACGAAGAAATGGAATCGTGGTGCATTATTCAGTATTACGAACTCAATGGTATGAAATACTATCAGAATCAGTAATCCCTCCAGAGCAGTATTTTTATTCTCATGGGATAACAAAATCACAGCAAAACTGCCAAGAAAAAGTACATCGGGCACTAATCACTCCAATCTAAAAGCTGAAAAAACGTCCTCGTTGAAAGTAGTAATATTATTGTACATCGTCCTAATAATATATTTGTGTATATTGGAACAGTTTAATCATGTTTGACGACTGTTGTGATTATAGTCCGTGTCGGAGAAGCATTCCATGCGCCAAGCAAGAATGGAGCTCAGGGAGTGATAATTGATGGGTAATTTCGTACTAATTCATTGTAGCCCCTTGAATTGTTCGCTTTATCTATACACATAAGCTACCTGCTTGTTTCATTTTTGCATATCACTTGTACCTGATTTGTAGGTTCACGGACCCTACTGTGAATGGAAAACGATTCTCGATTGGGCAGCTTTCGAATATTCATCGTAATTCTACTATTGAGAACACGCGTAAACACATTGGAAAAGGTACAATCAGAAACAAGAAAATTGTGTTCTTGGATTTTGTGCAATTTAACATGAAAAAGTGTGGTTTTGTCACTGCAGGTGTTCATATTTACTACGTCAACGGGGAAATATACGCTGAATGTTTAAGCGAAAGCGCCATTTTCATCCAGAGCCGGGAAGCTAATTTGCGGCATGGCTTTCATCCGACTACAGTGGTTAAACTGACTAACAACCGCAGCCAGATGATCTTCAGTACTCGCACCTTCGCCCAGTTGCTACAGAATCGCGCTGCTCAACCACGTGGCTATGAGCACGTATACGAAATGCTCAAGATGTGCATGGTACGGATGAGTTTTGTGAAAGGATGGGGAGCTGAATATCATCGTTCGGATGTGACATCCACTCCGTGTTGGATTGAGATCCACTTGACCAGTCCGCTCAAATGGCTGGACAGGGTTCTTCAAGAACTGACCCCTCCGCCAAATTTTGTTTCTTCTCATACGTGATTTTCCTTTTTTTTAAATAAGTGCCTTGAAGATTTTGTGAATATCTAGCTATTGTTACCGCGCAGCTACTCGTTTAATTTTTTTTAGCATTTCAGCATGGTACTAAGGATGCGATTACTTCTGTATTTTGCCCTCTGTGTAAAGTTATAGACGTGGGAAATTGCCATTGCGAGAACAGAAATATACCCTGTTAATATTTAAAGTAATAAAGTTTTCTTTGCAGAAATGGTTCAGTTATTATTAGTGTTTCAGTAAGGCAAATTTATTATATCTATATGTCTAGTGCTTTATGTAAGCACTTACTTCCGTTCTTGAAGGACATCACTACCCTTGTGCCGATTGAGATCATCAGTTTCGAGTTTACAGTTATACTAATGATCTTAATGTTCTGCGAAACAGAAAGAAGACGTCTCACTGACGGAGCAAGAGGTGTTGGTAGCATTCTCATTTTACAAACAGTACTGTATGTCAATAATATGTATTAAATCATGCATAAGAGAATACTGTACACAAATTATACATACATGAATACATGCATATACAAAAACATTTAACTACATAAATAAATACATAATGTTAAAGTACTTTTATTCGTTTTCTTTAAATATTAAACAACAAAGATTATTCAGGTGTTTTCGGTATGTTCTCGGCAGCAAAAGTAACAGCCGCCCGCTTAAAATGTCGCACTTTCAAAATTAATCCTGCCGGCTGGAGATTACGTGGTTGCTGTATGGCACACCCGACGGCCGAACAGCGCTTCTAGTCTGGAAACATCGGGAAATTTGTCGTCTGCTTAGAGGGCGTGGTATTATTATTCACGAATCAGTTGCTAGAATGATTCATTCATTTCGTTTTTTGTAGTTTTTGGACTTGGAAATTTCGTTTTATACCTAATAAATTTGCAATTGCTGCTCTGTGAGTCGGCAAGTTACTTATTTTTTCTTCAAGTTCTGCGATTGCGTCGGGTTTTTATTCTTGCTGTTGAATTAGGTAAGATTTTCGACCTAATGGTGCTCCATCGCTCTCTTCGAAACGATTAAATTAATTCATATTTTCACAAATCCACGTTTGCACGTCTTTTGGGAGTATTCCTGTACTTATGGGCGGTGTTTTCCAGCGACAAAAATCAGATCCAAAGCGCCAAGCTGTACGTCGATCTCCTGATAATCTTTAAGTGAATGTGAGCGAGTGACCTTGTGCGTTAACGCAGGAATAAACAAGGGCTGTAATTTGGTCCGGTTTCAGAGTTCCTTGCGTCGACCTACCCCGATCTTTGATTTTTCCCAGTTTGATCTGCATACACCAGGAACCATGTCCGTCATTGGCATTGATTTCGGGAACCAAAACTGTTTCGTCGCAACGGCTCGCGCCGGGGGAATCGAGCTGATCCTGAACGATTACAGCATGCGGGACACACCGTAAGTTTGGGTGGCAGAATGTGGCATGTAATACTGAGATTGCACCAACTTTCACGGTCCCTGGCCGTGACTGAACCAGCTGGCAATGGTTTTACAGGGCGTACGTTTCGTTTCACGAGCGTAATCGGAGTATGGGAGTATCGGCGCGCAGCAATTTGGCCGGCAACCTGATGAACACGGTGTTCAATTTCAAGCGACTGCTTGGAAGGAAGTTTCGCGACCCCATGGTTCAGGAAGAATTGAAGTATATCCCGTATAGCGTGATCGAGACTGCGGATGGAGGCATTGGAGTGAAGGTATGCGCCTGCTGGCAATTTCGGCTTTGTCATTAGCGTCGGCTATTCCGAAGAATTAAAATTATTTTCCGGTTTCTGACTTGAAATCCGAATGTTTATTTCGACCCTTTCAGTCAGCAAAACAATCCATTTCAGTCAGCGTTTTTTCTTAATGGATTTTTGTCTTTGAGAGTTGCTCTATCAAAGCGTAATTTGCAGACTTGAAGTTCAGACTTTTTATATCGTTCGGTGATTGTTTGTTATTTACGGTGAAACTAAAAAATTGATGTACTGGCGGGTGCGCACAATTTCAGAAATTTTCTTATTTAGTGACTGCGTAATTTCAGTAGTCAAACGGAAGAGTCTGATGGGTCAGAAAAAGGCGGAATAATGGTACTGTCGGTTTGTAGAAGTAAAATCATGTTTGTTGATCAGAATCGGTGAACGCGCTTCTGTTCGATAAGCTATTTCAGTAATAACAAAAATTAGTAATTTTTCAAGACTTTTTCCATTTCTGATTTTTTTGACGGAAATATCCCAAATAACAAATTATAAATCGCACGAGAAGTGGGTGTGGACCGTGTGGTAGCCGGATTGTTGCCGATCGTTTGACATATTCGGTCCGAAACCCAGATAAACCGGGACATATCTGGAGCGGTATATCTTGTAGCGCCATCGGCTTAGATTTTGATGCCGTAGTTCGAATTAACAGGATTTAAAAATTTTAGGTGTCGTACATGGAAAAGGACTCAGTGTTTACACCGGAACAAGTTGTTGGGATGTTCCTTGGAAAACTGAAAGCGATTTCCGAAGCTGATCTGAAGGTCCCGGTGAGCGATTGTGTGATTTCGGTAAGCCACTGTTTTTTGCATCCCGAACTGTTTGGATCCGTTCATGGAATATTATTGTCCAGGTTCCCGTTTACTTCACGGACATTGAACGGAGAGCTCTGTTGACGGCAGCCCAGATCGGCGGTCTTAATGTTCTTCGTTTGATGAACGAACCTACCGCTGGTACGGAGCATGCGAATATGACGCGATGAAAACCACACATTCGGGTAAATTCTGGAAATCATTGGTTTTGTGTATATTTGCAGTGGCTTTATGTTATGGATTGTATGCACAAGAGCTTCCGGACGCTAATCAACCAGCGCGCAACGTGGTATTTATTGATGTCGGATACGCGACAACTCAGATGTCGGCAGTTGGTTTCAATAAAGGAAAACTTAAAGTAAATTTACGATATTCATGGTTTGGCATTTTTCATGTTTTAGATCATTCTTTGCGCTTTTGTAGGTGCTTGGCGCGGTGGTCGATCCTACACTTGGCGGTCGAAATTTTGATTATACGCTCGTGAACCATTTTGCCGATGCTTTTAAGAAGCAGTATAAAATCGATGTCTACACTAATAAGCGTGCGTTAATGCGACTGAGAGATGAATGTGAAAAACTCAAGAAAATGATGAGTTCAATTGGTAATGAGATCCCACTGAATATCGAATGTTTCATGAACGATAAGGATGTCCATGGAAAAATGAAGCGGTACGTTTCCCGTATATGTACTGTAATATGCGAGTGTGAATTGTGAAGGGATGTTCCATTTTAGAGATGATTTTGAAGCTCTCATTGCTGATGAACTGGTACGTCTGGAGGAGAAGATGCGGGAACTGGTGGACGTGTGCAAGTTAGACGGTGTTGACCGCGTGGAGATCGTCGGGGGAAGCGTCCGAATACCGGCTATCAAAGCGCTTATAAAAAAGGTCTTTGGTGTGGAGCCAAGTACCTCATTAAATCAGGATGAAGCTGTTTCGCGGGGTTGTGCTATTCAGTGCGCCATTTTATCTCCGACTTTGAAAGTTAAAGAGTTTGCAGTTGCCGATGTCATCTCTTATGGAATTGAAGTGCGGTATGGGGATAAGACGGGGTACGTTATAACAGGACAGACCGAGAAATTTCTCACAAAAATACGATTAAGTCTGTTAATTTTTTGACGTTATGTGACTATAAACGTTGATGGTTTAGTGCCCGACAAACTGAAGTATTCCCCAAAAACCACGAGTTTCCGTTCACGAAAGTTGTGACATTTTCCCGAAATGAGCCATTCAGTTTGGATGCACACTATTCCGGCAATCAAAGCATTCCTCATAGCGATTCTTGGATTGGTAAGTAATAAACCGTTTCCTGAAGTTGAAGTTCTTTTCTGGCTCATTTGAAAAGCACAAGTTTCTAACGTTTGTGTTGTTGTTATTAAATAGGTAAGTTCCAGATCCACGACGTTGTTCCGACTCCAGGAGAGGCAACAACTAAAGTACGAGTTAAAACTCGCGTTGGCCTGAATGGCATGTTCGCGGTTACCGGTGCGTATCGGGAGGAAATTGTGCTTGTGGAAGACTCAGCCCCTGCAGTGCAAGTTCAGCCGATGGACACAGACCAGGCACCCAACGAGGGAGCAGAAAATCAGGTACTTCTTATGCTAACTAGATTGCTTCTGATGCTGGAAAACCGGCTTTCCTTCTAAGAATTTTTAAGTGTTTTACTGGAGTAATGCAGGTAGCTTATGATTGCTATCCGTTACCTTGCATTCTGTGTTTGCTAGACAAAAATGGACGTGGATGAGAAAAAGGAGGATGTTGTAAGTTCTGATTTCTGGTGCGAGTTTTGCTGTTTTATCTTGTCCGTTACATAGTTTAACAAGTAAAAAGTCCGGTCGTTTTCTTTTTGGGTAGCGTAATTTCTACTATATTTTTACACTTTTCTCTTTCAGAAAAAGACTAAAAAGCAGTCCAAGCAGATCGAATTGCGTGTTGAAGCCGTTTATCCTGAGTATCCTCCAAAGAAAGTGCAAGAATTCGTGGAAACCGAAATGGAAATGCGATCGCAGGACAAAGCAGAAAAGGAAAAGGCCGATGCGCGAAATGCTTTAGAGGAATATATTTATGAGTATCGTGAGAAAATTTCCGAGTCTGGACCATATTATGAGTTCGTTACTGAGAAGGTAATCACCATTATTTTACGGCGTAGAGATAGAATTGTATTTGTCGTCACGCATTGAGCGGAATCATCACGTTAAGAATTGTTCGTGTGTTGTAGGACAGGGAACGATTTGGTAACATGCTGCGTTCGTCTGAAGATTGGCTATATTCCGAGGGGGAAGATCAACCAAAAAGCGCATACGCTGCCAAATTGAACGAGCTCAAGGTAATTTTCTGCAGTCAGAAAACGAAGTACATTTGTTCTCACATCCATGTTGCGCTCACTGACATAGGTTAGTAAACAGCGTGTACCGACATTAGTGACATCGATATATATTTACGATCTTGCAGGATTTTGGAGCTCCTGTAGCCAATCGATACAAAGAAAGCCAGGATCGAGATACCATTTTTGAAGATTGGCTACGCTATCTGCAGCTAACGCGCAAAGCCGTGGATTCATATAACACCGGGGATGAAAAGTATGAATGTCCTGCTGCAAGTTGTGTTCACGAATTGATGGGTAGATTGATTCTCTAACAGATTCAGCCATATCGACAACGCTGATATCCAGAAGGTTGCAAAAGCAGTTGAGGACAAGCAGCGATGGATCGAAGAAAAAATGGCGGCTCAGAAGAGATTAGCACGGCATGTGGACCCGGCTGTTACCGTTGCCCAAATTAAGAAGGAGCGAGAGGTAAGAAATAGGTTGTAGAACTGTTATGATATGCCGTTACAAATGATTATTCTGGATTTAGGGTATGGAGAGCTTAGTCAATCCGATTTTGAACAAACCAAAGCCAGCGGCACCCAAACCACCTCCAGAACAACCAAAGAAAGCGGACGAGGCACCTCCATCTAACGGAAACGAAGCCGGTGAACCCGCAGATATTCCTATGGATACTCAGTAATCCAGATTGGGTTTGATCGCTTGTTTTGTAATGACGTGTTAACGTTTCTACCTGTTCTTCGAGGTAATGATTCGGTATTTTTTGAATCCGTAATCAGTTGACATTACCGACACGCTGTAACAATTTTATCTTATTCTCCCTTTTCTACGTGTGGGTTTATCCTTGCATGATGCATCTGTCGAGTGAGTTAAATGTCTGCTTGCAGTTCTTTAAATACTAGTGCGACACTGGTTACATGTCGAAATCATGCAAATTCATTGCAGTTAAAGCATGAACCGAGGGTGAAGCTCAGTAATAAGTTCTTTTGCTGAAGTCCTCTGAACACAAATAGTGCTGCATAGCGCTGAATTAATCTACAAAATCGGAAAACTGTTTTCGTGGTGTACGGGCTATGGAAAATGTAAGAAAGTTTTTAGGAATTACTGCAGTAATTGTGCGACAGAATTTTTAAACTGCACTGTAGAATTACATATTTATTACAGTTGCCGTATATATGTATTGTACAGCACATTTTAGGCAAAAAACTTGAAAAAAGAAAAAACTTAAATTTTCCACTACATGCCGTATCAGATAGATAAATTACATGTGTAATGCTGCTGGCTATCTATTCTTCTAAGTTCTGAATCAGGCGCATATCAGAAAGCAATCCATATTTTCTTGGAAAATTATTTATAGCTTGTACACAAAGGGGACGATCGATATCCTTTCTCACTGGAACCCGCTTCCACGTTGCCGCGGAACTGCTGTGCGGCAAGTCTTACCATCAGGCATCAGCAGAAAGCTCACCAGCCAGGAAGACTATTACGGACCTACTGAAGTTTATTAAACACATCCAATAAATCAACCCTTTTGCTCGATGGATTCCGCCAACCGCTGCTGTGACCGGCAGTTCTTATTGTAAACGCAGATAAAATAATTTTTGAATTATGTAAACGAGTAGTCAATAACAAAAACGACGTTGTTATCTACTTTTGTTAGCTTTTAACTGAATTACATAATGGCAAGACAAAAAAAACCACTTTCACTCTATCGGCTTAAGTGTAAACCAGTGGCAGACATTTATTATTCGGAAAGTATGTATTTCTGTGAGAAATGAGACTCTGCTCAAGCCAGAGGCTGGGAAGCAATAAAATACTGGTACTTATTTTATCATACTTAAATCTTAATTCATGTGCCAAAAAATAAACTGGAGCTGACTGCAGTCGAAATTATTACGTCTGCAATGCATGAAACAATCTTTTGGTACGGCCTATACAATATAGATATCTATACTTAAATTATACGAGGACTGTTATATGCTGGTAATTTACAATTATTCCCAGAATTATCAAAGCGCAAAAATCCAGATTTACGTGTCGCCGTTTGCATGTCACAAACGCATCGATATCAGCTTTACCGTAACACAAATATATGCATCACATATTACGGATTCAGTAGTATTAATCGAGTACAATTTTAAAATCAAAGAATTTCAATAATTATTATTTAGTACGTATTGTCAATAAATGCACTACAAACACAAAAATATCACAAATAGATATGATAGAAATTTTATCGCAAGTGTGCTTAAGCCATAAACGCACTGCATCATAACGCAACTTCAAAACTTTTGCACCATAAAGCCTAAAGGTCACGGCTCTTTGTTACGAACTGTGCAATGCATGCCTTAAGACTTAACCCATAATTTTGCGCATTAATCCGCAATTAAATCCAATAATATTATGTCCCAAGCTGGGCCAAGCATAAGTGCTTATCTAAGCAGTCCGAATAAACCATTTTTATGCTGTGACAAGTGTAAAAATTCAGAAATGTATTCCAAAGTATTCCGAGACGCCAGAAATCGATGTACAATGTTGCACGTGTGCAAAGGTTTTCGCAGCCCTGCTCCGTACTGAAACAGCAGAAACATGTACTGCAGGTTCCACCACGACGACGGCAGAACAAAATCTGAATCGAGCATGGTTATGCCTTACAGTCTAGTTGAATTGCTAACTACTAGTAGCAGCCAACTTTCCAACTCTTGTACAAATGCTTTCTGTAGAGAAATGAAAGCAACTCGATGCATAAACGACAGCTCCAAGCCTCCAACTGAAATCTTACCAGTTGGACGGCACTCTATAGTACCCGTGTCAGTCTATGCGAGCAACGTTAATCCTCTGCGGCTCTACCCACAAATGGTATTGACAATCAAATTTAACAAGGACATTTCACCGGGAAAGTTTCGGTGGCGTCCGGTTACACTTTCTGCCTGGCGAAAGATTACCATCGACTGAGGCGCATATTGACAGTTGTCTGTACTCCACGGGCGGAGCTTCACACATGCAACCAACGCGACTGCAAAGCAACTTTATTGAACTACAAGCACGGCGCACGCATCGTTTCAGGTCCACCAGAAATGGTTATAGCTGGCTCCTTCGACGTTGTACGTTTGTTGAAATCCTCACTTGTTACTGCATGGGTTCTTTACTGTATGTTTTTTTCTGCTTGTCCTTACTCCGATTTCGCTAATTTCGCATGGGTATATAGTTTTGTTCGATAAAAAATGGAGACTTATGCGAATGTTAGTTAAATCAGCGCTGGAATCGTCAGCATAATGTCCTCAGGCACTGCCAGCTATTTTCTCCAGAAGGATGGTTAGAGAAAGTCGACATCTATGGGTCGGGTATTTACCGGAAAAGATACAGGAAGACGAATTAATTAAATATTTTGAAAGGTAAGTCAGCAGCGATACTGAAAATTTATAGATGGAATTTCATCCATTTAATTTTCTGTAGTAATTGTAATACTATGACTGAGTATAACAGATTGAATCGTTGAAGTCTTTACTGACATTACAGTTTACTTGTTCAAGTAAAGCGACAATTTTTAATTTTTACCCGTTTTATGATTTGTAAATTATAATCCAAACTACAAATATTTTACTTTTTTAGCTGCCATTGGTTTTCGTAATCGGCGTAAAAATAATTATGCATTCTGAATATTGTATCCTGAAGTGACCTAAACTCTGAAGCTCTATTTAACCTCATGTTTTCGTTTTTGTATTTCAGTAATTGTGTTTGTTAGTTAAGTACTTTACAGAACCAATAAAAAGTATTACTTGTCAACTGCTAACCATGGTAGATTCTGGGTGTTATCCGTTAATTTTTATTGTGAGATACGGATATAGTATAGGAAGTTATAAACGGCGCCGCGGCAGTATAGTTTCTACTGAATATAGGAATGGTGCCACAATACAAAACTTTCTAATTGCCCGATGCTGTTTCTGAATTTTGTTTTGCGCCAGAACAGTGTAAATACTTACTACCTGATATTTGTATGTTAAATTTTGCCGTATTTGATTGTCGCACATGTTGATTTAAATTATCATAGCGTGCTTGCTGTGTCTGCTGGTTGCATAGTTGTTTATTCCGACATCGCACGGGCCACAATATGCTTCTAGTTAATTCGCTCGAGCTGGAGCAGGAATCATGTACAAAAATTGTGACAATTAAACATGTTCGGAATACAATGGATTTAACATTATCGCTGACGTTATATATTGCGCATCCAAAGGATTATTTTTATCATAATTTTCTGTGCCGAAATGGTATCGACAATCGATCGATGCATCTTGATGGATTTACTTCGAATTATGGATTACGCACAATACGCAAACGCGAAAGTGGAATATTAGGGAATTACATTGCACATCGGCCAGTGAAAAAATTCCATGCTGTCCAATGCCAAATTGTTGTTTGCGGCAGATTACATTGAAGCGAAATGGGCTGATGCGGTTTGCTTCACCTACATGAGCGTACACACAGAAATGCAACCGGGCGCTTTGATAAGTACTACACCAGCTGACAGATGGATTACTAGAAATTTTTCTCGTGAAGTACGCTCTCGATCGAATCCTGCGATGACGACTGCGAATGGAACTAAAACTCCGTGAGGAAACTGACATTTTACGAGATGATGATGCTGCCGATGCTGAGCGAGGCCGAACCATGTACTGAGCATTCGTGATTGGCCTTGAAAGCAACTAAGCAGACACAGCGGGCATTAAGAATAACACAACTGTTGTGTGCAGTTTTCGTATGATTTAATTGAATTTACATGCGGGTGTACGTATTATGTTGTTTACATAGGCTGGCTAATGTAGGAAATATTGCGTGGTTGTGACTGAAATTTAAAAATTTTGATATAGGATTATTTAACGAAGCCGGTTGTTATCCGAGATTATGCTAAAACTCATAAAGCCTGTCGCTGACGTTGCTTGCCAAATGAGACTGCATGCATCCATTCTGTCGGTTTTTCGAAACGATGTTGCTGAATGTGGGCATTGACGGAGATGCTTTTATGCTTCCCTGTCTATCTCAACGCTTGTTCGGCTTTAAGAGAGGCTTTTATTCCATCTAGCCTTTGGTTCATAAAAATGTAGCTGCGTTCTGTTGGGTATAGCCCGTATGGACGAGTGTGTCGGTTCAGGTTGTACAGTATGATGTATTATTATTCTATGCTACTGAGTTGCGCAGTTGTTTTTCGTTACCTCTTGGCTGGATCTGTGTTAGCTCAGTACGATGCAAATGTTAACGGTATCGTTTCTGCCTTTCTGGCATTCAGTGGCACCTTAATAGTTTTTATTTTATGAACGGCGTTTATAACATTGCCTGTGCATTTAATATGTTGCTTCTATTTGGTCAGTCTACACTCCGCAGTTACATTTTGTGCCATTGGTGAGTTTAGACTGCTTAATAATTTAAATTTTGAATTGATAATTTTTTTGTATGATGGTTGACGTCGGAGTTCGGACTTCAGAGTGTTTATAATATTTTTTGCAGATAGCCGTCTTAGAGTTTTCTGAGCGCTGGAATTATAATTGTTGTTGAGCATTGTATCCTAACCATAAGTACTGTAATATGTTATTTCAGTCGTGCATTATTATTGTCAACAGTGGCCCACTGGGGGTGCATCGTATGAGGAAGTCAGAGGAACAGCTTTAACTTTTATACAAAACTTGATAAATCCAAAATTCAAAGTCGAATCATCATCTTAATTGTTATTTAGTGATGGTCATTGTTTTTTACCTTGAATCGTATAATTCGTAGTGATGTAAACAAAAATACTTTATGTATTTGGGATAAAAATTTGGATTTTGAACTCTTTATGTTTATGCAACTTTACATAGTACTTTATACCGAGTTTATAGGCAATCTTTTATTGGCACTGTGAGCTGGCGGAATAATGATATCTAATTGCATGGTGCATAATAATAAATGGCACTAGTATTTGTGCTTGATGCAGTGGTATGCCTTGGAGCGCCCGGTCGGAAACGGTAAAATGTTAGCGTTGTAAAAGCGCATGCAGTCAACCTTTGTACTTGTCTGTGCGAGACACAAGTTGCTCGAGCTAGTTTTTCCTTACTTTTGATCGAATAGTGCTACCACATTCTACTACAGTCGCACCATCAATATAATCAGTCCATGCGAAAAAAAACAGCGTTTGAAACCCATCGTTCATCTGTATGGAGATATGCATGAGAGATGAAGAAAACATCAAGAAAACACAGCTGGCTGGCTGACTGTTACGCAGCTTTTGCGCTGATGAATGTTGCTTAATTTACGATGAGCCCTGCTGACTCGGCTTGCGTTTCCCTTCGATTCGTGAATAATATGCGGCACTGTTATTCTTGTGGAAGTCCATGCTCGCAGTTCTTTTTAGTGTTGCATATGAATGTGCTTAAACGAAATATTTATGCAACGGATCAAGCATAGGCTTAAGTGTTCTTCAAATTGCTTTAAAGCATTGCTAATCATATGGTAAAAACAACGTTATGTGTATTATGTGTTTTTACCTGCGAAAGGTGACGCTTGATTCAGTCGAATTATATGTCAAGCGGGAATTAATAATGTTTGCAGGGGCAGTCGATTCGAGAAATTATGACTATCATAGTAAAATTCGTAAAAACTAATAATTCCGTTTTCATTCATGCGTTTACAGAGTTACTTTGGGCTGGAATCTGTGTAATTACCGTACTGAAAAGAGAAAATGAGAACCTTAACCATAACTTTACTGAACTGATTACGCTGAGTTTCCGGCACATTTTTGTAGCATTGAACTCCACCGTCGTACCGATATACTTATAGTTTGATTACAGCGAATCTTGATCATTTCCATGCAACGGCTATAAAGTACTTATGATCTTATTGACAAAAATTAATGTGGTACCGTATCGAGTCAGTATTGTAAATTTGGGCGCAGCTGAACGCAGCAAAGGTGGTGAAAAAGCTTTTACAGTACCATGTTATAGAAATAAAGATACGTACTACTCTGCTTATTATAGATGTGAATCCGTACTGTAGTTACTTACGTTTATTGTGTCAATCGTCTGAAAATTTATTGTATAAACCGCCGGAATAAATATGCATTAACTTAGAACTTTTCTTTGTGTAGCTGACATGATTCGTTTTGTGCGTCTTTATTGTGGTTTTTGGTAATAAAAGTAAATTGCAGTGGTATGAACCTAAAAAGAACGTTTTTTGAACTTTCTTGACCAGCATCGATATTCCAGTATCCAGATTATTTGTATGGCTTGGGGTTGTAAGCTTTCGTGCGTACTCACTGCGTAGTAAACATGGATTATTTACCGCAAATGAAGAACAGAAGTACATTAAGTATGTCATCCATATTCTGTTTTTTCGAGAACCGTAAGCTACTCTTCAAAGTAAATTTCCAGCACAAAAATTACTGACCAGACATGGTATGTACTCGGTTTTAGGTGATTTACACTGTTATAGTTCTGGAAATTCAAATGCTCGTGCTACGTAATAGAGCATAATTTAAGCTTTTAAAATACAATTTGCTGATATGATTGTTTTGCCTAAACTTCTTTTGAGGTTTTTCTTCTGGAACTCTTTCGCGAGAAAAGTCGCTGGGTCGCAAGCACCCAACTGTAAGCATATTCTTCAGACCTTGATTGTCGCCAACCAGTATTTCCGGTAAAGCTTTTCATATCATTTTTCGTTTAACCAGTTTTGTATTGTTGTAAGCAAAATGAAAAGCTGGGGGGGGGGGGCATCTGTATATACTATATAAAATGTGTGAATAATGTTAGTTTTAAGTAGTTGCCCAAAAATCAAAAAAACGTTTTGAAGTTACTTTGAGCTGGAATGAAAGTAATTATTACAAGATGTGTTATTATTGCACGTTTGTGTATAACTCGATCCACCTATGAAATTCGAAAACGACCTGGAATTTTGACTGTGCAGAAATTTTGAAACGTCTAACATAATTGCGGGTTGCAATTTGAAACTGTTCTCGCCAGTATTGTTTTACTCATGAAAAGTCCGCAGACTCTGCATAGATCTTTATAATATTATGAGACTTGGAGATTTCAGATTTGCTGGGCGAGCGTATGAACTGCAATAAGTTTGGGCTTCTTAGTTATTATTATTTCCCACAAAGTAAAGCTGATGCGAACTCTGTTTGATTGTTTTCGATTTGAACAAGTCAGGACTCATGGTATGCATAAATTTTCTATAAATCGCTGCGGTTGAAGTTAGTCAGGAATAGAAAAGTTGGAAGTTATTTCTGGAATGTGATTTACGGGACTTTTGATATCTGTAGTGTACGACACTTTTTGCCGCATGAAGCATTATATTGAATTGGTGACATTTATTTGTTATTGCGTTTTTTTTTCTTCGACCGGAACCCATGGAATGATATTGGTAAAACATTCCACAACGATCTTTATTTTGTTTTGTAATGCAGTAACCAAGTGCAGCGTCGTGGCGTCATTTGTTCTTTGTGCAGTGGTAGTACTGTAATTAATTTCGTCCTCTGGAAAAATGCCACGAAAACATACTCACTTGGTATGACAGATGACTTCTTGTTGACGTGGCAGCCTTTCATGGGATGTGCACTATGTAGTTTTCTCTATATAGTTATTGTTGTGTGGTCGCTGGCAGGCACCCTTAAACGTTATGACTTCAAAAAACATATGTTAGTACAATAGCGCTTCTCAGTTTCATCTGCACGAGCAGCCGTAACATCGTAGTTTGCTCCTACCGGTTACCATTTCGAAAACTAGAGGATTTGACTAGGTGGCAGTTTGCGAAAGCGGAAGTGCATGAGTGACCTGAGATCACCGGCAACAGCTTTCGATGGTCGCTTAATCCATAAAACAGCTGTATGATAAGAACGGTTTGAATAGTGGCGAAAAATCCTAGATTAGAGAAACAAGATATGCGTATGAAATGAAAATGCACTACACGAAAAACCGGGTAGCTCTATATAATAGTTTATAATTAATTTATAAATGTTGGTGGGCAGCTGAAATTTTTGACATGGAAAGAATTGTATGCCTTTTTGTAATCTTGTATGAGAGGTATCGAGTATCCACAATTTCGGCTTGAAGTTTAGTGTTGGGTACTGAACTAACTGAATCTGAATCATACCGATTTTGTTATGGGGATGGCTCAGGGATGCGTATCTGTACACGCTCCTGGTCGATCGTTGTAAACCAGTGATGGATTTTCCGTTTTTCTGGCCGCGTTTTCTGTAAATTTTATAAATTTTATATCTCGTACGCTTTAAGCACAGTAAACAGTTTGTCGCTTGATCTTGTTGGTTATTATTGCTTCTGTTATTAACTGGAATAAGAACTGCGATACCTAGAGTAATGCTATATGATTTGCAAATGATTACTTATCAGCATTGGTGTTGTCTTAAAATTTTACGTACCTATATTGCAATGGCACGAAGCGTAAAGCTGATATAATTGTCTTGACTTGTACAGCAATGGTATGTTTTGTGCATTGCAGATTTGGTCCGGTTCAGAGCGTTAAATTAGTGAGAGACGTTAATAAGGCGTCTGGCACATCCATTTCAGCATCCGGTTCTCCCGGTAGTTGTGAGAGTGAGTCGGGAACCAATGCATCTGTTTCTGCTGCTGTGGCATTTATCGACATCAAATCGGCCAGTCGTGCTCATGCCGCACAGCACTCACTCGATGGTCGAACTCTTAAAACGGCTTATTATGACGCACACGCCAACATCGTGCATACGGATAACAATACAGGCAGTAACAATATAGCGGCTACAGCAAAAACATCGTCCCTCCTAAGCGGAAATGCTGTTGCTGGTGGTAATGCTGCGGCTGGAGGTGGTGATGCTGTTCCTGCCACGGTAACTGCGGCAGGGTCTGCTGCGTCTTCTGACGACGACCGATCTCATGTTTCTTCTGCACCAAAATCTGCGACCAAAGCCCGGCGACACTCTTGCAGGTACTTATTTGATCAAATGGGGACTACCCAGGTACAGCATATTGTTTGTGAGAATTATTGCTATGATATTTGATCGTGGCTCGATAGTCGATATTTGGCGTTGATGAGATAGGAAAAATTGGTAGTCGTTTTTCTTAGTAATCGTTGTTCTATTTCGTAAGTCAACAATATCAGCTGGCTGATAAATTAGGTGAAATAACGGGAAAGCATTGAGTTTCTCTGGCCTTTTTGCATTTGTGCCTGCCTGATTATTACTGTGAGTCTCCGATTACAAAATCCTCTAGTTACTGGAAGGGAACTGGATCGATACGATGGAAATTCGTTCGTATTGGGTTGGGTTTTTAGTGCGATCGATCTACTGATCGATTGCCGTTCCATTTCGCTGGCTGAGCAAGAACCCTCCTGCCAATAGGAAATACTATATACACTGTGGTATGCTGTTTATTATCGATTTCAGATGGTCCGCAGCCTACTGCAAATGTAGGCAAACACTCTGAAATGTTTCGCATTCCTGCAAAAAAGGTTTATTCTGGGCCGGGCACTATTGTGGCAGTTGCAATTATCTCGAAAAAATACAAGATTTCCATATGCAAGGCAAACGATATCGTACCAGCAAGGTGAATAGGTGTGTGTACCAAGGTGAATCCACCTTGGTACCAGTATCAGTAGTATGCGACCTTTCAGCTGTAAAAGTGTCATTAGATTACATCAATTAAGTTACGATAGTAAAAATTGTGATTTTGTAGTCAAAGTAGATTGCTAGTATGAAACAACTAATCATCATAAACATCCCGTAGTTTGGTATTAGTTATTAAAATAAAAGATAGTGCGTACATGGTACCGGTACTTAAGAACGGAGCCACATTTGTACCAAGTGATGGGACTTGGGGCCCCTTTGAGACTGTTGCAGGATAGTACTCGTACATAAAAAAATGTACAAGATTCTGGCAAAAACTACCAAATGTTCTGTTTGTAGTGTACGGCGTTTCGTTGTAGACACGCTCTCTTTACTCGTTATGATTAAAAATTTACGTCAGTTTACTTTCTGTGGATATGAGAAAACCTTTGGAGTGTTTAGTGTGTGTTTAGTTTAGTTTAGTTAAGTTTAGTTTAGCTTAGTTTAGTGTGTTTTAGTGTCGTGAAAAAGTCAACCAGTAAACAATGTTATACTGATTGACTTCGTCAAGGAAACATGTTATCTGTGTGAAACTGCGAAACCGCTTTGTTCTTGTGAAAAAATATTAGGTGGACAGTGATGCATAAATAATGGAGATTTGTTTTGCAGTAATCCAGAGAACGAAGGATTGTCTTCGCGGTTATCCACTGATCAGTCCGATACTGGTACTCCTCCAGATACTCCTGGAATATGTGCAACTGTGCGAACCAGATTGTTGCGACTGGCATCTTCCGCTAGCAACGCGAATGCCGCGTCCATTGAAAGTGGTACCACCCCTTTGGATAAACCCAATCGGTAAGTCGATGTTATACGGTTATCCACTTCCAGGAAAAAGATGTTTAATTCTTTCTGTCTAAAATGTTCGTTAATTTAAAGAACTGAGTTTTTTCGATTGGTTTATTCGTAGACGTTACTCGAGATTGGTACCGCACGTTATCGTAGTAAGGTTTTGTTGAGAATTCAGGTTTGGATTGTCGGTTGGTTTTGTAGATCGCATCCTCATCCGCGAATAAGGGGTAGGGATTCTGGTGGGAATAGCCACGACGAACGAGAGCGTCATTTCGGTCCAGGCGGTCGGGAGAATACTAAAGCGCGCACGACGTCAGCGGCTGATTGGGATACCAATAGTCTTTCACAAAGTAGCGCCACAGCGATCCACACGTGCGAAACGGCAAGTCATGGCAGAGACAGTCGGGAGTCTTCACCTGGAAGGTGAGAAAAATATTTCACGATATGCTCTCATCAGTTTCTGCATTACGTAGGCTATTTGTGTACTGTTTGTGGATTAGGAGCGTTCTCTTTGTGCGACCTTGAATGTTGTTGCATCAGTAACTGGCAGTTCGTTTTAAAATTGCTGCTACGCTATTGCAACTCAGATTATGTTTTGAAGCTTCAGATCGCACTACTTTACCTCACCCAACTGGTTTTTTTTAATAGCCAAGAAAATGCTGGCTCATCGGCATCGAGCAGCGGCAAACCGGCTGTGTTTGACACATTATCCCATGATAAGCAACCGTTAGCTATCTGTGTTCGGAATTTACCCTCCCGGTCTTCAGGTACGAAATTTTATTTCAACAATTTTATGCAAACATAGTGTGGGATTGATGATATCTGACATCTGCTAGGCGACAATCCGTAAAACATTTTGTTATTTTTGAATGCAGATTCTAGCATCAAAGATGGCTTATTTCATGAATACAAGAAATATGGAAAGATTGTGGCTGTGAAGTTAGAAGGAAGCGGTAACGACCGATATGGAATTATTTGTTTTAAGCGGTGCGTTTTCACAATAATTATTTTAATCAAGTTATAATACGTTTTCGCGTTTTAACAGTTCTGAAGATGTGGAAAAAGCCTGTGATATGTCCAAAGACAAAAAGTTTTTTGGAGCTAGCGTGCAAGTGAGCATTCGAAAGGAACCGGTGGATTTGGTGGATGCCGATTATCGGCTGAAGGACGATGAAATGGATGAGTACCATCCAAAAGCAACGCGGACATTATATGTGGGCGACCTGGAGAAGGGTATTGGAGAAAGTGAGCTAAGGGAAACCTTTGAGAGTTTCGGTGAAATTTTGGTAAGTTGGTATCATCCACCAGACGAGAGTTATCTTATTGTATGTCTATTACATGTGTCTATACATACACGTCTACACATGTTTGAACTGCCGTACTGATTGGCTTCCTCGCTATAACGCTTCGTAAAAGGAAGAAAATATTTTGTACTCGTATTCCGTATTGAAGACCGAACTTGTCAACTGCATGATAAAGTAGCTACGGTACATATAATATTTTTCATTGAGTTTCGAATGTCCGTTTTCAGGATGTGGATATCAAACGACAAGCAAACGGTAACTCGTATGCCTTTATCCAGTTTACCGACATCGGGAGTGTTGTGAAAGCGCTGCGAAAGATGGAAGGCTGCACCGTGGGCGTGAGTCGTGTTAAAGTGAGTTGTTTGGGTGCAATGCTTGGATGACTTATGTGGGTGTGCTGAATGAGAGTATGTCATCACTATATTATGCCGTTAGGTTGGATTCGGCAAGAGCATGCCGACAACATGCATTTGGTGTGATAACTTGCCGGATAAGATTGGAGAACGTCAGCTGATGACCTTCTTTGCACGGGCCGGTCCAGTGCGATACTGTACGGTTAATCGGATGAGTGGACAGGGGCTGGTTTTTTATGAAACTGTGGATTTTGCTCAAACTGCCATTACCGATCTCAGATCCAAATCCTTACAGGCCGAAGATTGCAGGTATTTTGAACAAGAATATAGATCTTTTTTAAGGTTCTGAGCAATGTTAACTGAAATTTTAACCGTATTTTGTAGCTGGATTATGCCAGCCGAGAATGTCAGGCAGCATTTTTCCAAGAAATGGAACGTTCTGGCCAAATGACGATGGATCGCATTAAAGGCGAGCCGTGTTGGGAAGCCTTAGCGCACAATGGGAATGGAGCAAGATTCCCTGAACGGTAAATACCTTCTTTAGTCTCAAATGAATGTTTGAAAAACTGCAAACGTAATAAATTTTTAAAAAATTTTGCAGTGAACCATTTCCTCCGTTTACTGATGCTCGAGCCCATCTGAATCGGCAAAAACAGGAAAAGCAGCGATTTAGCAGACACCCAGGCGGCATAGTGGAGAATACTCCAAGGATACGGTTAGTATTTTGCATACTTTTGTATTTTGCATACTCTGGACAACCGTATTAATTTTTTATTCTGATTTTTGCAGAACATTTCAGTCGTTTGGTGCCGACCGTCCAACTGAATTTGAAGATTCCTATGAGCGCGAACTCTGGGATTACGGCTATAGTCAGCGTGAGCGACGCAGCGAGAAACGCACCGGTGATAGTCCTGGCGCTGTGCGCGAAAACGGTTTCTCCCGGCATGACACCTCCGACGTGGAATCCGTATACAGTGATCAGAGTGAGCACTCCAGTAACAGGCGTCTTTTCCGCATTCTGAGCCCGTCGCCGCCTCCTTCGATGAACAGTCGCAACAGCAGCGCCCGCCGCCAGCGTTCCAATACCCTGGCGTACACACGCCAGAACTCCAAGAACCATGACCGCACTCGAAGCGTGTCGCCTTCCTCTCCGATCTCACCTAGTCTGGAAGAGCACAATACTGCCAGCAACGGGGAACGGCCCTCCCAACGATCTCCTGCACGTCGACCGTCCGATCCCCAGCAGCGTCGGCGAGATACGAACACTGCCAGTCGCCTACGATCTCTGTCCCGTGATTCGCTGGATTCCGAGACGGCATCACCGCAGCGGCGCAGAAGTGGGCCCCATACGCCGGACAGTATGGAGCAACATAAAGAGGACAGTGCGGTGAATCTTCCTATGACGCATACCAAAACCCACGGGGATACTGCAGATACCGATGCACCGGCTGAGAAGGTTGATAAACCGGGAAAGACCGATGCACCCGTGACGAGCACCAGTGTGGAATCCGTCCTGCCTGATAGTAACACACCGGAAGTATCATCCAGTAAAGGTTCCCAGATACCCTGCTCAACCAGGCGGAGTTCGACCGCCTCAGCCACGTTGGAGACCGGCAGCGACGTGGTCACTTCGACCGTGTCCCATGCCGTTTCACCGAATTCTTGCCATGAGCCCGTGGTGCCGTCGTCACCGGATTCTGAGAGTTCCAAGAAATCAGAGCCGCCGCCATCAAGATCTATTGTGTGTGGCCCGATGCCGGCATTCTACCAACAGAGGATCAACAGCAGAAATGAGCTAAGTCTTCCACCGGCCGATCTGTTACTTCCGGAGTTTGCCAGTCCCATGGGCAGTGAATTGAGCCATCGTGAAGGCAGCCACAGACGCGATGACGACGCTCCCACACCACCGTCGTCTCCCAAGCATCGCAGTTCGTTCCATGACCGCATGAAGGCGCTGGACGAAAAGTTTGAAAGAATCAGCTCGGTGTCAGGGATTGTGAATCAATTGAAGAACCGCAGCGTATCTGTGTCGGAGAACGCCGATAAATCATCCAAGGCGGCCTTGGTCAAACGGAATTCTGATTTTAGCAGTGGTTCATTACCAAAAATCCCGGAGCACACATCCCACTTTCGGTCCCCGGAGAGAGTGGGCCTGCATGGCGAAGATGCGACTGCGGTTCAGGTGAAGTCTGAACCATGGACAACCGCTCAGACATCGTCAGCCGCCACACTATCAAATATTGCGCGGTATGCAGCGAATCCGAAGTTCACAGTGCGATCTGTGACCAGCACAGCGCCTGCCTCCGTTCCGGATAAGGCCGAGACGTCGGAGCCTGCGTCCACGTCGAAACCAGTGACTTCGGATATCAGCGCTAAAATCCTTTCCATAACTGCCGAAGCGTCTGCAAAATTTTCTCAACAGCAGCACCAAAAGATTAAGACCGAGCCTGAGACAAAGCATGCCAAATCGGACGGGTCCTCTAGTAATGACCGAAAGGACGATCATGGAAAATCGCATGCAGCTCCTGTCAAAGCCGAATCGTCCTCGAAAAAGAAAACGGAGCCAAGCAAAGCTGAGAGTGCAACGTCGAAAAAGCCTCCGCTTGTAAAGACCGAGAGTACGTCCAGTGTGAAAGCGGCATCGCCATCCAAGCCGGTCGAAAAAGTGGATACTAAAGCAGCGGTAGAATCCAAGAAGACCGAACAGCGATTGACCAAACAGTCCGAAAGCAAGTCCAAGGGAGGGGATTCCAAAGGCGCCAGTAGTGTATTGGGATTATTTTTTGGTGAGGATCCTAATGCCAAGATGTTCAGAAAAAATATTCAAGTTCTTACGCCGCATGCCATGAAACTGGAGAAAGAGAAGGCCGAAAGGGCTGAACGGGAACGAGAAAAGCTGGAAAAGGAGCGGCTGGAAAGGGAACGAGTGGAGAAGGAAAAAGCGGAGAAAGAACGCATTGAGAGGGAGCGAGTAGAAAAACTGGAAAAAGAGCGTCTCGAAAAAGAACGTATTCGTGCGGAAAGGGAGCGGGAAAGGCAGGAGAAGGAGCGCCTGGAGCAAGAGAGAATAGAGAAAGAGCGCGCCGAAAAGGAGAAGGCCAAGATTTTGGCGGAAAAATTGGAAAAAGAGAAGCAGGAAAGAGAGCGCGCGGCACGTTTGGAAAAAGCTGCCAAAGAAAAGGCGGAGAAGGAACGGCAGGAGAAGGAGCGCCACGAGAAAGAGAGGCTGGAAAAAGAGAAGCAGCAATTAGCAGCTGAGAAGTCCAGCAGTAAAAAAACCGAAAAACTTGTTCCGAAAGTGGATGAGGTGCCCCAGGATTTGTCCATGAAAAAGAAGGAAAAAGAACCTGTTATTGTGACCGTTCCGCATAGATCTTCCGTTAAATCAGAGACGAAACCTGTGAAACAAGAACCGAGCAGCTCGGTGAGCAGGGTGAAGGAAGAGGCTGAACCACTACGTGGGCTGGCAGCGTTAGCACGTCAGTGCTCCACAACGACAGACGAAGACCGAAAGCCGAAGCCTGCGGAGAGTGCTTCGAAACCGGTGTCTAAAGCCCCAGATGTACCAGTAAAGCGTCCTAAAATCAGTTTGTTTGGCGGTGAAGAGCCCCGGCACATTGTATCAAAAGAGAAGGAAAAGAAACCAGAGCCGGAGAAGAAAGTTATTAGAGAAGAGAAACTGGTGCGAGTAGAGAAGGAGATTAAAGTCAAGCGGAAACGCCTCTCTTCGTCGAGCTCGAATTCTGTGTCGCGATCACCATCACCAGTTCGGCGTCCACCGGCTGCGCCTGGTAAAAAACCAGTAGACCTTTCCGGTTCAGAGAAAAATGAAACTGCTCCTTCGGCGCCACGAAAACGGGGTCGGAAGAAGAAGGTTGTAAGGGAAACATCATCAGAGTCTGAAAACAGCAGTGACGAGGAGCCACCTAAGAAAAACATTTTTGAAGTGTCACTCAATCCGGAAGATTTGCAGTGTTCCATGTACGACAAGATTAAGCGCAGAGCCTGCACGAAAACGGTGGCGCCGCCCGTTGCTCCCGCTGCATCTTCCAGGCCCAGTGCGGTAGCTGCCAGGGAATCCATGAAGAAAGATTCTCCCGCGAGAAAAAACAGCATTGTTAAGCAGTCCCGTAATTCCAGTATGGTGTCTTCCAGTGAAGAGGATGAAAAGGGTCGCAAAATGTCTTCTTCAGCAACGGTCACCAGCCCAGATTCGGATTATTCCGACAAACCGAAGAAGCCAAGTAAACGGAAATCACCCGTGCATAAAAAGCCACAAAAGTCGCATCAAAAAAGTCGGAAGATGGACTCGGATTCCGATAGTACAAGTGTTTCAGATAGTGATTTTTCACTGTCAGACACGGAAAAGAAGAAGTCACACAGAAAGGGACAGCTGAAGAAGGATACGAAATCCAGCCGGCGATCGCGTAAAAGTTTGAGCGGGACAAGATCGTCTATGTCGAATAGTTCTTCGGCAGACACATCGGTTTCCGTTTCGCCAGAGCCGCAGAAGGTAATTTAGCTGCAGTTATTATGATAACTCGGTATTCGACAATATTTTACCCCATTGTATTATAAAGAAACTCGTACTCGTATAGACGGATTAAGCCATGTATGCGATGTAAACGGCATCGTAAAATACCAACTGCAAAAATGCCTACTGCCATTTGATAATCCAAATGTCCAGTAAGAGTAAACCACGTCCGTGCCGGTTCCGGCGCCACAATCGTCCGCTAAACCTTCGTCTCCTCCCTCAAAACCTGCACCAGTATCTCAGAAGAAAAAAGCTGGAGTGAAAGACAGGGAGAAAGATCGGCCAAAATCGAAGTCACCGGAAAAGGAGAAGACACGAGAAAAAGATAAAACACCGGACAAGGGCAAACCTCGTGCAGATGACAAGCAAGACAAAGCAGGCGGTTTTGACGGTGACACCTACAATCTGTCTATGCTTATGAAAAGTAATTTTATGGAAACTGCCAGTCGTGAATCGAGTGTTGCGTCGCCGGCTACTGGGACACCTTTAAAACAATCTACTTCACCGTCAAAAATTCTGCAGACTAATCAGAAAGCCGACAAGGGAAAACCTGCTCCGGCGGAGGTCAAACGGAAAGAAGAGAAGCCTCCTGTGGAGGCCAAAAAGAAGCCGGATGAGCCACCGCCAAAGGCCAAATCGAAAGATAGTAAAAATGTGGAGACTGAGGCAGCTAAACCTACAGAAAAGATCCTCTCTCCAAAACGATCGCCGGTGCATGTCAAGTCACCTCCTAGAATCGAACCCGTTAAGCAGCCGGTATACGAAGAAAAGCCTCTGATTATAGAGCGACCGAAGGCGCCCGTGTATGTACAACCGGTTCATGAAGCTTCGCCAGAGCCGGAACCCCCGACGGAAAGCAACATCGAGGAAGGTGAGGAAGCGGCAGCAGCGCTTCAGCAGCTAATGGACAGTGATCCGGTCCACGAAGAACCAGTTATTCATATTCCCGACCGGGATGACGGGGCTTACGGCGAGGACGGTATGCGCGAGACGGAGCTGGCTGCCAGTATAGCCAGTATCGAAGCCGCTCCAGAAGTAAAACCTACTGTTGGTGTCAAAACCCTGGAATCACCGCGGCATGAGGTGGAGAGGAAACGCGAGCTCCCGGCATCTATGTACGAGCCCGTACCGCAGCCGGAATTCCGACCGATACCAAAGGTAGACGTTGCGCCCGAACAGCGGGAACATAGTGCAGCTGCCGCGAAACATGATCACGATCGACATCGCACGAGCACCACAGAGCGTGCGGCACCGGCTGGGTTAGTTCCTCCTGCCGAAGCTGCTGCCCCGCCGCAGCATATCTCAAAAATGCCCCAGAATGCACCGATCGCGCAGCCGGTCCAAGAAATGCAGTACCATGCGCCGGTGATGCACGGTACAGTTCGCAATGCCGCGGAAGCCATGTTGATGGAAGAAATGGAGGCGAAGCGTATGAAGAAAAACCGGGAGCCTGAACATCATGTGCAGCCACCGGCGCATCCGATTATGCCTCAGAATGTGGGACTTCAGCTGCAGCCGGCCAGTGTGGTGCATCAGTCAACTTCCAAACCTTCACCCATGCAGATGCAACCCTCTGCCCTTTCCCCCAAGTTTGACCAAGGAAAGATGGAGGAACATTTCGCGCAGATGCAGCGTCCGCACCAGGAAATTAATCCGGCCATGTTCATGCAACAACAGGTAAATAGTATCGTTTTTGCATTTCGTACAGATGATGGCAGTAATCTAGCACTCTTCTGTTCATATTTCACATACGATGTTTTACAGATGGGTTTTGCTGCTGGTGGCATGGCCACATCGCAGGCATTCCGTCCACCGTTGGCTGGATTTCCTCATGGAATGCACGTTCCTGGTCGGGATGAACTGATTGCCCTGCAGCAACAGCAGCAGCAACAACAGCAACATCCACAACAACAGCAAAATGCATCCGCGCAGCTACAAGGACAGCTGCCACCGCCCCAGGGACATCCAGAATCCAGGGATCGAAAAAGTAAAAAGCGTAAGGCGAGTGTTGCGGAAGAAAACGTCCAGCAGCATTCCACCCATGTCCCCAATCAGCCGACTATGGATATGCATGCCGCTCGGATGATGCTTCAACAACAGGGCCAGTTCACTCCTCAAGGCCAGCAGCTGCTAATGCGGTTCCCGGGCCAGAATATGCCCCAGTTACCACCACAGCAACAGCAGCAACAGATAGTACACCAGCAGCAGCAGCCGGCGCCATCGCAGTTTCCCCCGCAACAACAACAACAACAGCCTCAGCAGGGCAAACAGCCGATTTTCGGGCCCGGTTCGCATATGCGTCCACCGTCCGCTGTCCCGTCATCGTCGCATCCTACTAACGACATGGCGCGGGGAAATACCCACGGCCAACCGTCAGGACGTTCGCATCTTCCCGTACCGTCTCCACATAAGACGGACGGTCACCACGGCACCCCCTCTCCGGTGATCAGCCAGCCCAAATCCAACAGCCATCCGCAGATGCCCAGTCCGGTACCACCAAGTCCACAAGGAATGCAACCGAGTCCGCAGATGCCGCATCATCACCCGCCGGCACCTGTCGAAGCGACCAAACAGAAATCAGGCGGCCATCACCATAATCAGTCGCAACAACCGCAGCAGCACCGGATGCAGCCGGTCAGTGCGCATAGTGGAACGCCAGCACCGAATGTGCCTTCCTCGGCATCGGTTCCCGTTATTATGTCCACGATTGGACGGCCGGCGCAGGCAATGCACCCGCTGCAGGGATTGGCTGGGAACAATAGCGGCGGTTTGGTGATTAACTCTGCAACCGGTGCACCGATGTTTATTCCTGCTGCCCAACAGCACCACCAGCCGGCTGTTCAGGAGAAGCATCATAAAGAAAATCAACAGGTAATTTAGTAGTTAAATGTTTTATTGCGGGCAAAAGTTCGTACTGTTCAGTGGTTCCTGTGTGTAGATTCTTCTAAACTGTACATGCTCCATTTGTTAACGTGTGATAATTTCAGAACACTCGTGCATCCGCCATTCAGTCATCGCAGTCATCATCCCACAGCACTCCGGCTGTACATCACAACCTGCTGCTGGGAGCAGTCACAGCTCTCATGGACGAAGTAGTGCAGCAGTGCACGGCCAGTATCCGTCTCAAAGTCAACCGCATCCTAATCCTTCGCCAATGCCGATCGACCCGGCTCACTTCGCCCTGCTGCAGGGCTTCAATCCCAATGATTCGCGTGCCATGAGTGGTGCTATTGCCAAACTACTACAACATCCTCACCAGCAGAACATGTCAGAGTTCCAAAAAGAACAGCATCAGCAGCACCAAGCTCCGTCGCATCCCAACCGACCGGAACCCATCAGTCTGCAGTCATCCGCCGAGAAGAACCGGTCACAGCAGGAAGCCGCCCGGCACACACCAGCCAACGTTTTGCGGCCGAACAGCACGGTGGCTTTCTCCACGGCGTCCGGTCTCATCCCGGGCGTGGATGTTCCGAGTGCGTTCTTGACTCCCCAGTTTGTCTATGGACCTTATGGATTTCCACCGGAGATGGTCCAGGCAGGAGCAATGGACGGTCGACTGCCGTTGGGCATGAACATGGCAGCGTTTCGCCCGCCGTTTATGGCTTCGGGGCTGTCGGAGGCTAATCTGCAGCAGGCCATGCATGCCGCCGCTCAGGCCGAAATTCGAGGGCACCACCAGAGTGGACATGACAAGCTGGAGCAGTTGCAGCATCTCCAGAGAATGGACAGCGCTAGCGGACATCAGCAGCGCAGCCAGTGGCCATCCGGGATTGCCATGGGTGGTCTGGCCGCCATGCAGCCGGGACCATCGATGCCAGCAGTGGTAAGAACACTGGAACTACAAATATGGTGCGCATTCGTTACTAACGATCTCGTCATTTTAGAATTCCTTCCCAGTAGTCTGGCAGGGACACCTAACGCTCAAGAACGATCAAGCCTTGGTTCGCATGCATATTATTTCAGGAAATCAGGAATTATCGCGGTTATCGCTTCCTGGATTTCCTGATCCCAGTCAGAATGTGCTGAAGATATCGCAGCGTATGCGCCTGGAACAGGCCCAACTCGATAGTGTCTCTTCTCGAATGAACGTACGTTGTATTAAGTAACGGTTTTCGTTGTAGCGGATTCGCTTCATCGACTAATGTTATGTACTGTTTCACAGGATGCAGACGCGCACTGTATATTAGTGGCTTGTGCTACCGCAAAGTCGGCTGCTGAACAGGCTCATCAGGGCGAAATGTTACGGAATGGATTTGTGAACTATCTCACAGCAAAACAGGCAGCTGGTATTGTTAACGTTGCCCCGCACGGCCCGAATAGCTCGGTACGTAATAAGACACTCACGAATTGTAGTGTCATGTAGTGTAGACGATGCACAGCATCACAGAAGTCTCATTTGCAGATACAATATGTAATTCACATCTTCCCACCATGCGAGTTTTCCAATCAGACCTTGGCCCGCTTTGGACCTAATGTTATGCAGGCCATAGAGCAGCAGCCGCATCTTTTTGTTGTCATCACTAAAAGCATGGTGTAACTATGACGCCGGTCAACTTGCTGAAGTCCGTGAAGAAGTATCCGCAGTCTCGTTCATCAACAAATCAAAGCCTCGTACTGCCAGAATTGTAACGATGTTACCCAGAAGTATTCGTAAAATGGATGAGAGATCCATGCAGGATGGATGATTCCAGACGAAATCGATACCGAAGCAGCTTACACCCAGGGTCGAGCAGCGAACGATCGGATTTGGTATATGGTTTGCAAATTTTTAAATTTTGTTCTCTCCGCGAATGAAAACGTCAGTGTGGCTGTCGGTTGGAACGCGGCAGTATTATGTACAGAGAATTGCCCCTACTGGTAACTTATGTTAACAGTTGATTTTACAATCATGTGTTCTTGATATTGTATATCGCATATTGTATTTTTATTACGCTTATTTTATTTGCATATTATTTACTTGAATTTTAGTATTATCTGAGTTTTCGTGTCTGTTGTTCTTTGTTGTATTTTTTCTCAGTGTTTGAGTTTTCAGAGGTATTCAATAAAGGAAAAACCTAGATGGTCGGCCGGGATGGCGGATGGGCAGTGTTTACGGTAATTTGTAGTTTTACTGACGAAGAGATTTGTTTTTTCTGCTTGCAGAGAGTTAGAATTCGCAAAGACCAACAACAGCCAACAGTGAATCAAACGCCCAGCAAAAATGCTTGAGCATATATATTAACGCTATTTAATGTTTTAAATAGCCATGCAGATGTATCTTTCTTATTAACAAATAACAACTCACTTCAACTGAAAAATTAGATAATTTTCTAAAGAAAATCGCGTTGGGGGCAGCTATTTTCAGGCATTGAACCGAGCTTTTGTCAGCATTTCGAGTTCTCCATCCTGGAGCGACTGAAAATATTCCAGCTCTTTTTTCTTCAGACTTTCTTTGACATGAACGTAATTTGCAGCCAGACAGATCAAGTAGTGTACCTGAGAAACAGAAACGCGTATTGCTGCGTTATGTAAGAACGGGATAGAAACATTGATCAATACTCTATAGCTTTCTTAAAGCAAAACCAGTGAAAGGGCATACCAGGCTTAACACTACAACACCAGCCGAGATCGTTGCTGCCAGATAAATTCCCTGAGTGTTTTTGACAGATTCACACAATCGAATAAAGTCATTTCCACATTTGCTGAATTTGTTCATGTCATGATAACCCAAAGTATTTGGGTAGGATGTGTTGGGAAACAAAAAACCTGTAACGATCATGACCTTTCAGTGAACACTGATTTTTTCAAGCTGATCAGTAAAGATGAGTATCGAATTACCGAAATGTCTGAAAGGAATGCATCGTCCGATATCCGGTGACTCAATGGGCGCATAATCGCACACTTTGGAATACAAAATGTACACGAACGTCACCAGAAGAAGAAAGGCCAGAATCCCCATCCAAGCCAGATTCAAAATGTAAGTCACCGCCATGCACTGTGAAGAGATAAGATATCAAGTACTTAATACTGTTATCCCAACTGGACGTAGTCCGGCACTAACAAGTTTAACGTAAACATCAATACATAATTAGTTGCATAATATTGTATTTGTATACTACGCCGACATACTATGGCAATACTGATGCGGCCTCCAATTTTTGCTTGAGATCCATTGAAAACTTGGTCGCGAGTAACTCCGGTGGATCCAATTCCTATTATTAAGAGCGTTATTGCAACCACCGCCATGCAGACACCGGCAGTTATGAAAACGGTCCTCAAAGTGTCCATCCTGTATAACAAACAGACATTCAACACATGACGTAACGAACAATTTTGATGAGTCCGTAGTACTCTGTACGTACTCTTAAAAAAATCAACACACTTAAAAATTTCCAGAAAGTAATCGTAGAGATGAAAACGTTTAATAATCCCGAAACCACTGACTTTAATAATCCCGAAGGCTCAGAAGTTTTAAATTATTTTCTTTCCCACAAATGTGAAGATATGGCGAGTAGCGTATGCAAACAATAACAAAATCATTACGTGTTGTAGTAGCTGCAGCTAGACATGGTTTCAAGTGATCACCGGAAACCATGCAGACAAATGTCAGCGATTCGATTAAGTTTATTTGGATGAGATAAGGATGTTGTGGGCAAATTTAGATCGTGAATAACATCTGCTTAGACTACTGCGCTAACTGTGAGAAGACTCGAATTAAAATGTGTCGTAAATTTATCAACTATGCTTACCAATAAAGTTTCAGCTGAAAGACTTCATTGAACATCTGCAGTGTGTAGGACACTCCGTTGTACATTTGGGAGCAAAACACTGCCACACCAACAATGCACATTACTGTGGCGATCAGTGAGCCATAGGGCACGCGTGTGTAGCAGTCGTATGCTGAAAGCGAACAAACAATTTGTTATTCCAAGAGTACTCATTTTGTAGTTATTAAGTTGTAGTTATTAAGATGCATAATTTGAATACAAAACTATGTGACTTGTGTGTAGTAATGCGAAACTGTTGCAGCCAGTGTATTATAATATGATACATTGCACAGTATATTGTAACATATATAATATTTTGCAACGCATAACATAATTCTGCAAACTTACCGGAACCCATATTAAATTTTATGATTTTTATCACGAACGACGGTCATCCGAATTACAGCAGAATGGCCTTAGGAGAGTTATTGTCCAACAGATTCTAGTTGAATTCGGCAATATACGACTGCTGAAGCACTGCGATATGTTCGATCCCCCACGGAAGGCTGCAATCTAAAACTACACGATGTACACAATCTTTGCTAATACCGATTTATACACGAATGAATGTCTGTATATTAGGAATTCGGAGCAGACTAACGAATAACAACAATCGAGCAAAAACTACAATAAAATGTTAAGCAATGTCAGAATGTTTCTCTTCGAGAATTGAATGACGCATCTCGTGCGCGTACTGGAAGTCGTGCACGTATTGTAATTGCATATTCTGCAAGTGCAGCTAGAGTAGTTCGTAGCAGCTGGACCGGTTGCAGTAATGCATGATTGACTGCTGGCTGCCAGCGAATTATGTCCAGCCCAACATCAACACCTCAGAATCATTCAGAACATGCCACATGGCCATCTGGAATGGGATATATAGTTGGCATCCGCTGCATTGACCGCGCGCAGCTCGCCCCGAAATCATTCACAAGGGGCAGTCAAAAGTTCCAGCTATAAGAGGTACTGTACCTCTATGGACAGTCGATGCCTCGCATACAACGAGCGCAATGAAATCCCTTATGCTATCAGGAAATAAATGGACTAATAAGGAAGTACCAATTTACTTCGTAAAATAATTTTTTTTATTTATCACAATTATGATTAGGTAGATGCTCAAACTAAGTGCAGTTTTGCTTTTATACGAGCGAATATTATTATTATGTGAATATTATTATTATGTGCATAACAATGCCGGCAAATGATAATGACAATAATCTGTGCAAAAACTATGCATGTTTGTCTTTACCATTGTACTCCCATGACACGATTCGGTCGTTTTTCAACATAGGAAGGTTGATATTTTCTCCAAGGAATATGTCCAGATCAACATGTACATCGAAGCGAAGTAGAGCTTGCGCGATATGGATTTCAGTTTCAAAAGTAAGACAGAAATCACTCACAGCAACAATGAATCTACGATATAATGCCAATGACACAAATCCACCAAAATATCAGAACCGCAGCGTATACGTATCATTGCAATCAAAATCCGAAGTTAAGCGGACGAGCTGATACACAAAACCTACTTAACAGTGAAAAGTGCTGGTAAAAAAACCCATAACGATAGGATGAATAATTTCGGAGCTAATTTTATCGCTAGTGTACGTGTTCGCTCTGGGATTTGTGATCGCGATCGCACGTGAAAATTGTGGTTTATAGACTGAGTTCTATACGGCTGGAATGGAGGGCTTGTACCATAATTTACCTACATAATTTTACACTCGCATTGCTCATACACCTGCAGCCTGCGCACTTTAATGTTTGCAATCTCTGTTATCACCTCACATAATTCTTTGCTGATTAGTAATTCACACAGGTTTGTCTCAGTTCATAGAGTACAAAGGTCATCTTACCGTGTTGGGCTCATGTGTAACATTGGACGTGTAACGTTGGATCTTCACGTGTACCGGTGTACATATTATTTGCACCATTCCAAACCATTGTTTCTGTTCGTGCATGATCTTTGACATCTATTTTTAATTTTTTTAAAGCTTAGACTGCAGCTTTTCCGTGTAGGTATTATTGAAATGAGGAACCATAACAGTCCAGCTTACATGTTTTCTAAAGCTTACAAATAACTTTAAACGCATTTGACCTGTGTATACAAGTATAGATATGTACATCATCTGTAAAATGTGGACTTCCTTTCCCCCAGTTTAGATCTTACTCACAAAACTGAGAAAAGCTGATTAACTCTTGCCATCAGGCCCAACAAAAATTTCCTAGGTTTGCCCACTTATTGATCGCAGAATTTTGACGATAATTAACACGAGATGGCAAGCGCCCAAACTTTCCAGATGTTATTGCCGCGGATTTACCACCGACTATTCCATTCCGGGCGTCGGAGATTCGAATACGATTCTGATCGTGAAACAGAGGAATAATTGAATGTAGAAGCAGACGAACCTACGATGACGTGGAAATGTTTGTTAAACCATAAACTAACCCAATCACGATAACCGCAGAGAAACGAGTCTTGACCTTAAAAGTGCCAAAAATTATACAACTGAACCCACCAAATTAGGGGTCTTAATTATAGACCTTTTACCCATACTTCTATAAAAAACACGTCTGGTCTTTGCATTTACCTTATAACAATAACTTTAGATTTTGAAATAAACTAATCAATAATGACATAATTAAAACAGCAACCTATTTTCAGTATTTCAAAAGAATAACTGTCATGTGCTGACAATTGACGAAATTAACTTGTAACTTACTCGGTCTTGAACCAGCAAGGGAACTTTTTGGTCGAGCGGCAGGGACTGTGGGTTTTGCTTGCACAATTCGGGTTGCTATTCTCTGAAATATATATGAAAATAATACTTTCCATCGCTCTAACAATAAAATTAATAATTGCTATTTTTTGGAATTCCGCTGCCCAGCTGGGTGTGTACAGGTGTGTAAATGTACTGTTAAAGCTGACTGTTAATAAGAATTAAGAAATAAGAAAAGAAATAAATAAGAAAAGAAAATAAATAAGAAAAAAGAGCGAAAATTTGAATGCGTAGCCTTTTATACTTCTGGCAAAATATGCGCGACCTCAGACTTGCCATATTGTCTCGTTGCAGGCTGAAGAAATCTTTCGACTGTTTCAGCTCAAATCGGGATCGCAAAGGTCTGGATTCCGCAGGCATCCGCGAATAGGTCGGCTTAGTATTCTGAATGCGTTCCGCTAGGAAACGGTTGGTTTTCTCGATTTCCCAGTATTTTGAATTATCGAAAGACATATTGATGCGATTATTTGATTTCAGCGTGTGACTGAAACGGGACTCCGTGGATAATGTGCGATATATAACAGGCTTAATACTGGGAGAATTCGTCCGCTGTGGTATTCGGGATGGCGGTGGATCGACGACGCGTTTTTCTCGTGGGCCGAGATTAACTGTGGTAAACTGTTCGTTTTTGGCAGATTTATTCGATAGACCATTCAGTTTGGGCCACATTCCACGGTCGTGCGAAGTGCTACGCAATGACTGGTTCGCACCGGAAGTAGCACTCGTTGACGGCGAAGGCGGTCTCCGGGCAACAAGGGAAGCGTTATTATTTAGATTACTCGATTTAACGGGGGAAAATCGTCCACCGTGTTTAACTGGTACACCGGAGATGGGCTGGACAGCTGCGGACTTTGAGGAATCTGGGCGTACATTTTGATGGCCTTCGTTTCGGCGCAGAACAACCGTTTTCTTCAAATCGGTTCGACGGGAATGGTTTGCATTCTGGTGTCCACTTTTGAAATTTTTCTCGGCATTAATGCTGGTTGGGTCTGCCATATTAAACTTACACGTTACTGCTTTTTTATGTTTATGCGTGCAATATTACGTATTATAAAAGATCCCCAAATACTGACAGTCCATAATTAAAAGGTTTGTCTAATCCCAAAATAGTAACGACAACATTGCCTTTCGCTTGAACCAAGTATCATACTAAAAGCAGCCGCAAAGCATTCCGGGCACGATCCCGCGGCTTGATCGATACCTGCTCGTACCTGGCGGTGTCGTGGTCATTGCACGCCAGTTCATTATGACACATGCCGAAAATGTCGTTAACTATACAAGAAGAATCTATAGTTCGGTGCCGGTGATAAAATTAACCCATATGATGATCATGTTATAATATCCGTGTTAGTTCCACTTAACAGGAATAATCATTTGCCTTGATTTAGAAATTAATGATCATGTGCACCAGTAGACTACCAGTCTAATACTTACCTGTACGTATACATAGCTATAGGTACAACGAGGGTGACGTTTTTTACCACGCAGTCAAGAATGTTTCTGGATGAAAACATAACCAACTAATTTTGGTTTAACTTGACTAGTTATGGTAGTTACTTCCTTAGTCTTCTCAAACATGGTGGTTTTACCAGTTAAGTTTAAGCCAAACAACTGCTTTATGTACTCGTGCAAATTTGTGTGCACGCCACGAAACTTGCAAATTAAACGCGTACATGTGACTTTTTTATTGCAATATTGTTAATATTGCAAGAGCAAAAACAAATTTGCGGCGTTGTTGCATGACTGATCTATGCTGGCATAGGTCTATAGCATGAAATGAAAACAGCAGCAGCCATGAAATATGCCATGCAATATGAACTTCTGGAAAAACCTAGCCGCAACAATCCGACAACAGTGATCGAAGTAGTTCTTCCGGCAGCGGTCATCCATTCAGATTCAAAGGGGGAATGCCATCTGCGTAATGGGAACGCTACCCGACCAGGAAAAACTAGAAGAGATATTTCTGTTGTATATTTCCACTGCTGTTGGGCCTCTTTTTTATTATAGTAGTAATATTAATGACCGTAGTTTATTCATATAATCATATTTGAGTGTGGTAGTATTACAGTACATCTGCGTAATTTTATAAAGATATTTTGTATGGATTTGTGCATTACAGCCAAATCTGTTATCTAACTGTCGCTAGCAGAACATTACTTCTGGTTATGCATAGTGAACTGCATCTTTAACAAACGCCATCAGTTACTTTTAGTATAAAGTGCAAAGCAAATACGAGTACGCTACTCCACGCTTAAAATTTATTGCAGTTGCATAAGCTAATGCAATAGGGTATGCTTCCCTATAGGCTATAGGGAATGTATGTGCTTGTGCGACTTGTTTTCTATGCGACTTTTTTAGTACCATATTTCTTTTTCTTCTATTAAATTTGTTCACTACTCGACGTATTCGTACTGCATTCGAAAAAAACAGGCACCAGCTTCGACTGCCGCTAATAAAATTTTCATCTTTACTTCCAGTGAGTCGTGCATAGCTGCGCTTTCACGGTATGCCAACAGGCCACACATATTGAAATTACTACAGAGTATGCTAGGGTAGACATCCAAAGTCTATATGTGTGCAGAAATACCGCATAGGTATATATATGTACAAAATTGTGCGGTATGTTTCCGAAACCGTGTCCTTATTGTCAGAACACCAACTACAATTATTGTCGCTGCCATGAATAATATGAATTACTGGTGCCGCCTTTCTGTCGCTTAAAAAAGGAAATGATTTGTACGTTCACATCGTAAAACTGACAGAAATAAATAGATGACGATAATTTCCAAGCGATGAATCCGATACCGGTTAACGAAAGGGATGGCATCGTAGCGAAACAAACGTGACAAACATAAGCACTCGAAGACCTAATAAGTAGCCTGTAACAAACTGCCGTAGCCAGCTTCGACAACTTCTACTATATTTTTATTTAGCGGCATTTCATTTAAACAAATACGCGGCTAACTTGTGAATAACCATTAATCGAAGGGTTGATTATTTATGCCTAGCTGTGCCTTTTTGTTGCAAAGGTTATAACAGCGTGTGCTAATGTTTTCTTAACATGTTCTCACAACAGTTTACAAACTGCTGCTGACGAAGTGGCCTAGTAACTTCGTTTTTTCGTACGCGGTTTCTGTGATCAAGTGGATTATAGACGTTGCGGCAATTTAATGTGTGATCTCGTATGAAGAATGATGCGGTAACCACATTTATCCACTTTGGATTATGCTATTTGATGCGCTTTGATACAGTATAGCCTATCTACAGTAATCGTCAATGTACTTGATTTTTTTGGTTATTGGCAGGTTGAATTAGTAATTCTGTCGCTCATCCATCAGCTATTTTGTATTCTGATGCCTACGGCTTTCACTTGGTTTGTTGGGTAATTTTTGCTGATTGTGATGCATGGCATAAGATCGAAGATTATGCTGGGTTTGCTTTCCGTCAAAATGTTTTTGGTACTCCAGCTCCTGGTTTGATCCCGATAACCAACTTTGTAGGCTATGTACGTATTATCGCCGCAGCATGGAAAGGTAAGATATTGTAAAATCTACCTATTTCATCTCTTCGCATAACAGGCATCGGTAGAAGTTTCTTAGCCTAACCGCTAAGAACTGCCTTTCATTATATAAAATCTTTCTTTAACAAAATTGTTCTTAAACCAGTTTAAGTCTGTTTCAGTTAAACCTATAGTAAGTAGTAACTTCCGGTGTAATAAAATGCAGCTTGTATGCTATAAAATACAAACTAAATTTGCGTAATACTGATTTAACAGAACAGAACTTTACTAAAAATAGCAGCTAAAAATTCTCAAATATTTTATCATTGCTTTAGTACGTATACTAAAGCTTTTAGACCCAAGCCCAAAGCCTTATAAAGTTGTACAAATGTTTGACGATACATGGCTAATTTCTCTCGTCATGATCAGACATAATATTACGGCCAATATGTTAAAAGGTCTTCACTATACGTACAATATTTTACCAATGGTAAAGCATAAAGTTATAAACTCGAATAATGTTAGCTGATATAAAGACTTACGAACTGATGAGTCTTATTGGCAAGTATTCTTGCATATCAACATACCATACAGGCACAAAATAAACGTTACATTTCATCGTTTGTTTTACTGCTTGCGTTGGTCAGCCGAAACTTATTTGCAAGAAAACACGGTGAATCGTGTTTTCCTCGCAACATGTGTGTGCCTTTCCTGTAGCATTCTTTTGTGTGGAGAATGGTTATTGTTATGGTCTTATGGATGCAGAGTTCAACAAGGCCAAGTAGTCATGGTTTTTTATGCGAGTGAAATAATTATGGAAATATCGCAGGCTGTTCTGGTTTAATGCCGAATGAGCCATGGATCAGTACGACAATAAGTGATCAACAGGTTGGATGACTCATGTTGAACAACCACTGTTGTTTGGAACGACATCCATTTTGCACGCATACATACATAAACGGCAAAATGTGATTCATAACTTCCGATCGCGATTCGAACGTTACTGTAGATGTCGTAATTCAGAAAACTTAAATTTTTGACAAGTGTGTGGCGGGTTTATTGTTTGCGCTGATAGCCGGCATCAACACGCAGTGCTCGTTCTAAACAGTCTTAATGATTATATATACTTACTCGTAATTTGTTTTGAACTGCATGTTCCCGCCTTTGATGTGTTTTGGAACAGCCAATTAATAGCGCCGGAACCACTAATTTTTATTGCCAACTTACGTGGCTTTCATTTTATACCGAAATCTTTTTTCTCTTGGGAAATTGTTTGATAAAAGTTGCAACCGGCAACTTCAACAAATTTTTGTGCTAAAACCATAAAAGCAGTATCAGCATGGGGTGACCAGCTCCGTGGTGTCAAGTGAATTTCGTCCAGTGGAAACGCCTGTCGATTATTTTTTGGGGAGATATATTTTTGTCGGAATATCTTTTAACAGAAGTTTGGCGTGCTGTGTTAATTGAGTTGTCGGTAGGTGTCCACACATTTTCTTTTGTACAATGTGCGGCTATTTCGATTGTATGCGTGTTGGAAGGTGCGAAAAGTTTGGTCGTGCTCAGTGGCTCCATTCACTGAGTGTTTATTACTGAGTCTAAAAGTTGCATTAAATTTTCTATTGTTTTTTTAAAAGACTTTCGTACACGGAGCAGAATTTTCATGCAAGTAATCGATCACGGCTTACTGGCGATTTAGAAGATATGCGGACGTTAAGTTGTTCTAAAAACAGAGTTATCATATTCGATCACAGAATCTTGCTGCAAATGCCTAAGTAGCAAGTCACATCCGAATGTTTAAGAAATTAGGTACACCGAATAAATTTTGTATTTTTTATGAATACGAATGTTTTTTCATGTCTCTGCTCTCCTTCGGTAGAAGCAGTATAACTTAGCAATCAAACGCAAATACAAACAAATTTAGATTATCGTGATGTAAAACTGCCGTGCGGTATTCATGTAAATTTAATATTCCTATATTGAGTATATAAGTTCTGTTCTTTCTTTTGGTTATTTTGCCAAAAATTCGATGCCATGAGTTATGACAATTAGTTATTAAAAGAGCGTTTAAAATGTCAATGTTACTGTAATTCATAGCGATACTAGCATAGGTTTTCATTGGCTGGCTGTTTCCTTCTAACATAAGCGGAGCAACTTACAGTTGCAACTTACTGTATAGCTCAAATTGAGAATTCAAACTGCTGTAATTAGGTATGTGAGTCATAAAGCCATGAATTTATTCAGACAGCTGAAAGTGTTGCAGAACGTTCTTTAACCTAGTACACCAACGCAACACAGTAGATAAATTTATCGAAAACATAGTCATAAGCAATTTTTTAATTATAAAGCGCACAGTTTTAAATTATCGTGTAAAAATCCTCTTTTTAATTTGGCAGTTGCCAAAACTTGGATATTAGGCAAACTCAAATTATTCAATACGAGATGATTGGGATATCCAATTATAATGGTTTATTGTGTTCGTACGCCTTGTGGTACATGAAATATCGCATGAACATAAAAAGTTATTGTGTTATAACAGCGTGCAAGCAAATTAGTGGCAAAATCTCATTAGTCATCAGGCATTCTTCTTTATAAAATTAAGTTTTAGGAAGTTGTGCGACAATGACTGAAGCGCAGTTTGATCGAAAAGGTCTTCGATATTTTTAAGAGGAAAAGCGCTTAGCAAATAAGCTGCAAATTCCACCGAAAAAACCCATTTATACAGAAAGATTGCCGAAGTTTGCAACGAATATACTGTGACTCCAAATTTCTGATTGTACAAACATGATAAATTTGAAGATGACTCAAACGATCAAGAGAAAAGCAAAATTTAAATACAAAGCTGGTTGGTTTACTGGTTGACTACTGCATTTTTCTTTTGAAAATCTGTAAAGCGGATCACGTATGTCCATAATATTCAGCGGATACTCTTTTATCCTTTGGCATATCCGTGAATGTCCCGAATGTATACAGACTCACCACAGCAAAAGATACTGCCCAGTTTACCCATACTTTTCGTCTGCCAGGAAGACAAATTTGATCGGCATGGAAAAAGCTGCTGATATTTTGCTAAACGTTTACCATTCGTCACACAAATCCCCGAAAGCCAATATTTAAGCCAGATTTGCTGTATGCTGGTGTGATTTCACCGAGTTTGTACTGTACGTTTTCCACTACGTGTTTATTACAACATAGTTTTGTGTTTGATTATGCTATTGGTCAATGAGATTTATTACTATTCGGTCCCGACAGCCGACGTAAGCGTCTTGGCTCGGTGTGACATATTAGCACGTTCGACAGACGATCAAGAACTAAACAATCTACATGTATAATTTATACAATAGGTTATTAAGGCAATTGCCGTGGCAAATAATGGAGAGAGCTGGTGTTTATATGTTATGACGGGGTCATCGCAGGTGGTCGCTTTGCATGTGCCTATACACACTCTACTAACACTTTTCCGTGTATATTCCAAACACTGGTAGTGTAAATTTGAAATTTTATGTAATATGGAAAAATAGACAGAAGCAGACGGCACCAGCAGTAAAGTGGTAAATTATATGCAGTTGGGTTTATGAACTGTTATTATTGCATTTTACGACAGTAACATTTTGCTTGTAATACTCGTTTATGTGTTATGCATAACTAACTTGCTAGTCCAGCTTTGAATTGCACTCATTCATGTCGACCGAGTAATCTCTTTGGCTGGGTGATGGACTACGTTCTGAGATGAAATATACCGTTTATGTTTAGTTATGTAATTAGCATAAACATGCCGGAAATTGGAGCTAGTTCACGTTAGCCTTTCGCAATTTAGACAGCGTTGTAACGATGTATATATCGACATTTTCCCCATCGTCGGTACCGACACGCAATCCTGTAATCGCCTATGTGACCTTTCATGCGTAAATATTATCCCGGAATTGCGTATGTACTCTTAGTGGCACCGAGGGTTGTTTCGCAATGAATCCCTCACGTAAAACCAGGGATGCAAGAGGAGAGATTTTTATTTACGGTTTAGGCGCCTATCGGTCTACATACGACTGAATACAGTAAGTAACAGCTGAGCGGACCAAAATGGTCGAATTTTTCCCTGATTCCAATGTTCGTGTTGCTGGTTTTGCAATCAGCTTGTCAAAAATTAATGTTTTTAAATAACAGTTGGCATAATACTGGTCTTCTCAATTAATCCAGTACCATACAGTAAAGACTAACTGTTTCTCTTAAACTGTTTTGACTTGTAAGAACTACCTTAAAAATGCGGGAAAATGGTAATTTTGACTTCCGTTTTGGGAAAGGAGACATCTTGCACTAATAACAATACTAAGATTTTAGCTATAGTAAGTTCTTGGTTTAGACCATGATCCAGCGTAACATAGTCATTCGCTTTAGTCGTAATTCTAAAGAATGTAAAGAACTAATGAAGTTTTTATTCTTTACGACTCGATGTCAAGATAGTGCACGGAAGTGCGTTCGTCAAATTAATTTAATATTTAAAAGTAATCAATCTGAGCTGTATTGCTCTACTTCTAAATGGTACAGACAAAAACAAAATAAATGGTTAAAAGCATTTTATTATAGCGTATTTTGACGCTTAACAATTTTGTTTGTCGTTGACTCGTTGCTAAAAATAATTATCAGAAACGACGAAAGCCAGAACAGTTTGTTTAGTTAAAAACTAAATATATATAAATATTATGCCTGCAATATATTAATGAGTTATATCAAGAACAGAGTTTCTTATCTCTGATTCTGATTTCTTGTAAAATCTTTAATTTTATCATTACACGCACCATACATTATCAGATCATTTTTTGAATTGTTTGATTTTTAATCTGGGTGTTTTATTGCAGATGACGACGCAGACTTCCTGCACGAAACATCAAAGCAACGCCGGACTGTGCTGCACAGTTTCTGAAACCGGTTGAGCGGGCAGCCGCCGTTATAGCCGCACTGAGCTGCACGAGGTTCTACATCGCTTTGTTTCGCAGTTCCTTCTCACTGACGGAAACCCAGGCATCTGCCATCAGAGCTGGCCATCAGACAAATATGGCAGCACGAACAAGCGCCTTTGACTACTGGAAAAGAAAAGCCGACAATCGTCAATCCTATGCACCGGTACTCGATCAGAATCCCGCCAAACGCGAATGGCAAATTCGTACAGGTAAATGATACCGCAAAGACGGCAAAGTATTAATTTATGTTGTGATCAAGATAAAAAAATTGTAGTATTAATTTACGTTCTGCGACAGCCAGCAGCTGCTTATAGAATTATAAATGATCTATTGCAACCCTTAACACAACGTATTATTGTATCTTTACAGAGCAGAATTCCGAATTCTGACAGTAATATCGTAGCACTTTTGTAATGGACTGTACGAGTAATACGACCGTTCATATTAATTTTTGCAATTTAATTTTATGTTTTGCTGATAATATTGCATTAGTTTTCTGTAGACATATATTTAGAACAGACGAATAATTTTTGCGTTTTTGTCGATGTTCATCGCACATCACGTATTAAACGTTTATGTCTTCAATGGCTGACATCTTTATAATACCATACTCGCTATACCCATAAATACAGCAGCGCGCGTACACTTGTTCTAATTGCGCTGTGAATGGCATTATATTGGTATGCTGAGAAGTATTTTCGTGTCGGTTATTGTGCGGATCTGCCGAATCTTTCAGCATAAATTTTCAACTCATGCCGCAAGATACGAACCTCACGAATGCTTTTTCACGAAGCCCCGACAAATGTGTGCAACAGAAAGCGCCAAATAATTGTGTCGTCGCTTGTAGCTGGCATGTCTTGACCACGATCTTGAAAATTCACTCTGCAATTTTTTTACTTTCTTAATCACGATCACGTACAGGCTGAGGATATCGGTGGCGATAATTAAGTTTAATTGTTACCTGTCCGCACATCAAAGAAGCTTATATGCAGGGATTATTAGATAAAGGTTTGTGCTTTTTATTAGTAAGTTGCGGCTTAACGAGGATTAGCGGTATAAACCTAAACTGGCCGAATATTTTTGCTGCTTTTTGTTTGCTTCAAGATAAACAGCAGTGCTGGAGTTAGGTATAATATTGGTATTTCAAAATAATTATAATTTATAAAAACCTTTTCTGAAATGATATAGATAACTATTACGAACGGAGTTTACCCTCTAAATACCCTTTTGCCTCTTGTTATGTGTAAACATAATTTTTACCCAAATGTCTTTAACCGTATTAAAATAATCCTAAATCCAAATTGTTTTTGGTGGTTCCAAATAGTTGCACTCTATACGATAAAATAGTTTTCCATAAAGTATGTATATCTTTTTATATAGCTATCGCAATTTGTTTGTCCAGAGAGAGGGTATTCGTACCTTATTTTACAGATTCGTACCTTATTTTAGTTAAAATGTTTTGTCATACGTAGTATTATACTTCTATTATGTACGTTATCTTAGTTAAAATATTTTGCTGTTTCTATAAAACGGAAAATACTATACATTAAACGAGCATAGTCATTACTTATTTTGGTACCTGGAACTGTTAGGCACCAGGGCATCGTTTTATTTAGAGCATGCCCCCAGCCACAAGATGCTGCTCTTAAGCTTAAACTCATCTTTATTTTTAATAACGCCGCTGATGTACAGCTTAAGCCGCAATCTGGTTTTCTTTTCAGCTTTCTTATGGCATAACTAGCTGGTTGTTTAATAAATGACCGTTTATAATATGTCGTACTGTTGTAGCGGCCTCACGGTTAACGCCCATCAGTTCGAGTGTCAGCGGCAGTCGTTTAACTCTCCTTAACTCCGCCCAGCCAGCATCTAGCGGGGTCTGCACGCCGGCTCATTCCACAACATCGTCAGCACTCTTTGAATCCTTAGAACCAGATCAAGTGATAGCCACTTTACACCGGTCACCTACTAACGGAAATGTTTTTACCGCATTGAGAAAAAAACTGGCCAGTAAGAATCCCAAAGACAAATGGATCGATGCATTCTGTAAGGCGGATGGTGTACACTTTCTCATGGATACATGGAAAACATCCCGCGACAAACCACTACAAAAGCTATCCGATGCGTACTTTCAAAGGGAATGTATGGAATGTCTCAAAGTAGCCATGGAATCGCCGGTAACTTTGGATTACATTATCGAAGATGTGGAAAGCCAACAGAAACTTTTAATTGGTAAGTCTGATATGATGTTAAACGATTTGCACTGTCGTGCATGTGTAAAAACTAATCCCGGTTTAATATTTACTTGTAACGGGTCAAGAAGTATCGTTTTTCTTTCGCTGCAAAATGATACGTGCAATATTCATAAAGTGCATGATTCTGTAAACCGATTTGCCGGCTTATGCTTAGCTACAGCAAATGCAAATACTTTGTATCTACAAAATCTACACTTTTGATGATATGTGCTATACAAAAGCCCCAATGTTGCAACAATGCAAGGCATCCAGAATTTGCTCATAATGAAGTCCCTTTTCCAAGCTACTTATTTTTATTTTGGTTCGCTCTTATACAAAATTGCCGATTGCTGTTTCTTCTTTTGTAAAACTACATTAAATCCCTTCAACGAGTTTTCCTTATTTAAAAATTCAGACAGACAGCCGAGATGATTTTGTATGCTAGATTCCTTATTCCTTTTTGTTATTCATGATGGTGGTAGTTTTATTACAACTAAGTAAGTGGATAACCGTTTTTTAGCAAGTACGGAACACTGCCATAAAATTTTTGACCGATTAACTGCCATGCTCGTTGTACGGTGTGGTGAATAATATTTTGACCAGTGACAGGAATTCGAGCGGTGCTTACATGTAGACCACATATGGTGCAGCTGATACTCAACATCTTGTCTTTCCATGTCAGAAGTTAGCCATGTTACGATCTGCTTCGGCGAGGAAAAAGCCAAATATAAGAATATTTACGATCGGAAAAGAGATATATGAGTTTAAAGTGGTCCGGTCACTTATGGCCATTTTGTTACGCTGTGGCGACGCTCGTGTGCCTCTGAATCAATAGCGCGTAGGTATACGCTAGGTGCTGTGGTGATTGTAAAGAGCCCAGCTAGTTAACTGGTCCAAAGTATAGTAATCGGTATAACTGTATTGTGTACAAATCTATACACACCGGTGTAGTGAAGTGAATCGATAAGTTTGTAGCAAATTTCCTGTTTATGGGCTGATCAAACATTCAGTAAAATTGAACAATTATGCCAGACATAAATTATGGCCATATTTTTCACGGGAAGTGTGCTGTTGGAAAGTAAAGGCAAGTGTTCACTGCAGCAATTTGTCACAGCGCGCTATCTGGATAAGACTCGCTCACTGGCGGACATAACGATAGCCATCGCGGATAATTTGCTTTCGCTTTCCCTGAAGTAATTTCTGTTTCCGGAGGGAAAGATAATTGCGCTTATGCGAATGCAATGCATACGTTTGTACCAGATTTTTCTTTGGGGTATTTTTAAGTAAATATGCATTCTGCAAATCCGGCAATTAATTATAAAAAACACCACCACTTGACCAATTGATCGCAAACGGTTTTTCACAGACAATATACACACACGGTGCTGTTGATCACGAATTCACGATGGTTTGAACACATACATGGTCAAGTGCAAATGGCTTTTGTGTTTTCCAGTCAGTGCCCGTTTTACATGATTTTTAATCTGCTTGCATTTTAAACACGAGGAGCGTGTTGCTCATTAGAGGCAATGCTAAGCATCCAGGCATTTCGTTACTGCGTGCGTCATTCACATTTCTACGAGGTTTACTTATGGAACCTTCATGTTTGCAATTAAAAAATATCTATTACTTTACCGAAAATTGTTTCGTGATAAGCTTCAACATATTTTTTTGGGTTTTTTAGTGGCTATCATTGTTTTGACGGCTTCTGTTTTCGGACAAGACATAGTCCAATATAAATAAAATTCTCCGTAAAAACCTGATTAAGTCCTCTTAAGTTTGTGCTGTATCTGTTAAAAAGGGTGATATTTCGATTAAAGAACTGCGGGATTATCCCGATGAGCACAGTAATTCAGTTTTACCAAACATGTTCAATGCAATTAAACGATGAGCACCGTACCGAAATAAGCAAAAGTTGAAAATCATATCTGTTGAACTCAAAAACTGATTGTCACATCGGGATTATGACGAATCGGATTATAAATTGAATGTTGCAATAACCTGCGTTATCGTTTAATCCTATATATAATCTTCTTGTTTCACAATTTCCATTTGTTGCGGAGCCCGCTCGCAGACCAAACCGGTATATGGTAGTGGTTTGCACTGGTTTCAGTGAAGGGTGTTAACGTATTACACTAGCATGTTAAGTTTGTTTTTTGCCAACATCTTCTTTTCAGTAGTTCAACAATTTTTCGCTTGGCCTTCCTGAATTCTTTCTGAAAAAAATGTACAATGGGTAGAATTACTAAAATCCGAAACCGACTTTTGTTTACAGTGAGGTACACTCTTTAAAATTTTTATGCAGAAACGTCAAGCATGACTATGTTTGTGTATTATGTGAGTACACCGTACACGGTGTTGGAGATCAGGTGAAGAGTAACACCTCGCAGCATTAATCGTACATTTCGTGACATGTGGGCCCATGATGGTGGGTTCAATTCCATCCAAATAGTCCACTTAACATTTCTGTAAGAACTTGACCCAAGTACGACCCTAGGTTAGAAAACTAGCTCAAAGACCATTTGCAGTCGTGGGCGCTCTTCCGGATGTTATTGTTTTTTTACTGACCAGCTCTTAACTTCGCTGTTCCTGTTTATTAAAGCAGTTAGCGTTGCAACAGATTACAACGTGGTAGAGTAATAGTAGCTACTGAAAAATTTATTACTAAAACAAAAAACGATGCTAATAAAAAATAAAACGCACATCGGCTATACATGTTAATAAAACGAGCTTTAAGGGACGCGGAAATTGCAAAACAGGGTTTGGTTAAAAACGGACCGGGTTGACAAGCAATGTAACAAAATACTAGAGTAGTACTGCGAAATTGACGCTGATGTCGAATCTGTATGTACAGTATATCTGCATGGATTATGGATATGGCATAAATTCTCAATAAGCAAGATACAGTAATTAGCAATATGAAGAAGGTCACTGTTGGTTTCTAACAACAACATTATTCTAGAAAGTAGAAGGTACGAGCCAACGAAGTCATTTTCGTGGATGCTGTGAAGCACTCTTCGTTCTAACAATTTTGACAAATACAGAGTACATCAAGGATGCTTAAATACCAGGTATTAAATTTGGCGGATCCATTTGGATGTAATACTGCACTTGTGCTGTGATACTCATTTACTATGTGTTCACTATTGCGGTACAAAAATATTGTATCATCGCATTCTTCCGTGACTGTAATGTTAGCGATTGTACATATTACGAAAATAGAATGCCATTGCTCAGCTTCTTTAAAAAAATTTTCGATTGGAAAGTACCTTCATTGCTCAATGAAATAACAGCAGCGTTTCGTTTGCAATGGCACTTTGCACTCTATGAGTAAGGAGGAAAAATTCCGGAATATCTTTTGAGCAAAATATTTGATAGTATTTAAGTAAACGAACCACACTAACTCAACTTACGACGAAGTCATTTGTTGCTACATTTGAACGTAACAGCTGATACTCCTATAACACTGATGTTGATGTAAACAGACCTTTATACCAATTTACGGTTTCACACTCGTAAAAGGTTTCCCCGTGCTACCGGTACTGAACCAAAACAGCTAGGAACTCGCATATAATTTGGTAATATCATTGGTGAAATGTTCTTTGATTTGCCAGAGAGGGGATTATTTTATTTGGCAACTTACTGACCGGTAAACCTTTATAATGATGAATATTCCTTATTAAAAAAACAACTGGAAAGTAATAGTGGAAGCTGACTACTGTTTCATGCAAGTGATTACATGGACCTTTAATTTTCCTGAGGATACCAAGTTCCATCAATCATATCGTTCAAGATGATTGTAAGTGCTAATTTTTTAAAGGTTACTGCGGTTTGCAAGGATTATGTTCTATCAGTTAAAACTACTCGAATAGGGTATTTTGATTAGTTTATGCGTACGGTACGACTGGAAGATTGTAAATAGTTGTAAGAGCATCAGTTTTATAGTCCACTCTGTAATACAATACTCTACTTTGCTTCCCAGCTGACTGAATTCGATAAATTCACCGAAATGCAGATACTTATTGTCATGGCCGAAGCTTCTGTGTATTTAAATGCAAAAAATTGTGAAGGCATAAAATATTCATTAATGAATATTTTATGCCTTCGCAATTTTTATTTGATGCCTTCATTTATAAAAATCAGTAATGGTTTTTGTAAGAACACTCGTTTTTTTTACCGTAACGAATACCGTGCAAGGAATAGCGATTCCCATAGTTATTGAATTACATTTGCTCAGAAGACAAATATGCCAAATGTAATAGTAATTAATTAACCCGACAGAGACTGATGTATGTGCATTTCTAGCAACTAAAAGAAAACCGAGACTTAATTATGCAAATCACTTCCATCCGCAATAAAATTCGAAGGTGTACGGATTTGAAAATTTATTATTGTTAATTGTGCAGTCATGATCATATCAATTTTGTGGCTCCGATTGTGAGTCACACGCTTAGCTGTTACTAAATATAGGCGTCTCGGTTTGAGGTGACTCACTGTCTTCCAGCTTATGCTCCAGAAACGAACCCAAGAAGACTCTGTATAGTCATATTGTATTGATTTTCTCACAACACCCGCCACGAACAATCCCGGTTCCCATTAGCATACTCCGCCGCGCGTGAGGAACCGTAAACAATTCATCTACACAATCAATCGATACTTTTCTGTCCCGTATTACACTTCTTGATCTTTTGAACTTCCCAAATAACTTTCTGCTGCGATGCGCCCGTATTTTTTGTGAGGCTGTGCAACGCTTGGCTGTTGCACTGGACATTGTCCGCACTGGACGCTTCACGCATGTATCGTACGAGTATAAGTTTTTTTGCCGGCATATTTTACTACATTGTTATATTAATATTTATTTCCTAACATGCGAGTCAGCGAAATGTTACTGTCATATATTGCGGACTACATTATTCTGTAACATGTGGCTTGGTTCGTTATTATAAAATTAATCGTTTCAACCGCAGTTGCAGTTGACCACAAAGTATGCCAATGACGTGAACTGCTGCAAAACTTGGGCAGTTGTAAGCACTTAGTTTAGGTGGAGTTAACTTACAATTAGTACAGAAGCGGTTTGTTTGGAATATGCAACGTATTATTATTCTGTTCTGAGTCGATCCTAATGTTTTAATGGGTGATTAACTGTTTATCGACTGTCTACACTTTCTGGATTCGAGCGGATATAAAAACTAAATCCAGCGTAAATAAACTGCCCTGTTACCTCAGTTATGCTTGTGATGAACCCAGCAACCGGAAGAGAAAAAATGATCAGCCTGTTTTCTCTGAGAGCTTATGTAAGTATGGTGTGACCAAACGAACTCGTCACACATAAACATGATCTAGACGAACAGAAAATTTTCGCATACATGCAACTCGTAGGTAAACGTCAGAAATTTTTCATCCATTTATTTAAGTAGCTCGGGACAGTTTGCGGTCGATTTCACTTCAAATACTAACAGCAGCCGCTTATGCTGGGTGTTAAACTAATTTTGTGCACTGTGTTGTGTACCGTAAAATAAAGATATAGGTACTTATTTAAAGTTCGGTCAGTACCTCCTAATATCGATATACGATACCGTAATATTACTGAACAAAGTGATATTATGTTTTTTTCGTTAGTAATATCATGACGATACAATGTCATAGGATAAGATATTAAGCATGTCATTAAGCCTTAGCATCAATTAAGGAGATACTTAATTTTGATTGTAGTACTCAGTACTCACAGAATCAGTTTGGTTACATAACTTTTTATTACGCATTTTACTTAGTTAAAACAAATTATTCTACTGTAGCGTTTCGTTAAAAATGTGTAAGAATATGCCATTTTATAAAAATAAGCCAGGCCTATTTTTTGCATTGTGGAGCGAAAGTTATCCAGTTACGGGTACTGTATAATTTTTTTATGAAAATGTTACTGCTTTGGGAAAAATTCTGTTTTCGCCTCACATTGCGCTGCTTATAATCCACATACCGAATAATCCGGGGATCTTTTTTGTGGTTTTATGAATGCTGTAAATTTCAGCATACGCAGCTGCAGCATTTTTGCAGCAGAAAAATCTAGTGCTCTTATAGGTGTTTTTGATTGTACATCCAAAACTGCAACAACGACTTACACCACGTAGTTATTATCGTTATTATAGCGTGTTCGTCCGCCGGTCCGTGTTTTGATAGCTCTCTCATGCATATATGGAACTTAGGTTTTGTAATCAGAAAGTGCGAATAAAACTAGCCATTACGCGTGCCTTTGCAACATTTAACTACATTGGCAGCCGCATGAAGGAATCTACCTGAATCGCATCGATTAAACGATCTTGCCATCATCCGCTCGCTCTGAAGCTGCTGCTGCTGCGACGGCGGATGCAGTGTACAATACACATGTGTGCTGTCTAGACGTTGCGCTTATCGCGCACACATCGCGTTGCCGTTGCCGCGCATAATGCATGTATTGTTGCAGTGTAGTTTCCGGTCAGATTGTACTGAACAGTCGATTTCTCAATGTCCAACTTCCGTCAAGACGAAAATATTACTTTCATTCACTTAATGACATCTTGGCCATTATATCCATGAAGAATCGCTGTTCGAAGGATATTGCTCGGTGCTTCGCACACCCATGATGATATTGCTTCTACCATACATACGCGCCATCTTTTAATTCACGTAGCCTGTTATTATGCATTATGATTATCGCTAATTAATCGCCAAAGACCACAACTTCGAATATTTTGCCGCAATGGCCGCACGTAGCGTGATACTTCCGTTTGCAGCGGGTATGTTGTTTTTGATGGCCATGTACCGTGAATGATCTTGAAGTAATTATGTGGTTTTGTATTTGTGCTGTTCGGCTAACGATAATTAATTTGCTAATACTCGTAATGAATAGAGAAATGTAACTCCGGTGTTTGTCTAGATTCATGCCCGACGGCAAAGATGTAAATGCGTACAGAAATTTGATACCTCGATCTCTTGCGCATTTGTGTAAAAGCTTCTTGATATATGTAGTTGATATATGTAGTTTCTTCTTGATATATGTTTCTTGATATATGTAGAAGCCTCACGGCAAAGATTAGAATATGCAGAACGTAAATATAATTATTGTTGCTGTAGCACTGATCTACTGAGTTTTTGGGAAAGCCTCAACCCTTGCATCGCATCTCGGACTGGGTTATTCTTTCTAATTATAAAGCTCGTTCGGTTTGGCCTTGATTTGTTTTTTCTTGTCGTGAACATTAACAGCTGCAATTAAGCTCGACCGGACCAAACGCTAAATATACTGTATAGTACCGAAAGTGGTCAAGCCAGATCACCGTGGTTCGGCAGTTTACGTACACAAAGCTATTCTATTGTTATGCCCAATTGTGTTTGCATACTTTTGCACGTACAATACTTTACAAGGGCAGCCGTTATAATACTTTTGGCATATACTTATTAATTTTACTGAATTTCTTAGGAAAGCGTGATCTAAAGATCACGCTAACGTGTAGGAAGTAAGTTGGTGAAATTCAGTACTTGATAAATTGATCGTATTTATACCAAATTTTATTATGGCTATGGCTCATATTTTTCACGCGAATTGATGGAAACATTTTGCAAATGAAAATAAGATGTAGATGTAGATGTAGTTTTGTATGGTCGCTCATTATTAAAAATTCCCCTTATTGCAAAATCTTCCGGCATAAGTTATTTCGATGCCGATAGATTTAAAATGTTATTGTGTGTCCATACACTGTAGAAACGTCTTTACCGGCATTTTGGTTTTTGGACTTTCCAGTCTACCCAGGGCATTGATAATTGATCGAAACGACCTATTAGTTAACTATGGAAAGAAATTTGATGTAAACTACTAGGTTTATTTATTGAATCATTTTTATTTGAACTGCCCGACTTGGTTGTGAAATATCTGTATTTTAATATTTTGCGATTTTGTAGCACTGGATTCTTCCAATGCGGCCGTAAAGAAGCAAGCTATGGATTTACTTTCGTCGTTATGCGGGCATAACCAAGAAGGATATCAAAAAGTTCTGGACACGTTTGAGCGCTACAAAGTACGTTATGAAAATCGTTCAAATATGCGGTAATCGTGTTTGATTGATAGTACGACCAGAAAACGTACGAACGCAAAGGATGATCTGTGACAGAAACGATAAAACGTTTATTAGATGTCGCTTTGCATACATTCAAGACTGCGTCGGCGTCCACATTTGAGCTAAATTGTTTTATGAGGCAGTTCGTTCAAGGGCTACTGCACATTCAGGTTCCTGTAATATCGTAGTTGATAAAACATTTGATCAGAATTTATATGTAATGTTGTACACACCATATATAATCTGGAATCTGCGTGGTGGCAGCACAAAACAGCTGCTGCACGAGTACATGCGTCCACTGGAGTGTGGCCATTTCCCACGCTTGTTGACATGTAATAGAGATGATTTCCGTTCAAAATTTATTTATGTTACTATCCCATATCATTAACTACTGAAAAACTAATAGTGCGGCTAAGAAAAAAGCGCCGGCGCTTGAGAATTGGAATTTTATGCTTTACAATTATGTGCTAACAAGAGCCTCTGACCCTACTACTTTAATGGTTGATAAACTTATTTGGCTGGGCAATTCCTAAATATTTCTAAGCTAAATTAGAGCACAGAAGAAAAATTGTCTGACAAGAACCAAAAATTGTATACAGTAACTGGTTCCCGTGATAACACGAACAAAGTATATTTATATGAACTTCTGTGAATAATATTTAAATTACAAATGCTCTGTACACATATCGGTACGGATAACAATGCAGCTGGGAACACCACGAGCAACCTAATTGTATTCCAAGCAGTTTGTTTCGCCTCGCATTAGGAAAAAACATTATGTGCGTAAATTCATAATTCATTCAAATTCATGCTTATTTTGGCATGCTTGTTTTCTACATTTGTAGCATATTAAACGTGTATGCATGTGGTATTTAAGATGAAGATTTTCCTTTTCTTGAACGGAATTCTGCATCCAGAACTAATTTCGTCAGAATACTAAATATATGGGCGTAGATGCTACTGCACAAGTATTCGAGATTGTTATTTTTGTTGGGAAAAGCGCAAGAATAATAACTGCAGCAGTGGTCACATAAATTTTATGCTGGAGATGCAGCGCAATTCGTGTGCCACTAAATCGCCGATAACGGATCCTAATTGTTACATATGATGATTGATCGCTGATCGTAGCGCTGCACCGCACTCGGAAGCGCTCTGGCATGAGCGCCATCGTTTGTTTTGCAATAATAAATAATAATCTGTCGTGACAAAAGGAGCTGCGAGTTAAAACAGCGGGAATTCTGTTTGCTTAGTCGATCAGCGTTTTCACGAACAATACACGATGAAGAAATAGCGCGCATAAACACTGCAGCAGCTCAACACGCTAACGATATTTGTTAGAAAGCCAAGCCCAACAACATATGAAAAGAAAACTTTTTAAGTGCGTTTGCATTTTTTCCCCCCGAATTTTGGCCCAGATATGAAAATGATTTTCTGCACTATGACCAGCCGATCATCGCCGGTATTGACTGCAGCTGGGTGTTACACAAGACTTTGAAATGTTCAAGTATGCAAATCAGCGTTAAGATGGGCCATTTGAGTTTTAATGGATTACCAAAAAACACGCGAAGTGCAACGACACCGTAGCTGATAATCGTCACAGCAAACACACACACTCAAACCACGGCGGCGTAAATGAAATGAAACACGCAGTGAGCAACACTGTCGGCAGGTGTAATTGTTGGTATTAGACTGTATTAAACCGCTTTTGTACGATACTATTATATTCTCAAGATTGTCTTTCATCCGATGGATAAAAGGTGTTATTTCTGTTCGATGGAGCGGTAATTAATCGGATATCTGTTGTTGGCAATTATTTGTTACATATTTCTTGTTCTAATTTGTTGCTTGAGCTGCCAAATATGCGTTTATGTTTGTGTTGAGTGAATACACCGCGCTATGCATTTTGCCGGTTGTCATTCAGGGGCGCTTTTCAGTACACTGATTAATTATTACGTTACAAAATTCCAGCGCAGATTCCAACTATCAATTATTTTGTACGTTGCCTTCACCGGCGCGACGTTAATGTTACTATTCTTCGTGATTCATACCAGATTTAGCACTTTATCCGGCACAACAAGAAAACGAGAAATATTCTTGTCTGTTCTTCCATCCAACTGGAAGGCGCGCGCTTTTAAAAATACTGTATCAAATCAAAAAGCAGCCTAATTACTCTTTCTTGGCGCCAGATGGCTTTGTAATCCAGTGACTAACTTACTTTTCACCAGGCGTTTTCGAAAGTTTGTCCTTTTTTCAGTAAATTTCGATGTATCGATTCGAAGAACACAATTAAACGATTTTTTTTCCTTCTTACCGTTTAAAATTTAGTTACTTGATGGGAGGCTATTAAATTTTTGCAACTTGGAAAAAAGAGTTTGCATAGAAGTATGCAGCTTCCCTGCTGATCATTAGGCGTTAGGTTGGCCAATCAGCGTTTGTGACAAGTCTGGTGGCGTTGCTTACCGGGCACTTGCGCAATCTCGTTTTTTTGTCATTGGGAGATCGAAACTTTTCGAAACGAAATTATTTTAGATATGGTGTGTAAGTCAGTGTAACTGCCTAAATGGCAAATATTGATCCTTTTTTCGCATAACCAGCGTTCTATCATTTTCTGGGAGATAGCGCTTAAAGTGTTCATGCGCAGTTTATTGATCGATGCAACCTTTTCGTATCCCTGAGAGGCAATGATTCTGCGGCGTGTATTGTTGTGTGATAAATTACGTGCCTGCAAGGGAAATCGCATTATAATTCCCACTCCATTAAATCATCATTCGTAACTGTTTGGCGGAAATCAGCGCGCATCATCTGTCAGCGCAGCGCGCTCTTCTGCAGTTGTCTGCCTATAATCGCATCTCACATATGCACACATGGACACAGCTGGGCAGTGGCACAATCAGTATTCTGCGCCGCATAATGGCCGAATATCCGGTCTAATGCAGCTGCACTTGCAGGCTGAGAAGAACGACGGTTCGCGGTTCCAGTTGTTGGTGGATGAGCTGCGGCAGGCTAAGACGTCGGCGTATAAGACCACGTTGATCGCTCTCATCAACGCCATCATCTGCAACAACGAGGCATTACGATCGCGGATCCGTATTCGCAATGAATTCTTAGGTAAGTTGCAGTCAGTGGCATTCCAGTGTTGTGCTCGACCACCGTGTTAAAATTCTGTGCTGGAATTTTGCTTGTTGTGCATGCGTGTGTTGTCTGACTGGAGGCAGATGTTGACATTATTTCTTTTTTTTCTCCGCTTCCGTTATGTAACGCAGCACTGAAGGTGCATGACGTACTGGCCCAGATCCGCAGTGACGCCAATCCGGACGACGCCGATCTCTTCGTGCAGCTGGACACTTTCGATGAGCAGAAATTCGCCGACGACGCCAATCTCAGCAGCCCCGACGGGCTCGATCTGACCAATGTCATGGACGTGTTCCATGCTGTTCTTGCTCAGGCAGGTTGCCGTTGCACATGGAATTACTTGCCTTACACACCTTAAAATTTTTAATTAAACAAAAATATTTAGAACTAATTGTTTCATAAATTATTTTTATTCAAAAAAACTTTTTTTTTCGTATTTCTGTTTTCGTGCTCCTTAAAGCTTTGCTGTAAGGTTTTAACTACTGCTAAAAACATCAAAATTTATTGAGTAAAAAGTGAAAAAAGAATGCTTGAAATTCGAATAAAAAAAATAAATAATAATGATTGTTGCAGGTGGCAAATACCCCACAGGAAGCCACTTTTCTCAACCTGCTCCAGCATCTGCTGCAAGTGGACCCCAACGTTCCACTGGGCAACACGGTGTGGTCCACCGCGGAGAAGCTGGTGCACCGCGCATCCTTACTGGAAACCAAAGAAGACGCCGACCTCCTGCTGCGTCCACCGGTGAATGTCAATGTGCTGCATAATAAAGTGGAACGGCTGAAGAGTCAGCACGATCTGACATCCCCCAGCGCTTCGTCGATGCACCTCCCGTCCAGCGATCCACCCGTTCCTGCAGCGGATACAGCCCCGGTGTCCGCGGCCGTCGCTCCCCCCCTCCGCCACCGCCTCCACCCCCGATGGGCGGTGCCATGCCCCCTGTGGGGGCCGGTGCACCGCCGCCGCCACCCCCCCACCAGTTCCTGGATCATTCGATTCCACTAAAGGTCACAAGGCTCCTCCCGCCCCGCCCAAAGCGCCGCTTGCTCAAAATAGTCTGCCCAGTGTGCTCGAAGACGACAGTGTGCTGCCGCAGCAGAATGTTCCTAAGCCGACAACCAGGTTGAAGCCCTTTAACTGGAACAAGATCCCCGTGTACAAGGTAGTGGGACGGGATAATCTATGGACCAAAACCACATCCGGCAGGTCGGCCAGTATTGATTTCGGCGCCATGGAGAAATTGTTTGCCGCACCGCATGCGGAGACCGAAAAGGTCAAGGATGTGACGACGGAAATTGAGCGCAAACGGAAGGATTCCAACGAAATCAATTTATTGGATTCAAAGCGTAGTCTCAATGTGAACATCTTCCTCAAGCAATTTAGAACGTACGTTAATAGGGTCATTAATCGGTCTGTTTAATCAGGACAGCCTGTATCGATTTTCACTTCGCGGTAATAATCATGTTAAAAACGTGCTGCTGTATTAAGGTATAATATATGTCTGTGTGGGTGGATGTTTGCATGGTGCACAATATACAGAGTAGAATTGAAGTATACGTTGACTGAACTTGTAGATATGACTTCTACGGGAAGGCTTACCTTTATGAATTTTATCTTTTCAGCTCCCATGAATCAGTAATCGAGGCAATAAAAACCGGAAAATGGGAGGACAAAAACGGTGCGGAAAAGCTGCTTGGGTTAATGAGGCTCTTACCTGAATCGGATGAAACTGATATGCTACGAAACTACGAAGGCAGCATCTCCAGATTGGGCGCGGCAGAAAAGTTTCTCTTACGACTTGTTCAAATACCAAAGTAAATAATACTGTTCACATTTTTTTAAATAGCTTTGCTTCGGCGGTACTTATTGTTAACTGATAATTTTGACGTTTTCAGTTATAAACTGCGAATTGAGGCCATGTTGTTCCACTCGGAATATCCAGCTACTGATGATTATTTGAGATCTTGCGTTGACTTAGTCATAGAAACTGCGGTGGACATTAAGGCAAGCGCTCGGCTGCATGAAACACTGCATATGGTGCTTCTGGCCGGCAATTTTCTCAATACTGTAAGTGGCGCATGAGAGTTACACTCGGTTAAGCGTTTGCTAAAAGTTAGAAAGGTCAAAACTCTAATGTTTTGCTTGTACTAATTGATTCCATATTTCTTAAATGGCACAGATTTTATGAAGCGTGCATTTACCATGTGAATAAAGTTTAGTTTGAAGTGTTTAGAAAAGGGTGTTGTAATGCCGAATCGTTACGTTAACGTTAAACGGTCTCAGACTCAACGTGAAAATTATTTTTAAAATCGTTTTTCTTTTTTGCATTTTATATATGTGGTATTTTTTGAGGTTGTCTGTTGATCACTGTAGTCGTTTTATTTTCGGGTTGTTAACTTATTTGTACGGATTGGCACCAGTGTCGTACGATTTTCATGTTATTTGTTTTGATTGAGATTTAAAACTATTGGTTTGCGCTCTTCTAGGGTGGATATGCTGGAAATGCAGCCGGATTCAAACTGTCCTCCTTGTTGAAATTGGTCGACCTTCGTTCGAATAAACCATCTATGAATTTAATGCACTGCATTGCGGAGGTAAACCCTACTAGTGTTGTCTGTAGACACATGCTTAATGCCCAAGTAATTACTTTCTTGTTCGCAGCAAGCGGCATTGACCAATCCATTGCTCTTAAATTTTCCCGATGATATGGATCATTTGCACCAAGCAATCGAGTATGCTGTATCAAAACATATTAGGAAATTAGGAACGCTTTATGTCGGTTAATAAGAGTATTTTACATTTGATTACGTAGTGTATCTACCGAAACCCTTATGATGGACATCCGGGCTATCTGCTCGAAGTGCCAAAGACTGACGGAACAGCTGGAAACTGCCGATGCAGAAGTCAAGGAGAAAATGCTCCCATTTTTAGAGGTAATTTTGTTATTAGCTTTTGTAATGCTACATATGGTTTTCTGTCGCTGGCGGCTAACCTGTGTACTGATTGCTTTTGTTTTAATCAGAATGCAAGGAAGGATTTGAGTGAACTTAACGAACGTGCGCTCGAGATGGAACGGCTTCGCGTTGAGATGGCAGAATTTTTCTGCGAGGATGTTACAGCATTTAATTTGCAAGATTGTTTCAAGATTTTACACGCCTTCTGCCAAAAGTTCCGGAAAGCAGTTCAGGTAAGATTGTGCCCGCTTTTGTGACAAGATTTCGTAACTGAATTAAATCAACAGCGAGATTTTTCGGTCTTTAAAATTTGATCATTTTAGTTAGTGTAAATCTGTGCAAGCGTATTGATCTCTGCACGGGATGTTGCCGAATAAAAAACAAACTGCAAGATCAGTTTCGTGCATACCCAATATTGATAGTAGGTATCTGACTTCTTTTGCGCCGGGCCAGACTTGATTCAGACACCAGGCTACAAAAAGGGGTAAATTATGCATACTTGTTGAACCAATCAGACCACCCAGGTGGACGTAAATACCAGTGGTTTAACCTGAATCTGATGATGGTGCCGGTAAGAGCGTGTACCATTTTTTCCGCAGTTGATCTCTGCTGCGAACGCGTGACCGACATTTTCAGCTTTTATTACCTGGCTTGGCCAGAACCACTTGACCTTGAAAATCGAGCCGCAAAAAAATGCGTTGATCGTGATAGACTATTTGCATTTCGCGGTTAATAGTGCATAATTGTGAACATCCGTACTTGTACTTTAATTAACGAACGTGGTGGTTTGTCATTAGGAAAATGAACAGCGAAAAGTGCAGGAAGAAAAAGCGGAATCGCGTCGGTTAGAAGAACAAGAAAAACGCATGCGCCGACAGGCTGCCGGCGAGCTGAGCGATAGTGCTATCGATAGTTCGCGTTCGAGCTGGAATACCATGTCCAGACACTTGTCCGAGCGGTATGGTGACCTTTCGATTTTTTATGATTAAAATTAATTTTGGAATTAGTTTGTCCGTGATCAGCTACCTAATGTCTGCTATACTAAGCAGCTAATGGTTAATTTGTTGATAGCAATGGATCAACCAGTGACAATGAGTCTGGCTCAGTTTTCCGAAGGGATAGCATGCTTGACAATGGTTATGCATCGGATACCGGCGCTAAAAAGCGAGCACGACGAATGATCCGATCATCGGACGAAGACGACCTTATGGAATATTTGACCCAGGGAGCAGAAACACCTTCAGCGCGGTCATCCGCTCGGCCCCTTTTGGGAGAGCTCCTTCCTTCATTCGGTAACAATCGGCGATTTGCATTGGCCAAAAAGTATTTCTTGAGAATGATTAAGAAATGAATTCGTCGCGTGGTTGTAGGCCGTCATTCTCTGCGTTCCCGCCCGGCCCGATCTCACGACGCTTCCATTGATAGTCGCGAGCGTGCGACAAGCTCTGCTACGAACGTGGTGGTGCAGAATGGTGGCCCACAGAATATCGAGGAATGGCTACAAGCTAACGAAAGCATGAATGGATCGCTCTCTGGGTCGCAGATGCGTCTAGCACAAATCAAGTCCGCGCCGACTTTTCGTACGGGCAACCTTCCGGCTCAGAACACTGCACCAGGGGGATCTAATGCTGGCCAAAATGCCAATGGTAAGTGATATACATCAGCTATGTACTTCGAGTTATCACATGTGTAGTAGTGTACTGCTTTTCGATTTATGGGTGTTCTGCTGTCACATTGGTCATGTAACTGATGTCAGACATGAAAAGTACGATTTTTCTGATTACAGTTGCCGAATTGACTGCAGTTTATTCATATCAATTTCTTTAGGTCTCAAATCCCAACTGGAGCAGCCTGCGCCAGTCGTGTCTCCAGTTCGCTCTCAGCAACCGTTCCAACCAAATCCGATTGGTTATGAAAGTACCGGTCGGGGTATCGGTAGTCAAACTGCAGCTAAACCCGGTGGGGCCGTCAATGGCAAATGGAATCCCGACAGTGGTGACCAGAAAACCCAAGCGATCCAACAGCCTCGCCCGTGGGCCCCCTCGCAGACACTGGCCAATAAGATGCACGTGTTTGATCCCAAAGCCGGCTGTCCCGGTGAGCCACTGGGCAGTGGCACCGCATCACCGGCTTCGTCTTCCTCTGAGAACGTCCAACCGATGGGTGGACGATCGGGAGAGGAAACCGACACGGATACGCTGAACGGCAGTGAGAAAGGCAGGAAGCAGCTGAGCAGCGCCGCGTCGCAGCGTCTACGCAAGTGGCGTCGTCTGCCGGCTACCAATGGAAAGTCCATTGACGAAGAAGTTCTGACGGACACTTCGCTGGACGATGCGCCGCGATCCACCGGGCTCAGCGTGCGAAACCAGAATCCGTATGACAGCGCCCGCAAACAGACGCGAACACTCCGAGAAATGCGAGAAAGTAAACGGAATACTGAGACGCCGTCGGCGCGCAGGGCGGCCTCGTTTGGGCCGACCGATCGGGTGCGACGCGTGCGTGATGTGCCAAAGTCCGACTCGGAGGATGTGCCAAATGGTGTGGCGACCCCAGTGAAGACTCCGACGACGGGAATCAGTGTATTCGATCGGTTGTCGGCTCCGAAACGCAGCAGTCCGCCGTTGGAGCGCAGTACAGCGATCTCGCCGGGGAATGGGACACGGAAATCGTCGGTGCCGTTATTGAATGGCAAACGGCGTGGATCGGGTACCGGTAAGAACAGCGATGATAACGGATCGGATGATGCCAAATCCTGTGTGACGTCCAAGTCCCACAATTCAGACGGGTCATCAGCCAGTACGAACAGCTCGGCCAGTCGGGCGACCAATCGAACGACCACGCGGGTCACTCTGTCGTCGCGAACGCCAGCCTCGTCCATGACACGCCCCGGCGACTTGAATATTTCGGGTCGAACGCGTAGCGGCGCACAGAAGAATCCCGATGGAACGTTCACAACGCGGGTGACGGACTACACGTTGCAATCACCGGAGTCTCCTAAAGTTGTTAAAGCTGCCTTGGTGCTGAGTGCACCTGCTACTTCGCGAATGCGACATTGAGGTTTTGTTTTTGGATGCTGATTTTTGGTTGTGAAATATTTTGGAGTTTTGTTTTTCTGATATAAGAAATAGCCTTCCTAATGTCTTGGATTCTTGGGTGAACAATGGTGATGGGTTACAGCTATAAAGACAGGCTCTTTCTCGATAATTTGTGTGTGCGGTCCAGATTTTAATTTGTAAAATTTTGATCTATGGAATAAAAGAATAGTAATTAGTTGTGTGATCGTTTACGATTGGCCAGAGTCAGATTCACCCCGTTATGACGTTGCACAATTTTTATTGTTGATTTTAGGTTTACCATCGGAATAAGTACACATTTGACAATAACTATTTATTATTATTTCAGTACATTTCAGAATAATTTAATACACAGCACGCAAGCATAATAAATTTTGCCACTTGCGATTAATTAGAGCTATGTATAATGTATTCAAAATGTGGATAATTTCTCGCTCTTTAGTCCGTTCTCCAAACCATACCACCGTTCTTATAAAATCAGCAAAACAAAATATAATAGAAAACACGATCCTATAATATGGACCCAAAAACACGGCACTTATATGCAACAGCACTGGCAATCCACACATTACAAAACCACGATCTCGTCAAAGGAAATGTCAGGAGAGATTCCAGAAGGAACAAAATGAGAAACTGGAGGTGGCTGGGAGGTATTCCGGAGCAAAGGAACCGTTTTACCAAAGCGGTCCACTGCTTTTCCCTGCAGCAAAACAGCAACGTGAGAACTGACTGAGATTCCTGAAGCAATAATGTCTCAAATAACGTTCAATGACATGGTTATCCACGAGGATGTTTTCTTTGCTTTCAACCTTGCTAACTGGGATTAATAGTGATATGATTAATAATTAACTTAACGTATGTCTACACAATAGTTATATCCACATAGCATCTATTTTTAACACGCGATAACAATGTCAGGACCTAATTCAGGTTAAGAAAAACAACAATCTCGACGGAAAATAATGATGTATTTAAAACGTACCACCAGGCGGATGGTGGATCTTGATACTGGTCACATCTTTCGCACCATCTGACTCAGCGAATCGCGGGTCCTTTCCTTGCGACATCGGTTCGGGAGCAGATGGAGCGGTGCTCGCAGCCGGTGCAGGCGCTAAAAAAGTCAAAAATTGACTCAAATAAATTACTTATTCTGAACACGAGTTTAATTACAGTCAAGTTAGCCAAAAATGCAGAAAAATGTCCGTTTCGATATGGTGGTTCCTAGTGGTTTACTGGCTCTAACGGAAACACAGAATAAATTACAAAAATTAACTCACCGCGACCGCCGCGCGCTTTTGGTTCGCTGACGGGATCGTCGCCAAACACAATGCTGGATTTCTGTTTATCCTTATTGCGACTGGCTTCCGTTGGTTGGGACACTTGGTTAGAGCGTTCCGGAACCATTCCCTGAGCCTGTGCGAACGTGTTTTCCGGGCTCTCGTCTGTCTGTTTCTGAAAAAAAGAGACCGTGGAAATATCATGAATACGCTTATAGCATATCGAAAATATTCCAGCGTATGCAAAGGAAACAGAAAAATCGAAGTTCATATCCCTCAACTCGTTTGATAAGGCACATCGAAAATTTACGCAATGCAATCTCGTTCCAATCACAGTGATCTGTGCCTAATTATAGAAAACGATAAATGAAGACTGACTGATAAAGTATACAAAGATTTCCAATCTCTGTTAAAACTTAAAATTAACACACTCCATTATAATACTGTTACAGTTAACACATTGCGGTGTAAAGAAATGCGCCATATATTTTAGCAATTTTATGACGCAAGATATGTCTTGTCCGAGATTCGCTAAATATGACAAAATTAAATGACACTAGCTCAAAATTACCTTGACATTCACATGGGCTTGACTACCAGCGGCAGCAACCTGTTGTTGTTGCTGTTGCGACTGGATTTGCTCGGTCTCCGCTGGTTTCTGCTCTTCCGTCTTGGCCGGTGGCGGAGCTTTCTTCGCTGGCTCCTCTCCACCAAAGAATATACTGCTCGCACCACCCGGAGGCTGAATTACTCTGCAAACACGGAAAACCAATGCAACCAACGATAACATAAGTAACAGTCTTCAAAAAATAGCCTTGATGAGATAACAACAAAGGCGAAGCACTAAGTAATACCATCACTTTTACCTTCGAGACATCCTTACTCCTTCGTACGTATTCCACAAGAAATAACTTAAGGTACCCGAATTCCACAAAAAGCCCTGCAAAATATCGAATACTCTTTCTCACTCAACTCCGTCAACTGACACTGGATACTAATTGATGAATGGATGGGGTTTTCCACTGGCACAACGCTGATACGAGTCAACAACAGTAGCAGAGTTGGATGCGATCCGCGACTAGCCACAATTCATTCGATTTTCAGTACGGTTTGATTAAGTATTTCAACACACATTTGTCTATTCGTAATAATGCTAATATTAGTGACTAATGACTATTACAATACTAAACCGGCCACGTACCTTTTATCAAAACAGATCCAAAGAAATAGTCAAATAAATGTTTCTTGTATTTTTAAACTATATTGAATGAATGAGCCGTTTGACTGTTTGAGGCGCGGAATAAATCAATCCCGCAGATTTACAAATAGGCGGCAGACCGACGTTGTAACAGTTGGCGAGTGCTACTAGACAAACGCTGTGAATGAACGTACTTTCGTAACGTAACCGCCTGCTTGTGTCGGATTTAGTGTACTGTGGTCAGTTGTATCACTTGTACTCGTATTAAACCGGTATTTAAGACTTTGTCTTTCTATTAAAACAGTTTGATAAGTGTTTTCTTTTGTTTGGGCCCAAGATTGTCATACTATAAACAAAAGATATTTAGGCAAGAATTTACGACAAATTTGTAGGTTGATGAATCTTTAGATAATAATATTACCAGTTTCGCATTACGGTACAGTCGGACCGAGTCGGTACTCGGTAGCTTCGGTACTACTGTATTGTACTCGTACTTATGGATGTTTAATACATAAAAATATTTTACTAATAACACTAATCAATAATCACCATTAATCACCATTAATAACACTAATCAATAATCACCATTAATCAACATATCTTGGCTAATAACATTAATCAATAAACTGAAATTGTTACCTAAAACGTGCAGATCTGAAGTTACGAACAGAAGGAAACGTATTCGTATGCCGCTGTTTTACTACGAGTACTTATTAGCTCGCTAAGCATCGCTTCCGTGCAATTACTTACCGAAAGCTATAGCTTGCGAATGCCATAGTAGGTAGAATTATGGTTCTTTTTTATTCGTACAAGTACTACCTTAGGGCATGATGGCTAAGAGTAGGTATTATATACATCATACGTGAGAAAAGGAGGTGATCTAATAAGCAGACTTCTGTCATGGAACAAAAGACGAACAAAACTGCATAGGTAATTATCGTAGTAAAGAACAGTTCAAAGTCAAACAGTAAGCGCAAGGATACAACAAACACTAAAGAATGCTGACAAAATAACATGAGAACAAACACGAAAAATGGACGTTACATTTCCAAAACGAACTCCGTGCTCAATGAGCGCTTTGGTGACAGCAAAGGCACCCAAAGGGCCAAAATGTACATAAAAAACCATAATTTCTCACTTATCGGTGCAATTCCGTTTCGAATGCACTTAACAGCTAAAACCGCCAACCAGCAGTAGTCAAAAATTAATGGTATCTGAGATTTCACATAAAAGGTGCGCATATACCTAACCGCTTCTTAAAAATATAAAACCAAATCAGTATACAAAAAAGACTTTGTATGAACCAAACGAAGGGGAACCAGTATGTCCATTTGTCTTTTTTCGTAAGTGTTTTCCACCACAGACAGCCGATCATCCGGGATTAAAAACAATCATAACTTTATCTGTTTCTGCCTAGAACACTTAATGAAGTGGGGAATGCCAGAACATGACGAAGAAGATGTGTGCCGTCGCAAGCGAGAGAGGTCACTTCCCGGTCTCTTCCGTGGTGGAAGCGAAGGAAGCGTTCCTAATGTGCTGACTAGTTTTTTGCTTTCGGCTGATGACGCTTGTTGTGTAGTGCCAGATGATCGCTGCGTGCAAAGCAGCGCGCACACACGCTGCACTGGAAGGGCTTATCGCCGGTGTGCTTCCGCATATGCCGTGTCAGCTCATCGGAACGAGCAAATCTCCACTGGCACTCCGGCCACGAGCACTTATACGGCTTGTCGCCTGGAACCAAATCCCCATAAGTATCGTAATGTGTACTTTGGCAAAAGGGAGATAGATTAATCTCTTACCGGTATGGATGCGCTCGTGAGCTTTTAGATGCGATGATTTGGTGTACACTTTGTTGCAACCTGAAAAATACATTCGGTTGACCAGATGCACCAAACAAAGGCCAGCCAGGTTAATGTCACACTTATCAACTATCAACGTTATTTTACCACAAAAACAAAATCAAACGTGTAGCTCTGATTGTTTAATGGTAATGGTATAGCGATACGATATCGTTCGTGGTGTGTACAACCCTTCATTTTAATCGCTGGCGGTTTTGAACGCCATAATTGTTTAAGTGTCGATTGACGCGTGAATCAGCGCTACCACTCCCTACCTTCAAATTTGCAGTGATGAATACGACGCTTATCCAGATCGGGGTTATTTCTGCGGTTATACTTCATCGACGACCGGTGCTCATTAACTGAGCCATCATCTGACGTACAATTGGACATGACGGATGGCGAATTACGCAGCGGTATCATATGGCCACTCAGTGGATGACCGGGGTAACCGTAAAACTCCTCCGGCGTACTGGCATTGGATGAGGGCGGAGTGGGAAAATACATCTTGGGAAAGCAGGGCACTGGCGCTTCAATCAACGCTCCGCCATTACCAATATACGTGTTAGATGTGTAGGAGACAAATGGTGACGATGTACGGCGCTGACCATGGTAGTCGACAGAATTCTCTGACACCAGATAGCCGCCCGGCGGGGGACTTTCGGTCTTGATTGTCACCGGCGCCACAGAGTGTTCCACCTTATCGATGGTCTGCTCGAGATCGTCCCACAAGGAACTACTGGACGGATTGCGCTCCGTGGATGTCTGAACGGATAAGGTGGCCGTTGGTGCCGGTTGGGCAATGGTTTTGACGAGGGGAAATTCAGGGCGCGAAGGAACTACCGGTCGATTATGGCCTTCCATCTGATGTAGCGTGTAGCCGGTGATGTGCGCAGTGGCGATAGCGGGAGCTGCGCTAGTGAATACCGTGTCGGCCACGGATGAGGGTACATCGCTGCCGAGGATCTCGTCCATTTCACGGGCACTTGCCCGTCGAGGCTTTCCAGTCGCATCATCTCCCAGTGCATCGGCAAAAAATTTGGAAATCGGTGTTAGAATCGGCGTCACGAGATACCGATCGAATTCTTTCTTGATGATGCACTGCAAGTACACAATATAATCACTTTAGACGGTTATCAACACAGGGAGATCTTATTCCACCGTACAAACGAGCACTATCCGCGTAACGCAGATTTTTAATTGATTATAAGGTTAACTTATTATTAGCTTTGTTGCGTTGAAGTGGCTGCAAAATTCGTGTTAACATGCGCTCAAGCGTGAAAAATGCACGTTAATTACCTATTTCTCTTTGAACTTACTTACACTTGTGTTTTGGGCTACGCCTTTTATCAAAGAAATTGGTTACAACCTGTTATCAGTTGTTAATTTCGAAAACTTGCTTACTTTACACTTTACAGTACTACATCGTATGATTCAAGTAGACGTAGAACTGTATAATATTATATGATTTTCCGAATGCCGGCATGACCAAGAACCAAGTGAAAGTACAGCGAAAAGCCGGAAGGGTAACAAGTTGGATACTCAAGTATTTGTGACCGAACCAAAAATGAATGGTATCTGTATCGGTACGAGTGTCAAACCGCAAAACATCGTAAACAATTCAAAATTTATTGGAATTCCCCACAGAACTATGCACTTTCTATGATAAATAGAAGATACCTGAACACAGCATTCAGCAACGTTTATGTGAATTGCAAATACTGCAATCAAGGTTGGTTTACGCACGTAACCATCAGGTTGCATGTAATATTTCTCAGATACGGATTAGCCAGCCCACGTCGACAAAGGATTTCAGCGCGCGCCTACGGCTAGATCTTTCCCCTCGTGCGTTCCCATCGTTAAATCTACTTGATTCTTTCAGTTTAATTACCATAATTCCCTGATTGACTATGCAGCATTAGGCCGAAGCCTTTCAAGCAAATAATAGTCACCGTCGCCATAAACCTATGGTTTTGCTCCAGTTCCGGGAAGGTTTAATCATGGGAGCACTTCCTGAATGAGCAGGATCATCCAATTACACAACGCTGAAGATATGACTTAATGCAATATGAATTTCAACGTGCACTGTTAACTACTTCCCAGCACTGCCATTATTTTTCACCTGCCCTGTAATCTGTGCTTTTCGTTTTGCCTCAATTGATTGAATTAGTCTGAATGTCATGTTAGCGTCCTGACGTCTATAATTGTTCTACGTATTTGTTAAAATGCTTAAATACCCGTGGGAACCAAAGGAAAATGTAATGAAGGATAGACCAAATACGATGTTCGGCGCTGGTCTAATGAGTAGCGACGCGGAAGACCAGTCGGGCGCTTTCCTCAATGAATGACCGTAAAGCACCTAAGTTCACACAGATGGACAGACACTGCCGTTAACAACGCAGCAGAGTCAGACGGAATTTATTGAATACATTTATTTATCGAACTTATAATTTATTTATTTATCGAACTTATTGAATACATACACGGCAGGTCTTGTGCATTCATTCATAAATTTTTGATCGACGATATCCATACCGCCGAGCCGTAAACACATACAGTACATACTTATTGATCGTAAATATTTTACATTTTCCATACATCTATGACGTACTGGTTTAAGAACAGAAGTAAACAGCCTAAATAAATAAGCAGCTATCCCAGGCTAATATCATTTTCGTTTTTAGAAAGCGGTAAGTTGTGCTGTAACGCAGGTTGGATAAACTACTGTACAAACCACAGGAAATTAGAAAAGAGATTGAGCTTCAATCCTGACAGTTTTCATTTAGAATCTCAATAGCGCGTGCTCTACTCATGAAATGCAGCCGGTGCCAGAAATATCGCCGTCAGCAGCGGTTGCAGACTTGTATCATAAGGACAGGAGTCTGTAACATACCGCACCGTTGGCCAGCGATTCGTGCAAGCCATCTGTTAACGGCTGCAAACTGCAAAGCGATCGATTTTTCATTTTCTGTCAAGGTCAAAGAAAGAACCTGTCGTTCTCTCTTGAGCTCCCAGCTGTGCTACAGCAAAATGTACTGGCAATGTTATTAGTTCAAGTCACGGGAAGATTGCATTGCCAAGGAACATGGACAAAATGGGAAAGATGAGATGCTTCATCTCTTGCGAACCCATCAACTCGTTTCCCATCAGTACAAAACAGGGTGTGCATCTTTTTAAGCTATATAATTTTCTTCAACCACCAAAGGAATAGAAACTACACGCATACTCGCATTATAGTTATAACAAAACGGTGCCATGTCACGTGCTTTCTGTGCGAATCTAATCATGGTCAAACAAGTAATTTTATAGGACAACTCAAAACAAGTAAATCTATGCCCTGTATGCCCAAACCTAAGAGATTCTATAACAATACTGTATACCGCATTTCTAACCAATTAAACATCAGCGCACAGTGCCCGCTGGGAAAAAATGAACTATTTCCCGGCTTAATCGAGTGCAGTACCTTGTTACGGCACATCTTGCTTGTTATTTATGCGGCAACGCTTGCTACGCACACTGCAGTTATGACTTTCAAATGTCCTTTGCACTGTTGAGTGTATAATCGAAATTGCGAGCTTGCAAAAAGCTAAGAGCGTTTTTCTCCATCCGCCAAGTTTTTTTTCTACTAAAAATCATCATTTTTATATCACATAGCAGGCGCTCAACCAGCTATTTTATAATTTTTTGATACAGCAAAGGCAATAAACGATATTAATCATATTATCGAGTACTTCTATTGCTAAATCTTGTGATCGATTAAACAATATGACAACTGGCAGTTAACAACATGGAAAAAGGAAGCGCTTGGGTAGTCGTAATTCAGTAATATCAGGATTCAATACCAGTCAAGAGAAAAACCTAATCATATTTTTGGATGTGTTCTGCATAATGCTACTTCCTGTTCGTCCAAATTCGACTTTACTCACAACTGAAAAAGATAAAAATGGTGCACCGGCTAAATAGTCGATACCACCCACTTCCAAACCCAATACGAGTATAAAAGCAATAGTTGTATTGCCAGTAATTGTAAATACTTATTATTTGAAGCGCTTCAGTTTTATTATAATCAACCTATACACAAAATGTTAATTAATTCACACAACAAAGCAGCCGATAACGTAACAGGTTTTGCTGATTAACAGATCGTTCATTACCGAGATTATCAAAACTGATTTTTGTGTCTAACTTCAAGTGGCAAGGGTTGATTAATGATATCCTGCGTTGCCTTGTTAAAGCTTTAACACTCTTTCAGCCAGGCTTTAGAAAAATCTTCTGAACACAGCTCAAGAACAAAAATCTGTTTTTGGAACACAAACCAGTTATCGCATGCTAGAAATGATCGTTGAACATGATAAGTTTGCTGTTTTCCGTTATTTAAAAGATCGTGTTCCAGTTAACGCAGCAGTCCCCGAATACATAATATGTGCATGGAAAACTTCTTGTCCTACACACACTAAATTATTAGTAATTGATCAAGATTTATGAGTCACACAGAGCGCACATAACGCTTTATTTTATAAGTACTGTATAACTGCAGTGAAAACTAGAGGTAGACCTTTTACACACCGGCGTAAAGAAAACAGCAAACCACCGGCGTAAAGAAAACAGCAAACGCTCAAGTTAATAAGCAACGCAGAAGTTGTCGAACAAGCCATACTGCAGTTAGACTAAAAAAAAATATTCACTTTCATACGAACGGCGTTATCACTATTTCCACTTGATTATAAAAGGCAACTAGTAGTTAATGAATATGTCGGTAGTGTATAACAATAATTTCTCGCAGTAATTAAATTGCCGGAATTTTTTTAACTGGTGTCAAGACGATGCCGGTATGTTAGCTGATACTGAAGTTATAATATGTCCATAAGACAAATAACACTGACTAGTTTCAACGCAGTCTGATCCAGACTTTAATGAATGAATCATATATAACTGCATAATACAGGCAATGTAATACCGAAAATTGTGTTTGTTGAATTGTTCCAAGAATCCAGATACAACTTCGACTGTGGCGGTATTGAATTCAGCTTATGCTATTACTATTCCCTTCCGGTGTAATTACCTGCGCTTTACCTTTACGCTACTGCAATTATGGATGACGAAAAATCGAAAAAGAACCAGATTGATGGCGAGTACTGCGGCAACTTTGTTTACGCAACTTTCATACAGTTTCCTCGAAATTTCATTCATATGCTAGTTTTTTGCTTCGGCCAACTAGCATAAAATTCTCTGACAGTGTTGTCTGAGCAATGTCGGAAACCGGTTTTCCATCGTATTTTATTGCCAGCTGGTCGTTCGCCATCATGCAACGATGGATAACTGCCAGGTCGACGATTTCCTATGCATCTGTCTAATAGCTTGCTCTCTTTCTCTTTCGGCACGTTCTCATTCATAGCGATCGATAGTGAAATTACTTAACTGCACAGCGCAGCGCACTAGCCAACTGTGCTCTATGCATGTTATTCAAAGCACATGCATTTCGTTTTGCATTGCGGACCTTGTACCATGAACGCTGGTCTATTGATTTCCTATACACGGGAATCAAATGCATGTAAGAACCGCGTTTTACCTCTTTGCCATGGCCTTGAGAATGATGGTCCGATCCCGGAACGATCTGGTCATCTGTGGCGAAGACGTTGTCGTTTTCCGCCATGTCTTCCAAGTGAATGCTAGGAATATTGAAGCGGTGGTGGTGCGCGAAGCTGCTCTTGTACGGTTCGGCAAATGGGGCTGCCAAATGGGAGTACATTGTTAGACGCTGCTACGTTATGGAGTTCTCCTAAACAGGCAGAAAGAACATCGAAAATAACAAAGAAAATTACTGGTTCACAATCGCGTTTGGCAATACTGCGTTTTCTCTTTGCGAACTTGCGGGCAACTCCACAATCTCGCTTGGTTTACCCTTCATGCCAGCGGTTATATGTACTGTAAGGCCATGGCTGAGAGATTTTCTGAATGAAACCCAGCCAGCCAATCAAACGATGCCGACGCTGCACGTGATCTCCACAGCAAATTACGCAGCACCGAAGGCGGTCTTTCGCGTTCTCATTCAAGCATGACTCACTCCAAACATTTCTGAGAATGAAATCGCTCACGTACTACAAACTACAGCGCGTGTGCGTGGTCCAGCGTGGATGATGGAGCCTATAGAGTTTTCAACTTCTAATGAAATGAATGGTTCATTCCTGTATTGTAGATTCATTCGCATTATCACGTACGGACAAAATATATAGTAAAATTTGATTTGGGCAATTAAACAACTACTCAATGTATTCCGCAGATATACTTTTCTGACTTGTGAATTATGAAAGTGTAAAGCACAAGCCAGAAGTATACACACATATACTGATTGTGAGTACTTAAATCGATCAATTTCATGAATGTATGGCATGCAGACTACCGCAGTTCTGCGACAGAAAAAAAGAAAAAAACAAGCAGTCGAACATCTAATTTTCTGCATAATGCACATTTGTAGCGTAAGTACCGTATAAATAACACTGTATTGTTATTGGCAACGATTAGGATCTAAGTTTACCTTATAAGCTGGTTTTTTTTGGTAAAGTTTTATTATGAATAAACACTTCCAGTGTTTTTAGGTAGTAGCTATATAACAGTCATCTTCGCAGGCAGTGTTCCAGCAGCAACGAGTGATAGTATTAATGCCAGTAAAATTTTACTAAATAATTTATCAAGATTTTTCAAACCTTGCCTTTGATTTTTCGAGGCATGACATTTAATATCCTTTTTTAGCAGACTTCTGACAATGAGTTTGGAGTAATCAGCCAACCAATTTTCAACAAATTTAAAATTCATAGGTCATGTTTTGCCAGTACAATACGTTGTAAAAGCACTGTAATTCACTGCCAGTTACAACAGGAAGAAATCTAATTTTAAAGGTATGGAGAAATTATCTGTTAAAATTATCAGCTGGTGTTTCGAAGTGCTGGAAGTATATTGTATTTGTATAACTAATTATGCACGAAGGTGTATACATCTATATTTGCTCTTTAGTTTTATTTATTTAAGATCCTTGAATACAATTGATTACGTAAGCCTACATATATAAGTAGCTACTTCAGCCTACTTGTATGCATAGAACTAAATTTACATCCAGACTTGTGTAACATAATGATTTGGAAACCACTGCGCGAAAAACGTAAACAGGAAATGGTATAAGATTTTGATAATTGACTTTATTTGTTATGGATAGAGCAGAAGTTCATGTGTTTGCATTTATCACACACGATAAGTTAGGAAGTCTATCATTTGTTATCTTACACAACCTTGAAGGGCAGGTTATCCAGTGCAAATTGCCCAATTAGTGGTGCATACGAAGAAACTTAATACTTGTAGTTCTGTACTGAATGGCATCTACGAGTACAATCAGCTTCTATAATATTGCTAACTAACTGATTGCGATCCTCGGGTCTTATCTTGGCGGCTTTTCGGAGGTTATTAAATCATTCTGCGTAACAATGCATAAAGTTTTATTTACATGCATGAAATGATGCAAATTCAAAAGGAACATATCTATATTATAGATATACTCGTAGTAAATATTGTGATTTACTTTTGTTTATGTTTATGCGGTAGCGCTTATGCGCTTCATTCCAAGAACTATGCATCAGCCCGATTCAGCCGGAAATTGTGACAGACTGGCGGTGAATGCTGTGACCCTTTTTCCGGTGTACAACCTTTCCATTAATTTTAGGATAAATTTGTCAGAATATGTTGCAAGTGCACCCAGCGATGTACGAAATTGTTGCTGCAACTGCAGTTGTTGATCCAGTACTAATACTCTAATGTAAAAGCCTGGACAATGGCATGTGCTGCACACTGCAGTAAATTACTGGTGCATATGACGCGCAATTAAGTAAATGCCGCTTAAAAGGCATGTTAAACACGAAACTGGATCAGTTTTACGTCACCCAGGTGTGCATTAATTCCGGAGAAGGACTCGAAGTACAAAGCGTACCCCATCCTGCTCTTCGATTAGCGATTAATGTTATTTGCAACACAAAGAGAGTCATCATCTATTAGCTTAATTAATTAAACATCACATTTACGTATGACAAATGATCAATATTTAATTGGCTTTCAGAATTAGTGGCAGCTATATACATGTCTTTAACATTAATGGCTTTTACTATAACGATGTTGTAAAGTTTTCTAAATAATCATTACCGAATATACTATAATCGCATATGTACGATAAAACAATAGAATCTCTTCTCTCTTCGTCTCTTCACATTTATTTTAAAGTACACACACCATGCACTTTAATATCGATTTTGCGGTTTCTGCGTGTTTGACAGGATGAAAGTCGCATTTTCTTCTAACGATAAGATATTACGGTACTAGGTTGCTGATTAGTTTAGACAAAAATCTATAGTTTGTCCATCACAGCTAGCAGGACACCCGTAGACTGGTAAGTAAATTTTTCTCATAGTTGGACGGTAGTACAGTACTTGTACCTAATCAGATTCTGCACGTGTAGTCGAAGTACTCACTTACTGACAAAAGTTAGAAGAATAAAATCCCAACAAAAAACGATAGCGAGGTGAACTTATGCTTCTGTTAATTATTACGAGTAATAAAGAGGATCGCAGTGTCCAGACCAAGTATCACGCTTTACGTCTGCACTGACTTACAGTACTCAATTGTAAGCTTCTTTTGCGTACAATGCTTATTACTAGTTATCAGCAGTAAAATTTCATTTTTTACTGTTTCGCAACTGATGTGTAAGTACTGTAGTTTTCATTTTCATTATTCGTAGGCGACCGATCAGGTCAGTCGACGGCCACATTGTTCAAACTGTCAAAAATCACAACAGAGAAGCATCGATTCAAAAATAAAACCGAAGTCAGCTATGAAAATTTTTATCAACATGAACCGCTGTCTTCAGAACCAGAGGATATTCTGTCAAAGCACTTGAAATCCAAGAGAACAAGAAAAAACTTAAAAATAAATAGGACTTTGTTAGGATAAAATAATCTACAGAAACGTTAACTGCTGTCTTACTAGCAATAAATAATTTTGCGATCAGCTAATTCGTACTATCCATTCAATCAGCGGATGCGTCGTCTTCAAAATGTTTCTACTAATTCAACGATGCAAAATATTCCACTAAGTCAAAAAGCCAGAAACACGTCTATGCAAGCACGACTAGATTGCAGCCCAACAAGCCGAATTAAAACCGCTGATTATCAGCGACTCTTTCTTTTACGGAATGGTACTAGAAGTTGAAACCGTATCATAATTCAGCTGGTCCAACAGCGCTCGTTTTGCTCGATATTCGAGGTGGAACACGTTGTCGCGGTCCGCTTTGAATTCTTCAATGCGATCGTAAATCACACCATCAACCCCCATTTCCTTCAGCTGCTGAATCAGCCTTGGATCGTTGTTATCGTCGCCCCACACAATGACCACCAGACCATGCTCCTTGGCTTCATGGATCAACCATTCGTTTTTCAACAAGTTCTGCGTATGCACATTCACTCCTAGAAGGTCATACGCAATCGCCGTCAGTACAACGTTGCGCGTCGTTTGGGCCCGGGCGTCTAATGGTGTCGGCCACAACGTAATTTCACCGTGCGATAAGAAAGACACCGGGTATTTGTTCTGCTTCACGCGTAACCTGTAACCAACGATAAAGATGCTGAAAATATATGGGTCAGATGATACCAAGAGCTAGATTAAATATGCATGAGTCGTCACATGAAGAACTAGATAGAACATGGTTACACAGGTAAAGGCCAAGCAACAGGGTATATCGTAATAGTTATCATTACTAAAGTTGACTCTTGTTCTGACGAATGTTTGCATTGAATTATTATATCAGAACGCACCGGTGAAATTATCTATTTAAGCCATGGCCATTACGACTGCGTCACTTCACAATAATTTTTGAAATTGAACTTACCATTAGATGAAAATTCGTTAAACCAAGGCAAGACTTCTATATTTCTATGGATTAATTTTATAGAAAGCCGGATTAATAATTAAATCCTTTCATCAGATGATAAATCCTTTCACAGATGCTTGGAAAAGCTGCGCACTTCACTTCCCCACGTCTCGGGTGTCTGGAAGTGCGCATTAACCACAGAAACCGTAAAAGACTCTATTATGGGAACGAACGTCATAATACCTTATGATTAATACAGTACTGGGTACAACATTTGTGGGAGCGTGGTCTTAGTCCTGCGGGAACAATACAAACCGATGCCTTAAGCAGACCTCAGGAGCACCATTCTGCTTAAAAGAATGTGCTTATCGCCCACCACAACCACCTGAACATACTGCTACAGATTTTGTTAAAAAAACAGAACATATTTCTTCCAGTCAGTACTTACATTGCGCACACATCCGGCTCGAAACAAGAAAAAATTATCCGACGATTCCCGGCATGTCGGTAGATAACTTGTAAAATGAGATCAACGAATTCATTACGCTCGAAGAAATGTTCAGATTCGTGCTTCCCATCCTTAAACAACATGGGAAATTTAACTTCCACGTTAAATCCCACGTGTACATCCAGTACGCGCAGGGCTTTTTCCAGCGAAGGAAAAGGTTCATGATCATCCGCACCATTGTATTTGGAGAAGCCATCCTTTTCCGTCACATGATTCAGCTTCAACATTTGCAATTGTTTCAGCGTCAAATCTTTCACCGGCATTTCGTGTAATTCCCCCAGATAATCCTCCCCATTTGAGCCCACACTGGATACACTGGATGTGCTGTCACCCGACCCACGCCGTCGCCGCATCGTAATGAACACAGAGAAGTCATGGTAAATAACAGGAACTTTATCTTTGGATAATTGTACGTCAAATTCCACAAAATCCGCGCCATGTGACGCCGCTGAGACCAGAGAGGCAATGGTGTTTTCGCGGATGGCGGCGCATTGCGTAGTCATGGAAAAACTGTTACCCGATCCACGGTGCCCGATATCGAAACCAAACTTTCGACGGCGCCAATATTTAGCATAAGAAACTTCTAAACTGCAGCCCAAGTTTCTGGTCGGATGGACCAGCATGTAGTGGGCAAATAACTGCCCGATGGGCTGGTGCTTGAGACCGTTGATAACTACTGTCCGGTCGCCATCACTCTCTTTCACGTTCGTCGGCAGAATATAGCAGCAGCCCACAGGACGTGGATCCGGACTCTCAACTAAGTTTTCTGTGCCAGGTTCAAAGGCATAAAAATCGCACCGGTAGGCCATGAAGTTCGGCTCAAGGACGCGCATGCGGAAAAATGCGGTTTCATCCGGCTTAAAAACATGACCGAATTTCTTTTGTGGCCTAAAAACCATGAATATTTTAAAATACATCCGATCAAAACTTTTTCTACCAAATCAGAACAAAATAAAATTTTCAGAAAGACTTATGGTGCTTGAAGCTCCAGCTCCGACAGCAATTACGCGTATCATTTTTTGCTTTCCCTTGGAGTTATTTTGGCCCAGCAAAACCAATTAAGGGGATCTTGAACCGTGGTGGTGAATGTTAAAATCAGAGCAAAATGACGTCAGCTAACCTGAATGTGCATTCTGTTTCGTTGAGAACTGCTATCTCTATATCGTTGGCAAAGGGTGAGGACAGATCATCCTCATCTTCGTTGGGAGAATTTTCTCGATAACGCAGATCCATGGGAATAATTTTTAGTGAATGTGCTTTCGTGCGGTGCCGAGCCTTCCACCAGTGGATGGCATTGGGTAGAAATCGCAGATGGATTTCACACTCATGTGTCAGCCAGCCGCGCATCGTGTGATCCTTCCCGTCCAATAGGCCGAACGTCGTGTATTGATCAGGACTGGCGTCTTGAGGTTTGCCGTTCGTAGGAACTGTTGTCAGCCTCCGCGGCACCAAATGGGATTCGTAAGTCAGCACCATCACCACGCGCTTTCCGGGCAGTTCGCCGTATTTTCCGATGAAATATCGATAGCGAACGTCTCGGCTGGTTGGCAGTGCAACGTTGGCGGTCCAAATAGAACTAATGTAAACATAAAAAAGTGCTGTTTCGAAAAATTCACTGTCAGCGTAACCTTGAACTTGTGAAATTGTCCTTCAAACAGTCAGAAAAACACGTTTTTAGCGGGCGTGGAAAATAAAATATTGAAACTGCATTGTAATATTAGGATGTAAAAAAAATGTAGCAAGGTAAAAAATGTAGCGAATGATCGATTTCATGTATAAAAATTTAAAGAAATATATTCTTTGATCCATGGTGTTTTAAACTATATAATCGCCACCTGACTAAAATGTCAGAGTAAGCAAACAGCGTTACAACTTATAATGAAATGAAAAACACACAGCAAAACATTTTCAAATTATCAACGCCTGATCACACAGAAATTTAAATTGTTTTTATTTATTATTTTGTTTCATGTTTCGATAAAACCGTCTAGTCAGCATTTTTACGCAAAATAAATGAAAAGTTATTACAAACTAGCAAATGCTTAATAGTCAATCGTTTAAACATTATTATTATTTCCTGACTTACTGTTGTCCATCGTTTTCCACTTGGACGCTTTCCTGCTTGGACAATGCTACACTATCCTCCGGATTCCACGAGCCCAGCTCCCGTACATCCCCGGAAAGAAATACCAACTCATCCGGACGCGTCGACGCTTTCACAACAAAGTGGACGTGGGAGAGAGCCATGGCGAATTTGTTCAGGCCTCGACTGATCTGGGATCGCGATCACTTTCGATGACCGTGAAATGAAGATCCACAATCTCCCCTGTTTGTCTCACTGCCCGAAGACAAGAAGCGCCGATGCGCCCCTTAGCCACTCATCACTGAAACAACAAAAGAGACACTTGAAATCTTATCACGAGCGAAAGGCGAAGGAACCGTATGACACGTGCAGATACGACACTTGATAATGCTCGGATATCAGCCATTTTCTTGTAGATAAGAAGCACAAAGCCCATGGCAGAAAACAGACATTACCATTTCGATAAACCTTTCCTTTATGGAATAAGAACAAAAGCTTACGATGGGCTAATTCAAATGTTTGAGTTTTCCCTCTGGTCTCATTAAAATTCGAACAGCCAAATCGCAACAATCCGAACTTACTTTCGTCATCTTTCTCTTGTCAGGGAAAAGCATCGACCGCGGACTTACTGCTGTCCCAAAGCAACAACAAACAAAAAATTTCAACGGCCAGAAACCACAACAAACAAAAACAGAAATTCCATATATTCGTGTTAGTAAGTAATCATAAATTTTAAAATTAATGGCATTTCGCAGTTAACTGTTAGCAAATTGTTTTTAGTGTGTTAGGAATTTACGATTATGCGATGAAATTGGGTGTGACTGATATTCGTCACTCGTCCGAGCTGTTTTTACCGGAAGCGATGTCACGTGAACGGTAACACGGTTCAAAAGGCTGGCTTTTGGATACGCAAGTTTTATATAGTATATAGATATTCCGATTCTTCGGAACAACACGATGAACGATTTCAGTTTTAATTACATACGATGTCGTATGTGGCTGTGCACATTTATTTTTTCGTAATAAAATATTAATTTAAGGGTATTTGTATTGGCATCAAAAACTGAAATTACGTTGCACGGCCTCATACGTTTATAAACGTATGAGGCCGTGCAACATAATTTTATGCGAAGTAACTGTACTGTAACTGTACGAAGTAACTGTACGCGAAGTAAGTATATACTTGTATTATTTTTCGGTATGATGCGGCTTTTAACAGACATATAGTTGCACCCGTCGGAAATTTCTGACCTTGGCCGTAGATTGAAAGCGAACTGGCATCTCGAATTTGTGGAACCGATTAAAAAACCCTTTAAAATCTAGCTAAAACGGATGCAAATAAGAAACAGGGACGAGATCTGATTGTTTACTAGACCCTATTAATGTGGTCAACAGAACCAGTAACGAAACCATGCAGATGAAGTACTCGCTTAAAAATTATTTTAAGAAACAGTGTGAAATGCGTGACACAATAATAAATTAATAATCACGTGCCAAGGTCGAGTGCCGGTCAAGCGAAAAGAATAGGCATCCCGCCGTTTGTTACTGATTTTGCATTCAGTCCTCGAGGCTGCCACCAACCACACAAGCAACACACATAAAAACAGAAATTCAGAAATGTAAAAAAATGAATCGATTATAAGGACGAAACCGCTAAATTTCAGGGATCAGTGGAATTTGTAGACGCTTGCCCTTGCGTTCTTTGAGATAATGATACTCTGCACTGCAATACGAAAGAGAAGACTGAATGCAAAATGGCAATAAGTAATACTCTAGGTAAGCGAAATTCTGTAATGTACTGTAAATGCGAGTACATTCAAAGCCGGTAATTAACAGCATACGCATAAGCATAGGTACTGTAGCAGGTTCATGTACTTTTTTGGTAGTGGTCGCTCAGCCGGCGGCGCTTTACTGCAGGTAACAGCCAGCTCGCCATATCCTCCTCGATTCAGAAAACAGATCAGCTGCACCGTCATGTTATCGCACCCGAGGCCTCCCATGCTGCAGTCTGGAGCCAGACAGTGCAAAACAAGATCTTCACAAATCTGGAAAACAGGCATGTATGTATGACATTTGCATATTCCGTAACCATAGGTAAAATACTTCTAGGAGATAAACAAAGCGATGCAGAAAATACAGTGTGCAATTTTTTGTGCTACCTGATCCGGTGGTAAAGATTCAGCTATTCGTTCCCTTACGAATTCAATCACTTCGGCACTGGTCATGACATCCTGCAACCGAATTCCAAACAAGAAAAATCAGAAGCTATTAAAAATCGATGGTGCGCTTCTAAACTATAAATGCTTGATTTATTTTCGTGGAACCAGAATTGTATCGGAGATCACAGTTTTGTGATTTCAGTTACCCAAATTCCGTCGCACGCCATCACAACAAATTCCCACGAATCAGTCATATCCTGCGCCACAACATCGGGAAACGCCGTAATCACTTGATCCTCCAGACTCTTGTGCTCATTTCTTTTGAAAAAGAAATCCCCTAAGGCTCGTGAAAGGGCAAGATTGCCATTCACCCGATTCCCTTCAACAAAGCCACCGGCGCTGGTTATTCGGAATGCCTCATCGGGTGAGCTTGGCTTGTGGTCGGTGGAAAGGTCAAGTGCATGTCCAGCAACACTGGCGACGGCGCGCGAGTCACCAACGTTGCCCTGCAATTACGGTCACATGAGTTACTCAAAGCAGTCCATTCCTGTTGGCTGTACAAACTACATAGAAGGAAAGGAAAAATGCCCACTTACACAAAATATTCTATTCCGGTGTATGAGCAACAAGACCGCAGTTGATCCGGCTAAATCGTATTTATCGACGTCGGGCCCTAATAAAACTTCATTAAACACTAATATACTGCCATGATATCGAATCGACATAATGCAATCTTCAGCTGCATATTCAGTGCTATTTTACAAAACAACTTCTACCGTTTTCCAAATTGAACATTTCTTGGTCCAACTGCATTACGGCTTGCTGGATGGCATCGGCAAATCTTCCTTCCCCTGTTAAACCAACGAAGCATTTTGTTCTGCTGGATGACAAGCAGCCATTTCGTAATATATTTGCCAATCTTAATTACTGATGGTTAGTACAGTACATTCTTTCCAAGTTTCCATACTTACTAAATCTTGGGTGAAGCAAAATCCGTTTGCTCAGATTTTCCTTAGCGTAATAGGCAACATCGGAACCTACAGTAAAATTCAATGCAATGTGTAATTATCGATACCGGCTTCGACGTTCGAATTCATTGTAAAAGGCAAGACTGGAAAAAGACAATCATAGAAAGGGACAAGTACATGTGAGATCGGTTTGAAATCATGCTCTCACCACCATGTCCGTCGAAAACGGCAAAGAACGAAATCTCTTCGTTTCCGTTTACTGCAAGAATTTGCACATGGGCATCCTCCATATCTACAGCAAGCAAGCACATCAGTGAAGGAATTTGGTACCTTGTACATATGAAGCATTTCGTCAACATGAACAAAGCAAACTGCAATCTCAAAGTATACCACCACACTCTGTATATCCAGGTTGCAGTGATTTTACATATGCTCTTCGAATTCTACGAAAATAGCTGCAAACCCATAATCATTGGGAAAATGATCAAACGTACGAGTACTGTATTCTTGTCACTTATACCTTGCATACTTAGCAGTTAAGAAGTCACAAAATACTTACCTATCCGCCATCCCTGCACTGAAGATGATCCAAATTTCAGGCGTCCAGTCTCATCTTTACCGTTCTGCGTGCGAGTTATGGGATCGTTGAATCCCAGCATGTTTCCCATGGCTAGCAATGCCAAACCGGTCGGCTGTTATGCAAATTAGAGTGTGCAATAAAGGCAATATTTGACACTCTCTGGGTTATGTAAAGTCAGATGTCGCATAAAAAAGCTCGCATTTTTTTCCAAGTGTTTCAAGAATAATCCTAAGTCTCGTGGATGCTGGTTGTGACGGGCTTGCCTTGTCGGTCCGCGTTGCGGAACACGGCAATGTGCATTTGCTTACATGTACGAGTGCCGACATACGGGCATGAAAAAGAGAGGCCCGGAAATGCAAACGACCACGCATTTGGGCGAAACAGCATCTCCACAGAGAGCTGGCGTCGGTCGAAGCGATCGATAAATCTCCAGCCGGTTGATCTTCAGCTACATACTGCGAAATGTAGGGATACCAAATTCCCACTCTGTCGTCCGCGCTTCCGCTGAAAGCCAGAAACCAAAAGCAGGAAAACCGATAGGGTCATGCTTAAACATTAAACAAAGACTTATAATATACTCGTGCATCAATTTTGGATATGCTTAGGCAAGACTTCCACGCTTCCACGTACAGATATAGCACAGTTATTTACTAAAAATCATTTCGGTATCGTAGACTTAAAATCAAACCATATAGACATTTAAATACTGTACATTTGACTCTTTGAATGCAGCTAGCGACAAAACATTTTACCTTGATGTTCAACATTATTTTGTGGTTAAAGTAAACACATTCTAAAGTTAGGTGGCCCTCGATTAACGTATCAGCTTCTGATTTAATTGAATCAAGTCAATATTTACTGACAAGGTTTTGTTAAAGAATGCTCTAACTTCCTAATAAAAGGGCTATTTGATTTAATACCGTCCCTAATGCACAGCTGACTGCCGATCTAAACTTTGCGCAGTTTACTTAATTCGCATATTCGCACTGGCATCATATCCGAACACCGGACACTCAGATCTGAGATCATATTAATGTTACAAGTAGCCAAAACATCCCAAATCTCAACACATTCACGGCCAATCATAGCGCGTATACTACAAAAGCTCAAACGATGCAAAGTTTTCGCATGATTCACCTGTGCGAAATACACACGAAATTATTTAAAATCTCGCAACCGGCGTCATGGGAAAACCTGTATTACTACTATAACTCTAAATTCCAATAATAGAATCTTTGGGAGAGAGCAGTATCACCACCTTCTTTATAGCTCAAAAACCATGTTATCAACACCCTCCAGCTGTAATTCCGGATTGGGCTTTCTCGCGCGCACCACGCGTCCCCAGGAAGGCGATCGAGTAACGCCATTGCTGGATGCTTTTATGCCGTTCTGTCTTTTGTCGCCGTCTTCCACTGAGTACGACCGCGCACTGAAATGACAGAAACGCAATTTGTACATTAGTCATTAGTGAACGTTTAAGAACTAAAAGCATCACATCAGCCTTATGAAACAACATGTATGCTTTCGATGTGCACATTTATGACGTTTGACAGAAACGCCCAAAAAACTAAAAAAAGCGAAAATCTGCAACGCAGAACAGTTTGACCCTGAGGACATCTTAAAATTTCGCAAGAAAATCCCGTCAGACTCGTGTCAAAAGCAAAATTATCGCACTTTTGCGTGAACCGCTGCACAAGTTAGCAATAATGCCTTCAGGTACTGCCCTAGGCTTTCCTCGCTTCGAAACTGACTAAAAACCTCAGCTTCATAAAAATCAAAGACAAGCACCGAGAATTAAACATGACTGCTTCTCTTCAACGATTCAAAACCCGAAAATATCATACAGTCTGAAGGGCAAAATAATACACAATACTGTACTTAAAACATTAACCCGTTGAAAATCAGAATGAAAAAATGAACGTCATAGAAGCACTTATTTTCAAAAAACCATCGCAATTTCCGTTCCATGCTCACATTTGCACTGGTAATTAAGTGCTCTCACCTCCAGCTCACTGCCGTTTGTTCTGTACTTTTCCTACAGGTAGCGATATTCTGGTCTAGTCTGCTGAAAAAGTCTGACGGAGATAAGGATTTATCGGGAGGAACGGAAGCGGTGCCGTTGATTTCGGAACTGGAAGAACTTTCCGGTGTGCCCGGACGCTGGTCTTTGGCTGCGTCCGTTTCGTAGGTTTTCAGCAGTGCCAGTGCTTCGGATCTGCTCAGCGGATTTTCTCGTGAACCAGCGGGATAATTCGAATTGCGAAAGCCCTGAGAATCAGGAGTTCCAACGACACCGTTGCCAATTCCATTGCTCTCTGACCGGCTCCTCGTCACCGTGCTATCCAGTGGCGCCGGGATGGGGATCAAGAGGAATTTGCGAAGATGCATAGAATCGGAAGCCCATAATCGATTAACGCGCCTCAAGTGTTCCATCTATAAAACACAGAGTGGTCTGAGCAATCAGATGCATCACAAAGATTTCCAGTTTGATCTATATTCTGCATGAAAAGAACAACTTTGAATAAACTGTAAAACCACCGCATTCGAAAATGAAAGCAATCAACAAACATTCACACCAACATTTGAAAATCAGCTATCGATAATTACTACGAGTATGCCTTCAATTCGATGTGGTCTTACGATTTTGGAAGAAGAACGATTTGCGTATGCAAAATTAAAATACCATAAAAAGAATATCGCACCCTAATACATTTCTTTGCCTTGCTGCTTCACCACAGCTTTTTCAGTAAACCATCATAATAATGCCCCAAAGTGGGGATGTAAAACAGTACGAGCACAAGCAGTGCATTAACTCATATATTCCCTACTACTTAAGCACACAAAACGTTAAATCTGGATAATAAGTACTTACAAGAACTTAAATGTATGTAACCAGATTACGATTAAATTACAACAAATTTAACATAGCGTTCCGCAAATCTTGTTCAACTACTCACTGCAGATTCCAAGATATATACCAATGATACAATTACTCGTATCTTGGTGCAAAGTTCTGGCTAGTTTTCCTGCTTACCGTAACTCCATATTTAAGCGCAATCCCTTGCAAAGTATCCGTTGAGCAAATAGGGTGTGTAATGTACATTTCATTTCCGTCGTAATTCCTTGTTGTCGTTCCGTAGCTCATGACTTTCCTGGCAATGCTACCTAAATTCAAATTAATAAAATTTAAAAATAATTTTGCTAGGACAGTTTTGGGTAAACTATAGCACAAGAACGCTTTATTGATTTACACGCATTCTACCTATCGAGGCAGTTTCTTCTAGATTTATGGACCATGATAAGTCCGTCATAATTGTGGTTATGGTTCGGTAGCCTTCAGATCTCGCTAATCACTCGTACTGCTGTACACCAGTACAATTAGCTAATAAAGAGCCAAATAATAAATCTGGACGGGAACCAATCCGATTGCTGATTTGTAACAACGGGTCTACGGCATGATAAGTCTGTGTAAGAGATAAGCTTCAGTCAAAACATTCCAAACGGAGATAAAGAATTCAAGGTAGCGATTAAGTACGCGTCAAAGTAGTGGAGCAGAAAAAGTCTGCGCACATTATGCACAGCTGCGAGGGCCAGTTCACGACTCAATTAGTGTCAACCAGAAGAGTTCAGGATCGACAATTCCAAACGAGACTTGGTTAAACGGATCAAATAACCATCTGGGAACCAAAAGCACCATCACAGAAGTACAGCAGGATGTTTCTTCAGATCAGTCAAATGCAAGTCGACAGGGAAAGACAGCGCGACATGCTGGTGCACTACCATAACAAATGGGTTCCAAATTTAAAACGTCCGCGCCAGGAACGCGAAGTTGATGAGAGCACGGAGTACGAAACTGTCGCTATTACGTGAAGTTTATATTTCGTGCTCAGAAAGCCGTTCCACCACGGTCGAAGAGAAAACGAACACCACGGAAGCTGCTGTTTTGAGCGACATGCACCGATCCTGTTTCCTTGTCACGTGGTCGGAGCGACGCGGTGCTGGGATAGATGGCGCTCTTTTCTACGCGCAAAGTGCTTATGTTCCGTCCTACCGGAAGTGACTACGGTAGTATGTCCATTCGTAATATAAATATGGAGCTATAAGTGCGTACAGCTCCTTTACTTACATAATTATGGGAATAATTATAATTATGTTTGAAGTTACTGTGAAATCTTTCTGTGAACTGAATTGATGATCATAGTAATTAAGGAATCCCGCATCTGAATAAAATGTGGTGGCATATAAAAAAATTATGGGAAAAACTTTACTTACTTACATGTTGCAGCTATTCAAAATACATACACATCGTAAATCGCTTAAAGTTTTGCAAGGTTTGCTAAAGAATCAGGTAAAACACATCCAAAAATATACACCTTACTCTCTGAATACTTGCACAGATACTTCAATAATACATCAATTTCGAACTGATAGGAATCACAGGATCCCTTTTCAACAGTAATCCAACCAGAACTTTAATCGCTAAATGTAATAATGTTATAAAAATTACATAAGAAAAGTAATTTTAAGTAATTTTATGAATGAACTGTTGAACTGTATAAGGGCTTAAAAGAATTAAGAAAATTCAAAGAAGCTTAAAAAATTGCTTATTTTTCACAAAACAGCAAATTAATTAATTTAATATTAGTAGTCGCAAAACTGAAATCACTGGACCTTATCAAAGTCGCTGTAAAAACACCAAACCTTATGGCAAAGTTTGATGCAGTCCTTTACAAAACTCCGCACCGTTAAGTTAAAACATTAAGTGCAAACATAAATGTTTAGAAACCGAAACTTATAGCTGTATACCTGCCTAAACTGACTACCCGGTAGAATACTGAAATCCTAAAATACGCATCTGCATAACTGTGCTACTGTACTTGTGTGTAGTATACCCATTTATCAGAATTTTGTTATGGGAATTTCCGGGATTCCCAATGCATTTTCAAATGTGCATGTCTTTGTTCATGACCTTTACGTCGATGCCCCGTATGCGGCAGTGCCCATACAAGCACTGGGACTGGGTAGCCGATAATAATTACGACTGTATGGACCACTTTCAACTTTCTCTCCTGCAGAAATGCTTTAATTGTAACCTAACTAGTGCCAGTCATTAGAATATATGTTCATTAGAATATATATTCAGCATAAGCAAATTGAACTGCTAACCAAATTTTTCAGCTTAAAAAATTAGCGGGCCGCTGTCCGAGATAGGTTGCAACATAATGCCGTATTTCCAAAATATTAGGGATGTGCAAAATCTCTTCTGCTAAAAACTAAATAAACTCAAGAATGAGCAAAGGAAGAATGGGCATCTGTTGTGACTAACCATACATTAGAATTCTGCAATTAGAATTATGAAGTAAACCACATCTAGCTATAGTATTGTACTTTATACCAATCAGCAAAAGTTTCAACACGGTAAAAGTTACTTACCATTTATGAAGTTGTGGTTGAAGTAATTAGATGTCTGCCGGTTCAAAATCTTCTTTTTCCAATCCATGACCTTTTCATCAGGAGTGTCCCGCTGTTCTGGAGTAACTGACTCAGATTCGCAAAGCCACATGGAAATGTAATTATTCAGTTGTGAGATACCAATAATTAATGCAATAATCTGTTGAGGTAGTGCAAAATCGTAACTATGGAAAATTGTTGCAGGAGCTCAAAATGTTTTCCCTTGGTTACACCTGGGAAATTAGAGACGAACTATTTGGACGAGTAGAAGTGGTGAGCACAAAGCATCAGCTGATGCTGCGCATTTTTTTACGCTATATGTTTTCTGCACGACTGAAAACACCTGTTTGCTCTGTTCTGTCCTTGATGTTAATATTTTAAATGTATCCAGAGTTATTCGTCGCATAAAACACCGCTTGTCAGGTGATTTGAGCACACGCATACGAATGAATTGATTTATTAATAATTTCAACAATCCGACTCGCTCTCTAAGCATTTCGAGCTGCCTGTTCATGCCAAAAGCGATTTCAATGCAAGACTGACTTTGCTTCACTTACAAGCAAAGAAGAATAAATTTGTATGGTAAAATAAACCAGTGCTGAAAGAATTCGCTGACTAAACTACGCCGCCACCATGTTGTTGGACACATTGTGTAATTAAAGCTCAAGATGTTGTGATCGGTATTAGTGCAACTGCAACAGTTCCCATCCATCAACTGGATGAACTGGTCTAGCAACAACAACCACGAACCGGAACTTATCGCCGGCCATTCCGAATTTTATTGTGTTCGAACCTGCTTATATGTAGTTCGAACAAGACTGACTAAAAATTATATTTTTATGCATCAGTACAGCAGGCGAAGTACTCATCGTAAGCACTAAGCAGTAAATCCCGATTTGAAAAGCAGCGCAGTTTTGTAGCTCAATTTATCCTTGAATTTTGACCAATTTTTTGGACTAGGACAAGTGAACTGCCCTGATTGAAATGCAATATTCACTTCGTCTCGCAAAATCCTCACTGCATTTTTATTAGTATCTGAGAATAGCGTCACTGTTTCAACCCCAGGACTAATAAATCACAAACAAAAGATTTCTTTCAACATGTTCAAATCAATGATTCGATACGGGTTTATTCCAAAATTTAACTCACAGAAACTTAAGCTGGATACATTCCATGAACGATGAACACATACGAACACAACAGAGAAATCCTGTAAATAAGTTAGGTAGAAAATAAAAAAATACTGTAAGAACGGGAGGACCGAAGGAAAAAAAGCTGTACCATGTGAGACAAACTGATAGCTGGTCGTCAATAAAAGTCACACGAAACAGACGAAATGTGAGCCATTTCACATCCCAAGGTAACCGATAAATCCCCCTCAGATCAAAACTTAATCCCGTTCTTCCGGTACAGGTTCAGGACACTTTCATTTTTATCGGCTAGTCGCAAGAACATCGAGCCCACAATGCAGTCTTGCAGCTGGTCTTCCACAAACAGCCGTACGGGTTTTTCGTGCCCTTTCCCCACCAAAAGCTGACGCGCTTTTTCGATTGCGCTCTCGTCAAAAGGTCCATTTCCGTTAGTTCGACCTGGTAAACACGTGAATCATACTTTCGCAAAATTCATACCATACTATATAAGAGTATCAAGACAAATCTCGTTCATAAAATTTGATTACAATACATCAACAAAACAGCGGGTTTAGTAGCGGGATAAAAACAGATATATAGATGCTATCTATATATCCGTTTTTGGGCATTCATCACATAAAAAGCACTCCTCAATTCATTCAGAGACGGGATATCCTTACCGGTGATCTGTACAGGGTTGATCCACTTGGGGATTTGCATCAGCTCCGGCGTGATGGACCGAACTGCGGCAAGAGGAGTAATGGCAGTCTCCCCCAAATCAATGAAGAAAAGCAGCAGTTCCTCAGTTTCCACAAATCTGTTTAAGACCAACGCCCGCAGCCAAATTTTTTCTGTAAGCAGCAGCTGTTAGTAACACTCGTTATCTAATACTCCTTGGTAGACAACCGTAGACTTACCTCCTCCCGGAATATCTGGACTTTCCACTTTAGCACAAACTGCAGCTCCCACAGATGGCAGGTGGCCAAAGTGGAGCATCTGGGAATATCTGGATGCGGCAGCGTTTTCAATTTTTACCATGAGCTCCCCCATTTTCTTATCTAACACAGAAATACCAAGATTACCACACACGGAAGATATCAATGTTGCAGTAGCGGCACAGCTGTCATGAAACAACGTTGCTCACCATATTCCTGTCCCTCATCCTCGACAACAAACACGTACTCCGGGTCAGCCACGCTCTGGACGTAAACCTTTATCATTGGCTCATTTTCATCTCCTCCACAACTCCGGCGATAAGGAATATCATCGGCGAAGTATTTGTATGGGACATTTGGAGGCCAAATGTTTCGCAGTGGCCCCGGAGATGCCCTAGATGAAGGGCGATTTCCGTTGTGGGACACCGGGGTCATGGGGCGCATCCTTCGACACTTGCACTCTTTTTCGTTTCCATGTTGCGCTTCCACTCTTTATTTCCGTTAATATATCGCAGAAAAAAAGTGGGGAGATTCGTTTCAGGCATGTTACCTGTCACAAATATAAATAATATCAAGCAACACAGACAAAAGAAACACTGATGTCAGCCAGGCTGGGAATGTTAGAACACTACATTGTACAACATTGAAAGCTCAGATTGTACAACACCGTTGTACAATCTAAACTTCTGTCGATAGTAGCGACGGGATCTACCTTGCTGAACTCTTTACAGTTAACGCTACTTCTATCGATAAATCACAATATTCGTTAATAATTTCAAATTCAAATAAAAATTCCTGTATCCAAAAAAGCTCTCAAATCGGACAACTTTATAGCGCGGGTTTTCCAACAGAATTTCAAATCCCTTTGAAATTAAAATCTAAACAAATTCTGTTGACTCTGAAGTGTGAAGCACCTACCGTCACCATTTCCAACTTCTTGGGGCGGTTGTGATGTAGGCTTGAATTCCTGAACCTTTGTAATGTCCAGATTTTCAAACAAGCCCTTACTTGCCGAATGTTGCCTTGGAGGCGTAACGAAAAGACTATTATCATGGCTCATCGAATCCATGCCTTTCGACCCAGACGAAACTGTTGCCGGGGAACGGCTGTTTTCTGCGTCTGCATAAAACGACTTCGATTCAGATCGTTATCTCAATGAACTGACTGAACTGTAAAACACTGACTTCCGAATCCCGAGGAAACTTGCGGGCAATTAAATTTGCATTTGCATAGAAGATAGAAATCGATTTTCAGAACGCAGCAAAACTTAACTATTTTTTTCAAATCTCAAAGCGTGATATCGTGAAACTGAAGTCAGTGCTAGATTACCGTAACCTTGCACTCACCAATACTGCGAGAAATTCGAGCATTTTCAATCTGCGGACTGGACATTGTCTGCTCTTTGTGCTGATGCCGTTCCGTTGGCTGAGGTGTTCCGGAACGGTGGACAGCGTCGACTGAGGCCACGCTGCTGGAAGTGCTCCGCGGGGAATTCTCCGTTTCCTTCTGCAAACGCAACACGGTAACCGGAGATCATAAACGCTGATCGGAGTACAGCAACCGTTTATTTGAACGGTTCTACTTCTGACCTACCTGATCGTACTTTCGGGAATCGGCTAACAGCGAGGACGTTTGCTGTGGTTTGCTGATCTTTGGCTCTTCCATTCTCGTCTGCTTGGGCGTTCGCTGGCTGTTTTCGGCGGCATCGTAGATAGTGCAAAACATACTCAAACTCTCCTCACCAGGTTTGGCCCTAAAACGTAAAATCCGCCATGATCCTTCTGCAACTCCCTTTCATAATTTTGTTAGCTATAGTAGACAAAAATAAAGCCGAAAATAAAGTTTAAGCGAGCCTGCAGCATTCAGCAGACTTTGGAAGGATTTCCGAAATTGGCGTTCGGGCACATTGCAGCCGTGCATTGGTCACTGCAAGTCGGTAATAGTTAACGGGTTAACCTACCTTTGGCTCAAGGCCATTCTTGATTCTTCCCAAATTAATTATCCAGCAGTAATAATTTTCGTTGACATATGACCTATCGAAACACCATACAAACTCTTTCAAAAATGATTCTTGGAGCTGCTGAATGATTAGTCGAACAAGTTACAAGTTCATACAAATTTAACGTTTCTCACTATACTTCCTTCATTACCTGCCACCGAGTTAGTAAAATTTTGAATAATGATGGAATATGATAGAATAGAAACCATCAAATGCACAAGAAAAACGGAAGAGAATTATTAAAGAACGCTTCTAAAGTAAAAAAAGTGTAAAAAAAAACAGAAAGCGAAGCTGCGGAAACACCAAAACTTTTCCTCGGAGCGATCAACAATAACATGGACGATTTTTCCCGAACCGAAGCAGTTGAATTCGATGGACAGAGACATGACACATGCATAATATATAAATGCGTACTGCGTAGTACATCTTTACCGCACGGTACTGTACCGTCGTTTGTACGTGAGTCACCTGACGGTGAGCTTATCATTTTGATGCATTATTTTTATGTACTGGTTACGACCGAGACTTGGGTTGTTTTTAAATATTCAACATTTAACTACTGTATCAAGTAAATAGTGTGCCAGCGCTTGCATTTGTGCTTACTGAAAATTACAATCATGTTAATTGACGGCGTGTCTTATGTTGAGGTCAGTACAGACTAGCCGGTACCGCACTTCCACTTTGTTTTTATTTTTATTGCTTGGTTTCCAATTAAACTGATTGAAATAAAATATATTACAGAGCAGTTTTTCTTCTCTCTGCAATGGTTGTATAATGCACACAAAATAAATCAAAATCACTGACGTTGCCGTTAGTAATGCGCCACCGTGCCGTTTCACTCGTGGTCAGTGACAATTCCGTCAGTCTTGTCTTTTACGATCAGTCTAATCTGAATTTCTCAAGTTTTTCATATTATTTTAACCATAGCACGAATGAAGGTTGGTTAAAAATGACTGTAAGTACGACTGTAAAGTTGTAATTTAGTGGCGCTTTTATCCTTTAAGTAGTTTTCTTTTTATCCTTTAAGCATTTTCTGTTGCTACTCCGATGCCCCCGTTAATCCCAACAATCTGTATCACGATATGTACATGTAGATATAATACGTATTATCACATACAGATATGGAAGTACATAAGAATTATCATATTTATAGATACTCGTATTATGCATTTATGGTACTTTGTAAAAATTATTAATGGTACTGAATTCTAATGGTTTTATAAATTATGGTACAAAATGGTTTACCATTAAGAAACATATTGCACATGTCGTTCAGAATCAAGTTAAGAAATTAACATTTTGATTTCACAATATAAAACCATCGGTGTAACGTCTGTACATTAAATTAATAAAAACCACAACGTACCTATGCCGGCTATGCGCATACTTCCTGGATTCTGGACGGTATCATAAGCTCCTCCCAACAAGTAGGAATACTCGAATAAAATGTTTGGGTTGACCGCTTGTAGTATTAGAAGGATGGCCACATGGCTCACGCTCAAGCTTGATTCCCTATTGCGAAAAAGATGCAGCAATCCAGTGTTTCTATTGCTTCGCCTTTTGCATTTAGAATGCCGATTGGTAATAATTTTACTATCCCTACACATGATCACTAGTTGTCCACTTACGCCGATCAAATGTAAAAATCGGGTGGCAGCATTTTAAACTTAAAGCAGCATTGTTGCAGCTTACAGCGTTAACAAAATAAGTTCCGCTTTGTCTTCACATATGTTCCGGCAAGAAACTCGATAGAATTCGAATAAGTACGCTATTTTATCGCCTAAAATTTTATTTTCGGCATCGACCTCGTTCAATGGACTGTTTTCACCACGGCAAGCTACACAGCCGATTACTCAAGGTTCGTAATTAATCCGAAAACTTTTTGTTTTTTATACTTTAACGTAATCTGATTTCTTAGCAAATTGTTAGCAAGATTGCTTTTTGAACTATAGTTTGTAGACTCTGACTGTGTACTGCGTACTAACACAGGTATGCGTCGTTTTTTGCGAGTTTTGGCATAAATGTACGTAGTAGGCGCAGTTTCTTGTCAGTATGCCATACCGATACTGATGCCGCTTCCGGCTGTTAATCCCCGATCTACATAGTGACGATACAGTAGGCTACCTTAGACTTGCAATGTTTAACACAAATATGAAAATACTGGACATTTTTGAAATCGCCATCTAAGCGGTCAATGAAGCAGAAGACACTGAATATTTCTAAGCACCTGTTGAAGAAAAGCCGAAGAGAATAATGAGCAAGCTAGTCTTCCACGTCGGTCTTTGAAATACCAGTAATAGACTGAGTGGCGTATTTCGCCGTTCTGGCCACTGGTCATCACCGCCTGTACGTCTCTCTCTTTTCTCTTTCTTCCTTTCACCATAGTTGGCCTGCGATGACCATCAATTTTCAAGCAGGCTTTCTTCTGTCCTGCCACAAGCAGAGCTGTGCAAAGCTGGCCTCGTCTATCCTTATCAAAGTTTTATAGAAATCAAGTGATGAGGACGAAACTTGTTCGTTAGCAGAGTGAATGTTATGGACAATTTGTGATAATTTGTGTTCAGTTGTCAGGCCTCCCGCAGCCGGAGATTTTGTAACCATTTCATGTTTTGCCGGACTGCATTCTGAAAGAGGAGCTTCGAATTTGTAGTGCACGATGATCTGAATTCTGAAATCGATGATCACAGCATTCTGATGTTTATGGAATATTTATCTGTTTGGGCATTGTATTATTGATGTTACTACCATGTTTGGATGTGGATTGAAGGGCTTTATTATTCAAATCTGTAAATATTATAGTATCTGTAACTGTAAGCAAAATAATTATGTTATTTTAGTTGCTTCTGTCGCCGTATTCGGGAAAGCAGATATCTGTACATACTGTACGGCAGTTGTACCGTATAATAAAATATATACGTTCATTGTGAGGAAAGTAGTTTTTTTCTAATAAGTTCAAGTATATCTAATTGATTTTTGCGAATTTGTATCTGCGTAAATGAGTTTGTTTTTCGGTTTTTACAGTAGCAGCGAAGCGTGTTTTTATTCTCTGTTTTTAGCAGTAGTCTACGTAATATCATTTCTAATTTTCAATAACATAACGGGCGATGAAATGACAATAGATATTCAGAGATAGGCATGCATCTGTTAGAATTTCTCATCCATTTGATCCGCTCATTCTTTAATTGTGACAGCATACTGTAGAGTGTCGTAACCATCATGGCCTATTTTTCAAGTATCTCGTAATCTTCCTTGAATGACCAATATTGTAAAATACCATTCGCGATCGACGCGTAACAATCCCGCTTTATTTGGGATTAGCTTTTTTACGAGCAATAAATCATGTGCTCTTAACCATTTCCTTTTTATCCCGATCGTCAATTAGTTTGCCTAAACCCTGAGCGCGCATTTTTCTGGGGGCTGTGCGAACTTGAACTTATCACTGCAATGTCCTTTCCCTTGCAGAATGCTCTTTGATCCACGACTGGAAAAACGGCTGTTTGCGCCTGTTGAGATGGAGCATTGTCGTGTTTGGCCTAGAGTAAAATTATCTCAGCAGTTGATTAGTGATGCTTGAGCAGGAATGCCAACACAATGGTTAGCGGCGTCAAAACAATGTGGACGTTATTTATATTTGCCGGCCTCTTGCCGGTTGTGTGTTACGCGGACGTTACACAGAATTTCCTGGTGGACGAAGGAGTACCGCCGGATGTCGTAATTGGTATGCTAAGCGCTCCCAGCGGATCACACGATGCCTATCCGCCGCCACCCTACATCATCATGGCCGATCAGGAGACTGTCGGCAGTGATTTGTTCATTAACGAGAATACCGGTGAAATTAGGACAAAAATCACAATGGACCGCGAAGTGACAGATTTTTATTCTTTTATGGCCGTTCCATTGTCGGGTGGGCCGAATATTCGGGTGCGCATTGCCGTACAGGATGTGAATGACCACTCACCCACCTTCAAGTCCGATGGGGTTAATATTGAATTCTCCGAATCGCAGCCGCGCGATACACGCCGGAGTCTGCCGCCCGCATACGACCAGGATGTGGGCATTAACAGTACACAGCGTTATGAGATTGTGTCAGGTAATATTAATCAAGTCTTCCGGTTATCCTCGCGGCGCGGTCGCGACGGTACACTATATCTGGATCTGGAAATTAACGGAGTTTTGGACCGTGAAACGGTGGAGAATTATCTCTTGACCGTTGAAGCGTACGACGGTGGGAATCCGCCGCAGACGGGCCGCCTGAAAGTGAACATCACTCTACTGGATGATAACGACAATCAGCCGTTATTTAGCGAGAGCCGCTATTACGCCAGTGTTCTGGAGAATGCCACCGTGGGGACGGAACTGTTGCGAGTGGAAGCGACAGATGCGGATGCGGGACGGAATGGCCAGGTTTCATATTCGATTAATCGCCGGCTAAGTGATGGGGAACATATTTTCACAGTCAATTCCCAGTCGGGGGTGGTCAGTCTTAATAAGGCGCTAAATTATGAAGAACGCTCGGCTTACGAACTGGTCATCACGGCCCGGGACAATGGCACGCAGCCGCTGGAGTCTTCGGCCTTTGTCTACATCGACGTGCTGAACGTCAACGACCAGCCGCCGCGGATCGACGTGGTTTTTCTGAACAACGCCAGTGGGTTTGTGGCGGAAAATGTCCCAGTGGGAGAATTTATTGCGCGCGTATCAGTTGTCGATGAAGATGCGGTGCCCGGGGATTCTAAAATTCTTTTGAATATGACAGGCGATATGGACAAATTCGATCTACTGTCAGAAACAGCATCAGTTTTCATGATTCGCGTCAAGAGCGGCCTAGATTATGAGGCGCAGAGCAATTACACGTTATCCCTCGTCGCCTCTGACGGCGGCATTCCACCGTTGTTGAGTGAAAAATTTGTTAGCCTATTAGTCCACGATGTAAATGATAATGCGCCTGTTTTCGATAAATCTGTCTATCAAGTCGAGACGTCGGAAACTGTGGACAACGGCACGGTGTTGCTGCACGTGTCAGCTGACGATGTCGACAGCGGGGACAATGCCCGCGTGGAGTATTTTTTATTAGATCCCGCTGATGCTAAAAAGATCCGTATTGACCCCACCACAGGTATAATCCAGTCGGCAATGGCGTGGGATTGTGGAACGGCCAACATGGACATTGTAATCGGCGCTCGTGACCACGGAAAGCCGGTCTTATCTTCGACAGCTGCTGTCCGACTGGTGTTCCGCTCCGACGACGACACCGCGCCCGTCTTCCACCGGCACTGGTACAATGTGTCTCTTCGGGCGGAAGATGCTCGTATTGGCAATTGTTTTCTTAAGGTAAGCTGCGGGCCGGTATTGTTCGGTTGCGTGAAAAGAATCCGTAGTGATTGGTGTACAGCGGGGTGTTGTGTAAAGGATTTTCGTAGTCTTGTCAAAAGACCTTTTTACCGAGGATGATAGCTGGATTGGCAGACTCGCCATGTTGCATCACGGCTGCTTTCAGCCTCAATGAGTTGCCTTTGGGCCTTTTAGGAAAAATTCACAAGCTCGCAGTGCTTTTCCGTAAGAATGATGCTTTTCACTCAGAATGATCGTTTTTGAGATTTATGATTGCCAGAACCAGCTGCTCTATTAGTCAGATTACTTTAGAGTGCAGTGTGCTCGGTGGTCCATATCGTGATGGGAAACAGAGAGATCTTGTTATTTAGCAAAGAAACCAACCATTAGTGGCCGCAAATATTCAGTCTCAAAAGTCCTAGGACTTTTGAGACTGAATATTTGCGGCCTCAGTCTGTCACTGAAAATTTTTTGCCGCCAGAAATTGGAAAAATTTGAAAAAGCACTAAGGATAGCTAGTAAAATCTTACACTTTGTAGAGCAAATACAACTGTACTGAAATTTTTATCAAATAGAAAACTAAACGGCAAATGCTCTAAATTTTACAGTGGATTTTAAGCTGCGCGGTGTATTTGTACCTTATCGACACGAATTTAGAGCTTGACGGCACGTGAGTTGGGATAAAAATGTGTGAATAGACTTGTCGCATTCAGCGTACAATTTACGATATGCCGAGCAGACGCTTCTGGAGTTTGTAATGTGAAGTTAATTGACCTTTATAATGAATGTAAGGCTTGTTGACCGGAACACGCAGCCAGTGCGGCTTCTCTGGCCTTAAGGCGCTTCCGGTTGTTGTTCACATGGAGATAGGCACGCAATCATCAAACAGCCATTTGACTGGACAAGCCGAAAGTGTTATGTTCTTACTAATTAGCTACATCAGCATTGCAATTAGACTATTTCCGTGTTACTGGATAGTGGATACTTTCCACATAGCAAAAAATAAGGAGAACGCCACGGTCAGCAAGGACATCGTTAAAACACCCCGAATGATTGATTATGACAGTTCTTGCTGTCAGTAGTGCGGCAAGAAGAGCAGCCGATTTCTTCATTAAGATTCTCACCAAAGAAGACGGTAATTAAACGCCGTGCGTTGTATTCAAACAGACCAAAACAATACCCGTATTTGATTAAGTTTTGCCTGTTAAGTGTGTGCACTGACGATGTGCAAACTAATAGTAGCAGTTTGGAATTGTTCTTCCTAGTTTATTGTTATTGGACTGAAAATGTTTGGTTAAACAGTTGGTAATTGTACAAGCAGGTAAATCTGTCATATGTGTTTAGGGGGTAAAGCTATCATATTGCCTTTACCCCCCTCCAGTTCTAACCATGTGCTTTCGCGTTAGCTTTAACGCCGGTGAACTTTCGATTATAAACATGTCCAATTGGCAAACCCGTAATACAAATATCAACAAGTAATGCATTGCACTCTAGCAGCTGGTTCAATCCGCTACCAGGATTGGCGCATGATGTATGGAAACCTTTCGGAAGGTAACTTGATATGAGGAAACAGCAGAACGGAATTTGCTGCACTGGGAAATGCGATGCAGATAATTATGTCACCGAGTTCATGCTCGGATTAGCTAGTTCACCTTATGCTTTGTGTGCCGGAGATATTTTCCCATCATCGCCCTATCTGCCGGCTCGGCCTCTCTGTAAAATTGCTGTAAAATGGAAACCATAATCGGCTTAGAGAGATCTGGAATCCGGTGATGCGGCGCTTACGTTTTTGAAAAATATCGCCGACTGCCGCGAAGGTCATGTAATGTGTATGGCGCCGAGTGCGGCAAGCTTGTTGCTGATGCGGTGCAGTTTTAATTAAGTTTCATTGATGGGTCCAAGTTAAGGCATTGAAAGAATGGATTGCCGATAATCTCCTGCAGTCTTGTGGCTAAAGTGTTTATAATCAGTGGTGCCGCGGGCAGGAAGAGCATTTGCATTTAAGAAAGACCACATTGCCCCCTTAATTGTAATTCAGGAACGTTTGTTGAGTGAATTGTCTTGTTCTTGTAATCAAAATGACTATCTCATGATCTGTCGCGGCAGGAACGCATCGGCTGCCTTGCCGTGCCCCGTTTTTCTCTGCTCCGTACCAAGTGGCTGCAGTTGGTACGGGGCCGGAATTTACGGCCTTATTGACCATGTGGTCAATAATAGTTTCGTAACAGCACAATCCAGAATCTGTCAAAACAGGTCATTTTCTAAATTAATAACGCTGGTGGAAAAATCAATATTATTAATGGTTATGAGCCGGACAGCTCGGCTCGGCCAGTTTGTATGTGCATATCAACCGGTCTGTTATAACTATAAGGGAAACGTTAGGCGGAATCCAAGCGACAACTCGGGCTTTTATGGCTTGGAGCACTTCCGTTCTTTGGGCTCATTGTACCGCCGGCCTCCTATCTGCTTACGTTTGATTATTTGTCTTACAGTGATCGGTTTGTACTTTATGGGTGGCGGCCAATGAATACCACAAGAGCACTCAGAATGCATACCAGAATAATATAAGGCAGTTTTAAATTGATCCAGATTTCTCAGGCCTCTTTTACCGCCATTTGTCTGATGAACTAGAGGAAGCGTCAACAATTCGGGGCTTTGTTGAAATCATCTGGAAAAGAATGCTCGTAGTGATGCACTTTGTCTTCGGCATGGTGCAGACTGATGACTGCGTCATATTCTTCCACGATTTTGTTGGCTTTTCCTTTCGCTCTAGTTCGCTAATGGTCATTTTCACTATGAGAAATTACCAGGCATACATTTAACAGTTTTTTTTCGGCCGAGAGAATCCAGAACAAGACGAAAAGAAAGAGTGTCACGGCAATTCAGAATAGGACGACAATAGAGATATTTGTTTCATAGCTAATTAATTTAAATGCCATAACGGAAGTTGGTTTTATTATGTTTTTATAAACAAAGGTTAGAGAAAAAAAGACGTCGCTTTTCCCAGTTTCTCAAGGCCCGCACACAAATCCGCCTTTGTCTAGTTTTGAAATATGATGTACCTTTGTACTTAAATGAATGCGCTGGTACATACGTCATACCTTGAAATATTCATTAGAATAACGCTTATTGACGACTAGGGGGACATAATAAAGCCACAGGGTTGGCAACATGTTTGCCAGAGGTTGATAATATCGTTTACCATTCCATAAATCATTTGCCGGACACACAGTATCAGCTGGTACTGAGCCGTTAGGAATCTCCTGTTTTACCAGCTTGATTTACGGCTCTGGTCATTATTGGAAAGTTTATGGAGCGATCGGGTTTAGTTGTGGGAAAGCATGCATTGCGCATTTGGAGAGAGGTTTATTTTGTAAATTTGTCCATTAAAAGTATATTATAATATGAAACCGCCATTCATGCTTCACTGCATTTAGGCCCTCGCAGATCTTTGCTTGGTCCTTTTATTTCAGAAGCATTTGTTCACAATAATGTCTGCGCTAGTTTCGTGAGCATATTAAATATGATATTCAGTATTCCACTCAGTTAATTGATTTACAATGTTCTTCAAATTATGTCTTTTTAAATTGTTTTCTTTTCTGAATTTGTAATTTTGGTTCTTCATGACAAACGCGCACGCTGCCCCAACCTCTTCATATTTGTAACACGGATTAAGGAGTCTAGGCGAATGTTTGCGTACGAAATTTCTGTAAGTGGTCGGAAGGCTTGGCGAATTTCAGAAAAATGACCGTCAGCTGGACATCGCATGCTGCGATAAAAGGCACCACAGCTTAATCTTTCACTTGGCCAGTCAAAAACAATAGATAAGAAGCTTACAAGTCCCATTTCAAATGGGCTCGTATTTGCCGAATATAATGCAGAATATGAGCACCGTTAATAAGTACGTTTTTGGATTAAGCCAGGTAGTTGTGAAATACATTTGCGTGACCTTACGGATGGATGTCATGACTCTTATGGTTTATACAGTATATTGCTCACCGTGCAGCGTACTTATATATAATTATTACATGCTGTGGCCACTGGCCCACAGTGTACTGTTCAATATACAAATGCACGATATTAACTGTTTTTAATTGATGTTATTGTTTAAGATTATTTACGAGTTAGATGTAACCTGAAAAGTGTCCAGTGACCGGTGTGAAACTGTTCGCACATAAGGCCCAACCACGTTTCAAAATTGAAATTGAGTAATAGATACTACAATCCTCGCGCGTACATTTGAGCTTGACCAGATGTTTTGTGCGTCTCACTATAAGTATTGTTCTTCCATATCGTATTGTACTCGTTATAACTTATGCTTATTCATGCATTTGATGCTGCTGCGGTAAAATGAAGAATTTATCTCAAGAAAGCAGCGCAGGCATAATAATGGTCTTATGAAAAGTAAGTTGGGTGACCAGTTAACAATAATCAGTTTATTAAGGGATTAAATCAAGAACTGCAGGTATGCTCCGACAAAGGTGAATGTGGTATGTCTGGATAGTACCTAGGCGCATTGGATAACTCAAAAAGGATGTTTATTATTAACTAGAATATTATTCTGGATTACTGGAACTGGTCGATAAAATGTCAATTCCCACATCATTATTTTAAGTATTTGCAACATTTTGAAAAAAAAAGTAATGTATTCCCACATCTACAGTAGTTGCTAGCTTCCGATCTCGTAATATTATTATGTGAGATTTTTGCAAAAATATGAAGTTAAGCGCTGGTGGACTTATATTTATTTTTTTGATGGATCTTCAGATATTTACAGGAGAGTTAGTAGAATATCACAGAGATTGGTTTTCCCTTATCGACGCTTGCGATCGAACCTTTAAAATGCATGGCTCACGAGAGTGTCATTTGTAATATCAATTTAATTTATTGATAAGCCGTCAGATTACGCACCGTGGTATTTTACTGTCAGTAAGCAGTAACAAGAAATGAATGATTCAAGGACGAACATCCAATAACCGGAGATGTCATAGGACAACACAAGATTCATAATCTGCTACGTTTGCTATTAGTGTCCGACCTGCTCGAGTAAGATCGCAAGATACCTTGGGACAGAATTAATGTGATTAATAATTTACAAGGAATGCAAACTAGAAGATAGCATCGCGATGCTGTCTTATTGATAAGGTATCCAGCTTCCATTCGGAACTTGTTTGCCGGGAAGCCTGCGTTGGTCACCCGTCCTGGAAAGGCATCTGTGTAATACCCTTTCTTTCTGATTTCATATTTCGACATTCATTTTGCATAATTCATATACCCTTTACTCGTGTAAGCGACAATAATGCAACTTTGATCGATAAAGATCATGAGAGCATAGACTGATAACCTTTAAGAAAAGCGAGTCGCCATAAATTTAGGGACATTAATATGTCTTGACATTTTTGCTTTTCTACTGTGTTTTGGACCACCAGTATTGATTTGAGCCAAAGGGCAAAACATTGATACCAAATTATCGACATAAATATAAAATACAAAATGTGCTTGCGTTAGTGCGTGCATGCACCAACAGGAAACTAAAAGGATGTTATTTCTGCGCAAAATGCCATTATAAGGAGCATAATATATTTTGTTAATAATTCTGTTCTTTCATTCGTATAATAATAATGGGAACGCTGTTAATTGTTATTGGCCATTTATTAGCTAAGTAATCACCAGATTGATTCGCTCTAATTAGACTGAAATCACCTTCAAGATCTCGGTCCTCGCGGTGGAGGAAGCGGCGCCGGTGCTACATGGCTCTGATTTCAATATTCATGCAGTTTTCGGCGACATAAAAGATTACCGCGAGGCGATACCCCATCGACATGCTTGGCTGTGTTCAGCTTCCTGGGAAGGTCGCAGAGCACTCTCGGTTTCATATTTCGCGCCATGGTTGTTGGCTTGTAGTAATTAATTAAAAACGTTTGGTCAGCGAGTGTCCATTTGTAACGCTACATTTGAGCGGTCTTTTTTGAGACTGATGTGATTGTCAGTTGCTTCAGAAACGTGAGATGCCGCGGTTCATCCGTGGTAACGTGTTTGGTCCGACACATCTGCATATCGTTAGAACGTAGCCAAAATGTATCGTTGATTAGCCAACTTTGCAAGCCAACTTAGCCAACTTCGTTGATTAGCTTTCAAGTATTTTTATCTCAGATAGCCCATGGTCATTGCATAAGCGCAGAGCGTTGATATCATAGTTATGCTTGTTGTTGTTAGGCTGATATATTACGTATTCACAAGAAAACGTGTGAAACATGTGACACGTTAAACCAATACCCAGTTCACAATAATTTGTTGAGATAATTTTGGAAACTGGTTGCCTAATGGACTGTTGCAGAAATACAGACACATTCAGGCGGCGCCAACATATTTTCACGGAATATATTCAAGGCATCTGCTGTGTCGGTTGTTGACCACAGGATAGTTTGTGCATTTTTGAGATTTTGAGGATCGTTACCGTGATAAACTATTTTGTTTTGGTATGAAGTACCAACATTCTTCGTAGTTGGACGAATCTTCACACTGAAATTCCCTGGAATTTTCATAAAATCTCACGAGTAAATTTTAATGGAAAGTGATAACAGAATTAATGATAATTTAAATACATGGTGCCAAAGAGTCACTCTACATAAACAGGGACTAATGTGATAAGAATTTCGTTTACTGAATCTTTAAAAATGTCAGAAATTCACACTACGGTCTCTTAAGGTATTTCAACGTTTCCTTACTTTACAGTCAGTTGATTTCCTGCATTGTGTGCTGGTTTACAGTCAGATTGTTCTAGCTGTATTTGCCGCATATATACCGCGGCAGCGATGGTTCTAATCAGTAGGTTACAAATGGGACAAATCATCATCCCGGTTAGCTCGATAGACTCTAGCGGGACGTGTTTGGAAGAAACCCCTTGAAATTACAATTGATAGGCTTGTGGAATAACACACTTCTATCTGCTCCACTTCCTGCGCCGGCATTTGTGCGGACGTTTCATTTATTCATACGTTCTTAATAGAATCCAAGAAATTAAGGGCTTTCACCACATTAAGCAGGCGGATATCTTTTCATGCTTCGTGTTCCTAATAAAGTTCAAAGTGGATTCTGTGCATTCCCTTAGTTCCCCTAAGCGCAAAGCAAGAAATGTATCCCCATATGGTCAGGAAGTTTTCGGATGCAAAACATTTTCTCATAATCGACGAACAAACTTTTCGTCTTATAACTCTGACGAATTTTAGTCGATTATAGCGACCATGCCCCCTGCGTGTAAGTTTGTAACCATGTAAATGGATGGTTGTTAATAAAATGGTAATACATAATAAAACATGAACGATGCTCAGCTTCGATTAATTTGGATGTTTTTGTTGTTATGTTTCAGTGGTACTAGCTTATAATGAAATTTCGGCGGAAGATGTTACTGAATCTAGGGTCAACATGTGCACGAGTACCATTTGAACATTACTACAAAACAAATTTACAGCGCGTTTTCTTTTCAAACTCGTATTACACGCGAACAGTGGTACGGTAATTTACCCTGCACATACAGCATTAGAAAGGACGGGATTCCCAAGAGGCACAGCGCCATGTTCGTGTATTATTCACTGACAATTAAAAACCGTAGTATGCTAAATTAAATAGATGCAGTGATATCAGGACTTCAGAATTTCATTTGCATACTGTATGGGAGACCAGATGGGATTGACAGGGATAAGCTGATTATCCAACAACCGGCTTCCTGGGCGAAAGCCAACCGTGCTGACAACGATGCCGGCACCGGCTCGTTGATATCTTTTAATTAATTCACTAATTACCACTTGAATATTATAGATCGAAGCCAATGATTCGGGATGTTCAACCATTGGAAAAATTCATTACGGTTTTCATGCTTCATGGACGGATGATTATTTTCGGATTAATCCTGATACAGGAGAGATCTGTGTCTTCCGCAGCTTGGACCATGTCCCTACGTCTGTGATACAGTTTGCTGTGCAAGCTTCAGGACAAGGTATTAGAGCATACTCAATTTTCAATCTGGGAAACTTGGCAGTATAAATTTATGCTAAAACAATCTCATACATTAGGAAAAAATGGCTTATAATTTTGAATATTTGTGATGCAGAATGGATTTCGGTTGAGTTTTAGCAGTGTGACACAGTACAAGTGTACCACGATGAACGAAGCTGCAAACGACCGTTATCGCATTAATAACGTGTTATGATGCCCTTTGTAGGCAGTGTCAGCACGACTGCATTCGTGCAAATCCACATGCCTCCTGTTAGCATGTTCAAAAGTAATTACTTCATCGCGGATAAATTTGTTGTGAGCATTCACAATTCCCTACCTATTGGAGCCCATGTGGTGCAGCTGAACCCCTTCGACAATGCCGCGTCCAAGGATAGCGCACAAGAGCTCACTTTTGTGTACTCATTGGCGTCTGGTAATGATTACGGACTCTTTCAAATCACTCCAGCATCAGGTAACAACAGAATATCTTCTTTAATCTACCAAAAAACTCCTCTTGGAATCTAATTCAATTTAAAGTGGTCTATTTCCATTAGTAATGTGTATTTAATGAGCGATCCCCTTGTGCAGGCTTGATACAAACCGTCAAACTGCTACATGATCACATTGGCCAACATCGACTGCTGGTTAATGTCGATGAGACATCCGGTAAACTGCCCATTGCCCAGCTTGAAGTGCTCATCAAAGTGGATACCCAAGTGTCCTACTTTACGACGAAAGTGTACAAGTTTAGTGTACCGGAAGATGCGGCAGTTCATACCAGCATCGGGACAGTTGCAGCAGCGTCGCAGTATTCTGGAAAAATCAAATTTTTTATGGGGCCTCCTGGATCCAGCTTGTTCGAAGTGGACCCGGTTAGCGGGGTTATCCGCACAATTGCTTTTTTGGACCGAGAAATGCAAGCTTTTCATGTTATTAACATTGTTGCACGGTCTGCTGACCAGTCGAGCGAAGACAGCTGCCAGGTACTTTATTTACTATTAATTTTACGAAGTAACAAAAAATATGATGATAGGTTGCTCTGTGTAATAATGTATTTATTGAAATGGATTAAGGTGCTCGTAAGAGTATAGCAAGAGAACTTGTGCAAATCGGAAAAAGTAATAATCGGAATAGCAAGAAAGGGTCTGGCCCCGCATCAATGAAAATGTACGTGTGGTGACTTTTCTGCTAAATTTGATCGTGCTCAATCATTAGGTGATTATTTCCGTTAACGATGTGGACGACAATGGTCCAGCGTTTCGCAACAGTGAAGTGACACTGCACGTGCCGGAGAGCGCTCCAACAGGTGACGTGATTTTCCAGGCCATCGCTTCCGACCGCGATGCGCACCACAGGCAGCCACTACACTACCGACTGGCGTCCGGCAGTAATCAGGACCACTTCCATCTGGATGTGAATACAGGAATATTGACCATCAACAAACCACTCGATTATGAGAACACTTCTGTCCATGAAATTATTATCCATGCAACGGAAACACTTGTGCCAGCTCCTAAACGAGCTGCTCTCCGCGTGCGTATCCATGTTCTTGACCGCAATGACCACAGCCCAGTTTTTCAGCAAGCCTTGTATCGAATCGAAATCCCTGAGTCACAGGCGGTGGATGATGTTATTGTGCAAGTCAAGGCCACTGACGCCGATGCTGGTAGGAATTTGTCCAATCAAATGGCATTCATTCAATAAATATGTGATTGGTTAGCATATAAGGCCCCAGCAACTACTTCGTATTGATACCGTTTGGTGACCTGACCGAACAAGTTTGACGTAGCTGCTTTTCCGTTAGTTTTCTAATAGGACTCGAACTAATTAATTATAAGTTGTGTGCTTTTAAAATATTAAATTAATTTTATGCAGTCTTAATTTAGAAAAATATTTTGAAATTCCATTTCCTTTTTTTTAGGCAAGAGTGGTAGAATTACGTACCAAATTGATGGATCCTCTAACGTTGAACACTTATTCGGTATTTACCCGGATACGGGGGAAGTGTTCCTGCGCCAGCAACTGGACCGTGAACTTCAAGACATCTACACTTTTTGGGTCCAAGCAATTGATCAGGGCAAACCCCCATTCAAAGCGATCACAACCGTAAAAGTTACCGTTACCGATGTAAACGACAACAACCCAATTTTTAGCCTCTCCATGTATAATTTTTCCGTGTTTGAGAACGCCAAACAAGATAGTTTCGTGGGGAAAGTTCAAGCGAATGATGCCGATTTCGGGAAAAACAGCCATATCGTGTACGGATGGAAGTGCAATGATTCGGCGTTTCGCATAGATTCGAAAACCGGTGAAATTTTTGCGAAAAAGGCTCTGGATCGAGAAGAATTAGCGGTGCACTCGTGCACAGTCACGGCACTAGACATGGGGCAACCGGCACGCGAGTCTTCGGCGACAGTAGCAATTGCGGTGGGCGATGTGAACGATCACTCACCGGTCTTTGTGGTCCCGATTGATGATGTTATTTGGGTATCTGAAGGTGAACCGGAAGGAACTGAAATTCTCAAAGTCATAGCGAAAGATGCCGATGATGGTAAGCCCTGTATATCGTACTCGTATATGTCAAAGTCAAACCCTTTTTTTGATAATTCGGTGCAGCATGCAGTTCTAAATGTTCAGCATGTTGACGAATTAGAAAAGATTCACCAAGTACCTTATAGAAACATAATGAGAGTTGCAACCGCTCGATGTGACCAATATTCCTGTATGCTGACCATTTTAACTTTTACAGGCGAGAATGCTCGAATTGTTTTTTCCCTTGCTTCCGACGAGGACTCCCGGACATTCTCCATTCATCCCTCCTCCGGCACCATCCGCAACCAAATGGTTCTGGACCATGAGAAGCAGTCAGTTTTCCACCTGACTGTCATCGCGACCGACCGCGGCATTCCCCCAAGATCGACAAGCAAGCCCCTCACTATCAATGTGGCAGACATCAATGACCACCGACCGACGTTCTCCACCTCGGTCATGACCATCGAGATAACCGAGGGGACTCCAGCCGGCACGGAAATCGGTTCGGTGCAGGCCAGCGATGCCGATTCCGGTGAGAACGGTCGGATTTTGTACTCCATCATCCGCGGGAACGTCTTTGGAGCATTCGAGATTGGGCGTACATCGGGTAAACTGTTCACCGCCCGGGAAGTGGACTACGAACTGACGGCGTCGTATATGCTGCGTATTCGTGCCGTAGACAGCAGCACACAGAAACCACGAAGTAGCTTGCTAGTGGTCAACATTATTGTCATTGACGTCAATGACTGTGCGCCAAAGTTTACCACAGAATCATGCTTGTTTTCCATCCCGGAAAATATCCCCATTGGAACGAATGTGTGGAATTTCACCGCAACGGACGGTGATGCGGGGTCATTTGGACAGGTGTTCTATGAAATTCCGTACCAGTTTCCCCAAGCGGTGTTCGATATTCATCCGGTGACGGGCATGCTAACGGTTGACGAAAAAGTGGATTTTGAACGAAATAAAGAATTCAACTTTATTGTTACGGCATCCGACAGGGATCCGGTTAAGAACCGAAGGAAAAATACCAACTTGAAATGCCGGGTGCTGGTGGAGGACGAAAATGATTACGCACCCAAGTTTGTTTCCCGGAATTACGTTAGAATATCAGAGCGAGTGGACGAAGGCTATCCGGTGACGCAAATGGTGGCGTTGGATGAAGATTCGTACCGGAATGGGAATGTCACGTATGAGATTACTCGAGGCAATGAGGATCACGTTTTTGCTTTGGATCCGGAGAGCGGTACGTTATTTCCACAATTTTTTGGGTGCACTTTTTTCAGGGAAATATTTCACAGTCAGTCATAATTTATTAGATAATGAATGCATAGATTTATTACTTTACCAGTTTTTTGTGGCACTCGTGTCTGTTTGAAGAGCAGCGCTATCGTCTTGTGAATGCTCCGCAACTACTGTGTTAGTTATAATAGCCAAATTGGGTTGAGTCGGTTGAGAATGAACTAGCAGCAATTCTGTTTTCCTTTTCAGGATTGATAACCGTCAATCGAACTTATCCAAATCTGAAAGCCCGCTCATATTCTCTAACGATAATTGCCACCGATAATGGCACTCCTCGACTGGCCACAATGCACACCCTGACAATTGAAATCGATTCACTTGGTGGAAAATTCAATATTTTCAATCAGTCACTGTATGAAATCTTTATCAGAGAAGACACGGATGTCGGCACCAAGATTCTGCAGTTTCCGGGCAGCGACAAGTGGAGCAGTATGTCATCTACGCAGTTGTGATCGTTCATGCATTAACGTTTCGAATCTTCATTTAGATGGAATTCGGTTTAATGTTCCCGAAGAATTCCTGTATGAAAAGTTTAATGTGGACCCAAAAACTGGCGACTTAACTGTAGTTAAGCCTCTCGATCGGGAAACTAAAGACGTTTACAGCATGAACAGTAAGCATACTAGGACGTAAATGCGCGACATGAATTTTAGAATTTTGTGGGATACTGCTATGTATGAATTTCATCGGTAAATTGAACCCCTAATAAGTGAAAAAATTCATTTCGAACATGCCGAGGACATTTTTTAAAACCGAATTTAAATGTGTTTTGCTGTATGTACTTGTCGTCGTCACCGGTGCGTTGCACTTGTCGAATTTACATGTTCTCTTTCCTTCACAGTTTACGCGTCCAACAAAAGCAATCCCCATCAATACGATTTCGCCACCATCGTAATAGAGCTTCTGGACGTCAACGACAACGCTCCCAGCTTCCAAGACACGTGCCATGGCCTCTCCGTACCCGAGAACAAAGAATTCGGCCCCATTCATAAATTCATCGCGAAGGATGCGGATCTGGAGGAAGGTGGGAAGATCACATACCGTATCGAGAGCAACGAAGCCAATCCGAAATTCTACATCCATCCACGAGATGGTGAACTTTCCGCAAAGTCCCTGGATCGAGAGGAAAACGCAGAATACACTTTGGTGGTCGTTGCCGAAGATCATGGCCGACCAAGTAAGCAGACTGTCTGTAAGATCCAGATTGCCGTACTGGACCGCAATGATAACGCCCCGGTATTCACCACTTCATCGTACCTGGTGCATTTGTCGGAAAACGTCCCGATTGGTTACACGGTTGCGAAAATTAAAGCCACCGACAAGGATGCCGGTGAGAATGCTCGCGTAACGTATTCCTTGCGGAACGACACTCTGGGATTGCTGGCGATTAACGAACTGACCGGCATCGTTACCACCGCGAAAATTTTTGATTACGAAGAGCTGACCAACTACACCGTGGAAATCCGGGCAACGGACAACGGGCCACTGCAGCAACTGACCAGCAGCTCCGTGCTGCAGATTATTGTGGATGATGTCAATGATAATGAGCCGCAGTTCAACACGTATCTGTTCGCGATGAAGGTGCCGGAGAATGTGGACGTTGGGCAACAGGTGGCACAAGTGTCAGCACAAGACAAGGACAGCGGGAAGAATTCAGCGCTCATGTATAGTTTTGCGGTGCCGCAGCGAAAGTTCGATATCCATCCCAACACGGGAGCGGTTACGGCCAAGCAGGGTCTGCGCGAGGGAAATGCGTATAGGATGGCCGTTGTGGCTAAGGATCAGGGAAAAGATATTCAGCATTCTTCTATCGGTAAGCCGGTGCTAACAAACGTGTCGTATAGGAAATATAGCATGTGCGCGTATACGATTCTGTATACAATTAATACGTACGAAGATCGCATTATTACATTATCAGCTTTGCCGTAAAGCTGGAGCACTAATGACACACATAAGGTACACATATTCGTACACTCGTAGTAATTTTGGTGCTAAATTCTTCTTTGGAATTAATTTGTTGACCTTATTATTTGCCGTTGACATCCTTTTGCATGCTCGGAGAAACTTTTTACAGCAACCCGAATTTTTCCCGAAACAGTCTGCAGCTGTGACATTTTTTTGTTTTCGGTATGCTACTGAAAAAGGCAATAATATTATTGCCGATACTAGGGATCGGATGTACAAATATATAGCACACAGGCGTTAATGGTTACAAAGGAATGTCTCTAACAAATTATGACCGCTATCAATTTCTGGCTGAAACAATGGATAACGATGAGTCCACACCAGTTTGCCGGTTTATAGCTGGTTGGCGATATCCTTTTTGCTTCTTGTGGTTGTGCCGAGAAAGTGAGATTTCTGTCAGAAACTAAGTCACGATAATACGATTAGCAAAGCCGTCGCGCTCAGAATTGATTAGATCCCAGAGTTGGATTAGCATTTTTCCTCGGCCCTTTTCCCTTCTGCGCGCAGGCAATATTTGCGATCTGCATAAACAAGATAATAAAAGGCCTCTTTTGGCCAGGCAGGCTCCGTCCCCTTTATTACCTTTGCCCGTTGGTCCTGTCTTAACTGGTACTGTTTGATATTTTGATTATCGCATCCCTGAGAGTCTTTACGCGCTTTTATTGCTCTGCGCTCGATGGTCAGCATTTGCTTTGTCAGCTAGGCGACAGCGAAAAGACCGCTGGTCATTTCATCCCGCCCACTCTGTGCATGAGGTTGTAGGTACATGTTCAGCGTGCTGGTTGATTTCAGAATTTATTGCCAAGTATTCCTCCTGGAAGCACTTTATTCCATCGTTGAATGATTCGTTTACTTATAACATAGGTTTGCAATTGCATTTATCTTTATGTATATTCAGTGCTGATATTGCGCGGATCTAGAAATGTTTAACGCCTTCATTTGTAGAAGTATTTATTGTAATTCTTCCACATGTGCACGGGATAATACGCGTTAATATTTGCTTGCTTTTGGCGTATATATATTGCGTGCTAAAATCGCAATGTTGTTCCGATGCGGGATTTTAATATTTTGCGGTATGTCCTCTTCTGCTTCTACTGAAACTATTTTGTAACCGCACCGGACACTGATATATGAGACAGTAAACCGAGAATAAATACATTTTTCATATTATATACGTATCAGTTTTAATTTTAACCTAGCGCTACGATAAGATTTTTGACCAGCGGCATCAGCATATTAGTTGAGTATATTGTGTATCAGTTTTATATCAGTTCAGTGTTTGATTTTTTTAACAGATGTGCGCAGTAAGTACTCCGTTTGTATGGAGCTTTAAGCTGCTATGATTCTGTATGGCTAGTTTTTATTCTACTAATAATTTTTAATCTCTGGATTAAAATTCTAATAGTGAATCAATTGACAGGAATGCTGGACATTATGGTCGGCGATGCTGCTGTTCCACCTGTTCAACTGAAATTTTCTAGTCCCGCTTATTTCGCATCTGTTCTGGAGAATAGTCGAATCGGAACTAACATCGTCACGATAAAAGCTACACGAACGGATGGAAAGGACGACAAGCTGCTGTATGCCATTGCCGATGGAAACACCGCCGGCGTGTTTGATATCAATAAACGAACAGGTATGTACATTAAAGTCATTTGCAAAATCATCGTCTTCGACAGTCGTCCACACATTGTGATTAATAATTTTCTGTACTGCTAGTCGATTTTGTAAAATTTTAAATTAATGCATGAATACTTGTAATATATGTAAGTATTAATATAAACCTAAATAAATATTACTAAATAATGCAAAAAATATCACTTCTAAGTTGTTTTTCCCGCTTTCTATATTCGGTTTCAAACTATGTACAAATTTTATACCGTACTGTAATTATTCTTTTCGCGGATCGTAGGATTGGTAACCGTGCGCGATAATTCTGATCTCGATTTTGAGCGTCACAAAACTTTCAACTTGACGGTGTCTGCTGAAACGGAATCGGGAGAAAAGTTGCAGTCGTTTACAAAATTAACCATTAGTCTCACCGATGAAAACGACCAAGCTCCAGCGTGCAGTCAGAGCAAATACAGCTCATCGGTGTATGAGGGAAACAATAAAGGAACATACGTAACGCAGGTATGTTGTTGGTCTTTCTTACAATAATAATATGCCGGCACTTAACGTGACAATGATGAGTCTGTTTCGCCGTAGCTGTACGCGTCAGATGGGGATTCGGGTGCCAATAGTCGGCTGACGTTTGAGATTATTGACGGTAACCACGACGGGGCATTCGTTATTGACCCGCCATACAGCGGAATTGTTAAGACAAACATGGTGCTTGACCGCGAAATACACGACGCCTACCGGCTGGTTATCGCGGTGAAGGATGGCGGGAAGCCACAAAAGACCGGATTGTGTACACTGAAAATTAACATTGGCGACATGAATGACAATGATCCAGTGTTTCCCAATTATGATCGTATTTTTGTATCGGAAGGTGAGCTTGACGAATATTCTTAACTTTGAATATCCCAGTTCATAAAATTACTACAAACATATACAAAAATGAAATATAAACAAAATATTTATGAAAATATCTTTAAATTGATGAGATATGATCAATTTAATTTGCTGCTGATTAATTTTATTTGCTGATCATGGTTGATTTTTCCAGGGGCAAGCGTGGGAAGCGTGATATTTACGGCATCTGCGAACGACGTGGATGTCAACTCTGAACTATCGTACTCCTTGGTAGACAACGGGAATGGTACATTCTCCATTGACGGCCGGAGTGGAAAGATTACTTTAGCTGCTCCATTGGACCGCGAACGGAAAAGCTCTTATATGCTGGTGCTGGAAGCCTACGATCAAGTGCACCGAGCCACGACTAATCTGACGGTTATTGTTCGCGATGAAAACGACAATGCCCCGAGCTTTTCTAAGACCGACTACAGAGTCACCGTTCCGGAAATGACACCGGCTGGAACGAAAATCCTGTCCGCCCTAGCTAAAGACGCTGACCAAGGCACCAATGCCAAAGTGCGCTATTCCATCAAAATTGCCCCTGTTGACGGGTTTCGAATTGATGAGCATTCAGGTGAACAATCAGAACTAAAGTAAACTTTCACGTCGGCAAAAGCAGTTTGACACAGTTCAAAGTCACCGGATGTGGATGACGTCTTCTGAAGTTTTCGCATTTATAAGAATACCTACTTGTACCATTATACAAATAAAATAATAAAATATAGTAAAAATCAATCTCAGTTAAGATAAGCTAAAAGATGTTCTGGAACCCAGTATAACTGCCAGTGTGTTGATGTATAAATGAATTTTGAATTACACAAACCTTCATTTTCATTGATTGTGTGGGTGATTTTCAGGGGGACTGTACACTACGAAAACGGTTGTCTTCGATCCCAGTCAGCCGCTTATCCAACTAGTGGTGGTGGCCGAAGACCAGGGTAACCCCAAATTATCTTCGATTGCCGCCGTCCAGATCCAAGTGTCCAGTGTCAATCGCAATGCACCACTATTTTCCCGCACTGTCTATTCGGTCCATGTATCGGAAGATGCTCCCATTGGCCAAGAACTACTGCAAGTGTCCGCTCACGATCCGGATGCTGCCAAGAATATTCCTCTGTAACGTACTCTATGAGCGGAGACGCTGACAGTGTTTTTCAACTGGACAGTCAGACCGGGAAGCTGATCCTAATAAAGCGTTTGGATCGGGAAAACACTGCCAGTTATGCACTGAAAGTTGTGGCTTCGGACTTGGAAAAGCCGGTGCGAAACACCACAGCGGAAGTCCTGATCGCCGTTGATGATGTCAACGATTGTGCTCCTCAATTCAACGCTACGGAATACAAAGCGTTGATTAGTGAAGATGTCAAAAAAGGGACGTTTGTGCTGCAAGTGAGAGCGGCTGATTTCGATCGAGGTATGATCACTACGATGCAAATAATTCCTGAATGTTTAATAAAAAATTGTATTAAAGTAAAAACATGAACTCCACAACGTGGAAATTTCGAAACGCAAATTTCCTTGAAATTTCAAAATCATAGCTTACGTGATGTAAAAAATATTTGTGATTAATTGGCTCAGTATTTTGGTCTTTTGTTTACAGCTTAAATAGGAAAATTGATCTGCTAAAATATTTATTTGAAAAATGCGGCAGTGGTGAAAAATGGCTCAAAATTTCAGGCGAAAATGGATCGGTGACGTACTCCATTCTTTCTGGGAATGAAGAAAAGCTTTTCAGTATTAATCCCAACAGCGGCATCATCGAAGTCAGTGGTGACTTGGACTACGACAACACATCCGAGTACAAACTCTTTATCCAAGCCCGCGACAACAATGCGCTGACTCCGCAGTCATCCGTGGCTCTGGCGACTATCTATCTGGAGGATGCCAATGACCACGTACCCGTTTTCCCCGTCAGCCGCTACAAGGAATCGGTACCGGAAAATTCTCCAGTGGGCACGGAGATCTTCACAGCCCGTGCTCATGATCGTGACCGGGGCATGCATGGCAAATTGCGCTATTCTATTACCAGCGGCGACGGAGCCAGTGCATTCCAAATTGACAGCGCCAGTGGAAAGGTAACGTCCAGCGGCGAACTGGATTACGAGCGCAAACAGGTGTACAACTTTGTGGTAACTGCCACGGACATTGCCGGCTCCCGGGCGGACGTCCAGGTAACAGTGAACATTGAGAGCCGCGATGAATTTGATCCGAAATTCAGTCAGCCGCAGTACCGCTTCTATATTCCCCCGATATCGAAGAAAGGCGATTTCGTCGGTCAGGTGTCGGCGACCGACCAGGACGCCGGTTCGGATGGCCGCGTGGTGTACCATTTCAATCGGCCATCGGAGCTGTTTATAATCAACGCCACAACAGGTATAATTTCTCTGGCGGAGGATATCCACATTGATAACACTTCTGTGGAATCGGGTACGGTGGCCCCGAAACGACGAAGTGCTCGCTCCGTGCAGCCGGAAGACTCAGCCATGGTGTTTGCCAGTTCGGGGAAAAATAACTCCCGCACCGACGCTGCCATTGTTACGGTGGTTTTCGGTGTGCCGCAGTTTGAGCCCGCCGTGGCTGGCTACACACCGGTTGTCATGGGAAGCATCGGTGGTGTGGCTGTTGTTCTGGTGATTCTCTTTGTGCTGGGAATGTACTGCTTTCGGCAGAAACGTCAAAAGCCATGTCCCGAGCGCTATGGAAGAGCGTTTGATATGTTGAGCTACACAACGTACAATGGACAGCGAGATCAAAACGCAGGACGGATGCTTGAAGGTAAATAAAATTCAAAGTATTTTAACCAGTTGATTGATCCTCTCTTTCTTGGTTAATCATTCAAATACTGTTGCATATACATAATCGTTTTGTTCCTGTGTGAGTTTAACGCATTTGTGTCTTTTTTTACAGGGACCAACAATCACTACCATGATCCAACCAATGGTCCGTCCGAAATTGGCTCCAGTGGGCGCGGTTCTGTGGAGGATGATCGTGTGATGTTCGGCAGCCAATTCTATTCCGGCATTCCGAAACCGCAACCTAACAGCTTCTTTCCGAAAATGATGCCCGACTCCGGCCTGCCGGATTCGTTAGGGGATTACGGTCAGAAAGCACCCCTTTCATCTAGCAGCAACGACAACAGCCTTCACCGTTTTGATATGGAAGGCGGCTACGAAGCGGATGGGCGTGATATGTTCTTGTGCACTTCGGATCGGTCATCCCACGGATCATCTAACCAGAGCGCCGCTATGCGCTACGCACGGGACTACGATTACGACTTTGACATCAAGAACGGGAATTTTGATTATCTGAAATGGATGCCGCCGTACTCGCCGATGGCGGCGGTATACGCGGAGATTGCAGAATTGCCGGAACATCGCCACTCGCCGCCGAGTGTGTATAATCCAGCGCGCACCGATTCCGCGCAAAATAAATCCTCATCGTCTCCTTCGGTTATGTTCTCGAAAAGCTCCAGTCAGACCACACTGCCATGCATGATGCCGCATTACTCCCACGGAGTCAATCATCCCGACCGGGAACAGGAGCACCGGCATCCGGCTTATCCAGTGCAGTACGCTGGCCGACGATAAAAATTAATAGGACACAGCTTCGCTTTGTTGTTTTCTGGTTTACTCACCTGCGTTTGTGATGTCGCTCAATCTTCGACCAAAGTTTGTACAGCCAGCTAGCCAGTTGTTTTGTTGTTTTATCGTTTCATCTTTTTCGATCATCATAGTCTGATATGACAACCTTGTTTTGTTATTGAGTACACGGTTGACTCACTTTGTACACAAGAATTATCTGCCTATTAGAAAGATTAAAATGTGCCGCATTTAGAAAACTCTAAAAGCAATGAATCTTCTGGATTTACCATTTCGCTACAGTTCATACAAAATAGAGTGGGATAACGGGAAAACAGAAGGTGCACTGTTAAGTAGTTTTTTTTTGCCTTGAAAGTGTCAACAAAAATCAGTCGCTTGCAAAACACAAACTTATTCAATGGGTGCTACCCGCAAAACTAAAAGATGTAAATCATAATAAAAACAAAAGCAATCTTTATGTACAGAAAAACCTTCGACCTTTCCATTCTTCTTTTAAAAGGTACCCATTTTTCTAGGTGCAAACCGTAACGCATACCTCCATTAAAAAGTACACACACAGACATTCTATTTCCAGCAGTCTATTCATCCGCCACAATGGCCGAACGCACCAGCCGGAATTCTTACGTCGGCAACCGTGCACTTCCGGTGCGGGTGTTAATATCGCGGCTTTCTATTCCGCACTTCCGCTTCCTTCTCAGACTCCCTCTGCACTTCCTTCAGTTTGACTTCCAGTGCCGCCACACTTCGCTCTACTTCCGCCTTTAACTGCAGCGACTGTGCATACTCGTACTGGATCGGATCAAATTCCAGGAGACGATCGTACAAGCTGGCCTTCAAAAAACTGTTCATGAAAAGAGAAAGAACCACAATCAGCAAATACCTCGCAATGCAATTATGCAAATAACGCAACGACGTATCAATGGAAAAAACTGAAGCACCATACACCGCCGAGGTAAATCGTTTATTGTTATCAAAAATTTCACAAATAATAAAAAATTTAAAAATAAAAAAATAAATAAATTTTGAAAATACAAACATATTTTCAAAAAATAAATGATAAATCACACTGCTCACCTCAGAGGATCATCTGATTCCATGTTCTCCAAAGGCATCAAAACTAAAAACAACGGAATAAACAGAAAGACAGGGTTGTTAAATTAGAGTTTGGACAACGGACACCGCGATATGCACTACTTCTACTCACGTTTAGTCAGGAAATCGAAAATTCCTTTCTTTTCGCACACTTTCCGCACTGCTTCGCGTTCACTGACATTTTCGAACACCATAAGCGCATATTCGTGCTGCAACATACACATAAAACGAATTCTTTCTTCCATCGATCTCGTCAGATTTGTAAATCCGTCACCCTAAGATAGAAACAAATGCATACCGGGTCCATTGCGTCTTCCGGATGGTCCTCGTCGAAAGGTAACTGCGGCGCGTCTCCGCCCTGAAACTCCTCTGGATCATCATGCGGTGTCCATTCTGCAAACTGTGCGGCGACTGCTGACGTTGCACCGCTGAAATCTTCGGCGCTTGTGTTGAACGGAAAACGGCTTTGTGTGGACATCCTACTGTCGGCCGGATTCGGAAAGTCGTTGATGGTGTCCGTATCGCTGCCTTCATCCTGATTATATTCGAACCAGTCACGGCCTGTTCTGCTTGTTGACGCCATCTTCTTATTAGGATAGGAAAGACTGAATTAGCTCCTCTTCGTGGTTAAATTATTTCCTTGAATGGACAGGTTTTGCGCTTAAGACAGTATACTTTTCAGTTAAAAAAACAGACTGAAATCTTGCGCGATGTAAATGATGTACTGTAAATTCGCAGTTATGTACTGCACCTAGTACAATAATTTGCTACAGATACTTCCTAGTTCCTAATCAAGAATGTACAGTGCCTACTGCCTACAGGGCCACAGGCTCTAGACTGATTTGCATATTCTGTGGATCGACATTCGAAACTGCGAGCCTGATCAGTCAGTTTGCGATCGTTATCCGCAGACTGTCAGCGCATATAGTCTATACACTGATACACGTATGACATTGCATAAAGGAAATGAGCCGGTACATGTATCAGTTTCGTAATACCATAGGTAACACGTACAATGCATATCCACGGGAACTCTCGCTTTCGCGCATTCCGACAGCTTTGTTTGCGCTGTTTTAAGCCGTTCTACAACGAAAAGGTTCTCATACATCGGCCGGAAACCGTTTGTACGTGCAATATCCGGTTGCGGAGATGTGGCGAATTAACATGGACGAAGAGTTTACGGTGACCACTCCGTTCAGAACCTATCACTGGATTCACAATTTTCGGCGCTCGGCGCTACCTATCACTTCAGCTCCGTCACCGTGCACCACCTCTTCGTTGTTTTTGCTTTCCACGTTCTCCCATGGTCAAAAGTGGGAGAAAATGTTGGGATTTATTTCCCACACGCACCATAATTTTGCAAAGTTTAAAAAGATTACATATTAATATAGCATGCATATCTGTACCTATGAATTCGTGGGTATTGGGTAATAATGGCGAAGACAACATAAATGTCATTTTGGGCGCTATTTACTAGCAATCACAACAAAATTTTACAAAAAAATTACAGAACTTGGATCGAAATAAGTTTAAAGCAAACAGTTGTACCCGCTTGCTGGTAAACACACTTTTTTTCAGCTTGTTCGTTTATACTTTGTTGACCAGAAAATTTACAGTACTCGTACTTTAACTTCGAAAACAATCACGTTATATTAGGCATCAGTCGAAAGGGGCGGCCTAATCACAGAGAAAATGTGATCTAACAATTGTAAATTTGCTCCAGTTGGCGCTGTCCCCATGTTCGATGCCGCATTTCCTCGTTGGATTTCGATGCTGATCCGCTGTCGAAAAAAATTCCGTGGCTCGTTTTTTGCCGATTTCTTGTCGCATCTTCTGTCCAAAGTCGGTTATTGTGCGAGCAACTTCCGGTCCGAGCGTTTCAAAACACAGATGACGAAATAGGCAGTCTTGGCCGATATTACGATATTTCTCGATCTTGCCCTGCTCGGCCTGTGTTGCGGCTGCAGGCTCTCGTGCGGATGTCGCAATGATGTCCGATATGACCATTGTGATGACGCTAGTAGCGCGAATGCCAACATTCGTCCTCTCTCCCATGGTGTCAAGGTAACACCGTCTTGTCGCTGACTGTCTGTAGGAAAAATAACTTATGGTTCCAGCTCGTTTTCGAACCCGGCAGATGCGAGATTGTGCTTCACAATAGCGTTCACGCATTTATGTGTAGGGATCCGTCCGCGGCTTTTCTTGCAGCTTCAAGCCATATGGTAGCTTCGGGCATCCGCCCACTCACCGCTAACGCTGCGGTCTCGGGTGATGACCGGTGCTCCTAGGCGTAAACCAACGGCAATTCTTACCGCTGGATCCGTAAGGCTGCCAAGTGAAGCAACCGGAAACGCTCCCAACCATGCTCGTTGTTTTTGTGCTCACACCTTGCAAACGTGCCTGTTCTATGAAGTCTCCTCGGCTGCCGTTCGTAGCTGTTCCGCGGATTTAACTGCAGTGCTGGAAAGTTGTGTACTGCGTTAAAGGCTGTCACCGATTCGCTCCTTCCGGGCGCTTACCACCGTCTCTGATCAAAAGTTTCAAAACCAACTAGCTTCGGATTAGATTCAATGCCCATTCCGGCGCTTCCAGCAAAGGTGTCAGGGTACTTGGGGATAGATGCAGTTACATTACAGCACATCGGAAAAAACAAGCCGGAACGAAAGACTGAAAAATTTCTACAGTATCACCTACGGGAAGCAGCTGTGGGTCGGTAACGGATGTATTGCCAAGCGAGCGATATGGTCGCACATTGCACTGGTGCAAATGTAAGCGCTGTATCTGTTGTGCGGGCTCCAGCGGAAAGAAAGTCACACACTGACCGCTGTGGCGGACAGTGATACGCATGCAGAACGCACCGTCTCTACCACAGTTACCTCCACAACAGTGGTGGTGATCAAGACCGAACCCGGTGACTCACCACGACTGATAGCACAGGCGATTCTGGCCGGCGACGTACGGGAATTTGAAAAATCTATCGAAACTTGTTTCTGTGACAACGAACAAGTTTCACAAACATGACCTTGGTCTTGGTTTCACGAGATACATCGCTTCAGTTAAATATGACAGCTCTTCAGCTTACACGAGATCATGACGCGTCCAAAATGACTCCCAACATTTACGAAAATATTTTCGCAACTTCTACGCAACAGCTTTGAATGATTGTCTATTTTACGATTTTCTTCCCTGGTGGTAACCAAAGTATTCCAACAAAAGTGGAACAGTGGTAGTTCTGTGACCGTGAACAGGCTAGCTTATCATAGTAACTTTGGGAATACCTTCGGTATTCCTTACAGTAAAACAAGGACTTTTTGGACATTTGCATATGTAGAACAGCTGACCACATGCGAAAGTAATGCAACAGTCTGGCGCCCCGCAGCGATAGGTCCACTTGTGAACAATGGGCCACTTCACAAACACGTTTAACGCTCGCGCCATTTGAACCACAGTGGAGGTGTGGAACTGAAGTCGCTGTCGGCGATCTGTCAAATGGGATATTTTTGACTGACATGAATGTCTATTGAAGATGATCGCAACTGTTAAGGCGGTCCATGGCGTAATAAGGAAAACAATGATCCGCTCGATGTCCAGGCATGCCGTGGTCGGACTTCCGTCGCAATACAACATAAAAGGCATTAGCAGCCCGACGCAGTTGATCATTACTGTTATGGTCTCCAGCCTACGTCTGACTGCAGTCAGCGACATGATAACCTCGCGAAACTGATGTTTCCCCGTGCCCGGACGCCACTGCCGAATCTTTGCTAATCTGCACAACTGCTGCACAGAAATCAGCCAAAGTATAGTGAGTGAAATCCAGGTGTATGCCCACAAAATCCAGACGTTTGCCCACAGCAACCAGAGCTTCCAGTTAGAGTCAGTAGTGTGCGTAGAGTTACAAATAAAATCATGTTTCTGCAAAAGCATAAAATAAGTAATGTACAAACAGTACAATACAATATTCTATATATATAGTCTTAATATAGATATACTAGCAGACCCCGCGCAAATTGCGCGGAAGAAATGAACTACATGAAATTCCCTTGCTTACGTGATTTAAGGACTACCTTTTCTAGGCTATTTTTGAGCGAATTAACCACCGAATTCTAGAATATACCTAATTCTTAGAATTAATGCGGCATTTTAATTCGGATTAAATGTGCACTGTCCGAACTGTATCTTAACTGTATCTTAACTGTATCTTAACCATGTGTAAAGTAGAGGAGAGCAAGCGGTCTTTTTACCTTATTGTTGCTTCCGTTGCACGAGTTTTGTTTACAAAACTTTGAAAAAAGAATAGGTTATGCGTGCCTTTTCCCCTAATTTGTAATAGGGGTTTTTTGCCGCATAACAGCAAACGGAACTCAATAAAGGTTGAGATATATTACAGCGGATATTGTATATGCAGTACCATAGCACGAATGAAGGCGCATATTAAGAGACCTTCATTCGTGCACGAATGAAGGTCTCTTAATATGCGCCTTCATTCGTGCTATGGCAGTACACTATCATAATATTGTTCTGTAAACCTGGTGTACATGCTAATGGTGGCCGGTGCCTTCAGTTTCAATACCGGCAACAGCATCCATCCCAGTCTCCCGTAAATTGTATATTTATAAACTGAACCCTTACAATACACGTTTTCCATGTAACAAAATTTTATTGTTAGGCGTTTTTTTTATTACTAAAGACGTGCGTTTTGAATGCCTTTGATATTAACGTACAGAAATTCCATATTTTCGAAAATTTTTCCACAGACTGTCATGAGTTTTAAATTGATCGCAGTTATGTAATCACAGACTCCCCGTAAATACATAGTCCCCGAAGAGCGTAAATTAGGGTTATCGGTGTACTAATTTCCTGCTATTTATTAAGATAAGAAATTAGCTACTAATTATTAAGCAGTAAATACTAAATTAACTAAATGATATCCATTTCGTATTTTCAGTTCTTTCCAGTTCGTACGTTTATAATTCGTTTCTACAACTACAGAAATTGTACTCTCACTTTGATTAACTTTATAACATGTCAGACACTGGAAATGTCTTATTCGTAGAAACGGGATGACTCTTATTCATAGAAGTGGGATGAGCTCCGCTCGCGCCGCAGTTCGGCGTCGCCTATGGCTCCCCCTTCGGTTGATAACCCAAAAAAATTATTTGCAGTACTGTCTAAACCTGCTACTAAAATTATATAAACAAAGAATTTTAAAAAGCTAATATATAATTCGCAGCTGGTAAACTTGGAAACTTCGTTCAAGGTAACTTGGCTAACTATTAGTTTACTTCTCGATATGTACAAAGCGAGCTTCGCGCAACAATAACAATCAAATGAAGAATTCGTTCCAATAAACATGAGAAGGGACTGTGCACAACCCACTCAACCACGCACTTGACTACTGGCAAGTGTCTGGTTGCGCGCGGTTTGAGCGTAACCACATTTATGGAGTCACTACTGTATAGTGCTCACGTACCACTATATTGGTGAAAGAGGTCACGGTTCCGTAAGTTGGGTTGACACTTTTGTACGCTGTCCATGCGAATGGAACACATTCCAAAATGAATCGCAAAGTGGAAAGAACGAAATTCACCCACACTTGCTGGTATATGAGCTGAATTTTACTATAAAGAAGTTTCTCAAGATCCGGATGGATATAGAAATAGTCGTCGTCAATCACGGCTACAAAGGCACATATGCAAATAGGCAGATACTAATAATTATTTTTCAAAGCTTCAGTCATGCCTAATATAAAAATTCGGCTTACATTTCACAGAAGTTGAGAGCATTTTTCTGCGTTTCTTGTTCAGCCATGGAATAGTCTTGCAAAGTTTGGCCACAGATACCTTTCGGCCTGTGCGACACATCGCAAAAAATAAAAGTCGCGTGATAACAGCACCACCAAACAATGAGAGAACTATGTATAATTTTTAAATGATTAGTTCAAAATTTAAGTGATTACTTTAAAACGAACTTCAAACGGTCATTCTGTGTTGGATAAAGCGCTTTATTAAAGTTGAAGATTACAGGATGTGTGATTCTGCAGAGAAGCACGAAAGCCTCTGGGGTTGTATAAATAAAATTCACCGCTGACGTAGACCATATAGTACTGCAAGTGCAGGCATCGGCCACCCTGTACAGTTACGGGACCTGCACATTTGCTTTGGAGTTTTGGACGCAAACCATGATCGATAAAAATAGCAACAGAGATAAACAGTGAATCGCGAGCACACTTCATTTGACAGTGAATACCCTTACTGCACTTCCAGTCGAACAGTTTTCGCTTTAGTTAAAACACAAGGGCATAGTTGCAAATACGAAGTAGAAATACTCGTACCAAGGTGGACTCGTACTTATATCTATATTATTTAGTCAGCCGTAGCAAGACTGCTGGCCTGAGCATGCCCCAAATAATTTTCTACGGAAACGAAAATACTTGCAATTATTACGCATGCGCTGCACGGTTGAAACCAGCAAGCCTATAATTATATGATAATATAGGCTGCCTATATATCATACAATAGCAAGTACTTACTACGTAGTGTGAGAAGGACTGGTAACCTACCGTTTAACGTCATCACTCTCGCATACACGGGAGGGCGGCTGACATGGCGACAGATGCGCGTTTTTCACGGTTGTTATCAGTTTTTTCAAAATATTTCTTTTCTCTTCTATTTCTAGCCCCTCATGTTTGGGTTTCTAAATTCAATATGATTTGTTAAAATATCAGAAAGCTTTAGAGGAGAAACGAACTGAGAATACCTTTTAAAAAGGACAAGAAAATCTGTGGACCTATAGTAAGCAATAGCACAGCAGTGCATTCTGTATGCGACAGTGATGACGTAGTCGACCGTTGCCGAGCGTGCCAGCCTTTCCCACACTAACGGCCGACAGGTGAGATGGATTAATTATATAACCAACCCACTAGAACAGCAGCCAAACCGGCTGCTGTTACAATATTATATACAACAGCATCGGCTTCGCCTCTGCGTTTCTTGTGATTCACGGCCACTTTATTTGATTTCGATTGAATATTTACTTATTAGTATCACAGCGAAGAAGAAAGTTGGCGAGACGACCTTTGCTTGGAAACTTAATAAAATGTGGACATTTTTTGTTGATTCTAATTTTTCTGATCTGTTCGATATTCGTACAATTGGTGCCTTTAAGCAAGCTTTGAACCGTGTCGATTTTGTTTAAGACGTCTTTTCTGTCTATCTGCACTCGTACTTTTCGATTTTGCTTTTTGGCCAGGTTTAAAATCCCAGCTAGAATGTCACCCTAGCCGGAAATGGGCTACCTGCTCCACGATGAATAATAATAATAAAAAAACATCTATATTTCGTGGAAATATGATCGGTACATCGCAATAGCGCAAAAACACCGGTTTTATGTAATTATTACAGATTTTCTCAGATTAGTATTAAATCTCTCCACTGGATCCATGATTCTCTGAACCCCAACCTGATGCTTCTGACTTCTGAGCAATGGCAGCTCGGTCACCAGCTCACCTTGCGGGCTCCGTACACGGGACATTGCCGGTATCTCGGTCACCCGCTCACCTAATGAGCTCTGTCCACTAGAAAGGAGTGATAGGCTGATAGCTCGGTAACTAGCTCACCTAGTGGGCTCTGTGCACAGAACAGTAGCGGTAGCTTCGTCACTCGTTCACTTAACGGACTCTCTCCACTGACAGTAGTGGTAGCTTGGTCACTCATTCACCTGACGGGCTTTCTGCACTAGACTGTTGTGGTAGCTCAGTCAGTCGTTACACTGGACAGCAGCGTTTACTCGGTCACTTGTTTACCTAACGGGCTCCGTACACTGGAAAGCAGCGTTAGCTTGGTCTTAGAAGCTAGCTAGCGTTAGCGTTAGCTTAGAAGAAACAGATGCGGCTTCGCCTCCGCGTTTCTTGTAATCCAGGGCCCGAATCAGTGAATAGCTCGGTTACACATTCACGCAGCGTTTTGAGCACTAGATAGTGGTGGACATCATTTAGCGATTTTGCTCACTAGACTGCAGTGGTAGCTCGGTAACTCACTCAGTCAATTAACTTTTCGCTCGCTGGTCAGTGAAGGTATCTCGGCCACTCACTCATCTTAAAATAATAAATGCGGCTCTTTGCTTTTAGCAATTGTTTAGAAGAGTGGTCCTGCCAAAATCAAACAGTCCGATGTCCGTATGGTTAAGACCAACCATCGTATTACAAATGTGCCGCCAACGAAAATCTATAGACTAACTTGTGATTACTTAATTTTGTGGTAGTTGTTGTACGAAAATAATTTCAATTTATTCCGTTTAATTTGCGTACTTAATAATTTATGTTGCGTATTGTATCCAGGCAAAATTTTTCAAAGTTTCAAGGCCACCTTGAAACTGGGCTGGATCGTTTGCGGCAATATTGTGCCGGCACGATTCTGATCGGACGTATTCGAAAACAAAAGTCATGTGACGCAGCTCTTGACCACGGCCGATCTAACTGTGGTATCAGATTTTTTTAAAAGTTTTTGGTTAGAGAGATCTCCAGACTGTGGGGAGGCCTCGCCTAATATTGATCTTTTACGCAGGCGCTGCACGGTTGAAACGGTCAAGCCTAATACAGTGAAACTTCTCTACTACGTACACCCTCCGTTCCTAGCTTCCTGAACGTTACAAAGGGGTGTACGTTAGGTAGGGGCACTGCCCCTAGGGACGAATAATAACCCCCCCCAGGGGTAGGTATATATTTGTGTGTAGCAACCAGAGGCGGCGCCGTGTATGTTTTGGAACGCAAAATGACTTTTCTAACTTGACGGCGTCAATGATTTCGAGCATTTTCTCCAATAAAAAAACTGATGCTTACTTTTCGCGTCCATTTTTAAACAGCTACAGTACGGTAACTGACAGGTTAAGTTCCCAACTACGTACGTAAATGTTGTTTTTTATCGTTTCGCTGTTTTGCATCGCAAGATCCGGCATTGGGCAGACCAAAAACTAGAAGCCGGAGCTTTCTTTGAAATTGATGTTTCTCGTTCTTAGCCAGCTGTACGTAACGCAGGGGTTGAATGTACCTTAAATATGGTCTGCCGTTCCATAAAAGGTGTACGTTATACTTGTAGAGGGGTGAACGTTATAAAGAGAACTGCCCCTGTGTTATAATATGCCGGACAGTCCGGTTCCCAGCCGTATGCACATAATAAAGGGGTGAACGTTATAAAAGGGTGTACGTTACGAGGGGTTTCACTGTATAACATATGGCAGACGCAGTCTGTCTATATATTATATCAGTATAGGATCCAACGTGTAACTGAAAGGTTACTGAAAGGTCAGGATGATTCTGTCTGTTCTGAGCTTTTGCGTCTGTCTATCCTCTAACGGGGAAAAGATGGAAAGTAAAGGACACTAAAGGTTAGCCTCAATCCTGCCTGTTCAGTTGCCGGTTCTCTGTCGGATTCCCATTCGAAGAGATGCTGTACATGTATCGTAAAGCTGAACCATAGTGTAATTACATATACGAGGAGGGGGTAAATACACGGGATAGACAGAAAAAACGGCAATAATAAGGGATAACCATTCACGTGTTGTGCAGCATGGCCAGCCACCAAGGGAAAGCAGTCCAGCGACACTACACAAAATTCAGGCTTTAAGACCTGAGCTGCCTTCTCCGTAGACTCCTATGTTATACTCAAACACCAGCGTCTTGGACATTTCAGAATGAAATCGTGCAATCTAGATCTTAAAAGAACAAGAAATAATAAACAAGATTTTTGATACCACTCAAGCCGTGATCTATGAGAAACAAGACAAGTAAGAGCCAATTAAGTTTCCCATAGACAAAGTACAGGAGCTCCGTGAAAGCAAACCATCCAACTCCTATGCTTAGTCTACGAAAAACTGGAATGGCTCAATCCTGTTTCAGTTTTAATAAGTGGCAAGATGTTTGGTATACAAAATCTTGTAAATTTTTTCTTGTTCTTTTGAGCTATCGATTGTGCGGATTAGTTCTGAAATGTGCAAGACAAGTGTTTGAGTTTAACATAGAAGTCTACGGAGAAACAGCTCGAGAGTGGAGTCTCAACGGCTGTTCTGCACTGTGTCACTGAACTGCCTTCCCTTGGTGGCTGGCCGTGCTGCACAACACGTGAATGGTTATCCCTTATTATTGCCGTTTTTTCTGTCTATCCCGTGTATTTACCCCCTCCTCGTATAGCAGACAGTGAGATTTCTCTCAAGCGTAGCTGATTAACTTGAAACCGTATGTTACCTCTATTAAGCAGAGATGGGATGGTGCAATAGAGACGTTCGCTTGGCAGCGAGAAATGTGCTTGGCATGGGATGTCTCCTGCGTGGATACTGTTGCCGCTTCTCACATCAAGTCTACTTCGGCAAATGCGGGATCGGTCGCGTTGCAGGCTGAAGTATATATTAGTTTAGTTTAGTTTAGTTTATTTCCGAGCAGACAAACCCTGAGGCACTCAATAGTCTGGTCAATGTCAAATTTCAAACAATAAAACAGCAAAAATTTAAACAATATTTTTCAGACGCAGTAAAGACAGGAAGACTTCAACAGAACCACAACCGAACAGATTATCTCCATCCTTCATAATTTTATTAAACAGACCTTTAAGCCTCATCGCTAGGGTCGTCTCCCCGATGCTCCGCCGCGCGGTAGCATCGATCCGCTCTGTCCGGCGGAGTCCATATTGCGAACCAGTGTCCTTGAAGGGATCAACCTTTATTGAGTTCCGTATGCTGTTATGCGGCAAAAAACCCCTATTTCAAATTAGGGGAAAAGGCACGCATAACCTATTCTTATTTAAAGTTTTGTAAACAAAACTCGCGCAACGGAAGCATCAATAAGGTAAAAGACCGCTTGCTCTCCTCTACATTACACATGAATCTTTTTTTTGGTAATTTTAAAGAAGGAACTATAGGATATGAAGATTATAAGAGTATATTATGTGGAAAGGACGATCACAATACAATTATGCGGGGTGTATGGCAAGCAACAATGCAACACACACCAACCGCATATAAAATGAGCAAAATTAATAAACACACATCCATGCACCATTCTTTGATGGAGACTGGGAGCGTCTTTGGGTGGTCTAGAAGTCTAGATTCTATTCTTATCTGAACGGCCGCTATATATTCACACCTATCGCTTTTGAAACTATGGGCCCGTGGGGACCAGCGCCCATTGCCATCATAAAAGAACTGGGGAAGAGATTACGTTCTCATTCAGGAGAAGCCCGCTCGCACGAATTTCTTCGACAACGTCTGTCTATAGAGATACAGCGTGGTAACGCGGTTTCTGTTTTGGGCACGATGGAGAAAGCGGATATGTTTACCGAGCGGTTGTTTTTGTAACTGTTTCCTTAACACGTGTTTAAGTGATGGTTTTGAAATAAAATCGAATGAATAGAGACATTACGTACATGGCTTTCTATCCTGAGAGCAACGGTGTGCCATGGCTCTCTATTCTGTAAGCACCTCAGCACATACAAATAATACAACTATATAAGTAGTATTAAGTACTTTTATAGTAACTGTTCAAAACTAAACATTGTTCTATTATTCGGCCTGCAGCAACAACTTCATTTGTTTACAATTAACATTTAAACGAAACACAAACAAAATTAAAAATTTCCAGTTCAGAATCACGCTGTACTATTTAATGCAGTATCAAATCGCCTAGCATAACCGTTTCAATCAAAATTTATCAAAAATAAACAAGTTTTCTTCTGCAAGATGTGATGGTGCTGCAAACAGAACTTATCAGTACTAGCAAAATTTAGTATCTACTATCATGTATACTGTGTTGCCATGTACAGTGTAATGCCATCGAATAAAAGGTGTGTCATGTTGTACTGTATAAGAAACTAGCAAGTAAGTAACAACATAATGCCATCGTAGAAAAGGTTTGCCCGCTTGCAGAGATTCTAATATTGCAGGCAGTCTTATAAGACAATGCACTATATGCACTATATAAGACAATGCACTTATAAGACAATGCACAATATTCGTGTACATGTTATAATCAAAAACAATGCACTTATACTTTGTATAATGCGCTGTCTGGGATTATTGAATGGTGCCTGCCTATCATAATGGGCAGGAGAAACGGTTCAACCGTAGTCAAGCTGAACAGACAGAGCGATAGAGCACAGAGAGAGTTAAAAGTAGCTCTGTCTGTTCAGCTTGACTACGGTTCAACTGAATCGTTGAAGCTGACTCTATTACACCATCTCCTCAACTCCATTTAGGTAGACTTAATTGCTCGTTTCCCAGGACAAGAATGCAGTGTCCAGGCTGAGCAGCAGAATATGAAATGAAAAGGAATGCAGGTCAAGAAAACGTAATGCTGTACATCAGAATAGTTCAGACATTCCCAAATACTAGAAATTCCATGTTAGAACTGGACAACTCGTACGCAGAGGCGCAGATAACGCATTGTTCCGATTTGACTAGCGCAGATAACGCGCTCTTCCGCGCAGATAACGCTTTGTTCCGATGAAATTCAAATTTTCATTACGCACACCGAAATTCTCTTGCACGGCTGCAGTATTTTGGTTTTTTTCGCATTTATTCTTAATCAATCCACGCGCTTGCGTAAGGCTTCCGTAGGAAGCGTTCCGAAGGAGTTTTTCTTAATAGTATAGGATCCAGCATGTAACTGAAAGGTCAGAACTCTCTAACTGAAAGTCCAGAATGATTCTGCCTGCACTCAGCTTTTGCGTCTGTCTATCTTCTAACGGTGGAAAGATAGAAAGTTAAAGGTTACCCTGATCCTGCCTGTTCAGTTGCCTATTCTCTGTCAGATTCCCTTTCGGGTCGCAAAGGGACACAATCAAAACATTGCAATATTTTTCCGCATTTATTTCTAATCAATCCCCGCGCCTGCGTAAGGTTTCCGTAGGAAACGTTCCGAAGGAGTTTTTTATCGACCGAAGCGAAGCGAAGGTCCTCTATGTTCAAGAAAACTGGAATTTTGTCTGTCCGTCGGTCACGCACTAATCTGTCCGTCGGTCACACAATAAAAATAAAAAATAAATGAATGTAATTAAATTAATCAAGAAATTATAGTATAATAGCTTCAATATTAACTGTATCAATTACAGGGAAGGGAAGGTCCTCTATGTACAAAGAAACTGGACTTTCGCCTTTTCGTCGGTTAGGCAGTAAACAGACGCTAACCTGTCCTTCGGTCACATAAAATAATAAATTAAAAATAAAATAAATATAAATAAAAACTAAATAGATTAGACAAATTATACTATTATTGCAATAATTTTATGAATTTGAGTATTATAGAAAACAAACAGTAAGGCCCTATAAGTACAAGAATACGGCACTTTTGTCGGTTTCTGAACTTCTTTCGAAAAAGAAAAAAATTATTCTCAAGCAAAAGCGGTATGGTTCATAGGGCGGCCATCAAAGAGCACAAGACCGGATGATTCTGCAGGTGTGATTGTGACTTCCTCCAGTTCAAACAAACGATGAAGTACTCGTACAAAAATTTTCGAAGCTCGAAGCCCAAACAAAAATGACTTAACGCAGCTGAAAATGCCGGTAGCAAAAATTCGGGCGCAACACAGTGGTGGCAGACTGGCAGTGTGGCAAAAGGCAGTTAAGTTCTTATATCATGAATTATCCCCGTAAATTAGTAAATCATTATTGTATACCATTTAACAGGAAGCCAATAACAGGTAATTTGTCTGAAACCGACACTCAGTTTGTCGAGGGGAAACAGGGTAATATGCTTAAAGGAACATCTAGACTGCTGACTGATTAATCGGCTTGTCAACAGGGCGTTGGGATATGTGCAAGATAAAGTATACGAACCTGGAACACCCCGTCAGACTCGACGATACAAGTGATAATAGCGGAATTCGATAAGTACACAGGTACTACTTTTGCAAATATCTGTGTTCTGATATTTCCAGTCACAAAAAAATGGTTGGACAAGTCCGAAAATTGCTCCAGAACACAGTTTCCACTCACATTAGCTTGGGCAGTAACCGTACAAAAAGGTCAAGGCTTTACGTGCGAGAAAGCGGCAGTCCACACTGACAAGCGGGAATTTGCGTCCGGTTTATGTTGGCGTTTCATGCATGAAAACTTAGAGCGGATTGGCAGTGAGCAGAACCAGTTTTCCCATTAAATATGCTACAGTCGATAAAAGAAGCCACCTATCAAAAGAACAGGGAAATTCAACGCTTGACTCAACTCATTTAATTCTGGCGGGTCGAAGTATTGCTAAATCCAAATAATAAATGTAAGCAAAATATTCGATGTTAACTTTTGATGCGAAATTAATAATCAACATAACAATAACCTATGTACGTATTCCTGTACTTGTATAAAATACTCGGTTTCCGGCTTCGCTTCGGTCTATTAGTGCTAGCCTAAAGCGGTGCACTTCCCTAGTAATGTTAACGTTATGGTTTGTCGTTTCTTTTGGATGTCAGATGCTTTGAGGGGACCGTGTCCCGTTGCAAGAGACAATTCAATTTACATTTATTAAAATTACTGTGGCTTTGAATTCGGTTCACATTCGCCTACATATGTAATAATTATAGTTGTGTGCCTTCTACAACAAAGTTCCCAGAACACCGAGTAGAAACCTTATAATATGTATTCAGTGCACGACAATGCGATCAATTAAATTTGTTTTATATATTTCACCGTATTCAGCAACCGGATTGATCCCGCGCACAAATGGTATTTCGGCCACTAAAAAGACATTTTAAGGCTGCAAAAGGGGCATAGAAAACGCAAAACGTGCACGAACAAGGGTTTCGGAGTGCGCGAAAGCAAAAGGTTACGTATGTAGATGTAAAATCGGTACTGTAACATGTACTGGTTGGTACGTGTTGTAGCTGGTCATTTGCATTATGCATTCTCATACGTATCTGAATGTCATATATAGATATATTGTATTTTATGACGAGGACCATGGGCCCGAAGGGCCCGGTATGCAATGTATAATGTTGCTTTAATTCGAGGATGGATTTTACGAAATCCGTACAATACGGAATTCATAGTAGTGCAATATGGCTACTTCTAAGCTGCCCCTAGTGGGTTGGGTTAATCCACCCGTACCACGATAAAACGAGGTTTGATGGTTCGTCGGTAATTACCCAGATCTTAAGTAACTACAATCTTACGTAACGCGCGAATTCAGGAACATCTCATCAATTTAATCAGAATCAGAGAAAGTGCAAGAGCAAGGGCGAGAGCAAGAACATGTGGGAAAGTCAACCGTCTGCCGGTCAATGCAGCGTGAGCACGTCTACTGATTTCACATCCAGAAAAGTCAGAACATCTCAGAATTCTTCGTAACCGATAACATGGATTCAAAATTCTGCTGAGATAGGCGGTGCATCTGTTTCCGGTTGAGTTGTTACCAATGGCAATCTGTAGAACATGATTCTACGGCTACAGTACTGTTTTTTTTTCAGCAAGAATATGCGCTTATGGTTTTCGAGAACTCGTCAATGAACGCAAGGCAGTGCGGAAAATGTGCGAAAAGAAAGGCATTTTCGATTTCCCGGTTACATAATCGTGAGTCGTGCGCGTGGATATCACGATATCCGAAGTGGAGTGAAATGAGGCGGCACTGGAAGTCAGACTGAAGGAAGTGCAAAGGGAGTCTGAGAAGGAAGCGGAAGTGCGGAATAGAAAGCCGCGATATTAACACCCGCACCGGAAGTGCACGGTTGCCGACGTAAGAATTCCGCCTAGTGCGTTTGCCATTGTGGCGGATGAATAGACTGCTGGTAGAATGTCTTTGTGCGTAGTTTTTAATGGAGGTATGCGTTATGGCTTGCATCTAGAAAAATGGGCAGCTTTTTTGTAAAAAAATGGAAAAGTCGAAGGTTTTTCTGTAAGTACCTAAAGATTGATTTGTTTGTATTATGGTTTTACATCTTTTAGTTTTGCGGGTAGCACCCATTGAATAAGTTCGTGTTTTGCAAGCGACTGCTTTTTGTTGACACTTTCACGGCAAAAAAAAAACTATTTAACAGTGCACCTTTTGTTTTTCCGTTATCCCACACTATTTTGTATAAACTGCAGCGAAATTCGTCACTTTTTCAAGAAGATTCGTTACTTTTACTAGTACAAGTTAGAGTCTTCTAAATGCGGCATTTGTTAATCTTCTTAGAAGGCAGATAATTCTTGTATACGTATACAAAGTGAGTCAAGGGTGTATTCAACAACAAAACAGTGTTGTCATACCAAACTTTGGTCGAAGATAGAGCGACATCACAAACGCAGGTGAGTAAACCAGAAAACAACAAAACGAAGCTGTGTCCCATTAATTTTTATCGTCGTCCAACGAACTGTACTGGATATGGCGGATGCCGGTGCTCCTGTTCCCGGTCGGGATGATTGACTCCGTGGGAGTAATGCGGCATCATGCAGGGCAATGTGGTCTGACTGGAGCTTTTTGAGAACATAACCGAAGGAGACGATGAGGATTTATTCTGCGCGGAATTGGTGCGCGCTGAATTATACACACTGGGCGGCGAGTGGCGATGTTCCGGCAATTCGGCAATCTCAGCGTAAACCGCCGCCATGGGCGAGTACGGCGGCATCCACTTCAGATAATCAAAATTCCCGTTCTTGATGTCAAAGTCGTAATCGTAGTCCCGTGCGTAGCGCATAGCGGCGCTCTGGTTAGATGATCCGTGGGATGACCGATCCGAAGTGCACAAGAACATATCACGCCCATCCGCTTCGTAGCCGCCTTCCATATCAAAACGGTGAAGGCTATTGTCGTTGCTGCTAGATGAAAAGGGTGCTTTCTGACCGTAATCCCCCAATGAATCCGGCAGGCCGGAGTCGGGCATCATTTTCGGGAAAAAGCTGTTAGGTTGCGGTTTCGGAATGCCGGAATAGAATTGGCTGCCGAACATCACACGATCATCTTCCACAGAACCGCGCCCACTGGAGCCAATTTCGGACGGACCATTCGTTGGATCATGGTAGTGATTGTTAGTCCCTGTAACAAAAGACACGAATGCATTAAACTCACACAGGAACAAAACACTAATGTATATGCAACAGTATGAATTTGAATGATTAATCAAGAAAGAGGTGAGTCAATTAAATGAACTCCAATCTCCAGCAAAATTCAGTCTTTTCTCGCAAACCTGCATGGATACACACAAATAATATTTCCAGTAATATCGAAGAAGAAGAAAAGCCTTTAGCGTCATCAACGTGGGCAACTTTCTAGAAGATTCAAAGACGTACCGCATTTTTTACGATTACACTGGGTTGCTTCAAAAACCGGTTTGGTACAGAATTCTCCATTGACTGGAAGGTCACCTGCAAACGTCCGATTGCGATACCCATATCCTGTCCCACACGGCCTCGAACACGACGACTGGCATTCACTCCACAGAGGATAAATGAAATTGTTGACATCTACGAATTCACGAATACAACTTCGTTACACAGTTTGAATGAAAATGTGGAAACGGGATGTGATCAGTCTTACCTTCATAACAGCTTCGGTAATCGCATTCGACCTGCCGTACTGCGATTCTCGGGCAATCTTCAACATCCGCTGAACCACAACTGAATATACGGAACGTGTTAGCGAAATAACCATCTTCAGAACACTGGCCGGAGCAAGGAGTGGGCAATGACCAGCTACTCCATGATGCATAATCTTGACGGTAATCTGTACAACAATACATTCAATATACCAAATTTGTACTTACCAGTTAGGTGTACACTTGACTAGTTTTCCTTACGGTCACAAGGATGAGTGTTGCACTGTTGAATATCATACGGGGTTCCGGGGCATACCATATGTTGATCGATACCGTGCGATAAGCATTTTCGAAACCGCATAGTTGAACCACCTCCACATAAAGAAGGACATGTAGACCAGCTTGACCAGTGATCCCAGGCCAGTACTTTATCTGAAAATTTCACGGGATTATTCCAATATAAAATGTAGAGTATAAATTACGGAATATTACATAAACTGTTTGAACGATGAATGTACTGTTCAGCGTTCGGCGAAAACAGTTTTAGCGAAAAAACAGATCTCGTGCTGGTTGCACACTTACTTGAACAAGGACGTGTTTGACATCGTTCGATTTTGAAGTCGTGATCGTGGCAGGCATCAGAATCCTTTCCAGGAGGACACACAGAATACTTATAACGTATTCTTGTTCCGGCGCCGCAAGTATGCAAACATGAGCTCCAAGGAGTCCAATAGAACAATCGCACTTCGACTTCTTGGTCTGCAAGTGATCACGATTCGAAAGGTCAAGTGTCAGTTATTATCAGTGACTCAGTGTCGCATCATAAGAAAGCGGCAAGGCATAACGTAACAAGCGTCCGTATTACATTCCTGATCTTCGTAAGGATCAGCATTACAAATTTCATTATAGCGCCCTTGTGTAGGGGCGTTACAAGTCCCGTAGCGAATGCGACCACCTCCTCCACATTTACGACTGCATGGTGACCAGCATCCCCATTCATAAACTTCGCTTGCTGTATTTAAAAGCATCGTAATATTCAACAAACTATCAAAGTACACAAAAAAGAAGTGTACGGCACAGATTCTGTTAATCCGCTTACCGCCGCTACACGAGACAATATTACAGGCTTCCAGTTTGAAACGATATTACATGCAAAAGATTTTATCTACTACTCAGTAACTACTGCTGGAATTCAGGCAAGTCGATTCTACTGCATATTACCAGAAACAAACAATTCAAATCGCAACGCCAGGCTTATGCAATAACACATTTGAATTCTGACCCAATAATTCAAACGCTATTTAAATATACAATTCAAACTGTACTCACTTTTGCAGGTATTACAAACTTGAAGTTCAAAAGGCTTTCCACTGCAACATCGCCCGCTGTTCCACGGTGTCGGATGATTACAATCCCGCGACGCGTACTGGTATCCTTCTTCACACTCATCGGCAGAGCATTCTGACCAGCCACTCCACTGCCCATAATCTCCGGGAATAACTATCGACAAAGGCAAAAATCGGTCAACAACCGTTTTATAATTTGGAGCAATCAGGAAGTACTTAAAATTCAGATTTTCTGTTCTACTTGAAAAAACTATTAATTAGCTACATATTTAAACCACCAAAATGACATGGACATACAAAAAACTCTATAGTCTTTCAAGCACGATTAAAACGAAAGACCCAAAATTATGAAAAATATGGTAAGTTCACAATTACAGCATAGGTATTCGTCTCACCTTGAGAAATCATATTTTCGTATCCCGGAGCATTCACCCTGGTTTCCGTTCCTTCGACGGGTAAAGCGAAAATTATAATGGCCAACATAAAACTAATCAAATTTTTTATATCTGTTCTTCCAGTCGTCCAGCAGATCCGTCCGATCCTTCTGGAGAAGATATAAAGGAGTACGCCGGATATGCTCCCTTTGCCTTCGCCGCGCCGCTGCTTCCTCGCTTTTAACGCAGTAACATCCCAGCCAACATAAACCGACCAGCAAAGCCACAAAACCGACAACCAACAAGCCCCAGTGTGACCAGGTTCCCGCTGTTCCTGGTCCCACATACCAGACGACGCCAGAAAAACCAAGCAAAAAAAACCCAAGGAAACAAAAAAACAGTGCGCCACCAAGATCACAAAGATCTCCATCATCGACATCCATTCGTTGGTTTGATTGACTGATTTAATCTCCAGCTCTGAACTCAAATCGTTTTCTTTGGGCAAAACGTTAAGGTCAGCCGAACTTGGAATCGTCAAAATAAAAGTCGGTTTTAGAAATAACATGCCCGACATGGCCAACTTTCGATAAAGGTGTGCACTGTGCAGTCATCCTGAACTCATGGTAAGCTGGTCAGCGCAGGTGGTCAAAACATGGTGAACCAATGGGCACAATAAAGTGCTCCGGGCTTAAAAGCACTCGACAATTGGCGATTTCCAGTACTGAACCATCACGTAGCCTCGACAACCTTCATCACCAAAACATGAGGGAACCTCTCCGATTAGCTTCCCCATACATCCCGTTTTTAGGGACGCGTTATAATGCTTTCCATGTTAAATTTTTTAACCGAAAGAGACCCCAACCGGTATCCCATAGTGACTCAGCGCGCCCTAAATGATGCCATGATGCTAGCACAGTTTACTCTCACCGGTCAGCCGCTGTAGTTGTAACTTGTAGATGTTAAGGGACAAAGACAAAACCAAAATCAAAGGTGCTGTGTCGGTTCTCAGAACATTTAATGACATGCGAGACAACGAGGACGTTTTTTTAGCTTTTAGATTGGCTGATCGGGAATGATTAGTGCCCGAAGTTATTTTTCTTGGCAGCTTTGCCGTAATTTTGGTATATTGTAATAAAGCATGCACTTATAAAAAATCGCATTAAAAGTGACCACGCTTACTGCATAGGTATGCAAGACGCATCTTTGTTCCATGCGAATGTGACCGTTATCCCGCAAAGTAAAACAGCCCCATTTACACGAGCTAGTTTGTTTACATACATACGGAATCAAGTTATTCAGCTACCTTCGAGGAGTAATCTCACTGTCAGCGGCAGTCAACCTATATATTATCTCTTTCGCTATGAGGCTTGTTATCAATAATACGCAAATTCTTCCTTGGCACGCGAACAGAAAACCAGAAAGAGTTTTTTCACACGGTGAAATTCGGAGCTGTCTGAATTTATCGTGACTAATAGAGCAGGCGCATGTTGCCCCCGTCAACGCTTTTTTCTACTCAAGTGGATCAATTCTAACAATTCCTTCGGTTATTCAATCGAAAATTCAGCCATTAACATTGCCAGCACTACCGGTGTCTCGCGAAAATTTCGGCACCGAAAAGTAAGGCGTTAACAGTAAATGATCGGATGAGCGTGTGGCTACGAGGAGATTCGGTTTTCTAACGGTCAACTCGGTTGCTCGAGTTGGAGTGAGACGCAAAAGACAACATTGCTGCAGCAAGGAAAAGTTTCGGGTTACAAGACATACTTTGTGCGAGATATTGTGACCTTTCCAACGCTGGCGGATGATCCCGCCAATATAGCCTTTGTCCGCTCAAGAGCGTGAACGGCAGTACACATACAATGCCAAAGAGGCTAATTCGCAAATGTACCAAAAGATATCTGTGCCTGATGCTAGTCAGATTTTTTTGCCGAACATTTTGTACAGTTTTTATTCAGGTTTTGAAAAGCGTGTTTTTAATTTCTTGTCTACGTAACCTGCCAGGATCAGTGCTCGTTTGGCCAATGGTTGTACGTATTTCTCCGTTTTGACGGATTCAGGGTTTGTTATTATGTATTCAGTGATTCTCTCTTGTTACCTCGCAATTTTAGAATGTACTGGCTATTTGATGCGAAATACGAACTGTTTATTATACTTATTTTATTTTCCTAAGCACTTAAGTAATTTAAACGGTGATTCGTCAATCCGAATTGCGACGCAAACAAACAGCACATAGTTTATCATTTTACATGTTTTTTCACGATTGCAAATATTACCGCTGCGTAATCTTGGAAGAAACTACTGCAATTCAACCGACTAATTCAGACATTTAAAAAATCCAACGTTAACAGCGACAGCTCAACCTTGCCATCCATGTTGATGGTTTTCTGGCTCACCGTCTTTTGAACAAATTTACTCTCGTCACCGTTTTTGTTTTCCACAACCATTACACGTGAAGTACATTCCGCGGTCTCCAATATCTGCCAAGGATTGTCGTCCAAAAAAAATGATAACCTCCATATCTCCGGCCAAGCACCAACTTTGTACAGACATGCTGCCACTGTGTAGCAGATTCCCACGAGTACAGTCTGTACATTCCCGAATGATCCCCCTCGAAGATGTTAAAGCCCGCAACTAAGTATGATTAAGGGAACCTTGATCTTGCTCGCCATTAACAAAAATCCATCATAATGCGAAATGTACACCCAGAAGTGTCAAAGAATTAATTTGTCTGTTCGGGAAAAATTAAAGTTCGTGTCCTCGGTGACCATTTTGCACAGAATTGAGATCAATGTTTCTGTTTTATGCGTGGCAATCAATAACAAAGATGATACTAAAATGGATTTGAGAATTCTGTCGCATGTTGCGCAGATCCGGCGGAGTTTAATCACAGAGGAACCGAACAATACTGCTACGCTTTGTTCGGTTCCTCTATGGTTTAATCTGGTCCGCCCCACGCAGATAGCTAATATTATGAGAAGATTCAATATCGTATACAAGCAGCATATCCACAGGAAAAACAGTAATATTTTGGTAAGTACATAATATTGTACAATATCAGCATAGGCAGTAGGCAATGTCTGTACTTTTGTTAGTTTTGTAGAACGGCATTGGCCTCTAGGCTTAATCATATCCGGAACCTGCGGTGGAACTTCCGCCACCAACTGCGAAGTCAATACACTAGACGATTATTTACAGTAAATTAAGTAATGGTAGCTCAAGAAACCTCCCGTGAGAACCATTTACTAACCACAAACTATTGGCGCACTGGAACTTGTAATATCTACACTGGCTACACAGGCTACGCTTATACACAGTACAACGTAGATGGAACCTCACAAGCCGAAAGCCTGGAATTATGGTGCATTTCATTAATTAAAGAACGCTGACACAACGTAATTTATTTATAATATTTGTAACTTATTAAGAATTTAAGAGTAATGCGGCCATGTGACACGCTGCAGGTTAGAACTCCGTAAACTGAAAATATGCATTGTTCTCATAGTATTTAGTTCTAAACGATGTTAGGGCGACACGTTGGGAAAAATTACGTTCTGGTTTTAGCCGGCTAATAAAATTCGTTAAACGCTCAACAGAATTCAGTGTTTCAGATACTAGTCAAAAGAAACCATTTGTTGAGCTGCCTGCGCTAAAATTATTGCTTATGCGCCCAGTTTTGCTTTCTAATTACTTATCGTAACCTCCAAGTTATTTATGTATTAGATCATGTATGTATTAGTATTATTTATGTATTAGATTATTTATGTATTAGATTTATGTATTAGTATCTGCGATGCATTGGCAATGACGAATGTACGGACACCTATATTAAGTTATCAATAAGAGTGGCCGAGCCAGCAGTATTAATAAAAATGTAATAATTAATATGAAAAATGTGAGAAATAGGTTTATTTAATTTTAGGATTTCGGCGAGAACGACGAGATGCATGTTCGCTCGTTCATTTATGTACGGTGATAAATCGGTGGAATGAGTAATAAAGGTCGGACAAACCGAAAATTACCTCTACCAAGTCAACATATCATCTCGAAATTAAATGCGGGAAACTGCACGATGCAATAAACTCGCATTGATGATTTGTGCAGCGTATGCAGTATAGCAAATTAGTTTTCCTGGATGGCCATAAAATGGGGCGCAGGGAATAAGTAGCCAGTTGCATGCTATACTGCAGTGCTGCAGCAGGGAGCGCCAAATCAATATTCATTTTTCCTAACTGGGGACATTTATTGAAAAAGGCTGACTTGCACATGTTAAGTGTTATAACCAGCATGGGTCGCGATGAGTATGTAGAACGGCACCGTCGGGAGTTTCCTAAGGTGATTATCAGAGTGATGAAATGGTCGCCTTTCTTGTCAAAAAATTACTAAGCTGCCCTGAGCCGTTCCTTTGTATGGCAGCTTTCCCTGTCCCATTCCCAGACTTTTGTGCATGCACCGTTTATATGCAGTCCAGGAGATCTTGAGCGATGCTTGTGCATAACGGGCACCCGTTCAAATGCATGATCCATTAGCCGTAACCTTTTCTGCCTCCCCGTGTCTGTATAAATATTTTTTCTTCTCGCTACAGTTTTCTCTACATTGCACTGCAGAATTAAATTCTCTTGCAAAAACTAAAACGTAGCCCAGCGATCGATGTACGATCTATTATCGTCTCTGTTGCCAACCTGAACCACTACTATCGGTATCTCAGGTTTCTTACGCATGAGCTAACAAGTTATTTATGCAGAAACTGTGATCATGAATTTTTCCCAAATAATCGCATATCCGAAACAACAAGATGTTGTAAGTTTCTACCTCATTTTGCCATGACAAATTGAAAACCAAAATAACTTGTAAGAAAAATGGTTCAGAATGGAAACAACCAATAAACAGAAAGATAGTAATTCTGGACTGACGAGACTATGTCGAATCGTTAAAGTGTACACGAATACTGTATCTTAAAATTTATGAACAAAACTAACGGCCGTATAACTGCAATGAAAATCTGCAGTAATCATCCTTCATTAATAATTACTATTCAAATTCAAACTGCGCAGAAATGTTAACAAAAATTTCGTGAATTTCTGGTTATCTGAAATTTAGTAAGTGAGTACTGTACGAGTTTCATCATACATGCATCCTACCTTTAATTTGTAGGTAACTGGTGATTAACTCCTAAATTGTGCATTATTAATTCCCTCAGCAAATATGTGTTACCGTAAGCGTGTTTGGCAAGCAACAAAAACAGCAACAATTACATAAATAGGAGTAATACAAGCCATTGAGTTGCCGGCATCCTCCTTAGCTCCGCCCCTTCCATGGACCACATAGGGCATATATTGCGCGGGACAGGGTGCACAATTGGCTTCCCAGTTAGTTCCACCACATATGAACTCCTTCCGACCGCTGGAACGACTTATACCAGAAAAGGAAAACCGAATTGATCACATCGGTCGTTTCATCTGTCTGTAATACTCTAACTAACTTCTTTCAACAACTCAACTAGAGCCCCATTTCCTCTGACGATTCAGCGGGGATAATCATACGTTTCGCTGGACAGCTCGCTTATACGCTAGTTCCGCTACAAAAACGCCTCGCTCAACCACACACCCATGATTTATTAAGTTTTGATCGCTAATGGCACAATTAAGCGTACAGCTGCCTGGTTTGTATTAATGCTTTATAATCAATTATCTGATCATGATCGTTTTACAAATGGTCAAACACATTGATTGAGTGATGATGCCTGTGCAAGAATTCAACACAGAAGGACCGTTATCCCGCATCTGCATGTGGAGCGGCGTTGGATGTGTGGCAGCGGAACATTATCGCGTCATTCCGGATTCATCAAGTTGTTTACAAAATATTCTGGTTGCATAACAACCTTCCCAGGATTGGAAGATTAAAATTCATTGTGTGCTACTGCTGACATCGTAAAATGTAAAAGCCGCAACACAAAAGATTGTGCTAGATAGATGCGACGGCCAGCTACGGTGGCTGACCTTTCCCTAAAATGGCTTATCTGTACGAAGATGCGCCACTGGCCACGCCAGAATCCGTTTCCGGAATGTATCCGACCACTTTCGCCCAACCAATTGGAGCTCGAACGAAGCGCTCAGCAGCCAAGCGGACGTTGGCCTGCTTCAAAGTGTTTAAAGCAATTCTTGCACGGGCCATTTTTGCTGTACATGGATTCGTGGCAATATGGCGGGTAACTGTGATAAAAAAGAATAACAAATATTATTACCTCTGCGGAACATTAGGATGCTTATTTTTGGAGACCATCCTATCCGTCTGCATCAGACAAGGCGAAGAGCTAAAATGGTAAGTGCAAAGTACTCGCAGTTTTCCCATTCATTATAATAATCATGTAAGTATTCGATTATTCGTACTCCCAGCTTCAGTTAAATAATAAGCCGCATCTGATGTATACTGACCATGTGCCAAATGCTTGCGGGTGATACCTTTTAAAAAGAATGTGTAGATCTATTGATTTTAGAATCATTGTATCTTATTCAGCTTTACTAAATAATAATTATTTAGTATGTACTTTGTAATTATTAGATAACGGCGCTTTAGTTAGATAACGTAGTCATATAACATTTACGAATAATCAATTCATCGGTGACACGTTAATAATTTTTAAAGAAATAGTTTTTGTGTCTATTATGTCTGTATATTTCCAAAAACGCTGAACGCATTAATTTTTATAAACCTAGTTAGACTTGGAAATATTATAAAATGATTGTGAAATTTTATAATTAAGCAGGACTGCAAGAGTATTATAATCTTGACCAACCGTATGTGATAAGTAATTGCAATTATTTTTTTACACCGCGTGCAATGGATTTTCGGCTGAAATACAAACTGTCGTAGCTGGTACGTATAAAAATTTGTTTGTCTTAATTTTGCAATTTTTGTTGTTGGTACGTATGTTTGTCTATTGTCTGGGATTTACGTCTGTTGTCTATATTTAGCTACCGTTTTGCACCGCAGCTGTCCACTCGTCCTGTTTAACCACAAACACTTCTGTATGTGAAGCATGTCCATTTTTAGATTATCGTACAATTATCACTGCTCCTCACCTGCGGTTCATTGTTTGATATGTGTTTTTCCTGCTTTCTCTTAGCGGAAGTTGAAATCGATAAGGAGCATGGTATTATTTGTTTACTGTTATGCAAAGTGTATTTATCAAACGGTCTGCTATGACAGCCGATGCAAAGTCAACCGTATTTATTGATGTCCGGATTATGTAATCAAATCTTTCTCTTTACTCGATGCATAAATTCTTTCCACGCTAAATATTTATGCGATTTTTTAACTACGAAAACACAACAGCGATTTCAAACCCAGGAAAGTCTGCATCGACTTAAAACTATTCAATTGGTTTTGAATTTTTTTCTCAACGGCATATGGTTTCTTTTCACAACTACGTTAAAGTATGTGAGAATTTTTACACCTGGCGATGAACTTGTACGTTATTGTAGCTCAAAGAATACAGTCATATTTCAATAATTAAAAATTAAAATTGATCGTGGCACGTTTGTTACGCACCTATGAGTGATGACTGTGATGAATGTTGCACTTGTCTGAAGTTGTCTGTATTCTACGTATATCTTTGTTTCTGTACATACTGTATTCTGCTGTTATGACTGAGGATTTGATTAGGTTTTCGCCAAGCGTTTTTTTCTATCTGGCCACCGTCTGCCCATCGGTATGGATAATGGAATTACATCGTGCCCATGAGGCTGCAGCTGGCATATTGGATGTTACTAACGAGACTAAGCGGACCAGCGTCATGTCAGCCTCCAACACGGAACTCACTCGACTTCCGATTGTACGTTTGTAACGGGACTAACGGCTCTCGCAGGCGCTAATGTAATTCCCGGCGTCTCGTCTGGACGCTGCTGCGCCCGAGACTGCCACGGTGAAAATGTAATACCCGGGATGGTAATAGAGAAGAAAGGAGACTTAACACACTGGCAGGAAAAACATTGTTATTGCTACGGTTGCGCTGTCACTGGCGCCTGCAACATAAGCGTCGCGCGCCGGGTTCACATGCGCTTCACTGCTGGCGAAGCAGGGATAATCGATACGGCCATAACTTACGTCTTTTCACAACTATTGTTGTCTTATTCCTTCAGGACGTCACTTCACTCTCGGAGAGCGACTGGCTCAAGATATTTGAACAGGCACTTATGGTCATCCTCATCGTGGGTCGTTGGCTGCTGCCAAAGGGAGAACTGACACGTGATCAGCTATCACAGCTCCTTCTCGTCTACATTGGCATGGCAGCGGATATCATCGAAATCTTCGAAGCCTTTCGGGTTAGACAACAACGCTGCTGTTATTTTTGCAGCTGAACTCCAATTAGATTTACCACTTCTTTTTAATATTATTGAACCACTTGTCTAACGCAGTGCTTCCTTATTATTCTGAGCAATTCAACTTGAATCCGGCACTTTATATCCGGCAGAGAAAAAGAAGAAATAACGTTTTCGCGCTTATATTCAGGAGCCAAAGGTCATCCAGATTATAGAGCTGGTGTACACAACGCTGGCATTGTGGACATGGAGCTTGATGCAGTTTACTTTGGTACTGACCGCGACAAAGGCCCGCAGGCCTCGTGTACCGGCCAACTCTTTACCGAACCCAGCGGAACTGGAGGAGATTCTCGAAGAAGACAGTGGTGGACCGTGCTCCTGTTGCTGGTGGTGTTCAGCTGACATTTGGGGCATTTTGACCACGCTGATCCTTCAAGATGGACCTTTCCTGTGCTTGCGGCTCACGTTTCTTTTCAAATACAACGTTGTCTCTTACTCCAATGTATTTTTTACGATTAAGGTACAGAACAGCAACATTACCAAATTATATTTTTTACTTTTTAGAGATACATTGTAGCGCTTGTTAACTGTGAAAATTACGTTTCAGAATAGTTTGGTTATTGTGCTACAAGTCTACAGGACCGTTGTCTTGCTACACTACAGCAAGCAAAGGAAAAAGGATCTTGACTATCACTCCCGCAACGGTCAGTGGATGAAGCCGTCGAAAAGCTTTCCGGAACGTCTGGCTACTCACCGCAGCTTCGACACAATTAGCGCGTAATTACATACAATTCATTATTTATATTTAAGGTGATCAATTTGTGATACTGTGTTTGATGCTGACTCTGAAATCTGCCATGTATCTGCTTACATTCACATCTTCGTACCCCGAAATTCACGTTTTTGATAAATGCTGATTTCACGCCATTTGAAATAAAAGTACGAGACCATGAGTACTAACTCTGATCAGTCTGATGCAATTGTGAGGGTAAAAAAAACCTCAGGTCCATAAAATTATCTGAATTATAGTGATGGCAATTTTTGCTTACCGGTTAGAACTTAATGTAGAAGTACGAGCCATCACCGTTCGCGCCCGCACGCTACCGATTTTTCGTTCGCATCGTCTGTGGTAGTCGACGTCGAAATTACAAATTATCCTGAACTAATCGTAAATTTAATTTCATAACAACAAAATTCCACTGCACTTGTCGCGTTTTGCATTCCTCCACAAACTAAGACAAGTGCCTTTATCTCCTTTCATCAGCAGAATTACAGACTGTAAAGAAGCAACAAAACACAGTGGATAACCCACATCACTCATTTCTTGTTATGTTTCTTGGATTTCTTGGAACGTTTGCCAGTATCCGAGCCCGCTGTCGCTGCATTTTTCAGTAACGTAAAACTTTTGGACTCACACGCTGTCGCCCGCTGCGCTAGTTCCTGCTCAATACGAGCATTGATGGCTTTCTGAAAGGACTGCTTCATAGTGGTTACCGCCGAAGTAGAGCCTTGCGAATGCGAGGACTGTTTGCCTTTTCCCTGGTTCTTCTTTTTACTGACTCCGCTGTGCTTTGAGCTCTTCAGTGCGTCTCCGGGTCGTTGTTGCTTGAACTTGGGCTTTCCTTGTGGCATAATGATATACTGATGGTGCGTCGCTCACCGTCCAATCCAGACGAATTTAAATAACACTCACAACTCCAGACCGAAGAATTCACACCGTCTCAAAATGTCGATTTACTGAGCTTTTCACTGTCGCTGCACAACACCCACAACGATGGTCTTCTCGCGCACAAGCTAGTGAAAACTGTGGATTTCAGCTTTCAACTTTAGGAATGGATGCCCTAAGAATTCGCCCCAGCACGCTGTTCGATTTGTGGAAGTGAAGTAAAATGGAAAATTTACACGGTAACGCAAAGCAAACCAAATTAACAACAAACTTTACTGAGACGAGTTGGTCATTGCGCAAGACGTTCGTCGCGGATAACATCTCCTACCCTACCCCCCTGGAAGGCACTCATGGGTAGCAACAGGAGTGGTCGAAAGATAAAATGCCGTTTTTGTTTCGCAGCAGTGACACAAGTACCACGCATTTTTGAGTTTTTTGTGATTCTATTAGCGTCAGGTTAATAATAGTCATTTTAGAATTTAAAAATATTCAGACGGAAATCCAAATTTCAGTTTTGAAACTGAGCATATAATTATAAAGTTCTCCGGATGTTTAAAAAAGATATCTGGCGCTTCGGCGCCGTAGACGTGCAGGATGACAGTGGACTGGTGCGCCACGGAGTGGTCCGCGCAGTGGATGCCAAGCAAGGCATTACTGTTGATTTTGACTGTCCAGGACATCGTGCCGATCTGACACCATTCACTGCGTTCGTCAATGGTCGTCTCAGTCAGTTGTCTCCCTACATATACATCGTTCCTGGAGACGAAGTGCAGGTCCTTTTCCGAAAATCCTCGGACCAGCCCTGGTGCTGGCATCCAGCGATATTCGTGTCCGATGTAGGTGTCAACGCGTTTGCCTTGGTGGAGATCAGGTTAACTGAGGCTAACACTGTTCGCGAAGTGGTGGCCTTAGAGAGAGTGCAGCGGCTGGGCGCCATGCGGCCCTGCAAATGGCGGCCTGCGTCTGCTACGTTTCCCTATCAAAGACATTGCGCGCAGTTACCACAGGATTTCCTGGCTACGGCCAATATGGAGACGTTCCTAGAGTTATGGCGCCAGCATACAAAGACCCTCGGCGCTACTGTTGACAAAAACAGACTAAGTTACCTCGCACAACGAGGAAAGCAACTGACGCCATGGCAGTGTGTAAGTGAGCAGTTTTTTTTAATTTTTTGAATTTTACTTTTGGTATGTTTGCAACTGAATTACTGAAACGTACATTTTTTTAAACTTTTTTTCTGTACAGAATTCGAGTGAGCTCTAATTAAATTAATGGTAAAGCCGGGTATCCACCTGGTCTTGCTTAGACTGATACAGTATGTTATGTGCGTATTTGTTCGCAACTTTACGGTACAGATTAAGTTTTTTGAAATCATATTTTTGATGTTTTTTGACTGTTTGAATACCAGTGCTGTTGGCTGTTTAATTTTTCTAGGCAGATGCATTTCGCTGCATCACTGACCTGATGCATAAGCGAGGAATCAAAAGAAGCTGTGACGACGAGGCTGAAACTAACACTTCGCAGCAGTTGGTTTTGGTAAATTATTTATTTGCAGTTAGCTTTATTTATAATTTATTTCTCTACTTTTTATTCACTCAGCTTTACCGTTTGCGTTTACCGTAGTTTAGTAAAGTGGTATAGTATAGTGCAAGCGATCATGTGTTTTTTCAGTACCATAACTGGCAAGTGGTAGTAATTCTAAAGCTGGCTCTTGCGCAGAGAAATCTGGATTCTTCGGATGAAGTCCACAATTTGGACTTATTTATGTGCTACATGCCTGTGGAAATACTGCTTGAAATTCTCACATATCTCCGTGTGGCCGACCAGGTTAAGCTCCGCCGGGTTTGCTCAACATGGGACATAATTCTCAAATCCATTCTGGTATCATCTGTTGTTATTGATCGCGATGTGCACGGACCGGAAACATTGATTCCGATATTGTACAAAGTAGTCACCGATAACACGAAGACCTTAGTTTTCGTCGGAACAGATAAATTAGCTCGTTTGGCACTGCTGGAGCAACCATTTCGCATTATGATCGACTTATTAGTGGCTAACAAGGTCAAGGTCCCGTTAATTATCGTTGCGGGGTTTTACATTTTGAGTGGGATTTGGGCTTTCAGTCGGGAATGTACTCGTGGAAATCTGCTACACAGTGGCAGCATGTCTGTACAAAATTGGTGCTGAGAGATATGGAGGTTATCATTTGTCTGGACGACAATCCTTGGCAGATATTGGAGACCGCTGAATGTACTTCACGTGTAATGGTTGTGGAAAACAAAAACGGCGAAGAGACTAAATTTGTTCAGAAGACGGTGAGCAAGAAAACCATCAACATGAATGGCAAGGCTGAGCTGTCGCTGTTGGATTTTTTAAATGTTTGAATTAGTCGGCTGAATTGCTGTTGGTTTCTTCCAAGATATGCTGTGATGGTGGGTTAAAATTTGGCTACAAATGTTCCGCCTCTTTTTAACGAATATGTTCGTTTAATACGTGTGATTAGGTTGGAGTCTTTGACCTTTTTACCCGCTTTTGTTGCATGTGGTGGGCGTACTGTGCCTCATCAAAATTTATTATTGTAAGTTGTGTTTCTTTTGGCACATAAATTTACGCAGCGGAAAGATTTGCGGTCGTAAAAAGGTTTAAAAAAAACACGAAAAGTGATAAACTATTTGTTGCTTGTTTGCGTCGGAATTCGGATTGACGAATCACTGTTTAAATTTATAGTGCTTAGGTAAAATAAAATAAGAATAATGGATTCGTATTTCGCACCAAATAGCCAGTAAATTCAAAAATTTCGAGGTAACAAGAGAAATCACTGAACAATAACAAACCCTGAATCCGTCAAAACGGAGAAATACGTACAACCATTGGCCAAACGAGCACTGATCCTGGCAGGTTACGTAGACAAGAAATTAAAAACACGCTTTTCAAAACTTGAATAAAAACTGTACAAAATGTTCGGCAAAAAAATCTGACTAGCATCAGGCACAAATATCTTTTGGTACATTTGCGAATTGGCCTCTCCGGCATTGTATGTGTACTGACGTTCACACTCTTGAGCGGACAAAGGCTACATTGGCGGGATCATCCGCCAGCGCTGGAAAGGTCACAATATCTCGCACGAAATATCCCTCGTAACCCGGCACTTTTCCTTGCTGCAACAATGCTGCCTTTTCTGTCTCGCTCCAACTCGAGAAACCCAGTTGACCGTTAGAAAGCCGGGTCTTTTCGTAATTCCACGCTCGCCCGATCATTTCCTGTTTGACCATGTTTTTCAGTGATAAAATCGTCTGTGAGACGTCGGCAGTGTAGGTAATGTTAAAGACCACACTTTCCGACTGAATAACGAGGGAATTGTCAGAATTGATCCGCTTGAATGACAGCATCGACGGGGCCATGTACGTCCGTAATCGCGATAAATCCAGATCCAATTTATCCACAGCTCCGGATTTCACCGCATAAAAGTACTCTTTTGACTTTCTGTTCACGTGCCATGGAAGAATTTGGATGTTATTGAAAACTGACATCATGGCGTCGTTTAGCACGCGCTGACCGATACCGGTCGGGGTCACTTCGGTTGAAAAATTGGATGCCGAAAGGATTATGCCACGCCCGTAAAACGGGGAGGTAGAAGCTAATCGGAGAGGCTCCGTCATGGGATTGAGGAGCAAAGGTTGACGAGGCGAAGTGATGGTCCAAGACTGAAAATCGTCAATGGTCGACTGAAGAACGCAAGAATGGTTTAAAGGCACCAGCACAGACGGGCCCAGCGGGTCGCACTTGAAATCCAAGAGGTCGCTCAAGGTGGACGTAGATGCGGGATAACTGGCTCGTAAGCCCAACACTTGTGCCCATTCGTTAACGTCTAAAACCCAAATAATAGATTAAATTACTTTAACCATTAGCTTAGCAGTTATCGTTAATAATGTTGGCAAGTATTTTTATATTATAAATAACAGCTTGCACGCACGCTACTTTGTATAGGACAATTTATTTATCTTGTGTATGCCTCGAAAATTTTGAAATTTGTACTAGATCGTTGATCGGCTGGATCAACGATGATTTTTATTAATCGTCGATGCTCTTACCAAGTAAAGGTCGCTTTTCGGCCACGGTGGTGAGAGGGTCATTACGCTGGTAAACGAAAGGATTAATCTGCTCTAATGTGATAAATCGCAGATCGGTTAGTTTCGACGACAACATTCTTCCCATTTCCGCATCATAGAGTCCATCCTCGTGGAAGACAACTTTGACTTTTTCATCCCGAATGAAGTTCCGCTGGTCAAACGGATAGTAGAAATCGGCATTGGAATCCGATTCTACTTCGCCGAACGGACTGAAATATACATCCTTAACGATTTTTCCTTGCTGGTCGAGGATGGTGGTGGTTAATTTCGACTGCAGTATGTAATATGGATTTCCATCTCGCGCCATGGCAATCAACTGTCCCAGAGTGTCGTAGAAGAACTGAATCAACGTCTGCGTGCGTTTCCGATAGATGTGAGTTACCAGACTCTCCCGAATAAGGTCACCGTAGATAAACTGCGTGATGTCGTTGCCGCCCGCCTGTCGGGCGATCAGGCGCTGTTTCTCATCATAGAAATACTTCACATCGAATCCGCCATTCCCATCCTTGATGGCGCGGCGCAGTTGACCTTTCGCATCATAGTCATAATGCACGTCATCTTTCTGTATGAGAAATCCGTCCTCGTCCACAACGACCTTCATATCGTTTCCATCGTAGGATAAAGCCGACAACTGATCCCGACTCTTGAATGTCATATTGCGCAAACGATTATTTCCCAGTAAATTAAACAAGTTCCCATTCAGATCGTAGGCGAAATTCCACCATGGCTGCTTGTTCTTTGTCGCTTCGATCAAATTACCGTCGAGGTCGTATTTGAACGAGTAGCTGATTTGGGGATCGTTTTCCCGTTTGCGAATCTTTAATTCGGAAATGGCACCCATTTCGTTGTAGATTGTTTCGGTGGATGCGGCGATCTTGTGCTGCAGCCGCAGTACATGGTTGCGAATTTTCCGCTGTTATCCAGTTGTTTCAGGTAGATGGCGTTGTCATCGGACACTATCAGGGCGCCGATTTGATTCTGCGATGATCGAAACGGTCCGAAACGGACAAGTTGTCGTGAACCGGGATTGATTTCAAACTCCGTCACCGAGACGTCGCTGTTCCCGACTTGCAGACGTCGACGACCGAGATTTAAGTGCTCGTCGTATTCGTATAGTGTGTTGACCGGCTCCAGGTCAGTCATCCCGGAATATTTCGCATTCCTAGCAGCTAACAAAATATTCGAAAAATAGAACATCTCCGTTGTCGCCACAAGATCCTCCGCCACCGCTGAAACCTTAGTCGGCTGTCCAAATTGATTGTACTCAAATAAAATGCTGCTTCGTCCCTGCCGGACTTCGGTCAACTGGTTGACATCGTTATACGACAGCGTGACCTTTCGTAATCCACTGGGATAATTCACGCTGACCATGTTGCCGCGATCGTCGAAATCCTGGCTGAAGTAATTCGGCGCTTCGGAATCTTTTATCATGTACCGACGGAAGAAAACCATCGGTTCGGTTTTCATCACAACAACGTTGCCTTTCGGTGCGGTCACCGATTGTACGCCGCCGGCAGCACTGTACAAAATCCCGATGTTTGTGCCAGATCCTTTAGTGATTTTGGAGATTTTTCGCTTATCGTTGTACTCGAATTTCCACGTAGCCCCATTAATGAGCTTCTGTGAAACAGGTAGTCCGGCATCGTTGTAAGTGGTGGTCTTCCACCGCGCTCCCTGTTCCCACTTTGTCAACCGCCCCGAAGCGTCGTAGGTGAAACTGGTGGAGACAAAATCACCGAGCAGCGGCTTCAGCGTAACAACACGCCCTGCGCCGTCAAATTTCGTGCTGAACATCGGGGTGCCTTCGCGATCGGTCAGAATTTCCTCATTGGCTGACGGGACAAAATCAATGTTGAACAACGTGCTATCGTTGACTTTTAGCGAGCGCCGCAGCCGTTGCGGCGATTCCGTGCGCAGCGCGTAATTCATATTCAGCTGCACGGAAGCGTTGTTATCGGTGCGTAAATACAGGGATGTTGGTAGCGAGGTGTTGGTCAGCGGAATTTGCGTTTTGGACTCCAGCAGAACAAAATATCGCGATGGAACCAGCATGGATTTCTCTCCGTTGATATTCTCATTGAGATACGCACCCGATGCCATGTGTTCCGTGGCGGACAAAGCCTTATCGTCATCCGACGGCAGCCCCAGGCGGTAGCCATTGGGATATGTCACTTGCACCAATCGGCCGTGTTTATCGTATTTGTAGCCGAATGACTGACCAATGGAATCGGATTTACCGATGACCAGTCCGTGCAAATCCGCATCATACACGTAGCTCACAATGAACCCATCCGGATAGGTGATATCTTTCAGAAATCCTCGAATGGAATTGTTCACGCTAATCTTCCATCCGGCGCCGCATTCGATGCCCTTCACCTGGCTCTTGTAATCCCGCTGGATCATCACCGAGCGGTCGTCCGCGTTGCGAATGGAACGGACTTTCCCGAACGCGGTGTCGACGGTGTAGGCGAACTGGTAGACCAGCGCGCCGGTGAAGAGATTTTTGGTGGTCAGATGATGTCCGAACCGGTCAAACGTGTACACTTCCCCGAAATCAGGTGACTCAATCTCGTACTCCATACGAACGTTCTGACGCGGAACGGCCGGTGCGACGCGGTAGATTTTAGGGATTTTGTATCTGCAACATGCAATACATCGTTCGGTGTAACTGCCAATGCGCCGGGTAGCAACAGTTTCTCCGATCCTTTCAGGCCGGAAACGCAGCCACTGCAGTGTGTCGTATTACAAGCGCAGGAGCTCATGATGACCTCGTTACGGTCGGTGGTGACCTTTCGGATTCGCCATGCCCGCTCGTTGCCTTCGGTAACGTAAGCGACGCCCGTGGGGGACACCGCGATGTTCGATGGCGATTCCAGTTTGGTTGAGGAATCCCCGGGACAGCTGGTCGGGCTGCCGGCAGCAATGCGAATTTTCTTGTATTTGTCCACGTTGAGCAGCATATTGTCATCCAGAATAAAAAGCGATCCATCTACTGGGTTAACGGCGATGGCCGACGGCCAGCGGAGAGACAGCTCGTCCATGTCGAGTAAATCACTACCACATGGAGCGGGCTGCCAAACGCTGCCGTACGGCATTTGTGGAATAGATGTGCGAATTATTCCGTTTTCATCCACAGTGCGGACTGCGGCCCCGTCAGCAATATAAAGGACACCAAACTTGTCAAAAGCAATGCCTGCAAAAATTATTAACATCAACAATCCATATTATCTTTGTAGCTACTAGCTAGCAAAATTATTTGAGCGTTTTAATTCGTTTCTCTAACTATTGTGGTAATTCAGGTTTAATTTGAATTATTAATTTTGCAGTCAATTGTTATGATTACAGTCACTGTCTTGCCTTTTGGATAGATTAGCGACGCCGTTGCAGCCTGTTGTCCATCACCGCATAGAAACTCGTTTCCACGTGGCAAGCACTGCTCTCCATTTCCGACAACCGCATCGTAGTTATTTGACAGATCTTGTGGATTCTCCACGGACGCAATACGGATGACCTTCAGCATCGGCGCCATCGACAGGAAAACCTGTCCGTTGACCGGATTGACGGCCATATAATACTTTTGCAGCATGGCCGGCGATCTACATAATAAACGATGCAGAAAATCGGCTTATCTAGTGATCTACCTTCAAGGTTATGTTGTTTTACGTTGGCCGACAATTACGTACTGCAACTGTAGGAGATTAACGACAATGCCATCGGATCGGACGCGGCGGATCAGGTTGAAGTCGCCAACATAAAGACTTCCGTCAGGAGCACTGGCCAGTGCAACGGGCGCAATCAGGTCGACGCTGAGGGCCGCCGCCGCCGGGCAGCCATCTTTACAGTTGACTGTACGCAACTGACCGCTTCCGACAAATGCTGACGCTGCCAAGACACCTTCGCTAAAGTATACGTTGGATCCGTCGCCGCGGTGCAGAATTCCTGGACGTTCAAAAAATAACGGTCAATAAATTAAAGATAATTCATATAAAAAATGAAGAAAATGAATCGATCAAACGCTAGTTTAGAACGAAAATTGGCAGTTTGATTTGTTTATGTCCGATAAAAATTGTAAATCGTCCACTGTGTACAGTGTAATGATACCTTCTGGATTATAGCGATGCTGCACATTGAGATCCCATCCACCGATTTCAGATACTGGCATGTCCACGCCTTTCATTTTAACGACCTTATGGATCCAATAGACATCCTTACAATTTCGTCCTTCGTATCCAATGCTCACTAAATTTCACAAAAATATATTATTTTACAAAATTTTTAACAACTTCGAATTTTTACCTTTTGCGTTGCTAAAGCCAAAAATTTGCTGCTTGTACGCATTTGAACCAGTCCATGCATAAATGTGCGACAAACTGGGCACAGCGTCGTACGATTTTTCCTCCATTAACCCGGCATTGGATACCCGCACTATCACCCGTGTTAATCCGGAGACTACCGTGTCTTCGACAAGTTTGATAAGCAGCAACGAAGCAAAGCCGTTGGTGCGACTGCTGAAATGGTTGAGACGCAGCTCGGATCCGGATATATTGAACGATTCCTGCAGCACTTGCGCATCGTAGTAAACAACCGGCGCACTGCCCAGTCCACCCGACGGGAAATGCTTCCAGAACGGATACAGCTTGGGCTCGAAATTGGTTTTGAAAATTTCACATGATCGATCTTCGCCGGGGGTTGGTACAATGAAATCCAGTCGATTCCGGCTCATTTCCGTCTCTCGGAACATTTTAATGGGATCCACGTAGACGAATTCGTTCCAGCTTAAGAATACGACGGTTGAGGCTTGCCGGTAACCGCCTTTTTGGAACAGCACCGTCTGCGATCCACCGCCATTAAACAAAAGGTCATACCTGAATAAAACGCAGTTTAAGTATTAAGACGATTAGGCTTCGCTAAGATGCAATCAGTCATATATCTTTTTGTAAGAATTAACTCACGTTCCATCTCGACGGCTGACAGTAAATCCCCAAGGTGATGTTTCTCCTGTTGGTGCTTGGATAGATACTCGAACTCCGACCAAACCAATGTTACCGCTATCAATAATTTTGCCCCGAATTATGGACACTCGCCTGCAAAAAAAATTAATTTACCAAAGGACAAAAAACATATATAAATAAATAATTTCGCAGATTTTTATGGTACAAATAATATAATTTTGTGTACAACTTACTTTGGATCAAACGAAGCCCGGTCAACGAAATTCTGAACACCGCTTTCCCGTATCAAGAACCGGACGCGATCGAAGAAAGAAGCGGTGTCGGGTGGCGCTTGTTCCCGGAGCAAAACATCCTGCGGCTCAGGCGATGTTACGCAGTTGACATGTTCGGCGCAAATATCCGCTGTACAACAGTCGTTATCTTCGCAATCGACCGCACCATCTGCCAAATAAATTACCACAACTTAATGCCGTTCATTTACCGCCCAACACGACCGGATGGATAACGGAAATATTTGCACACTGGACGGTGCCCACTCAGCCCAGTTAGCGCCATTAGCTAATCCACCCACCTCCGTCATTATCGCGTCCATCGTCGCATTTTTCCACCGGTGTGCTGCAGCTGTCGCCTTTCCAGAATGCTTCACATTGGCATTTCCACGATAAGCCGGAAGTAGCCACGCACGATCCATGTCCGCCACAATCATCTGAACATACATCTGAAATTACAAAAATATTGCAAACACAAATTTTATCTGTATAGCCGTCATTACATAAACAATATTTAACCAAAGTAGAAGTATGGATACTACCGAAGGCACTTTTATAAAATTTAATAAACAGAAAAAATGAAAATTTCACTACATATCCGTAATTATAGTCTCGGAAATTACTGCAGTTGTCCCTTGAATGAAATTACTACTTCATACATTTTATTGTGTAATTAGACATTACGTATGGAGGTACGGCATGTAAATAAAGCTCAGTGAATTTTTAATGTGTATTTTCAAACTCAGGAATTTGGATCTGCGCACTTACTGTTGGTACAGAGTCTTCCGCTCCAACCTTTATCACACATGCACGTCCCATTGAGACAACGCCCTCTTGGTCCACAGTCAGGACAACGCGGTATTTCGCACGTTGGTCCAGTAAACAAGGCATCGCAAACACATTTTCCGGCGATGCATTTACCGGCTGATCCGCAGCTGGGCTGACAAACTTCTACGAGATCAAACCGGACAATAAATGACAACGATGATGAATTGTTGAATCAGCATAAATTTTTGTAATAAACCCATGTTTACGTTTGACTCGGAATTAGGTTAATCGACTGTTACCTGTCGTACATCCAGCCCCGGTCCAACCAGCCTCGCAGTCGCACTTCTTCGTTACCGCGTTGAACGTTCCATGATTTCCACATAATTGCCGGCTATCGTTCACCGGCACTCCGCAAGAAATACCTTGCCAGCCCGGCTGGCAGAAGCAGCTTCCGTTGATACACACTCCGTGAATTGTGCACTCTTTAGGACAATCAACTGCAATTTCACACAAGACTGGATAAGGCGCCAGTTCAAAGGACAAGTACAAGCCGAGAGATATTCAGAAAGTCGAAGAAGCTAAACTTTTGAAATTCAGTCTTATTAAAATTTCATTTGCAGGCGCTACCAAATATATACGAAACGGCAGTCGCTAAAGCAAGCTAACAAAGCTACAAATTTCGGATACTCGTACTGCAAACGATTTATTTGAACAAAAATTGACTACCTTGCAAGAGACGTATAACCATTTTATATTGCAAAATTAACATGTAAATTTTACATAAACTGCACGTATTAAATTGCACTTTTTATGTTTTTGTCTATGTTTGTATGCAGGTTTACCTATCTGACAGTTTATTCCCGAAAATCCCGTATCACAGTTGCATTTTCCATTCAAGCACTTCCCGTGTCCACTGCACTGCGGGTCATCGCATTGAAATTCCGGAATATCACAGTCGGCACCTTTCCAGCCAGGAAAGCACTGACATAATCCATGAGAATATTTCCCATGGCCATTACAAAGCAGCGGACAGACAGCTGTAAACGTAACCCATAATTAACATACTTTCCGTTGGTCCATAAATTTCGTATACTGAAGTATATCGCGATCTTACAATACGTACTTTGCGAACAATCGGGCCCGCCGTAACCGGAAAAGCATTGGCAGACGCCATCAATACATGAGCCTTGTCCATGACAATCGTTTAAACAAAATATTTTTCCTAAAATCACACAATATTATTCGTAATTATTTTCTTTGCAAGCACGCTAATGTGGACGTACCAGAATCACCGGTGTATAAAGTAGCAGCCTCTTCTGTAGGCATATCGTTATACAAAGAAATGAACCAGATGCCGGCTTCGAGTCTTTCATGGATCATCATTGTTTCCAGACTCTATAAAATAAATGGACAAAATAATAAGCCGCTTATATATTTAGTCAGTTATTTAATGAACTGCTTACCGGGTTAATATCCGCTTGTCGCTTTTGCTTGTGCGCTAATGCACCGCGAATTTGTCGGGAAAAATCGTTTTCGGCATGCGTTGGAGGAGAGTCTTTTCTCCCATATAAGACCAACACAGCCGTCGGCGAAAACGTTACGTTTAATACGATATTTCCGGGTCGTTTTTGAATCAGGCGTCCTATCCAAAACGACCTGGTTGGGACCGTAAAATCTGTCGACGTATCCACTTGCAGGTCGGTTACGGGAAGATCGTCATTAGAATAAACTCCTTTTATGTTATATGGAAAGCCTATAAAAAGTTAACGCGGACGTGGTCAATTTCAGCGTTGCGTATACGTAATTAGATGTGTTGATAAATGGCATACAAAGCTGGTGAAAAAGCGTTACCGCAATTGAAAATTACGAGCTAAATAGCAAAACCATTAGCTTGTCAGTCAGGCATTGTATTATTTTTAGTAAATTATTACCTTTAGAAGGCCATAGATTATGTGATCAAAGGCATACCTGCTCATGCATAACGTGCATAAAGGTATTTCTAACATATAATATAACCTGTTATTGGCTTAACGGGTTTGCGTTTATGGTCAATGGTCACACACGAACGTTATGACGGTATGTGATGTAGGTCAGCATGTGCGGTGTTTACACGGCGTTAATGTCGAAACGGGAAATATATAGTGCACACACTGCCCATTAGTATGCAGCAACGGCTTGAAAGAAAAGACAAAATCGAAAAGGAGCGCATTAGCAACAAAAACGTCTCGGCACACCTTTTTCTTCCCAAAGTTCATTATCGTTCAAATCACGTCCGGCTCGCGACATAACCGCCATCTTATCGCGGCTGACAATGTGTGGACTTTGCAATGTAATACGCGGCAGCCACTGCCCGTTTTCATCGGCATAATGGGTCAGAACAATGTCTTGCAGAATCGTGAATGTGTAACGTGAGCCGGTCACCTTTTCCTCTTTTGACTGTGCAGTGTCCTGTTGTGGTATTTCCAGTAAGCTATCGTTTGTCCGTAATCCTTTGCCGGGGTGTGATATGCTGATATTATTAGCCGTAATATCGCTGCTAATTGTGTTTATTTTTTCTGTGACATTCTTTGCCAACTTCTGGTTAGTGTTTGAATATGGTGCGTGAGTATCGTTTGCACTCTGTCGAGAAATGTCTGATGTGTTAAGACTATCGCTGCTCGCAACCCGGTATGCGCCGGTTGTGTCGGTCTGGTTATCCTGATAACCTACTGCATTATCGGTGGTCTGCATTGCGTCAGAGGCGGATGGTAACACACTTAATCCGTCACCGTCGCGACTCCTCTTAACGCGAACTAAATAAGAAAAACAAAGGAGAAGACAGGATAGATCAAGTCCACAGCCAACGCAACCAAGACATAAAACAAACACACTGGAAGACATAACAAAGACACAGTGGATTAGGAAGAAAGAAATCTCAAGAAACATATGGCAGCAGTTTGTCATCACTACTCGGCTGCGTGAAGCAGGCCACTGGCTACGTGGTGTGAACAAAAGACAATAGAAGGACCATAAAAACAAAAACTAGAAAAACCGTGATAGAAATAAATAGCAAAAACCGTAGAAATTTGTGGGAAATAATTAATTTTATCCAACGTTTTCGTAAAATTTTGGTAAAATTTCTTCAGATACAAATTTTGCACAATATGGTCTATATGTATTGTACAGGAATTGCTACATACCTGACGGGATAATACTGCTTGACCCGGCGTTGCCGAACTGATTTGGCGATATCACCTCTTGCGCTCTGGAACACTTTGTGAGGTCTTCCTGGCGATGGTTTCCTGAGATCACTAAAAACGTCCGCGCAAAAAACTCCATAAGATATTTACAGTTTACAACAGTTATTTATTTTACATCAAAACGCAATATACAAATATATGCAGAAATTCGCATATATATATATATATATATATATATATATATATATATATATATATATATATATATATATATATATATATATATATATATATATATATATATATATATTCCATAACATAATCTGCTCACATGAATTCTATCAACGTAATATTAACGAAGTAATTTAAAACAATGGAAAATCATACGTACCGGCAAAATATCCGAGAGCACCGATGAGCGCTAAACAAATGAGCGCCATTAGGAGCGTGACATTCCTCCATGTTAGCAGTTTGTGCAGTCCCTTGCGTTTTTGCAGACTCTTCCCGGAAGATGCCGGTCGCAGATTTGTGCGAGAGGGATAGACACTTCCGGGTGTGGTGTGCAGTGGACACTGGTTGGACCTAGATGTGATAAATTTCATCATTTTCCCCGACGTTCTGTCACCGGTGCGAGGGCTTTATCGCACAAGATGCCATTTTACTGGACGCGCGTTCGGAGAAGTGTAAAAGTTTTACATGTAAACTGTCGGTGGCGTATAAGTATTACACACACAGTTACAACGATCATCTCCATCATTTTTCTGACTGCGCCGGTAAGAGATACCGCGTGTTCACTTGAGACTGTAAAATGGTCCTTTAAAAGATTAACTTACCGCAGAATCGTATTAGCAAGGTAATGTTCACTCAGAGGCCGGTCTACGCGCTCCGCGTTGGGACGGGACATGGATGGATTGAACAAATGCCGTGAGTCGGAGGCGATGACGCTGCTGTTGTTACTCAGTTTGCCAATGTTGGCGCCTATTGGAGACACACCATTGTAGTGGCGTACTGCAGGTGTACCTTCGAGTAGAGTACCGTACAAATAGTATTGCACATGATCATGAAATACCGTATATTGTTGCTGTAAAATGATATGTGACTTCGTGGCCGCGTCGAGTCCATTACGAACGGTATTGTGTAATTCGACATGGCATTTGAATAAAGTATATGATTAATTTGTAAACTATTAGCGCATGCAAGCGTTATAGCTGTTTGTAAAAGACATAAAACCTTGGAATTCCAATTTTGCGGTAAGGTTATGCGGAATACCGAACGAACCGGAACCACCTTTCCATGCTCATACAGTACCATTTAGTAGACATAAATCTTGTTGATACTGAGCAAGAACTGCATGAAACAATTGGGACAAACTGCGGAATCATAATCAATTACGAGAAATATTAAAAGTCTGTACGTGACGAATTACAAACAGGTTTTAATAGTTCGTGACCATGCATGGCGAAATAACCAATAAAGAATTTTAGCCAAGAAACCGTTTTACCTTATGCACATGAATGTATTTTACTACTTTGCTATAAAAACAGAACAATTGTAGCTTTGATGGAAACTTAACGAAATTAACCGTGTATACGTGACGGTAATTAATCAACCAAGTGCTGAGCGCCGTTGATATTACAGTAATGTTTATCTGTTTCAAGCCCATATAAAGGTGACCTATGGTCAACTTTACTGTGAACTGTCGAAGCGCATCAAATTAATATCAAAATTTCTCATGGGATGCTTGTTCGTGCACTATCTATATATCCAGTGAACACCCAGCGGCCTATAATTTATGCATATATTTCTATGTTGACTTACACATGTACAGAAACATACAACTGCAAGGTGACATTTCGGTAAGTCGTTAATTAATGAAGTGACTTACTTGATGAGGTAGGTAATAAACATCTGTCGGAACTGGTAGCTGGCGAGGAAGCCGAAGCGTGCTTATCCTGTTGATCATCGAGGAAGAGCGGGGGATCTTGGCTGGCGTAGTAGATCGGATGAGCCGTGGCGTGATGGTGGTGATGCGGATGATGGAGGAGTATGTGGCGGGACGAGGTCAAAAAGGGATTGTGCAGGTGTTGCGCCGATAACTGTTGCACACCTGTTGAAGCACAGAGGGAATTCGTGCCGATTCAGTGCAGATTAGGGATACGGATCATTTTACGTCTCCTTTTCGTATGCAATACGACTTGTGCTCAGGGTGCGGCTCACTTCTTCATATGCATAAATAATTATATATTCTGCCTTAAATGTACATAAAGCGCTGCTCCAATAACCCCACACTAAAGACCAAGATTTTTGGATGCAATTAGCTGTCGCGGTGACTGTATTTCTTCGTCTGCCAAGATTTACATGAGCAATAAGATCAACAGCGTGTGTTGCAAAGTCAGATGTCCAAAAGAAACATTTGCTTACTCACAATCGGCGAAATCGTATTACAGCTTAACGTTTCAAGGCTGGACAAAAAGATGAACTGTTGCCCATCTTTGCGGTACCAACATCAATGAACTAAACTGACATCTTTAATCTGACAGAGTAACAAAAAACCTGTTTATGTCCAAATTGACATAATACATGCGGCTTTATTGTGCTCGTACTGCATGCATGCGGCGTCGTACAGCGCGTAATCTGAATGGAATTATTGCCTGATTATGCAGTCAACGAATTGTCGTGTGTCATTGGGATTCTTATAATTATACACAAATGCGGTTAGCGGAGACTGCATATACAGACTTCCTACACACCGCACTGATCTTCTTCCGCAAGATTGATAAGCAAATATAGATCCGTATGAATTTTTATCGACTCCCTATTGTATTTTGCATTTCCCACAACATAAACACTTTACGGTACTTTTCATCCGGATCCGAGAAGTTCACACGCACGCACCGCACAATACACTGCCGCCGCACTGACCAATAAACGATACGCGTAGCAGACGAAATTAACCGCATTTAAGTGATATTCTGATGGATATAAGTGGATTCTTATGATAATTTTTCCATGGTTATCGATCAATTGAATCAATTAAGTTTGTGCTGTTTTTATGTGAGCAATTGTTTAACCTGTTGTATTTACTACGGCTTACATGTCGCACATGTGCCATGCAGTTTTATTGTTTATTCGTATTGGTTTGTTGTGTTAGAACGTTTAGTAGACCATAGCAAATTAAATGAATTCTGTCAGTGGCAAACAGTCGCATGTCATCGAACGCATTGTGAATTTCATTTTAATCCACGAAGTATGTTGATTAATGAGCTTCTAAAAAGAGATTACAATCATGCTGTACAAGCTAGTCTCTCATGATACAGCCGTTTATCCCGCTTTCCATCAGAAAGGGATTATCAATTTTATAAACTGTAATTTTCTCGGCAAGCCGTCCGGAAGATTACAATTGGAGCGATCTGGTCAGCAATGTGCGTGGCGTATACGAAGCAGGCTGTGCGTTTCCCGAAATAATCCACGAAATCAAACAGTCAAACAGACTGATTGATACAATGCGGAGCAGTATCCTTTTGAGTAAAGGTCATTACTGAAACCGCCACTGATGATTGTCTCTTTCGCCAGTTGGACAGCATAAACAACACTTGTACACCAGCAAAAGAAAAGCAACCATCTGTTACAAAATTTCTCTCGATAGCAGTGTTAACGAAAAATGCCGTCTTACACAATCGGAAAAGGATATGTGCGGGTGTATTGTCGGTGAAGTACAGATCGCATGTAAAGTTCATCAAGATGCATTGTCATATCAGTTTTCTTTCGTACCAGCTCGCGGAGTTGGTTCGGCTGTTCTTATCACTAACTGCTTGGAAAATGCATTTTGTAGTGTCATTTCATCGTTTACGGAATTTGTTTAAAACTGAATATTCTTTTGAAAAATAATATTTGCATATGTTTTGCTTTTTTAAGCTTTTGCAATTTCCGAATTTTTGGTGGACCCTATCAGTGTGCCAGTATCTGAGTGAAGAAATTTTAAGCTTCCTATTTTTTCCATTGTACTTGCAATTTGATATACGCGAAAAACAGTTTCTACCAACGGTATTAAATTTTAACGCTCAGTCTGTTTAAGGCTCTGTAATTATCACCACATAAAAACACCAGATCAGTTGGGAATCAGATTGAACGGCTTCTGCTTTGTACCAACCTATAATTAAATGCTTCTGCTGTAGCGGCGATGAACTATCAAAAAACGGGTTTATTATTTTGTTAAAAACATGTACTGTAACTGAAATGCGAATGCGGAACGCTGGTTAGTGCATTCGTAAAAAGACAGAAACTGCTTAATACATATTTTCACTAATTATAATTATTGCAGTTAAATGGCGCAGTGCACCGGTACCTAAATCTTAAAGTTTGTTTCGCAACAAGGAAGAGCAGGAGCAGACTTAAACCTGTATACGAACTAGTTTAGTGTTTTTACAATTACGAACAGTAATAATTATGTAAACGAAAATTGTCAGTACTTTAATTATTGATGGACAACTAAAGCCATACTAGTACTTATGTTCGTGCTTGTCTGAACACCCTGTGTTCCTGATTGGGTTACAAATAGCCAATTCTTTCCGGTTGAACTATGGACTCACCGTACTGGTAGAGCGGATGCGGAGTAAGGGCATTACAGCTTATTTCTGAGGCAGTCGAGGGATTAACGTAAGATCCAGTGTGGCTATTACCATGCACCGGAACTGTTGGGCAATCGCTGTTGTTGTTCTCATTTGACGTTTCAGAAATCATATCATCAGTCTCCGGCGATGCCGTCTCCGAGCTGAGTCGGAGCAATTCATACAACTGCGACTTGGAATAATCCTTCCGACCGGCTCGCGTCGGACTGTGGTCATCCAAGTTTGTTGTTTTTAAGTTATTGATATTGGCTGCTAATGCTGATCGATTATCTGCAAAACAACAAAATTTCACTTTTAACGACACGTTATAAATAACAATCGGATAAAAGTAGGGCGCACAGAGAAGTGCTATGTTGATGAATAGCGCCAGCCATACGGTCGGAACATTTTCCTCTGCTAGTGACCATTATGTGCAGTAATGGGCGAATTATATCGCGCTGCTGATTATCAATTTTACTAACCCATTTTGTGGCCAAATTATTAAGCAGCTATAATGATTAGTGGCTTGTCGGACAAGATTTCTAACCAAACACCACAACCGTCACCGGTTCTGACCGGTACAAACGAACACATTAAAGTAGTCTCTTGAGATTAATTTTATACCGAAATATAGCCAAACCTATGATCATCAAGACGGAGTCCCATATAAGTAACATGCATAATTATAAACTTCCGATATATCAAAGTCTTCTGTTTCAAATCATCACACGGTGACAAATTACATCAGCGGTAATAAAAAGTTCTGAACAGGTACGAATTTTTCTGTAGCTTTCTCATGTAGGTGATACAGCGCTAGCAACAATATTATGTGCTGTACTTTGTAGATGGCTCGACAAGATTGTGACCCATCATGCAATGTGGTATTTTATGAATGTGGTTGTTTTGTTCGAGAAACATTTACTGTACGTCAGTTAGGCAGCATCAGTTGATGATATCGAGACGTGGTGTGAAGTGCTAATCTCTGTATTTTTATGCGCAAATGAGGTAATAATGAGTGAGTGTGTGTATACGCAGGAAGAAGCCAACGTGAACGACTGCCGCCAATTCCGCCAACATTACGTGTGCGCTCGTGCGGGGCGCTTGCGCCCTTCGCAGTGTGCCGTTTCGTCGCTAATCAGAGCAGGCCCAAGTGCGCACATTTCCGGCTAACCGTTAGATAACACACGCCAAGACATTTTTATCATACCTCGTCGTTAAAGAAATGCGTTCGTGCCGATGACAATGGGCGCATCATTCCTAGAGCAACACTTTCAAGGAGCACGAAGCGAACTCTTTGCAGTGTGCAATTTCAAGCTCATGTAACGCATCCTGTAATATTTTTCCCAAGTTACGCAACGACAAGTTCTATACATATGCTGTGGTTCCCAGTCGGAAACCGACCAGTACTGATGCATTTGCTAACAAATAATACCCATTTTCTGGTAAAAAGGGTAGGGCTGGTGCAGAATCCCTTCGCAACAGTAGGACGGGTAAGATGATTCCCAGGAATGTCCAGAGCATTATTACCAACGAGAAGGGATCGATGTACCAATTAAGCGTGCGTGTTAAGAAAACTGCATGTCTTTATTGTCTTAATTAATGCCAACAGGAAATATGAGCCGCTTGTTAGTTGTAAATCATTAGCATTCAGTTTAGTGGGTGGAAGACAAAGCAAGATGGCCCGGCTGCAAGAGAAAAACGAGCAAACCGCTAGGATCGAATGGTTGACCAGAGCGCCGCGCCTGCCTACTGCATACATATGTACTGTATACATATACTGCATCGGAGCCGTTAGAACCGGATATGACTTTCTGATCATGGAATGCCGGACAAGACCGGTCGTTAGGGGTGAACAATAGTGCGCAAATGTTGTTTTGATTGCCTGTCAGCAGGACTACATGGATGTATCTCCTGTTGGCGTGCCAATGGACAAGTGTGAACATGTCAGTGATTAGGGAATTCGCAAACTGTCAAGGTCACTTCAAACGCCGGTCCGGTTTCGTCATCACCAAGCCGCGGCGAATCATTACAGGGGCACAAGCGGCACGGGGACGAGTATGATTAGAATTTGTTTATAACCGCTCCTCTGACATATTATTCATTTAATTGTCGAACATTTACCGAAGTGACCTGATCAGCGGAATGTATAGGTGTCCTTTTGTGCACGCGATGAATATCACGCATTCCATGCTGCTTTGTTTTGTTGTCCGGTGTGTGTATCTCTATGAGTCTGTGTGGGGATTTGCGCAAGCAGCACGGGTACACGCGCCTGACCGCCTGCATAAGGTAACGAATTTTCATAAACTCTTAATGTTTTCTTTACACCCACCAACGCAGCCAGTCATTCTATCAAACTTGTCTGATGTAAGCAATTCAGGACAGAATGAAGTGGACAATGGAACAGCAGTGCTTAGTTGATAATCAGTACAAGGATGATTAATGAGTCCAGTAAATAAGCTATTAGACATTTGTTAACGCATGCCTGCCTCCGTCTAAACAGTAGCCTGCTTCGCCAAATTTAACAGTCTATCACTGTCAAGAACGCCTCACAAATAATTGTGAAAAGCTTTTTTGTGGCGATCTAATTAGGCCATTAAAGATCACAGCTATGGGAGAATCACGAATAATGCAACTTTGAAAACATCCTCTAAACCACGAATACACTGAACTGGAAATAAAATATGAGCATGTTTTGCCAAATCACTGATACTGATAATCAATCGCCTATACATACATATATAAATCCAATGACCGATTACTGCCCATGAAAACAAGAGTTCACGTATTGGAGAACGATTATTTACATAAGATGTAATGTATAAAATTTAAAACCCCTTCTTCAGGCCTAATCGGATTATACATGGCCCTTTACAAAGAAAACGCGTGCATAACATGAACATATCACTGGAGATTACAGCCATGTAATGGCCGGTCTGTACATGTTTACCTGCTGGCCCACTGACCAGTCCTAATCCCACTCGATGTGGCTGGTCAGCGTTCGCGCTAAACAACACCCGCTCAGATCCGGTTGCCGCTACGAGCGGTCCAGGTCCGGGAAGAGTCTTGCGATTGTGGGTTAAACTCTCATAAACAGCTGCTCCCTCCTCGTTCTCGCTTTCCGTTGAACTGTAATTTCCACCGGAAGTCAGCTGCTGCTGCTGACCACTGCGTAATGAGCTGGGGTTGATTGGATGCGAGCGGCGGTGCTGTTGGTCAACGACAGGACGACTGCGGCGATGTGCTCGATCCATTGGAAGGCAGAAGCGAATTAATACTCTTTTACTTCCCAACAATAAATATATATATCCGCTCAGCCGCGCGCTAATGGAATAGGAAATAGTCCAATAACGCGCCGGGTTTAATTAATCAAATACTTTCGCTTCTTCGGGAGTTTAATTGCATTCCGGCGTGGGTGATTCTCCAAAAGGAACGCACTGTATCTCTGTAACATATATACGACCTTTATCTGGAGCAGAACGGAACGTAAAAGTTGTGAGGTTATAAAGCACATTTGCACATTTAAGCATTTTTCCTCTTATAAGAGGGAAAGAGATCACGATTTCGCTTTCGATCCGATCGGAATAACCAGATTTTCAGGTAATAATGTAGCGGAGCAGATAGCTGCATATTACGCCGGCTATATCATTTTGCTGCTGTATATGCCCTCGATGATCACTCCAGTTCACTCAAAAGGCTTCGCACAAGAGGCGTGGACTATATCACTCATAACTGGCCGGCTCCGAAGATGATCAATCATTCAATTTATATTTTCCACAGATCATAATTAATTGACGCAAAATCGCAACTCTCTTCTAACAGTAACGATAATTCTGTTTACATACGAATTTACAGGACATATTCGGTACAAAGAACGGTGTAGATTCATCTCGAGTAATCAAGTGAGTGAGAGAGCAAAGTAGTGGAAAACAAGAACATACACCACCGGCTGCACATCTATTGGCCGGCCTGATGGGCTGATTTCCTGCTCTGCAGTGCTGCACATCGCACAGACCTTCGAACTGCAGAAGGCGGATTCCGTTCAATAAACAGACAGACTGACCAGTGTGGTCAATACGTATTATTCCCGCAGCATACACACACTACTCGAAACTCGTACTTGTATAAATCATCGGTTTCAGTCCAGTGGAAATTGGTCATAAAGTTAGACAAATATGATATTTCTTCCTTCGATTCTGAAGGAGTTTATCGTGTTGGGCCAGAATATAAACATCCGTTCCCCTTCACTCGCTCATGCGCCCATCATAATCTGTCGGTTGCACCATATTCTTTTGATCACCATCCGTAAAAGAAGAGCAGTCAAAACATCTCCCTATTATCATACCGAACTGAAATGAACGCTGATATATTTCTAATACAGCGTCAATGCACCATAAATGCACCACGTTGGACTCAGAATACCGAAAAGTGAAAATAGCATAAGTCAACTGCCCCGACAGACTGTCCAGCCTACTAATTACTACGCGCGGGTATAATTATATAACTAACAACCATGAGGTCACAGAAGACATATTAATTTATTCTCGAATTAGTTTTTGTTGGGGTGGCTTTCGAGATTCCGACGTGCTTCTTTTTATTTTTAGTGAACAAAACTAAAATGTTTAATTATATAGCTTTTTCGGTCAAAAATTATGGTGCTGAGATTTATTTCTTAAAAACAATATTGCCGGCTGCTACACACATCAGTTTATGAATGATTGCGTTCTTATGTCGTTAAGTTTGCCAACGTATGTATCGCGATCAAAGATCAAAGTATGAATTCAATTAATAGGAAATTCTGCTTGACAAAGAATGACAAAATGGAGAACAAAGTGTTCTGAATGACCAGAACTGACCGGGCAGATAAGGAAACCCCGCTGGCGGAACGGAAACAGCTTTCTTGCAGCATGGCCGGCTAATACTGGTCTGCCTGTCTATAAACAGGTCCGTTCTCTCTGCCACTCTGTCCCTGCATGCGCCAAGATTCCCATGTCCATTACCCATCTCGCTTCGGTAATATCATATTACACATTTTTGTTCTGGCACTGCTGGCGATTACATTTAAATAGCATGCCAAAGGAAAATTGTGTCTGTGTATAAAAATTGGTGCGTTAGGATAACTTCGTTAGGGAAATTGGAGCACAATTTGGTTGCCAGATCAGCCGGCGCAGTCAGCTGGCTTCCTGTTCAGTATTATGTTGTTGATCGAACTGAGTCAGTGGGCTACGCACGTGTGTAAACTGAAATTGCCTTTTAAAAATAACCGCACGACGCACACATGTGGAAAATATGTGTTTAAACAACATTTATAAGGATTTCTTTTCGTAATAACTCTCCCAAAAATAGCTTAAGCGGTGTTTTGGTTAATCCTATGGACAAGGGACAGTTCTAAACTGCGCAACAGCTGACAGTCTGCGCACGAGTATTTTAAAACTGAAAGTGGCCCGATCAGAGCCGGGCTTACAGCCTTACATAAGCCTATTGGAATTCTCTTGTGGCTTCCCCTAATTTCTCTTCTGGTGCATTTAAACGGCATCATGAAATTTATGGACTTGTTCCGTCACGTTCTGCATGGCCAAATAGTGAATGACGAGAAGCAAATTTGTACAATGCTTTGGTGGTGTGGTCGTAAATGTCAAATAAAGATCAGTCACCAGATCCGAACCCGACCAAATATTCTCCCTCTCGGCAGGATACAGACGCCTATCAAACTCTTATCAGAGGCGTCAACCAGCGCGATAGGGACTTTTGCATCTTTGCTCTTGTAAATTAAATATTCTCATGAGAAAATTAAGACAGCGCCAATATGTCTGCGCTGAAGGGTTAGTGCGAATTTCCTCGTGATTCTAATTATTTCGCTAAATAACAGATTCCACAAAAATCCTGTGTGATAGTACGCTAACGCGGTTCAGTGGTATTCGCCGGTATACGAATCAAGTTATCAACAGTGCCGAGCTACTTTGTCGGACGATTAATTATACTGACGCCCGGATCACATAAAATAAGCAAGTATAATTATTAACAAAATTCGTTATCCTACTGATTTTTTCTATGCTGAAAAAAGTTTTTGTGGGATTAAAAAGGACATCGTCAATGAGCGCAATTCTGCATGCTGTGTAATGCATAAAGAAATACTTGAATAATAAAAATCTTCAATTAAGCAAATGCCAAAGCTATATTGCCATGCGAACGCCATTAAACGAAATTTATTGGATTTTCAAGTATTGTTGGTAAATAGGGCATTGTATATTGCCGCCTATGCGCATAAAAGAAGGGAAATAAAGCATTGAGAAATACCGAAAGCCGTGGGGAAGGGGTTTACTTTTGACCAGTGGTCAAGGCAAACACCACGTCTAATTGTTTCGGTGCTCATAATTTTTCAAGTGTTGATAGCGGCTTAGCATTCACAGGCACTTTTATCAATTGTTGCAATTTACTTCTGTTTGTACTGGGCAGTGGGCATATGCTGAATTTTTGTCCGCTACCCAGAAAATCTTGGGCCTGGCATGAATTCATAGAAATAGATTTCCATTTAATAACGCCGAGCGAAATTGCCAAGTGAGAAAAGTGACCAACGGCCACTTGCCCAACTGGTTTTACAAGTTATTATACTCGATGCATGACTGCCATATATAACACGTCGCCACGGTCACGGTCAGTATCTACAGAGAAAATCCATATTCGAGCGCCGTGCAGCAGCGCCTGTGCACATTAAATATTCCGCAGCTGACCATAATAATTTAACCAAGGTGTCGCTCTGCAGCGCTGATCAGTAAATAAGCGTCGCTTATGCGTGAATTAATTTCGGGAGATAATTGCTGGGTGTCATCTAGCCGTTTCTTGCAGTGGATAAACTGGAATGGGTTAATTTTAGGAAACACGAACTGAATGCATGGTCTCCATGACGTTGAGCGATTTCTACGGCACATATTCCCATTACTGTACATACAATTACTACACGGTACAAATTTAGTTCCAACCGGAAATACCGCGCGGTCCGCTGAATAATCGTCAGATACTTATGCACATGTTAATGTCAAAAAAGTATTGTATTCGGCTAAATGTTCCCGCAATATCCAACACGCAACCTATTATGAGAGCTTTTGGAAAAAGGAAATTCTCATCCTTAGCAGACTGGACACGTGCTGGGGAGACGCGTACAATGCATCTTGTGGACACAATGCAGTATGGTGCTGTATACTGTATACGCCACAAGTGCACGGCAAGATATTTTTAGAATGTGAAATCTGGTAACCAAAATAATCTAATTGGCTTTTATTTTTAAATGCAGTTCTCAATAGTTTATTCATGTGCTACGTGTTCTCTGCGTGAGTGAGCTTAGAATAACAGCGTGACTATAAAAGAACATAATTTATTTTAATGGGAAAAATTTAGTTGCAAAGACTTTTTTGTCACAAACAGATTTGTGCAGCGCGCCTTCATCATTTTTATTTTTTTCTTATGACAGAAAATAAATTTATTCTCGATACAGTCAGTGCAAATAATTACGTGTGCCGTAAAAAAGCCTCATCATTGAAACCGTAGGCCGATGTCTAATATTTAACGCCAAAAATTACGGTTAATAAACTGCCAGAAGACAGCTATTTCCTGGTCAGTTTCATTGTTGCTCTGGCTCTCTAATCTGACCGCCACTTCTGTACGTTATCATATTTTCCACGCTCATCACGAAATTAGCGCCCAAAGCCATACTTCTGTTTGGTTTAAAATTTCAGTACAATTATTTTCCCGCCGACGACGAGCAAAATGAGAAATTTGGCTGCATTTGGCCGCTAACTCCTATTTAACGCCCCTACATCTCTCACGAAATCGCTTTGCAGATGAGTCTGTTCACGGCTTGACACGTAAAATCCACGCAACCCCACCCCAAAGCAGATGGTCCCATGGAGAAACCAAATAACAATATGATTATACGTCTTAATACACCAGCACCTTCCGAAAAGCACCTTAACAACACGCTTTGTTCCAAAGGCCCAAAGCAACATCTTCGTATACAAAAGAAAGGCATCGAGTCGGTCAGAATTATTGCTTGTGCCACATATCTTTACGCTGCACACTAAGATTTACCGTAAATAGCCCGTGTATGTAATCCGGAATTATCGGATAATTGTCCCCAGCCGGCAGGAAATGCTGGATAACGCGAACACTGATATGCTAGTGTATCTGTTTATACTGAACACTACACGAAGAACAAAGCAATGTCGCGCAGAAAATGCAGAAGAATATTATGCACGCATTATGACATCTGGTTATGAACCTTTTAGAAAATTAGCACATCGTAGGTGTTGCCCAAACGCGAAAAATATTGCTGATATTAATGCACCTCTTGCTTATATCATGGCAGCATTTTGTTCAAATACTTAGCTAAAGAGCTATATCAGACAACGATCAGACGTCATCGCCTGACCGGCGCTTGTCAAATTAAAA